GCAAAAATGCCTCAAAGATTTAACCAAAATGAACAAAAGCTCATTGCTAAGCTTATAAATTATTTTTCTCGAGAAAGAGAGGCTGGTAGAACACCCTTGCCCGTGGATGCCGTATATGAATTAAGTACAATGCAAAGGTGTAATATTCCTATGTAAAATACAAATTGATAGCTTTTTTAAATAATATAGCGAGATGCTTTAGAAATGGGAATTTCAACAGTCCAAAGGATTAGAATTAAAGAGGTCGTAACTGATGAAGAGTTCAAGAAAAATTGAATAAATGCAGGAACGTACTTAAATTTTTCTATACGATATGAACTGATCTCAGACACACCCTAAAACTCATATTTGACAAATAATGATGACGTAACGGTAAACGATGTCTGAACAGTCTTTTGCCTGATCTAATCCAGTACTTTAAAAAGTTCCATTAAAAGTCTCTTCTAAAATCAATAAGGGAGCCAATAAACGAGCCAATAAGATTTCCATACACTACATAACCCGGTATAAGGTCTCAAACAAAACTTAGTAAACTACGAAACAAATTTAAAACAATCTAGTCAACAATATTACTGTCAAATAACTACATAAAGTTACTTGTTTATCATAATATAGTAAGATATTGGTCTGTATTATGTTTGTACTTAAAACTGACTTAATGATTTTTTACATGATAATTTTTTTAATACTGCCTTTATTAGTGTTTTTTTTATATATAAGATATGATTAATAAATAAAGCAGTTATGGTTAACCATAGAAGCTTTTGAACACTTTTCAAAATTTGTATATATAAAAAAACCGGAGGTTTTGGTGTATTTCGTATTTTTTTACACTTAAGGTATAAAAAAATTCGAATATTAGTTACCTTCAGTATATATATATAGGATGATTCATATAAAATTGATATTAGTTAACAAGTTAACAACAATTTAATGTTAAATTTGTAATACTATTATTAACAATGAATCTAAAAAAACCTTCGAATAAAAAGATTAAGGAAGGAGCATATTGTCAAACTCTTGCCAAATTTTAAGAGTAGACCCAAAGCAGTTTTATTTGATTTATCAGTGCCGTTCTAATTTTATTCAAAACGTGTAAAAATATGATGTAGGGTAGACTCAATAATTTGTTCTTTTATTTTACGTTGTTCATAAATGTTGATAGTTATTAAAATTGTTATAAAAATATATAATTCTAATAAAAATAGATAAGTTATAATAATTATTTATCAACAGAAACATCCGATACGCTACTGAAGCAGGTAAGTCAAATTGACGTATATTCTTGGACAATCTTTGACAAGTAGTAGATAAAAGCAAAAGTACAAGAAAAAATATATAATTAGTTAATTTTAAGTAAATTTCATAAATGAAAAATAATTACTTCATTTTTATATTTAACGAAAAAAACATTAAAGATAAATGCGTCTCATAATAAGACAAGTTATGAAAACAAAATATTTTTTGACGAAAATAAACAGAAATGTTGCGAAACTTATTTTTAAATGGATCATCCTATTATTAGTAATTTATAGAAGAGAATTTCAGTCAATACATCTCAAGGTTGTATATAAAGAAGATAGATACATTTTTCAATATTTTTCATATTTTTTAAGTAAGTATTAAAAGCTATTTATATTTTTCAAGACCTAATACAGGGTGAACTAAATAAACTAACTAAGTTACCCGTAGATAGTAAAATAAACCAACAATACTGTTTATTTTAATAACCAAAGGTCCCTTTTATGATACAAAATTTGTTACACTTTCTTTAATAATAGATATACACTGTAAACATTTTAGAACACCCTATATATACATATTTGCATTGGTTTAAGTCCCGTATACACATAACGTTTTACTTGATACGTTTTGACTGAACAGACAAGATTGACAGGTAAAACGGTACGTGTGGACGGGGCTTTACATAATGGGATTATCAGTAGTATTTTATCTAGAAGAGTTATGGGGTAAATTTTGTCAATTTGTTTTGGTCTACCCTTTTATTTGATTGATATTTAAAAAACAAAAAATAAGTTTTTAGTTGTTTAATAATATTTACATAAAATATAATATCTACCTACTATATATTATTACAAGAATATAACAAAAAAATGTTTTAATGTATCTAATAAAGATAAGGAAAAATCTAAAAAAAATTATTTACTTTAACACACTTTTCAAACAAAATCGGTAGACCAAAATATGTTTAGGATAGATATAGTATTCATTACATTGGGTTTATAAAATTTAATAAAAACCTAGCTAAAGTTGAGAAACATCTAACAATGTTGCGTTTATATTTACAGTGACATAATATAATCAATTTCTTACAATACAAAGACAATAATTGAACTAAAATATTGAAACAGTTTTTTTTTGTACACGTGTATTATATTTTTCTCTACTGAAATTTAACTTTTCATAAAAAAATTAGTAGTGGGAACTATCGAATGAATACTATCGAAACATTCGATAGTTGCAATTCATTCGAATAATTCGATAGCTAGTAAAAAACATTCGTTGAAAACTATTCGAATAAAAATTATCGAATAGATGCGTCATCTGCCTTGAAATATTGTATTCTAGTAATTCGGCAGCAAAAACCATTCATTTAGAAAATTCATTCATTTATGAAATTCATTTATTCGTCAGGATCGATTATAATAAAATATTAACTGGATTTTAGTTGTCGCCCGGCGACGTAGGTTTCTTTCCGAGGAACCCGACAGCGGTCGGTGGCAATGCCAGAAGCCGGCATCTTTGATTTTTCGCGGAGTCATAAAAATAAGGACACATTTTTTTTATTGAGGTGCTAGTATTTACACAGAATATACATTATGAAGGGCGCTGTTGCCATATATTGGTATTAGTTGATATTAGCAAAGAATATTATTGTTTGTCTTTAGTTAGTTAGGGATAGTATGTCTATATATTTTGCATTTTTTTATTAATATTCTGTTGTTACACTGCAATAATACTTGTTATTTTGGATGTAGGAAAATGATTTTTAATGTTTTTAAGCAAAGACTGGTTTAATAAAAATAATAATAACAGTAATAATTTGTTATACCTATTAACAACAAAATTTAAAATAATTTAATATAAACATTTTTTTTACGTAATAGCAAAATATAAACAACAAATTAGATGTCAAAATTATTTATATTAGATCCTATTTAAAAATAATATAGTCTTTAAATTTTTTGGCAACGTTGGTTTATTAAATAATAATAATTACAGAACTAATTTGTTATATTAACAACAAACTTTAAAATCATGAAATATAAACATTTATTAATTTTCTAAGCATGCAGTGTAATGGAAGGAAAATATAAATAAAAAATTAGAAACCAAAATTATTTATATTAGGTACTTTATGTTACTATTTAAAAATAATATTTACTTTTACTGGCATTTACTTTAAAAAATAAATGAAATATTTCTTAGCAAAAAACTACATGTAAGAGAATTAGCATAAACAAAATACAAACATCGTTAACTTTTTTTTAAATTGGCACGTATAAAACTTTCAATTTAATTTTCTCACCCCATAGTTTGAGTTCGATAACCATTTACTTAACCACATTACTTAAATATGATTATTAAGTTCAACTAATTCATATTATTAAAACATCTAAAATACAAATATGTATTTTTAAAATTAATTTTAAGTTCATCTCATCTCTCTTAAAAATTGCTACTTCTCAAAATTTCCCATTAAAAAATAGACCATATATACCATATAAAATAAAATAATTGAAAGATCGGCCTACGGAAAACACATAAATTTTCGGAAAAATTTTGACACCTGCACACGCACTCAATCGTCAATTAAAAAAAACACTATTTTAGTATTTTAAATATTTTAATGAACGCAAAAATAGCACAGTATTTATAAGGCGAAGTTATAAAAATTTGGAAGAACTAATAATGCACTGACGCACACAAAAATCAAACGAATACTAAATTTCATTTATCAAAAGCATTCGATAGTCGTGGCTCAACGATAACCATTTAGTTGCACGGCGAGGTTGTTATTTTTTAGTATACAAATGAATGAATGGTTTTATTCGAATAAAACCATTCGATAGTTGAAATCATTCATTCAGTAACCATTCGATAGTCTAATTCATTCGATAGTTCCCATCGCTAAAAAAAATAATAGTGTTCTCTTCATATACAGGGTGTTTCTCTCGAAAGGAGATTCCTCGCATAAACATATGATTTTTTTTATATCAACATAGATTCTGGTTTGTTTAAAGTCTTAGTAATTCGAATGAAACTTTGAGGGTTAAAGTTATTATAAGAGCTACATATTTTAATTAATAAAAAAAGTGTCGACAGATTCACCAGGGACGTGCATATGGGTTATCACTGGAATATTTTTCTGTAAAAAGTATAATAATGTATATTTTCATTTAAATTTTCAAAGTAAAATATAGTAAACGCCACGAATGTTTGGGAGTGATTCATCGGTCCCTACCATGTGAACTAATCTGTTCAAGGTCACATAAAACTTAATTCCAGTGCCGTGGTCTTTCAAGTCATATAATAATCAATATATAATCTGTTGTAATTTGTTGTTTTAACTGTCAAAGTCTTGTCAAAACATATATTTGGTTATAAATATAAAATGGAATGCCCCATTGGTCGCACTGCAAGCACACCAACGGATTGACGCACAAAAACAAATCAATCAAAGAAACGCGATATAGTATCGTCTTTGTCAATCACGCTAACATTTTAGAATAAGTAGGAGGAGCGCAGGCAGATGGTTAGACCGGGCCTTTTAAAACCTACGTCTGCTGTAAAAATTTACGTTTTTAATGTAAAAATGATAGCGCGCGTGTCGATTCTAACTTCATCAAGCGATGAATCACTCCCAAACATTCGTGGCGTTGACTCTAGCTCGGTTATTTTGGACTTTGAAAAACAGGTATCTACAAGCCCTGAAAATATATGCACTTATTTAAGACTCACCCTGTATAGAAAAAAAACAGTATGCATAGGTAATTTTTAAGGAGCTTGGAATTTCAAGTTAAGCATATTCTAAAAGTTCTATTTTTGTAAAATATTCAAATTTCTTAAAGTTATTTTATAAAAAAACATACTAAAGTCTTACAGTTTACAACTACAACAATAGGCTTTTGGTAGTAAAAACATGATTTTTGTACAAAATTAGCCAATTCGTATATAGCTGTACAATTATTATTGTCTTATTTTTTCTTTTACTCTACAGGGTGTTAGAAAAATGCACTGCCAAATTTCTGGGGATGATTTACGGAAACATCCCGTATATTAATTCACTCGTGAATCTAAACGCAACATTTTTGAACCTTTCTCTTTTCTTTAATATAACCCACTTTCTTTAAACCACCATATTTCTTTCCCAATAATTTTATTATATAATTGTTCTGTAATTATTTTATAAGTATATTCGCACGCACTTGCTTTAAAGAAAATAACATTTATAACATTTTAGCGTAACGCATATATATAACATTACCGATAAGACAACTTATCAGAGATATATTTATAAAAAGCCTCATTTTTTATCATACACTATAGCCAACGTTTCAACCAACACAACCTGTACCTTGTAATATACAGGGTGTACCTATAAAAAGGCACCTTTTGCTTGACTTTAACACTCTCGATTAATACATCTTCGAATCAAAATATCTTAAAACAACCCAATGCGTCCAAACAAATTTAAGGGTTATTTCCCTCCTAGCCCGAATTTCATAAAAATAAGTTCCTTCCCTTTGGACAAAATGTCACCACCGGGCGCGGTGATTTCGTTCAATTTCTGCATCAGATTCGGCGCTCCGGGGTTGCCAGATTGATTCTGCCCCCCCGCCATGTCCCCGACGGTTGGTAGCACTTGAGGGACGCCTTTGTGCTGTATCCTTTGGCTTTGCTGGTTGTTTTGTTGGTAGGACTGTTGCTGGTTCTGTTGGTAGGACTGTTGCTGGGTCTGGGATTGTCCCGAGCCGGTGAGACTGGAGAATAAGCCTCCGGAAGTGGTATTTTGTTGGGTTTGCTGGTTGAACGGTTGGTTGGATTGGGTTGGTTGGACTTGGTTGGGCTGGTTACCAACGGCTCTCAACATCCCTCGGATTCTCCCCTTGAAAGCAAAAAAATAATTTATACAGTGTGGTCCGTTAAGTATGCAACATATAGGATTTTTTTAATAGAAGTCGTATCCAAATGGGAATACTGTCAAAAGTTAGTGCATAGTCCGATAACCACATCAGCGTTACTTAGAATGACTGCAAGTCAAGCATCCTACAGGGTGGGCAAAACATTCGAAAATCGTTAAGAGTAAAGTATCTATATTGAAAGAATTTTGAAAAATGACATTAATGACGTATACTCGTGTTGAAATTGACTAAAATCAAACAAGTGTTGATTATTTTGCCATTGACGGAGCTAGGCCTTTATAATCTACAGAGGTTTTTATTTTTCCTTCAGTTACATATGTTATTACTGTTGCTAGGGTACATATGTATATTTGATACCAATTAAACTTTTAGTTACGTAATCGAGGGTGCGATTTTTAAATTCATTGTTGCCAACCATGAACATATTCGGCGCCGGGCTGACTAACTAGAATTTAAACTTCCCGCTGGGGATTCAGTTGGTAACTTTGCTGTAAAAAATGTCAAGTTGCTACATTTATTTATTTATTTTCTGACATTGCCATTCGTTTTGACACTTTTCAGTTTTGTATTATGAGTTTTGGGTTTAAATAAATAATGTTGTGATACTTTAACCTTAAAAATGTTCACTAGCAGACCTCGCAGTCGAACATTGTTCTTTTTAGAACCTCTTTTACCCTGTAGGTTGTTTGATTTGCAGTCATTTCAGTACCACTGATATGGTTATTAAACACGTACTAACTTTTTACAGTATTCCCATTTAAGATTGGACCACTAATAAAAAAATCCCATCTGTTGCAGACTTACTGGACCACACTGTATATGCAATAATTTGTAAAGATATTGATAAAATATTATTGATATACGTATGGCTTTTAACGCAACTCATGTATTATTTTTGTTTCATCTTGTATATATTTTCTAAAATGTAACTGCTTCTAATAATATCTTTGAATAAAAAGATTAAGGAAGGAACATATCAACAAACCTCGGTAGAACGCAATAGTGAATTAATATTATTAGTTATTAAAATATTTAAAAATATATATATTTCTGATAAAAATAGATAAGATATAAAGGTCTGTTTTCTAACAAGCGATACCCGTTCTAGAACGGTAATTTCCAGTCGCCCACGTATTTTTGACAAGTGGTCAAAACTGACAAATGAATTGGTTGACTGGAAATTACCGTTCTGGAACGGTTCTATGGCCTGTTAGAACAGACCTACTAATTATCAGTGGCGGATCCACGGGGGTCTACGGAGGCTCAAGCCCCCCATCCCCTAGAGTTCAATCAAGTAATGCAATATTATCAATTTATTTTGCCACAAACGACTCTGGAGTGTGTACTTTGATTAAAGTTTTGACTCTAGCCCCCCCCCCCTGCCTGATTCCTGGATCCGTCCCTGCGCTAATGAAACACCTAATAAGGCGATTGAAGTATCGTAATTATTTTTGACAAGGTGTGAATAAAAGCGAAAACGCAAGAAAAGATATATAATAATTAGTTAATTCTAAGTGAATTTCACTTATTTCATAAAATTTCTAATCAAATTCAAATGTGTCAATTGAATCATCAAACAGAACTGTCAAAAATGCGATTGGATGACGTCAATTCTGCCTCTCACGCTTGAATACATGGATAGCATTATATTTCTTCCTTAATCTTTTTTTTCAAAAATAATATACGTCTAAACTGAATATTAGTAATTCCTAAAGTAACTATATTCGTTTTCTAATTAACTATTTTTATTATCTTTATATTCACTTAAAATATAAATGTTGAAGCTTTAACGTACTAGTAAAATGTATCTTTCTAATTATCAAATCCAAACCATCCCCTAGGTATAGTCTGTCCAACGAGCGAATCCCTAACAGTGACAGTTGGATCTGTCATTTTAATTTACAGGCATATTGTATTTGTTGTCATTTTTTGGATGTTATGCGTCGAAACCTTTCCCCACTCGTTGGACAGTCAGTATATCGAAAACTGTACATATCTAGAACGCTATAATTAACTGTACAGCTGTCTCCAGACCTAACGAACGCAGACGAGTGTAAACGAACATTAGCGAACACAATCCATCGCTTGTCGGTAGAATCAAAGAGAAACCTTGCTCTCGGCACGTCTGGACGCGTATGTTTGTTGATTTTTTAAGTTTTCAGTAATCCTTACTTGTTTGAAACTGATTTTGAAATATGGAGTGGACTAGTGATAAAATATTAACATTTCTAAGTGACATATTGTAATCGCAAAACATTTTCCGATGCACGTCATCAATCATACCGACATTGACACTAAAGTCTAGAAACCTGACTAAATGAAATTTTGGCAAAAATATTTAAATTTGTTGTATAATTTAAGATACCCAGCAACGCTTCATTTCACTTTATAGAGCAAATGATTGTAACAGATATTTTATTTAGATTAAATCTGCAAAATTAGTTTAAACCGAATTTTATTATCGCTATGTTGGTCACATTGCGCCGTTTCAGCAAGGTTGTCGTTTATTATTTGACAATTATCCTAATGTCAGTCATTATTTTGTATAATATCGTGTTGTTATTAAATCTTTGTGAGTAATTCTCGTTTTTTGCCTATTTTCATAGTATTTTTTAAACAATTGTTCTTTTAACCACAAACAGTTCTTTTAAGTACTAGAATGTAGAATGTTTAGGAGGGGAGTTAGTCACCGCGACCTTACAGATCTATTGTGTTTTCCCCTTTCTTGAGTTATAACGTGTTATAACTCATCATACAGTCTCAAGGCTTTAACAAAAGCCAGTATCTGAGACGGCTCCACAGAGGCCAGCTCTCCATCCTTGACATCAGCCGTACCAAAGTTCATGGCACGACTGGTCGTCGTCTCGGCGCACTCAGTGATGAGGTGTTCTGGTGTTTCCCCAAATTCCCCACAGAATCTGCATTCGCCGTTGTTTCTCAGCTTCAGCCTACTGAGGTGTTCGTTGAGGAGACAGTGTCCTGTTAGAAACCCCGTGACAATCCGAAGATTGTTTTTACTTAAATCAAGGAAAACCTTTGATTTTTTTCGGTCGTAAGTTCTGAGGAACTTTTTCGAGTGTCTTAGACCGTTGGAGGATACCCATTCCAAGTTGCGATTGGAGTCTTCCGGATTCTTCAGTCCCAGTTAGTGGAGTGTTCGCTACTTTCCTAGCTAGATCATTTGCTTTTTCATTGCCTTCTATCCCTTGGTGAGCAGGCACCCAGAGTAGGAGGACTTTATTTTCTTTGCCCAACTTGTTGAGCTTCCCTAGGCATTCTTTGACCAACTTCGAATTGATGGTTACTGAGTTGATCGCGTTTAGTGCTGCTTGACTATCGGATAGGATGGCAATTTCCTGTTTTCGATAGTTCCTATCTAAGATAAATTGTACACATCTTTCGATAGCGTAAATTTCTGCCTGAAGGATACTGGGGTAGGTGCCCATTGGTTCGGAGTATTTGGTTTTTGGCTCAAATACTTCTATCCCTGTCCCTGCTTTGTTTTTGGAAGCATCAGTATACCACGTTATGGTATGGTCTTTTATATGCTGAGTAAGCGTGCAAGCGAGTAAGCGTCCTTCCAATCCTTTTTATTACTCATTACTACAGTGAGGTGTTTCTCAAAGTTATAAATTCTTGATATGTCATCCACTGGGAGTTGGAGAAGTGGAATTTTCTTTTTGAGGGTGTTCCAAGCCCCTGACCTAAAAATTCTCCCAGCACTGTTTCCGTCAATGACCATTCTAATCATTGTCGCATTGGCATAACTACCGACGACAATATGCAGTGGTGTTAGGTCTAATATGCAGTGGTGTAAGGTGACCTCCATTGCTGCTGTTGGACATGTTCTCATGGCACCTGTGATACAGATACATGCCAGTCTCTGTACTTTGCACAGGTTTTGCCTTGCTGTACGTTCCTCTAGTTTTGTATACCAAGCAACTGCTCCATATGTAATCATGGCTCTTACTATCATGGTATACATCCAGCGCAAAATTTTAGCTATTTCCCGCCAGTCTTCTGCATATCATGAGAGCCTTTGTGGCTTTACTGGTAATGTTCTTAATATGCCTGTTCCAGAGAAGTTTACTATCCAGGGTTATTCACTTCCCGTTATGGCAGTATTTCCTTTCCATCTAGACGGATTCTTTTCAAGTTTTTCAAACTTCGCTTTCTGGTGAATGGCACTACCGCAATTTTATCTGAGTTGATACTCAGCCCGACAGTCCTGCACCATCTTTCAGTGATGCGAAGTCCTCTTTGGATAATATCACACAGGGTGCCTTCATCCTTCATGTTTCCCCGTGCAATCATGACTATATCATCTGCATACCCTATGCCAGTGTATTCCCGCTAGAGTTAATTCTTCCAGTAGTTCATCCACTACCAAGCTCCACAGTAGGGGGAGGTCACTCCACCTTGTGGAGTTCCTTGCGTTGTTTTAACAGCTACAGTTTTGGTACCTATTTCAGCTTCTGCTGTTCGTGTTGAGAGAATTTCCCAAACCCAGCGAATTATCGTATTTAATTACTAAATTTTCGAATTCTTGTATTGCATTTCTTGAAATTATGTGTTGAAACATATTTAAAAAATGATATAATAAATATATTGTTTGTCACTCTTAAATTAAAATTCATCTCATAAACCCATCACAATCTGGCAGCGCTGTCGCCATCGCTTGTCACTTAAAGTTGATCACGTGTATCGGAAATTGTTTTGCGATTACCATAGAAACATTTTCCCTTGACATTGAACTCTTCAGCTACATATTAGAAAATTTCGAAGTAAAAGAATGATGCCTGTTCTAATTTGCCGGCTAAATATAAAAAAAACTGTAGATTGTAATTGTTATATCACCGTGACTTTGCAGATCTATTGTGTCCCTTTTCTTGAGTTATAACTCATCATATAGTCTCAGGGCTTTGACAGAAGTCAGTATCTGGGAAGGTTTTACAGAGGTTAGTTCTCCATGTTCGTTCGTTAGGTCTAAACCCGACTTAGAATAAATCATAAAGGCTTAAATTTTGTATCGTGTTACACCTAAGTACTTCTACAAAACTATCTATGTATATATAAAAGCAAACCAAGCACAAAAACTATTAAACACAACAACGAAAGACAACTATATATCATGTCAGAGCAAAACAGAAAAACACATCTACTTGTACAAATTACTACTTGTTCGTTTTGAGGAAAGAGTCTGAGAGACAGAGATAGATAGATAGAAAGTTAGTTAGAGAGAGAAAGAGAGTAACAAAAATACCTGTTGGTGCTCGGTGGTAGTGTTGTTCGTGTTGGACATCGTTGCCGATTGAGTTGTGTTGAAGGATGAGTCTAACTGAGAGGAGCTATACAACAGGTGGCAGGCATCTAGACCAACAGACAGACAAACGGACAACGATCAGGCAAAGTGGCAACGCTGTTCGGCGAGTAGCGGACAAAGATGTCTTTCGAGAGCACAACGGCAACGATGTATTTTTACTTTAACCGTGTATTTTTATAAATTTCATAATTTTCAAAAAAAATCCTAATAAACTGAACACATCGTTGTTTTTGCTGTGCTAAACTGGTTAATTCAAAAGGTATTCTTTCAATCCAAAATGTTATTGTGACTTTAATTGTAACGAAAATTAACTTAAATTTATAGTTACTTAAATATTCTTCTGACCACTGATATGACGTCAGACTTGGAAGTCTTTTAAGACACGTATAAGGAATACACTACATAAATAATGAGGGTACAAACTTGACTAATAAACAGGGTGTTTCATAAAATATATGCCATCTCTCGTGGGGAGATCCCTCACGTAAAAATAGGGTTTATTTTTTAAATCAACATAGGGGGTCTCGAGCTCACGAGTGACGGCAAATGTGTTTTAGAAACACCCTGTATGTTTGAATTTAACTTTCAAGTGACATTGAATGAATTTAAAGCAGAAATAAAAAAACTATTTCCATAAAAGTCTTTATACAGGGTGTCCCAATATTACGTGGATACAGAGCTATTATGTATTTTTGGAATCAAAATAAGTTCATTGGACACAATTTAATTCTATACAAAAGTCCTTGGTTTCTCCGCTAGGGGGCTTCAAACTTTAAAAAAATAAATACATTTTTTTAGATATTTTAAGAACCTTTATACCGATTTGAATGAGATTTTGGATGTCTATATTTTGATAAGTGCTTTAGCATTTTTTGACTTTCACAAAAACCTAGAAAAAGTACGGGAAGGGTGAAAAATACCCCGACCCCTTCATACATTTTAGTATAAATATTTTCCAGCTCAACCGACAACCGAGTTTTTTTTCGTAGAATGGTACTTCTAGTAATTACTACATTATTTTTTGACCCTTGTAAAAAAACTCCACCGCGCATACCTTTTGAAAAACATTTTTAAAATAGTTTGTTTAGGAAAAAAAACATTTTTCCTAAACTGACTTCCAAAAAATGTTTTTTTGTCTCATCAAGCTATGCGAATAAAAAGGCAAAAATATCAAGAAGCGAATAAAAATATATATAAAAAAAATATATAGAAAACATAAAAAACTTAAAAACATAATAAATTTTAAATTAATTAACGTTCGGGTTTATTTTTAATTGATGCCCTCTAACCCCCCTAAAGGTAAATTAAGTGCAATTAACTTATTTTGATTCAAAAATAATAAATATGTAAATACTTGTTCTATGTCCACGAAATATTGGAATGCCCTGTATATTTTGTAGGTCTCATTTGAAAAAATAAATTCTCCAAAAAATGTTTTCGCAAAAACTGTGCGATGTAGCGTTTTTACAAGAGACAAAAAATGTAGTAAATACTAGATGTAGTAAATCATTTTACGAAAAAAAAATGTGTTTGTTTTTTTCTTTGAATAAGAAAACTAAGGAAGGAGCATAATGCTGTCCATGTATTCATGCACGGTGGGCGGAAAAAGCACTCTAGGGTGGGGATCCTTGACAGTTCTTTTTGACGATTCATTTGACACATTTGAATTTGATTTGAAATTTTGTGGATTTGTCAGTCTTTACGGAGCTTATTTTATGTTATTTATTATTTATTCTACTACTGATAGTTGTATAAAGGTAGTAAATCTAGATGGAAATTGTGGCAGAACTTAAATTAACAGTGACACTATCGCAATTTATCGAAAAAAACTCTAAAATAGTTGGTTGTGTAGCGTGCGGTAGATCTCGGCAAAAATTGAGTGAAATAATGGAACAACTTTTCGCTAGTAAGTGACTATACAATATACATACGTGTAGTAAACCGATCATTTATGAAATTCACTTAAATTAACTAAATTATATATTTTTCTTGCACTTTAGCTTTTATTTACTACTTGTCAAAGATCAGATGTCAAAGAATTTTGATACGTTAATTTGACTTACCTGCTTCAGTAGCGTATCGGATGTTTGTGTTAATAAATACTTATTATAACTTATCTGTTTTTATTAGAATTATATATTTTATAACAATTTTAATAACTACCAACATTTATTCACAACGTCAAATAAAACAACATATTATTGAGTCTACCCTACATCATAGTTTTACATTTTTTAAATAAAATTAGAACGGCACTGATAAACCGGAATTTAAGTAGGCCATATTTGAGGCCCATCGCGGTGTACCTAAGATTTTTGATATGCTACTTCCTTAGTCTTCTTATTCAAAGGTTTTTTTTAAGTTTGATGCCCCCTAGCGGACAAACGAAGCACTTTTGTATAGAGGTAAATTATGTCCAATGAACTTGTTTTAATTTCAAAAATATATAGTACTTCTATTTCCGCGGAATATCGGGACACCCTGTATATTCTAAAACTAATTAATTAGTACAGAGTGAAAAGAAAATCTTACTATATAAAAATTTGTCTAAATACCTTTTAAATTACCAATTTCTTATAAAGAGGTAGAAAAGTAAGAGGCAGCATTTGGCAGACCGATTGTATAGTGCAATTCATACATTGAGAGTACACAACCCAAATAACCCACTGTTTTTCTTTTCAAAAAAAAATACTTTTTAAAAAAATTATTCTTTATAAAAACTCAGTTTTTGAGAAAAAATGGGTTATTTGTGAAACAAATAAAGCTCAAACATGTTTTTGACACCTTTTTAAAAATATTTAAACTGAAAAATAACAGAAAAAAACATAAATTGTGCCAAAAACAAATTCATATACATCACACTCTTGCAGTTTAAATAACACACATAAAATCAAATAGCAAGTAAGTGTCAGAGAGATTTCGATTTCACAATTATTAATGCAATACGTGTGTGTACAGTACGCCAAGATGTTTCCAGTAGATATAAATAAATTAAAAATTTACAAAAACTACAAGAAAAAAGTATTAAGGACTGTTCACACTTGTCAGGCACGACGTCTCTATTCTGTTCCGTCAAACAGTCTCAGTTTAACGATAAAAACATCTATAAGCGATACCAATTAAACTTTTAGTTACGGAATCGAGGACGCGATTCATAAATTAATTCTTTCCAACCAATTATTAATAATATTAACTAATTGGAATTTAAATTTCCCGCTAGGGATTCAGGTGGTAGCTCTAATGTAAAAAATGTCAAATTGCCCCATTTATTTATCTATTTCCTCCAATGACTAAAGAATATAAGGACATGCAACGCCCATATACGGACTGCAGCAGAATTTGTGACCTTCGAGGCCATTCTTTTGATGGCAAACAATAATGACTCATCATTTGGTCACCAGCGACAATTTTAGCGATTTTTAATAGTATGTGTGTAGTGAACTTTGTATAAACTTTATTACAATGGTGATTAGTTGTTCAGCTTTCAAGTGTAAAAGCAGCAGCTATAATAAAGAGCCAGGAGTTACGTTTCATAGGTAAATAAACAGTCCACTCCAACTTTTTAGCGTTTTTTATTGAATTTGATAACTCAAGAACGGTAAACTAATAGGATTGCTCATCCTCATAAGACGTACGTTCGCCTCTTCCCGCGCTTCAGCTGACAGTTGTGACGTCATTGTAGTCCTTGTCATGATAGTGTGTAGTCTAGTTGCCTATGGTAAACTTATCAAAATAACAGCTGAGAAATTTTGAGTTAATTATTTTGTCAATTTTAAATGTGAAAAAGGTGTTTTTAGAGCTATAGAGTGTATAAATACGTTCATTTTGTGTTGTGGATTGTGACAAAGTGCTTACTAAGTGCCTACGATATTGTTTATTAATTATTTTAAAGCAAATTATGGAAGTACTCTAAAAAGAATGCCTGCAAAAGGTGATGCTGGGAACTGCTGTTCTTAAAAATGCATTATCCGAGTATTTAATACGATTTATACAGTTAATTTTCTATACTGCATACATATAAGGTGTTTAAATAAATAAACTAAATAATAAACATGTAATGAACGTTTTGCATTCGGCAACCAATAATGCACGTGCGTGTATTATTGGTTGCCGGACAAGGACTAATAACCATGACAAGGACTACAATGATGTCACAAAGCGAGTAGTTTTCGCATGCACCTGGCGGACACTTTTGGCTGAATGAGCAGTCCTATTAGGTTAACTGTTCTTGTTGATAACTATTCTTCAATTTCAATTAACATCTATATGTACTTGATATGTGCTATACGTCGATACTAGTTTTGTATCTTTTGTAAACATTTTAACACGTTTTTTTCGTAATTAATTAGTATGATACACCATAGGCGTAGTCAAAACAATTATCAAAAAATATAAATATTGCTTCAAACAGCTAGGTTAAGAAAAATATGTGCCACGGCACTGTTTGGTGACATCGGCACAACTTGCTTTCGGGTGTTATTTGTCCTTGGATTCTTTAGTCATTGATTTCCTCACATTGTCATTCGTTTTGACACTAGTTTTGTATTAGGATTTTTTTGTTTAAATGAGTTGTGTCGTGATACTTTAAGCTTAAAAATGTTTACTAGCTGATCTTACAGTTGAACATTGTTCTTTTTAGAACCTCTTTTAGTGCGAAGTGTACAAGATAGCTTAATAGCCAATGCAAAAACTCATAGCCACCTTATTTATTTTCAACGGGAAAGCGGTAGTAATGGCCCTTTTTGTCCCTTAAGTGCTGTTAAGGAGATGAGTCTTGTTGATGTAAATAATAGCTGTTTGTATATTTATAATTAATTTATTTTTGTTTCCTAAAATATTTTGATTAAAAGAAAATATGTAAAAGTGGGCAACACTGTACCAGTCAAGCTTAATCACGTGACTAAAAGTTTATTTGGTATGAACTATAGGTAAAGAGTGGTATAGTACAAAATATACAAGGTGTTCCGTTAGTTTATAAATTTCAGAGAAATAAAAACTAAAATTAATAAAACTAAAACACAATCCAAAGACAATTCGTAACGGATAGCATGAGACTGAGACTGTACAGCAACAGAATTGACACGTGACTGACAAGTCTAAATAGACCTTTAGAGTTTAGAGAGCTGGAAGATGAAATTATTTAAAAAAAAACAAATAGTGTCAGCATATATAAACTAAAATATCAAAAGGTTTGTTCCAACCCGCCGCAGAACCGTCACCGAACGATCACGCTCGTGCGCAGTAATTCAAATGTGTTCCAACCGAGATTTGACTGTTATCGGACGATCCTATTTGCGTACCAACCTACCTTGGGGTCGTTTAGTTACGATTTCAGAACGGTAATTTCGGTACATGGTCCAAATTGAGAACTGTTTGGGTTGACTTCTGCATGACAGCATATTGGCAGGGATTATCGATTTTTAACAGCTCATTCTAGTCCGGCGTCCGGCTGATGCTCCTGTCTTAGTTATTTTTTACGAATTCGAATACGTGTGCGTTATACTTTTTTGCTTTGAGTTTGTGTGGAGTAAATCGTTCGGAAATTTTAATTAATTTTTTATTTATAAAATAATGTTCAAAGATTCTACCACTGCAATGAACAGCTGAAACAACACTTACCAACAATTACTATATCCCGATTCTCCATTTCAAGAATAATAATTATTATTATCGCAAATTGCAAACAAAAATAACAGGGTTATGTTATGAAATTCTAAACAAAAACAAAAAATCGATCGATACACGCACGCTTGATACTTTTGACAGTCCCGAAAACAAACCACAAAGCATTCCAACGTTGATAGTTTTTGCACCGTCACGAAACTATTCGAAGTCCGCGCATGCTAACAAAGTGCAAGAAAACCGATTCGAGTACGATTTCGAAACGATCCCGAAATGCTGGTTGGAACAAACCTAAAGAAAATACCCTTTCTACAGTATATGTAGTTAAAAGAATACATTAGTATCTGTTTAAGGCAAGTGTGTGATGAAGAATATTATAGTATAGTTATATTTGTGTATATAAACCTATGTTTATCGACATAAAAACTCAAAAAAAGAAGAAATTTTAATAAATCATCAAACCTGATACGAAAATGAAAAAAAAAACGACTAAAATAATATTTTTACAAGATAAGTATCGAGAAGACGGAAATGTGAACGTACCTTTACCTCTGGTAGGTTGTACACCTACAGGACCGCGCATCTGGTTCTCCCTTGGAGGTGGAGGAGGTCCCCTAGCCCCTGGACCTACCCCCCTTTGGATACCCTGGTTACTTCTTCCTACAGGAACAAAAAAATTGCATATGATTAGTTTACTAGTGGTTTTCAAATCTTATTCATATGTTATTCCTTTTTTTTGAATGTTAGAGAGAAAAAAACCGGTATTTTATTTAATTTTTGGATTCTTGAACATAAAATAAGGCATTTATTATATGGGTTTAATGTGTTTAAAAGCTTTGGTTTTTGCGATATTTAAAGATATTTAAATATGCATGCTATAATAAAAAAGTTTGTGAACACCTTGTACATTACTTTTCAGAATTAATTTTTGTGCTGACTTTGAAGCCCGAGAAATAAACTTTACTAAAAAATTTGGTTATTTCCTTAAATGTATACAGGGGTATCAAAAATTGCTGGATTTAAAATAGACCAGCAATTTTTCATTCCCCTGTATATATTTAAGGAAGCAATCAATTTTTTTAGTAAAGTTTATTTCTCCGGCTTCAAATTCAGCACAAGAAATAACTCAGAAATGAAATGTGCAGAGTGTTGACAAACTTTTTTATTATAGCATGCATATTGAAATATCTTTAAATATCTCAAAAACCAAAGCATTGAAACATATTAAACCCTTAATAAAAGCCTTATTTTATGCCCAAGAATCCAAAAATGAAATAAAATACCGGGTGTTCCATAAGAAAAAATATAACTTTGGTATGGATCTCAGTTCTAACACATCCTGTACATTTGAAAAAAAAACATTAATTTTAAATTATGCACATTGCCTCTCTACAGATACCCATAAAAATTTTTGTTTCTACATCTTTCCGTTTTCGTATAATCAACCGAGTTGAATGAGGTGCGCTACCCTGTATATAGTCCAGGAGGCAGTGATTTTTTTGTACTTATTTTCCCAGCGGATGAAGTATGTTCGGATGGTGACATTAAATGACAATTTGTGAGTCTGGCTAAATTTTCAGATGGGTTCACTAGTTTTCCCAGTCATAAATATTTGACATTTATTAAAGGGGCAAAAGGCTGGCACATCCCAAGTGGAGGAAAGTCAGTCTGACTGATTTCTTTACTGATTTTTGAAATCCGTAACCCTTATTTTCCCATGCTTGAAATTTAACGTATCATTTGATACTATCATAAACTATAGTCAAGAGCAAATCTGAGTGATTTACGAAATTGCGCCAAAAAATAACAAATTAATCTGACGGCATGTCGAAAATTGCAAAATTACAAAATGTTTGCTCTTATTTTCCCGGATTTAAAAATTTGTCACATGATAAACAATACTATAATTCCATATAAAATACACGTCTGGCTGTCATTTACAGTCACGAAAGCCCCGCCAGACTCGCAAGTCAGGTAGTTAAATAAAAAGAGTAAGCGACACGTGCGTATGAATTTAGCGCGCCTGACGAGCATTGGACGAGTCTGAAAAGGCTTTCGGGATATTCCACGTTAAGGTGCGTATTCATTATCCTAACGAACGAACGAACGAATGAAAGTGCGGTATATTTAGACGGGGACCGAACGCATGCGGCCGTTCGTTCGTTCGTTCGCTCGACCATCCGTTTCGAGTCGGTACATCAAAGGCGTTCGCCAACAAATGCCTCCGGTCTTCTCGTGCGGTCCTAGACGGCCTTGTAGCTCGGCTAAATATGCACAGTTGCCAGATTCAAAAGACTTGAATTGACATCCCATTCTTTTTTATTGTGTATAAAGCAGTATGTGTTTCTTTCTATTCTTCTTTTCTTGTCAGATACACTTATATAAATTATTCCTTTGGCTATTAAAATAGTTTTAAGTATATTATTACAAAACATATACATTTTTAATATACACTACCTTATAATGTTAACTAAGAAAATACCTTTAATTACCTTTTAAAATTAATAATATACAGGGCGATTGATAGTGATATTTATTAATGCTGGAACGTTAGTAATGAAATATAAGTTTAATAATAATGGAAATAATTTATTAAAATGCAGTACAAAAAATGTTAACTGACTAAAAATACTATAATAACAAATTTCTTCCGTTTGCCACGTGATTTATATAGACCTAGGTAGATTTTAAAAAGTGACACAGGTACAATTAATAATATATTAGTTCGGCATAAAAGTTGCTGTCACGACATCGAACAATAAATTAAAAATCGTAAAATAAATTAAAATTATTAATTAAACAAATCTTTATAAAGAAACGCAAGTACACCAAATTTGGGCCCAATCGAACTCCAGGAGATGATATCATAATAGTGTACTATATTATGGTACCACTCGATATGCTTAAAGGTACCATAATATTGCAATGTCACCGAAGATCCGTAGTATACCAAATTTAAGAACAATCGAACGCCAGGAAATGGTATCGTAATATGGTACTATATTAAGGTACCACTTTATATGCATAGTACCATCATATTACATCAATGTCACCGAAAATACGTAGTATCCGAAGTTTAAGCCCAATCGAACGCCATGTACGTAATATAGTACCATATTATGGTACCAGTTGATATGCTTCATGGTACCATAATAATGCAATGTCGTCAAAAATACGCAAGTATATATCAAATATGAGCTCAATCGAACGCCAGGAAATGGTATTGAAATATGGTACTATATTAAGGTACCACTTTATATGCATCATAGTACCATCATATTACAATGTAACCGAAGATATGTAGTATACCAAGTTTAAGCCCAATAGAACGCCAGAAAATGGTATCGTAATATGGTAATATATTATAGTACCTCTTATTATACTCCATGGTACCATAATATTACAATATCACAGAAGATACGTAGTATCCCAAATTTAAACCCAATCGAACACCATGTACATAATATGGTACTATATTATGGTACCAGTTGATATGCTTCATGGTACCATAATAATGCAATGTCATAAAAATACGCAAGTATATATCAAATATGAGCTCAATCGCCAGGAAATGGCATTGAAATATGGTACTATTTTTAAAGTACCACTTTATATGCATCATAGTACCATCATATTACAATGTCACCGAAAATACGTAGTATACCAAGTTTAAGCCCTATTGCCGCCATGTACCTAATATTGCTATGTCATCAAATATGGTACTATAGAAGGAACCACTTTATATGCTCCATGGTACCATAATATTACAATGTCACTGAAGATATAGAATACCAAGTTTAAGCCCAATCGAACGCTATGTATCGTAATATGGTACTATATTAAGATATCACTTGATATGCTTCATGGTACCATAATATTGTAATGTCATGAAATATAAGTATATATCAAATACCGTATGATACCGAAAAAAACGGCGTCCAGTTGGCTGGAAAAGGACGATCGATGACATTTCCCATATAAATTTACATATAAAATGACAGCGATATTCGTAGCCATCGCTAACGCCGTTTTTTCCCGATTATACGATATGAACTTGGTATGAACACAATCGAACGTCAGGAAGTGGTATCATAATAGTAGAACAACACTTATTATATTGTCGCCGAATTACAATGAAAATTCAGGATTCAATTATACAATCAAACGTCAGGAAGTGATTGTAATTTAGCTAATAAGATTTAATTCCAACTAACATGGCAAATTGAAAAAAACAGCTCTGATCTATTTTAATATGTTTAAATGATGTAGCAAATTTGAAGGTAGGCTTTATCAGGAAGTATTACGATATGAATTACACAATGGCAATACTGCACAAAATTCTTTTAAATTTTGTTTGTAGAAAACTGTTTTCTTTTAAATTTATTGCCCTCTATTATGTAGTAGCGAAACTACCGCATCAAAATATCTGATTTGGAGACAGGCTTTAAAAGCCTGTCTCCTTTTGCTACCTACAATTTTATACATGTAACGAGGCTTCTGTTGCGTAGCTAGATATTCTGTGCTTTCGGGATATTCCACGTTAAGCTCCGCGCGCACTGAAGGGGTATCGGCGAGAGCGAGCGGTGCGAGCGGCACGACCGGTCGGAAAGTCGATTGTAGCCGCGCACTGGAGTCGCACGATCGACGGTCGAGAGTACGTCACCAGCATAAATTTGAGCATAGACGAGGAGAAGTTTATTCAAATTTAGTCAAATTCATTCGGCATTTCAAAAAATTATAAAGTATTATTACTATTTATATTTTTATGCAACTTATTATATTTTATGCTTTATGATGAAAATTAATATTATTTAGATCTTAACCAAACACACATTAATATATTTAGATCTTGACAAACCACATAAAATTAGTGAAATAGAGTGGAAGATGGGGATAAAATATACTACATGACTCTTAGCTTGACCGATTTTAACAAATTTGGTATCATTCAAAAGGGTTTAATTTGTTCTTTAAAAACAAAGCTAGATATGAAAAAAGTCAAATAAAACTTCTATTTTTAGTTTTTTAATCTAAATAAGTGTCATTACAAACATTTATATATAGCTTTTATTTTAAGTTTTTAAAATCTTTGTTTTAAGTCAGTAGTAAATAATAGGAAACTTGTGTTTACATTTTGTTTAATGATTGACTTTTCGACCAATTTTAATTCGGTCTTCTTCAGAATCTATAATATACGTATAACTAATTTTCTACGTTTGTGATAAGAAATAATTATATATTAAACACATTGTTAGTGATAAAATTGTATTGTATATTATAGATTCTGAAGAAGACCGAATTAAAATTAGTCGAAACGTCAATCATTAAACAAAATGTAAACACAAGTTTCGTTTTATTCACTAGATTTTAAAAACTTAAAATATAATAAAAAAGTCAAAGAAAAAAAAAGAAAAAATATAGGTAAATAGTTTTTATAGTACCGTATTATCGAAAAGGAACGGCATCAGCGATGGCCATGAAATGAAGGTCGGTGCCATTTTATATGTAAATTTATATAGGAAATGTGATCAATCGTCATTTCCCATCCAACTGGACGCCGTTTTTTTCTATCATACGGTAGATATATGTACAAATATTTTATTCAAACATTTGTACCTTGTACGGAGCGATCAACATAGTAACATAGGATGACTATTTATCAGCTGTTATTACTAACGTCAAAACAAACCAAAAATTAAATAATACGATAAGTTTTTTGACGATATTTAAATTCCATTTTCAAAATAATGTGAGATAATCAAAACGAGATGAGAAATAAATGGGTTTAATCGAAAGATTTTCTAATTCAGTTATTGAATAAGTGTAGTAAACAATATAGGTTACGTGCTTGTAAGAATTTTTTATAAAGACGGTCTCGTACACTTTCGATTAATAATTCCTCGGACATGTTTAATGTAAAACCGCTCCACTAAAAACAGTAGCTCGGCGTAGACTATTCGTCCCCCTCCCATGCATTCTCTGATTTCGCCTGAGGGCGCGAGTACCGCCGATAGCTCGAAGCGCACCGAGCGCACCGATCTAATGCAGTGCGCGGGCTTACATTTATTTTAACGTAAACTGAAAATTACGTGCCACTCGCTCTCACCGATACCCATTCAGTGCGCGCGGAGCTTTAACCAGTCTATATTTGCAGCTGTAATTATAATATAAACTATCATCTGACAAATTTTTAGGACTGAGAGAATAAGGGCAATGGTTTCAATAATTTTTATCCATTTTTTCACTTGACAGACATATTACTCATTCTCACAGATCAACCAGACCATTTTTTTTCTTAACTGCACAACATCTCTCACTAATAGAACTATTTTTATCGCTGGAAAAAAGTGCAGTAGGTATATCTGTAGTTTCTAACGCATTTACCGCCTCAACCCATCGGAAACCAAATGAGCGTACCCGAAGTTTGTCCCTGGTTGGGCTGTCCTCCAGGTCCGTATTGGTCGGGGGCTTCTGTCAGGAAATTCGAAGGAACCAATCCGCGAACACCGTCAATTTCGGCCATGTAGAACCCATCGTCGTCCATGTCACCGTAGACTGTGATGACTTGACCAGTTGTGAAGCTCAGTTCTACCTGCAGTGGGGTGGAAAAAATAAGGGGTAGAGTTCACTTAAAAACACAGTGGAGGTGCGCGGATCATTACTTTGGGCTAGGTATCATTTTTATTATATTTACCTCGGCATCAACGTTAGGACTGAGTTCTTGAGGATCGTAGTCGTACAAAGCTATCATACGTTTGGCAGGCATGTTCGCACAGATGTCACCCCACCTGTCTCTACTTTGGTTGCCGTCTAATTCCATTACCATGTTATGTGGAACATATCCTCTTCTACCTACACACCAAAAAAGTATGTTATTTACACTCTTTGTAAACAATATTATAATAATCCATTCGTGAGAAGCGTTTAATAGTATGTATAGTTCATATCAAATAAACTTTTAGTCACGTGATTAAGCTTGACCGGCACGGCATTGCCACTTTTACACATTTTCTTTTAACCAAAATATATTTTAGGAAACAAAAATAAATTAATAAATCAACAAAACTCACCTTCTTAACAGCACTTAAGGGACATAAAGAGACATTACTGCCGTTTCCCTGTTCAAAATATTCTAATAAAGTTGCGATGAGTTTTTTTGAAGCTTTAATTTTTTTTTAAGCTTCACTATTTCATTAAGTATCACAACAGTATTTATTTAAAACAAAAACTAGTAATACAAAACTAAAGTGTCAAAACGAATGACAATGTCAGGAAATAAATAAATAAATGCGGCAACTTGACATTTTTTACAGTAGAGTTACCACCTGAATCCCCAGCGCGAAATTTAAATTCCAGTTAGTCTGCACGGCGCCGAATATGTTTATGGTTGGCAACAATGAATTTAAAAATCGCGCCCTCAGTTACGTAGCTAAAAGTTTAATTGATATCAAATATATATACTATATATAGTTGCAGCAGTTGCAGCATATATAAAGTTTTAATGCCTATAGTATGTGTTGCAGATGTTAAAAAAAACTTAAAAACTAAACAACTGATTATTATTAACTAAACACAACCGCAGAGTCTAGGGATATTTTAATTTTTGCCTATATTTTTATTTTGTAGCTGCGAAAATCCATGAATTTTTTCAAATACAAAAAAGAACACCTTATCGATATTTCAGTTTGTTTTAAAAAGTGCGTGTATTTTGCTGTATTTTTGCAAAACATAAATAAAATATTTTTAAGTGAAATTTATGGTACCTTTTGTGTTCGCATACTTGAAAGCTAATCCCTCAATTTTTATTTTTGGAACATCAGTGTATTATTGTTAACCATGCAACGTAGGCATTTAACTCGAGAAGATATGATCATATCATCAGGTATAAGACAAACTGATGTTGCGAGGGAAATGGGTACTTCACAAAGCGTGATATTAGGCCTTCGCTCACGATATCGAGAAGAGGGTGATGTGGCAAAAAGGCACAGGGGACGTGAGCGTATTACCAACTCAGTAAAAGACCGATTTCTGCAACTTAATGCTCGGAGAAATCCCAATACTACTGCACCTGAGCTACAAATAATGGTGCAACAAGTTCATGGCATTGTCATTTCGAATGATACTGTGCGGAGACGTTTACATAAGAATTGCCTTCACAGTCGACGTCCTTTGAGAGTTCAACCTCTTTTCTGGGGCAATCGAGGTACTCGACTTCAGTGGACACAGAAACATTTGATTTGGCAAAATGAAAATTGGGCTACAGTTCTTTTCACGGATTAGTCCCGGTTTGGCATATATCTTGATTCAAGAAGGGTTCGTGTCTGGAGAGAGCCTGATAATTTGATTCGCCTTCAAAATGTTCAGGAGGTTCACTCTTACAGAGGAGGAACAATAATGGTCTGGGGTGGAATAAGCATCGGTGGTAGAACTGACCTCATTTTGTTGGAGAACGGGTAGGTCATATGTTGATCAGATACTTGGACCTGTTGTCATTCCATATGCGGCAGCGGTCCCAATTTCCTATACATGCATGACAACGCCAGACCTCATACAGCTAGGATTGCAATGGACTTCTTAGAAGACAATATCGATGTTTTACCATGGCCACCGCAATCTCCAGATTTAAATCCCATTGAGCATGTGTGGGATATGTTGCAACGAAGGGTTTTACGTATGGGAATACCAAGGGACAACAGAAGAAATCTATTTTTAGCTCTACAAAATGACTAGAATGAGATATCTCACTTGACATCGATAACTTGATTTTGAGCATACCCAGGCGATGTCAGGCAGTTGTGAATAACAGAGGAGGTCATACAACTTATTAAATAAACATTTGTGACACAATAAATAATGTTTTTGCTTTTTAATTAGTTAATATTTTTTATGTTTTTTCCAAAAGTTTTTGATTTTTGGATAAGTTTAGTTTTGGATTAGAGTAAAACAATATTTTGTGTAAAATTATTTTTTTTACCTCACAAAACACTAAAAGTTTATAAAAAGAAGAAATCTAACAAGAATGAGCTATTAGAGGCAATTTTGAAAAAAATATCCTTAGATTTTGCGGTTGTGTGTATTTTGAACGGTTAAGCTATAGATACATATGTACACAGATAATTATACCTAGTACAATATTTGAATATTAAAATCGCAATTAAAGGTTACAGTCGTTGTGATTTTAAAATCGCAATAGCAGTTTCAATTGCGATTGGAGAATCGCAATTTTTCTCATCTCTACTATTAACAGTTTAGCTCATACTAAGAGATATTCTAATAAAATATAAAACTCTGCATACGACAAGTATAGCTTTGATTTTTTTTACTATTATTAATATTTTTATGGAAGTGAGAATCATACACAAATAAATTATGAAAAAATATTTATTTTTAAACTGGAAACTCTAAAATTACTTTTACACTCTCCCCAGTAAAATCTGTTTTGTTTAAAAATAAAATTGGTTTAAGTGCGAGTCGGACTCGCGCACGAAGGGTTCCGTACCATTCATTATCTATACAACATTAGACACTATATTATTATAAACTTTTTAGCCGATTTAGCTGAAATTTTGAATGCGCGTATTAGTAATTTAAAAAAAATGAAGAAACACATTACTAAAAATTGTATTAATCAATAATAAATATGTAAAAGTAAAAATAAATATGTAAAAATATGTAAAAATTAAAAAAAAACGATTAAAAAAAGTCGCCTTGACTAGGATTCGAACCTGCCTTACTACGGCTCCAACGTCATAGCAGCGTAAAGTCCTAACGCTTTAAACCACGCGGCCACCGAGGATTTGAAAGATTGTAAAATTCTTACTTAAAAGATAATGTTTAGTGAAAGTATTTTTTTATTTATAAACACTTATTTAATTCTGTTTTTAGTATTTGTTTTTATAGCGGCAACATAGATACATTATCTGTAAAAATATCAACTGTCTAGCTATAACGGTTCATAAGATAGATCTTTGTGACAGACGGACGGATGGACGGATGGGTGGACAGCGAAGTCTTAGTAATAGGGTTCCCGTTTTTACCCTTCGGGTACGGAACCCTAAAAAGACATATTTTAATAAAATATAAAATTCTACACACGATAAGTATAATTTGGATTCTTTCAGTCTTTTATTAATATTTTTATAGAAGTGAGAATCACATACAAAAAAATTATGAAAATTCTAAAATTACCTCTACATTCTCCCCAGTAAAATCCATCGCCGTCTTTGTCTCCCCAAACCTTGATGGTATCACCTTCAGAAAAAGGCAATTCTTCGTCACAAGTGTCAGGATTAGGCGACATAGTTGCAGGATCATAGTCGAACAAGGCAACGAAATACCTGGACCTTTTCTGAGGGTTTGGAGGGTTGTTAGGGTTGTTCTGCGGGTTGTTGGGCGATGGTCGCATTCCTGGCTGCTGGTTACGCATCATTTGATTGGAACGTTGATTAGGGACAACTGAAATAACGCCAATAAATAAACTTAATAAATTATTTTTGAAGTGAAAATTTTACGCGCGCTGGAGTAAAAAATAAATAAAATTATTTATTTTTTACATGCAAAAAACTATTTTTTTCGTGTAAAAACCCATTTGTCAAAAAAAGTTTCTTTAATTTATTAGTTTTTTAACATTTCAATCACTAATAGTTATAATTCTATTTAGAATGTAATATTTGTATACGTACAACTGTTTACTCTAAGCAAATCTAAAACTATATCAAGGGCTTTTCAAATCAACGTATAAGATCTAACTGGTATATTTTGCTAATCGTAAATGCATCTATTAAGTGTCTAAGTAGTGTAAGGTCGTACCTAAACTATTTCTACTTAAGGCGCAGTATTGAGAAATATATGTTTAAAATACTTCTCAAATGACTTATGTTACGCCACTGCAAACAACCTACCTGAAGAGTGCCAAAGAAAATAGTGAAGAGTGTATATTATGTAGTTCTTCTCAAGAGACTGTGCCTGTAATATTTTATAGTGGTTTTTTTTAAGTCTGAAGAAAGAAATTTCGGGTCAAGAGGACCTAGAATGCTGACGGCAAACTTTAAAAGTATCTGAATCTGTTATTATACAGTGTGTGCCAATTGAATATTGGTCACATTTAAAAGCAAGTTACCTTTTTATTTTAAATAGAACACCCAGAATATTATTTCGATATTCAATCGAGAATTCATGTCTCTCCAAAATACTATTAAGGTTGTCTACCCATCCAACAAAGATTTTTCTAGATATTTTTGTGATTTAGTGTCAGTAGATTTCTATTATATTTGATAAAGTCTAGGTGGTTGTGATATGTCTGACGTTACTTCAACATAGCTGTCACTCTAGTTCAACTTTAACAACTACTTATCATTTTGTGTCAGTTAAAACAAAAACAAAAATCTCAAAAACTTGCCAAAAATGGAAACGTATCCTACATCAGAAAGAATTGATTCGATTCTATTAGTTCATGACTGCAGTGTGCATTTACCAATTAATAGAATATTCAAATGCTCCAGATTTACCTAGACTCGATTTTTTTCATGTGGATTCCACAGCCACCTTAGATTATATCAAATAATAAAGATCTACTAGCAAAATCATAAAAATAAAAATATCAAGGAAAGTCTTTGTCTAAGGGGTACGCAACCTTAATAGTTTTTTGAAGATATATCTATTCTCCATTGAATATCGAAATAATATACTGGGTGTTCCATTTAAAATAAAGGAATAACTTGCTTTTAAATGTGACCAATGTTCAATATTAATTTTGTCTCACCCTGTATAGCTTTTCGGGTCAAATTTTAATTTAATTTAACATACAACGGTTATTTTGACTAAATATCAAGCTATACAATGTAAATTACAATTTAGGTAGCTGTTATTGAAATTTAAAATTTATTCTTCATTTTCACGAAATGTGAAATATGCCAAAAATCCTTACATTTTAGTCATATGCTTCTTTAATGAAACCACCTTTATTCTTTCAATTCACCTTTATTTTTTCCCCAGAATCCAAAAATCAATTAATATATAGGGTGTTACATTACAAACAAACCCAACTTCAATACGTAAATTTTTTAGGGACACCCTGTAGAACCTCTACATTCTTAAAAAATGCTCTAAACTATTTTAATGTAGAGGTTCTACAGGGTGTCCTTAAAAAATTTACGTATTGAAGTTGGGTTTGTTTGTAATGTAACACCCTATATATTAATTGATTTTTGGATTCTGGGGAAAAAATAAAGGTGAATTGAAAGAATAAAGGTGGTTTCATTAAAGAAGCATATGACTAAAATGTAAGGATTTTTGGCATATTTCACATTTGGTGAAAATGAAGAATAAATTTTAAATTTGGTAGCAACCTACAGATGCTACCAAAATTTCATTTCATGGAGCCTCCGCGTCGTATGAGAGGCGCCACCCTGTATATGTATAATACTCGTATATGAAAACAGATATTCAAAAACCTCTTAACGTTTGCCGTCTCAAATAAAAATATTATACACATCCACCTCGAGGAAGTACCTTGCTGTCCCTGCGCCCCCTGGTAATACTGCTGATTCTGCTGGCCTTGAACGCCGACCACGCCCACCTGTTGCTGACCTTGGCCTTGCCCTTGACCTTGGCGTTGCTGATTCCTGTTGAAACTGCGCCTGTTGCGACTCGCGTCTGGCAATTCGTCCTCTGACATGTTGGCATCGTAATTTTCCTTCGTTATCTCTGTAAGCGATCGGGGATGGGCTAGTTTTGCGAGTTGGGAAGAAATTGGGTTGCCTAAGCGGTTAGTGATTTTGAATTTGGACACCAAGAGTCTAATTTTATAATCTAAGTCGTCTAATTCAATCGTCTAATGCAACTAATTTTTGTTTGAATACACTCACCGGCACGAAAAAACGGGCACCTTGAAATTTTCATGTATTTTAAACAAAGATTTTAAAGGTGGTATACAGGGTGTTTAGGCAAATAATTTTTAAATTGGTTGCTTTGTTAACGTACTTCGGAGGGTGTTTCAAACTTTCACCAAAATATCAACATTTTGCTTTCCCTCGTATAATTGATGATGGGAATTGAGATGGGAACTTTAATTTTTAATTTAGAAAGAGATACCAAAAAGTCAAATAATTTAGCTACAAATTGTTTAAAAAAATCATCAAAATCGGCCTACTATAACAAAATATAATAAACTTTAAAATACATAAAAAATTTTAAGGTGCCCGGTTTTCGTGCCGGTGAGTGTAGTTTTAAGAAAAGAACTTTGTATGACTTTTTGTTTAAATTAAATACAGGGCGTTTCACAATGTTTCGTGGACATACCGGATGATCGTCGTTGGAAACATAGGAAATCCCATGCAAATTTTGAAGGGTCCAAATATTGACCCTTCTATTGATTTTACAGCGAAGTCGATTTTTTTAAAGGCCTGAGTAAGCTGAATACTGCATAATTTGAATAATTTTGAACAAGCCGTTTTTAAGTTATTTAAGAAAACCTGCATTTATTTTTAAATTAAAATTGAACAGGTAACAATTCAAAATCAGGCAAATGTCAACATACCTTACGTTGTCAACCTATGATCATATACAAACTAAAATATATGGGAAACTGAAATTGAGATCTTTGAAAGGACTTTTTCACCGCAACCAGTTATACACAAATTTGTTAGTTCCGTGACGAACCACCGGTCGCGCTTAAGGCGAAGTTTGTTTGGCACTTCAAATCAAATCAAGTCAGTTCTAATCAAATAAATAATATGCACCGTCAAAAATCGAAAAAAGTTTTACTGAAATTTTAGTGATTGTTTAAACTTTTTATTAAAAACAATGATGGAATCAGGCCGTAAACCCTTTCACGAGCCCTTTCATAAGTATGTTGTGCCCGCGCCGGCGTGCATGGATTTGTTTTCCAAAAGACATACATTCTCGAAGAACGATCCTACATTATTCCAAAAGTGATATCAAGTGCGAAACCTTAAAATGGAAAATACAACACAGCAAGATATTTAAAAGATTTATAGAGTTTGTGATTTACATTTTTATAATCAAGATTACGTACCTGGAATAAAAAGAGGTTTAGAAGTTAATTATCTTCCAAGTGACTTTTTATATACACCAGTTTATATGGGTAAGTTAAATAATTAAAAATTTAGTTAAATAAGGAACGTTTTCAGATATTTTGATCTAATAAAATTAAAATAATCTTTTAGATGATCAACCTACTGGTAATTTGGTATCCAGTGATGTCGATCCAAGTACAAACCTTGTATTTAAAAACAAACATTTGTTGTAGAACTTGTTGGTGGACCACTCTCTCGTTGGAATTAGACTTGTACTGTTACCTGAGAAAAGCAGTAACTGAAAAGGGTAGGTACCTACACCGTGGGCCAAATTAAAATCGCAAAATATTCAGTAATGAAGATTATTTTAAAAAAAAATATCATATCAACTTTATAACAAAAAATATGTTAATTGAGCTGTAAATAAACAAGTTATGGCACTGGCTACTTTAATTTGGCAGAGAGTGATTCAATAATTATTAGATATTCCAAAATTTATTAAAAATGTTAATATGTATTACGAATCCAAACTGAATTTGGTTTATTAAAATTATCGTTTTAGATTTTTTAAATTGTATCTATCATTTTAGAGAAAGGATCAGATATCCGAAAACCAGGAATCTTCCAGAGTGCAGATGATGCAGTTTTTGCGAGTGAGGTAAGATCTTTCTCTTGTAAGACCTCTTTTAAGAATTTAACCCAGGCAGTTGTTTACACCCAAGTTAGGTAAGAATTAAAAAATATAATAAGTGGAGCATACTACTCAAAAATGTAAATTTGCTTTATTAGCAATTGTTTTTGAATCCTGCTTATAAAAGGATTTTTACGTTATATAAACCATACTCGAGGTTTTATTGATGTGTCACATAATTATACATATTTATTTGTTTCAGATCGGAAGCATAGCAAAGGAATCGTACAACCTGTGAATTCAGTTTAATTACTGAGATCAAGGATGGTGAAACATTCATTATGATTATACAGAGCTACAAAGAGTTATGTTAAGAACCCAAATTATCATAATGAATTGAGGCAGAATCGCAATGAATTGAAAAATGCAGAATAAAAGGCATTTTTATATGATTACATGAATCCAATGTTTTTATCAAATCGTCACATAGATAATATTTCTCTACGCGTAATACTAAAATTAAAAAGGCCAGCTTAAAACAACTTTAAAAGTTACTTTACTTTAATTTTTAAATTTTCATCGCGTGCGAAAAAACAGTGCTTCGCATGGCTTCGGCTTCGGCGCGCTTCGCTTAAGTGCGCATCATACTTTAAATGTTTGCGAAGCGCCGGCGCCAAAATGTCATTGGATTAATTGCATGTATTTTGATTTTGATTCTTCGCGTTACTTCGCTTTAATCCGTAGGTCTGCATTTTTATACCATTGATCTAATTCACGTTTTTTCGCCGCGCTTCGTATAAGTTCGCGACAAAACTTTGTTAGTTGTATTTTATATTATTTAATGCTATTGTATTGATTTATTATTATTATTGTATTTATATGAAGAAGTTAAGTAGAGCAGTGCCGTGCGAGCTACGCCTGAAGAAGAAATTTTATTTATTGTATAATTTGTATTATTTACTTTTTTATAAAGTTATTACTAATAATTATTATTAAACATATCCAGTTAATTATTTTTATTTTATTAACTATAGCTGTTTTTTCTATCTATTTCATATTTTTTGATGAGGATAAGTTAATTCTAAATGAAACGCCACCTACTTGAGAACAATACGATATAATGGAGCGACCTAGAAGACATATCACCCTCGGACATAACGGCCTATGTTAAAAGGCTGGGTCTTGAGGGCGAACTTTAATGCTCTTTTTCTATTAAAGAGCTTGTAGAAACTGAGCCACAATAGGCCCTCGCGGCCTCAGTGGAGGGTCCCACCTGGGACTCACTCTTAGTAAAATACAAAATACAAGCTGAATACACACGCATAATTTGAATAATTTTGAACAAGCCGTTTTTAAGTTATTTAAGAAAAACTGCATTTATTTTTAAATTAAAACTGAATAGGTAACAATTCAAAATCAGGCAAATGTCAACATACCTTACGTTGTCAACCTAGGATTGAATGCAATTTGCTGTGTGCTGTCTATGCTACTAATACACTACATTTTTGTAATTTAAAACTTGTTCAAATTAAACAAAAGCCTAAGGTTTAGGTATGGGTTTAGGAAATATAATTTGGCTTTGACAAAATTATAAGTTGACAACTTAAGGCATGTTGGCATTGACCTGGTTTTGCATTGTTTCCTGTTCAGTTTTAATTCAGAAATAGGTTCAGTTTTTTTTAAATTAATTAAAAATGGTTTGCCCAAAATTGTTCAAATTTCAGCCATACCCAGACCTTTAAAAATCCTATCACACTCGAATTTGAGACAGCCTGTACAGTTCTTTTGTTAAAACACATTGTCTAACATTCTAGTCTAGCTATTTACGTTTTATAAGGTTCTATTAACTATAAAGTAAATATTTAACACAGAGTATCTAACAATTACCGAGGATCTTTTGTGATTTGTGACTTGCTTTGTAAAAAATAAAATCTTGAAATTTTTTATTTAAAGGGACTGATTTTCTTAATATCTACGAAACTAAAATTTAGCCATATCTAAAAATTAATTCACACCTATACGCTGAGCTTAGATAATCTAGCTATGCTTGGATATCTATCAAAGCATGATCACCTAGAAATAGAGATTAGTAGATATACAGTATGTCCCCGGATTATCTTTACAAGAGGAAAAACTTTTTGAAAACATTTTGAGAAAAATGCATTCTTGATAAAAAGATTCGCTTGTTCTAAAATGGTTAATCCCGTTTACACATGTCTAAATTTCCATACCGTTTTGGAGAAAATTAAAAAAACATGAAAATATGGTTGAATTTTCTCCTGAAGTCCTAAAAATCAAAAGGCGTTTCTATGGTAATATCATTTCGATCTATGGTAATACCTTTGAATAAGAAGACTAAGGAAGGAGCATATCAAAAATCTTAGGTACACCGCGATGGGCCTCAAATATGGCCGACTTAAATTCCGGTTTATCAGTGTCGTTCTAATTTTATTTAAAAAATGTAAAACTATGATATAGGGTAGACGTGGGGTAGACTCAATAATTTATTGTTTTATTTTACGTTGTGAATAAATGTTGGTAGTTATTAAAATTGTTATAAAAATATATAATTCTAATAAAAATAGATAAGTTATAATAAGTATTTATTAACACAAACATCCGATACGCTACTGAAGCAGGTAAGTCAAATTAACGTATCTAAATTCTTTGACATCTAATCTTTGACAAGTAATAAATAAAAGCTAAAATGCAAGAAAAATATATAATTTAGTTAATTTAAGTGAATTTCTTAAATGATCGGTTTACTACACGTATGTATATTAAATAGTCACTTACTAGCGAAAAGTTGTTCCATTATTTCACTCAATTTTTGCTGAGATCTACCGCACGCTACACAACCAAATATTTTTCTCGAGTCTTTTTCGATAAATCGCGATAGTGTCACTGTTAATTTAAGTTCTGCCACAATTTCCATCTAGATTTACTACCTTTATACAACTATCAGTAGTAGAATAAATAATAAATAACATAAAATAAGCTCCGTAAAGACTGACAAATCCACAAAATTTCAAATCAAATTCAAATGTGTCAAACGAACCGTCAAACAGAACTGTCAAGGATCCCCACCCTAGAGAGCTTTTTCCGCCCACCATGCATGAATACATGGATAGCATTATGCTCCTTCCTTAGTCTTCTTATTCAAAGTTTTTTCTGTTATTAAAGTATCAAATTTTTAAAACAATAAAAAATATGACTTTAATTAAAATTCTATCAATTTCAACATAATTTCAATGCAATTAACAGGAAGTGTAAGTGGAAGTATACTTTGAGTTTAGTTTTTTGTGGTTAGTTACTCTGCGGTTTAATAGTTGTCAAATTTGCTGTGTGTATCATTTCTTTCTTATTTCAACAGGTAAAAGAACCTATTAGTTTTAATCATCTAACTATATTATTCTAAAAGCTATAGTGTATATTCATGCCGCAACTAATTAGCACCTCCTACTTTAAAAAAAATATACCGGGTGGTGCAACGTGGTTGAAAACGTAGTAAATTCCATGTAAATTTTGAACTGTCCAGATATTGGCCACTCTGTCAATTTTACAGCGACGTCTTAAGAAGGTTTTTTAAACGTCTGAGTACACTTTCCAAATTTTAACAATTTTGGACCAGCCGATTTTAAGTAATTTAAGAAAAACTGCATCTATTTTTAAATTAATTAATGTGTAGACAGCATAACAAACTATATTTGACAATGATAAAATCGTTCATAGGTTGACAACTTAAGGTATGTTGATATTTGACTGGTTTTGCATTGTTATCTTTGTTCAGTTTTAATTTAAAAATAGATGCAGTTTTTCTTAAATTACTTAAAATCGGTTTGTTCACAATTGATCAAATTTGGCCATGTGTATTCAGCATACATACATACACATACATAATTTACAAATTCGCTCTAAAATTAACAAAGCAGGCAATATCTGGACAGTTCAAAATTTGCATGAGATTTATTATTTCCAACGCCGATGCACTACCCGGGTATGTATGTAAAAAATATAATAACCCACTTTACTTTAAACTGGAAATTACAATTTTTTTTGTAAAACCATGCCGTTTTTTTTAATTATTTCTAAATGCGTTACCTATTGAAGGTATCCCACTCTGTTGTTGCCTGTGAGTCTGGGAATTGGGAAATATTTCTTTATCGCTCAAATTCTCGTCTGGTTCAATAATCTACACGAAACCAAATCGTCAAGTTAGATTTGTATTTTTTTCCCATATAAAACAGACTAACCTGTTGCCCCTGTTGGCCTTGCTGTTGCTGGTTTCTGGCCATTTGTTGTCTGAGGTGAGGCGGCATCACCGCGCTGTGCGGCTGCTGACGTTTGGCAACACCGCCTCGCAGCACGCTCATCGGTATGGGCGTGGGAACGCTGTCAGCCGATTGGCTGTCACGCGCTTTAGTCCTGACAGTCACGTGACGAGGATTGAGACCGAGAAGCTTAGATATATCTATCAAAGCATGATCACCTAGAAATAGATATAAGTATATAATATGTATCGTTTTATTATACCGTACGATCGAAAAAAAACGGCGTCAAAGACGGCTGAGGAATGACAATCGATGATAATTTTGGCAAGGTCAAGCCCTAAACGTCATTTACTTGACCTGTAGTTCTTTTAATGGCGCTTACTGCCAGTTGGTCTTAAGAAGGTTTTAATTTATTTTTATATTGATTAAAAATGATTTTTAAATGGTGTGGTTTAAAATTGGAGAAAAAAGATTTTTTTGGTAATAGATTTGTGTGTCTGGAAACGTTCTATCCTTTTTTAATCACTCTATAATTAGCTCTCTTTGACGCCGTTTTTTTTCGATATATAGCACGATTTTTTACCTGTAGGGCTGTCGACATCAGTCACTTTTTTACCATCGGCATATACAGCGTAGCCAGTGACATTTGAGCCTGGATGATGTGGCACATTAATAGGATGCCACGTGACCAATAATGTTCCATCTTGAGGCCCTAAAACAGCACATTAGAGAATTTAGAATTAGAATAAGTGGGAGGGGGGTTAATCTCTGCGACCTTAGAGATCTATTGTGTCCCCCTTTCTTGAGTTATAACTCATCATACAGTCCCAGGACTTCCTACGGAGACCCGTGTCCCTCACAGTCGAGGAGCTACGACCCAGGCCGGGTAGACGAAACGGTAGCTTGTGTGCCACTTGCGGAGGATGGTCTCACGCAAGTGTCAGCCACCTCTCCTGTAGTTCTCTTTGGGTTTGGCCCCTTGGAACTTTCATTGTTACTGTTCCCAGTGTCGCTAGGGGGTTTCCCCACAGCTTCAACGGTGATGTTTTTATTACTATTATTATCAGATCTCATAGTGTTCTTATGAGTCGCTAGGGACAGTCGGTCCACTTCTACAGAGCCCCGCATGTAGAAGTAAGGGGTAAAACAGCACATTACAAACATAAGCAAATTCAGTAATTTTCATTTTTTAAATTCCCATAAGAATATTTATTATGCAATATCTCAGTTTTTTTTTAATGCAACACTGTGTTTATTATTTTTCTTTTCAATGCAGAATTAATAAATGGACATTTTTTTGTATTTAAAGTGTTCCTAAATATTAAACGGTTTCGTTGATATAGGACATCGCTGATATTGTCAAGCGTCCTTAAAAACAAGCCACTCAGCAACCATCAATTCGGTAACCATCAAAAATTTGGTCAAAGAATGCCTAGAAAAGATGAACAAACTAGGCAAAGAAAATAAAGTCCTCCTACTTCTGTGTGCAAGTCCACCACTGTGTGCAAGAACACTCCCACTAACTGGACCAGAACCGTTCTGCTTCATAAGTCGAAACCAACTTAAAGCAGAACTCAAGAACCAAGAAGACCACATCAGGCCATGAGTAATCTAGAATACGAATCCTCCAACGGTCTAAGACACTCGAAGAAATTTCTCAGGGCTTACGACGGAAAAAAATCAAAGATTTTCCTTGATTTAAATAAGAACAATCTTGGGATTGTCAGGGCCGGCGCCCGGGGCGCCGAATACGAGGGACGCCACGCCAGCAACTGCATTATTAAAAAAAAATTGTTCGTGGTATTTTACTTATAACTGAAAAGCTATCAACTTTTTGTAAATAACCCTTCTTTCTGTAATTCTTGTTTTTATAAATTTTCGCTAAACAAACTGTTTTGGGTCAAGAGCCAGCAAAATTGACAGTTTTAGACTGATCGCTCAATATTACACTTTGTCTACTACACACACCCTTTATTTTGTTATTAATGGCTGATCTGCCCTAAAATTATATGAGACAAATATTCATTCGCAAGAAGCTAAATAGGATCCCGATATCCTTATTATCAAAAAAAGCTTATAAGTTTGCCTCATTAATTCATTAACAGTAGTGGGAAAAATATTTTGATGATTTTGATTGTTCTGGATTGAATATTTAGTAATACGCGGTAAATGGTAACAGAATCGTAGAAATTTCTCATTACCATTACAGCAAGACAAAGGAATGCATCTCAAACACTAGCTGATCATCATTTTGAAGCGAACAACACTGTATCTGATCATATACTGATGCAATAATAATGCAATAATATGAAAAATGCAATTGCTTGCAAAAAAAAAAGATCACTTATATTTATAATTTATATACCGGGTGCGTCTCAAAACTGGCTCACTCCTATAACTTGTTTTTTTTTAGATGAAAAAAAAACGAGATTTAGTATGTTAGTATATGACATAAATTAGGATTAATTGGCGTATTCAATTGTATTTGGTCACTTCCTGTTTCACCGGAAATTATTAAAACTCTTGATTTTTAAATGGCAACCTCGGTATATTTCTACTTTATGCGATAGAAAATGACACTCTGAATAAAATGACATATCATATATCAACTTTTGACATTTTCGCATATGGTTTATTTGAAATTGTAACATACGGTTCATAACGACAATTTGACTCGAACTATCCAGTGTGTGGTCAAAATTATTCGTAAAAAGTGCTTTTTCCAAATATGCAAATGAGCCATTTGTTCCATTTGAAAAAATTGACATATGGCTAAAAATACGATTTGGGCATTTTTTAACCGGCCAGGACACAAAAAACATTAGATGATCAAATCTATTTTCCAAGGCTCCTTGTTTGAAAATTAGTGTTTTTAACACAGCCACACTCTAGATTGAAATTTAAAACACGATTTTTTTTTGTGGTTTGGTTTGGTCAAAAATGTCAAAAGTTGACATGTAATATGTCATTCTACTCAGAGTGTCATTTTCTATCGAATAAACTAGAAATATACCGACGGTGCCATTTAAAAATCAATAATTTTTCGTTGAAACAGGAAGTGACCAAAAACAATTGAATAAGTCAATCAATCCTAATTTATGTCATATACTAACATACCAAATTTCGTTTAGGTTAGGTTAGGTTAGGTTGTATCTAAAAAAATTAAAAAGTTATAGGGGTGAGTCACTTTCAAGATGCACCCGGTATAGAAAAAACAACAACCGCGGACTAAGATTGAACGAAGAGAAGAATTTTGAAGTACCTTTAAATGAAACTTTATTGTTAGAGTAGCATAAATATGCTTATGTAGCATATTTGCTTAGTAGCATAAAGTAGCATAAATATGCTCAATATTTTCCTTCCGCCGGCCCTGGGGATTGTCACGGGGTTTTTAACAGGACAATATCTCTCAATGAACACCTCAGTAGATTGAAGCTAAGAAACAACGACGAATGGAGATTCTGTAGGGAAAATGAGGAAACACCAGTACACCTCATCACTGAGTGCGCCGAAACGATAACCATTCATGCTCTAAATTTTGGTACTACGAATATCGGAGATGGAGAACTGGCCTCTATAAAACTGTCTCAGATACTGGCTTTTGTTAAAGCCCTGAGATTGTATGATGAGTTATAACTCAAGAAAGCGGGACACAATGAATCTATAAAGTTGCGGTGATTAACTTTATTTATTTTCCATACAAAATCTACATTTAGCACACTATAAAGAATAATTACTAAAGTTAATGATTTATAAATTTACCTGGCTCAACTAATATGTCACTGGGAGGATCAGGCAGTCCTTTAGGGAGTGTCCTAAAATCCGTATGTGCTGCGGCAGGCATCGGAAGCTCCTCTGCTAAATTTGCCACGTTTTGAGCAGATCGGTGATGCTTGGCCCTCACAGTTACCCGATATTGAGTATTAGGAGCCAAACCTATAAAGTACCAGTTAAATATACACTTAAACAAAAAATAACTTTAAAATACATGAAGGTTTTAAAATGTCTGTTTTTCGTGTTTGTCAGTGAATACAGTATGTCCCCGAATCAAATAATAAAACACGGGCATACTGTATATAATGAGCAGTGATGCCAACTTGTTGAAAATTTCCCAATTCGTGGGAAATTTTGAGATCCAGAGAGAAAAGGGAATTTTTAACCAAAACAAAAATTTTAAATTCATTTGTTATTCATAAAAACAGTAATCGTATACGCTTTTCTCAGCAAAGTGAGTAAATTCAAACTAGCATTACTGCAACTAAATACACATTTTTACGGTTGGTATCAGATTATTTTGACATCAGATCTTTTCTGGATTTTCTTTTTTGTAAATTTAATCTAATATCTATGTTGTGATATTATCAAGAAATTATGTTTTTCTAACTAAAAACTAAAAAACTTTCCAAAAATATTTCAAATTAAAAAAAAAATCGCGAAAAAAGCTCATTATCGTTTTTCTGGGGTCGAAATAACCCCTAAAAATATTTGCACTTATTTAAGACTAACCCTGAATACCTAAATGAGAAAAATAAAATACAATAGATATACAGGGTGAGTCTTAAATAAGTTCAAATATTTTCAGGGCTGGTAGATCTCGATAAAAGAAACATATTTTCCCTTTGTCATTTTTCAAATAAGTCCAAAGAGTTATTCAAGTTTTAATGTTTTTAAAAAATTTTGGGAGTCACCGGTTTTTTTTCTGTATACGCATCCCTTTTAGTTCCTCAACCATGGTAATATTTGAGATTAAGAAATTATACTGTGGGATAATTTGCGGTGAATAGGCAGTTCTAAAAAGTTTTCCATAATATACAGGAAAAACAAAAAAGAGAAAACCCTAATAGACGTATTCCTGTGATCGAAATATACCAGTATAGTATTCGTACAAAAAAAACAATTACGGGTAATAAAGCAAATACTGGCAACATTGCACCGAAAATCTATTATAAAAATAGTAAAAAAATACCTGTGATGGTGTGTCTGTATACACCAGGCTTGACTGTGCGTACTTCCACATTGTTCACGCACACTACGTGCTGGTGATTGGAATTAGCAGGCAACCAGCTGATCACCGCCGAAGTTGAGGTTATGTTGGAGGCGCGCACGGCGCTGGGCCCTAATTGGTGGGTGTCCCGACCAATGATCATTGTGCAAGCGGCGTCACGTGACGTACGACGATTGGCAGTAACCGAACGGACACTGATACGGTGAGGCTGTATAATAAAATGCATCTCGTATATTTCAAGATTATTCATAATGGATATACCGTATGATCGAAAAAAACGGCGTCCAGTTGCCATATAAATTTACATATAAAATGACAGCGATCATCATTTCATAGCCATCGCTGACGCTGTTCTTTTTTCGATCATTCGGTAATATAATATATGGTCTTGGTCACTTTATTTCTGTGCTCTGTATTTTAATGCATACGAAAGAGATAAATATAGAGGGTGTTTCAAAAAAACATGTCATATCTCATAAGACATAATATCGTTGATTGAAAGAATTGGGAAGATACGCAGCCTAATGGGCGAATTCGTGACAAGGCTGATTTGATTTCCCCTTACGTCTCAAGTGCTGTACGGTGGAGACACCAATCGTTTTGCGGTCAACGCATAAAATACTTATTTTCTCTAATTCGGCCAGCAGCGAAGGCATATCGAAGACGGTGTGGATCTGAAAGCGACAGCGTTGCCATATTAAAATGTGTAATATCTGTAATACGTTTAACGAAAATATCTTTGGATAAACAATCCGTGTTTATGCATTGAAAATTTATTGGTGTCAAACATAGAATAAACAACAAAAATAAAAATTCTTTTATAGGTACTATGATCAAAAAAAGTCATTTAATTGGCTTGGAAATGACGATTATTGATATTTACCATAATATTTTACATATGAAATAACAGCGATCTTCATTTCTAAGCCAACTCTGATGCCTTCCTTTGTTTAATCGTAATAATATTATATTAAATTGTTTAATGATAGAAAATCCGTATTATTAACGTACTGTACCCAAAATCCGTAAATCTGCGTATTAATCCGTAGTTCTGGCAACACTGTCTCCGGCAATCACTCACTCTGTCGACCGAAAGCAGAACTACGGTACTGTGTTCTTTATCCGCTGCGTTGTAAACGACTATCAACGCGCGGCGGCGCAGAGCTAAACTAAATCTCGCAACTCTAGGACAGATCTCGCACAGGTTTAGTGCCACGAAATCGCCCATAAGGTTGCGCATCTTCTTATTTCTTCAATCAACGATAATATGAAAAAATATTTTTTTAATTATTGTTACCCAGTCCCGAAAGTACCGAAAGAACCGGGAATTAATAATTTCGAGCCCCAGTTTTATGATCTCTCAAAATATATAACTTGATAGCTCACCCTATTGCTATCCACGCCCTCCACCAGAGCCCTAGTCCTCTCAGTCGCCTTGATGGTGGCTTTCAGCACCCCGTCGACGTACACGTGGTAACTCTCGATCTGGTTCCCCGGCCCCACATTCTCGGGAGCTGTCCAGCTGATCAGCACGCTCTTGTTCAGCTGCCGCTCGAGGGTGAGCTGCCTGGGAGCCGGCACTAGGACCGAAAATAGTAGGTCAGCTGCTGCTACGAAGGGGCCAAACTCTAAGGTCAGTCTAAGTAAGCCTAGGAAGCTATGGGTGTGTCCTAGTTTGGTACCTTAAGGCGTTTGCAGTGAGAGGGGGGGGATATCGTGTGCAAGGTCAAAGAAAACTAAGTATGTGGTCTAACTTTTATAAATATAAAGTTAATATCAAAATAGCTACGACGCGACGGTTGTCTTTTATACACTCAGATGCAAAAAAACGCAACGGAAAATTTTTTCGCCAAGTTTAAAGTGTTATATTTTTTTTTACTTTTATCCTTATTTTCATGAATTTTTTAGCAAACCATATATAAACCTATTAACTTTAATTCATAAACTCAGTTTTTTACGAACTTTAGTATTTGGCTTATTATACAAGGTTAATCGAATGGTTGTTTTTATCCTAATTTTAAAACACCCTGTGCTATAATTTTGTGAACAAATATTTCTAAATCATTATTTTTCGGTTAAAACCATGTCTCCTGAGCATTTTGTTTTTTACCACCACTAAGAACCATATTCAATCGTACACAACAATAATCACCATAAATAAAATATTGCAAATAATTGAAAATATTGCAAAATTTTTGTGGCTATATTGCATATAAAGGTAGAAAAAAAAACAGTAAATAATTTAACACTATTTCTCCATGAAGATAAATGTATTTTTGCATTCGTTGAAACCAATTCCGAAAGCAGTTATTCCACTAGCTTGTTGCACCTTCAAAATTGCGATTTTGAAGGTGCCTGGGGACTGGAACCTTTGACCAGGCCGTTTATTCTTAATTTTTGGAAACAGTAAAAAAGTAGTTAGGACTTAGGTCTGGACTGTATGGAGGATAGTCCAACAATTCGATGTTTTCTTGATTCAATTGTGTTTTTTTCGAGCTGTGTGGAAACTTGTATTGTCTTGGTGCAGGATCATTCGTCGTTGAGGGTCGGTTTTTCGAAACTCAACAATTACTTCCGGCAAATGAATAGATATATTATACAAATCAGCAGTAACAGTTTTTTAATCTTACAGAGGAATTGTTGTTGCTGCATGACCCGCTTTTGAGCCAAATGTCCTCACCATGTTTTTGGAAACACTTCAACAACGGATAACTTTCGTCGGTTTTGGTTCATCTTGGAACATCCAACATCTTGAAACAGGTTCTTAAGGGTAAATCCAGCATTCATCACCATTGAAAATACTGTATATATTTTTATGTTTCTTCAAACCGGTGCGCGGTGTGAGATTTTTGACATCAATAGACTCTAATTGCTTTCTGTTCTTTTCTCAACAGATGTGGTATCCAAAGAAAAACTAATTTTACAGATATTTCTTCATATAAAAATTGTTGAATTGGGATCTTTCAAATATCCACTGATGCTTCTTGGATCAGCTTAAGTATAGCATTGACGTGTTCCTAGGTAACTGCCATTGTTGGTGGACCTGTTCTTGTTTAAATTCTTCATACCAACAAGAAATTGTCGACTAATGTGGCACTTCATTGCCGAAAATAGAAACCATCTGGTCAAGGCACACTTGTTGAGACAATTGCCTTCGAAAATTGTAAAAAATTATTGCGCGAAAATTTTCTCGGTTTAATTCCATTTTTTTGCGTTAAGTTAACTAAAGATGACAGTTAATTTTGACCTCTAATATACGTTGACAGGCGCCTACTATGTTTGTATATAGCTAAATATAAAAGACAACCGTCATAAATAAAAAAAATATTATAAAACGTGTTAAATTGCAAAAATCTATACTAAAAGTACTAGTATTTTAATAAAACTATAATAGCAAATAGGTTATTCGAAGATGCATGTACAAAATACTAAAAAAATAATTAGTATTTACATTAATTGTATGTATGACTTTAATAAAAAAATTGGTAATCAAAATTCATGTATTTTTGTTTTTATACTATATTATTTATATATTTATTACAAAAGTTAAAAACTTTTTAATAAAATAAATGTTTTGTTTAAATAAATTAAATATGTATTGTATGTGCATCAAGAATATTATATTGTAATTTTAAAGTGTTAATAACTATGGCAAATGTGCAAACTAAAATAACAAAGCTTGAATGACCTAGTATATTTATAAAATTGATTTTATTTCTAGAGCTGACTAAAAATTACATTACAAGCTTAATACAGGTTAAATATCATTAATAATAATTAAATAATTTAAAATATCAAACGCTTTAAAGACCAAACAGGACAAATTAACACAAATACTAAAGCCTGATAAATATTTAAAATTTAAACTAAGTTTATAGTCGTATACCTAAAAAGCTATCATTCAATTATTACTTAGCTTAAATTCATATAAATCAAAGAGATCTAAACTAATATAAAAATATACTTCACCGGCACGTAAAACGGGCACCTTAAAATTTTGATGTATTTTAAAGTTTTGTATATTTTGTTCTAATGAACCGATTTTGAAGATTTTTTAAGCAATATGTAGCTAAATTATTTGACTTTTTAGGATCTCTGTCTAAATTAAAAATAAAAGTTTTCATCTGTCAATTGTACGAGGAAAAACAAAATGTTGATATTTTGGTGAAAGTTTAAAACACCCTGTGAAATATATTAAGACAGCACGGACTTAACAATTTCATTCAATCATCTAGGTATATCCTTTCTCGATATTTTGTTTTTTGGTTCATCTCAATAGCTTTATTTTTGTTGCAGATATTCGCTTTTGAAGAGAACACAAAGAACTAAAGCATGATTTTAATGTAAATATGACGAAATAGTATATTATTGAACGAGCAATTTATGCTAGCCATTATAGGTGACGTTTACGTCACGAGCCGTAGGCGAGGGGCGCAAGTCACCCGAGTGAATAATGGGTATAAATTGCGAGTTGAATACTATACTTTGTTCACGGCCATTATAGTAATTATGAGTAGTGTTTGAATTTGTATTTTTAATGTTAATCTTACTATTAATTATTGTATTCATGTTTTAGGGGAAAATGTCACTACCTACTTAAAATTTGGCAATTTCAAACGTCAAAATTAACTAAAAGATAATAAAAACGTCAATATCATCAGTTGCTATGCATCGAGAGTCGCAGTCATCTCGAACTATTCTATTTTAAAATATTTGGAAAGTTTATTATTAGATGTGTTTTACGACATACCTGTAACAGTTAACCTAATAGGACTGCTCATTCAGCCAAAAGTGTCCGCCAGGTGCATGCGAAAACTACTCGCTTTGTGATGTTCCTGTGTCCGTTTTCTGTCCTTGAAGTTTGCGAATGCGTGTGTTTATTTACAAATTACTGTAAGTCATGCTTATACCTTAACTAATTTACGTTAAAAGTGCATATAATTAACTAATTGGTATTGAAACAATACAATCCTCTATATTTTTATATTTATTTAGTCACGTTGTTCCATATTTCAAATAAATATACAGGGTCCGGCAATAGTGCGTCGGGCATCTGTAGCTCCTAGAATAAAAAACTTGAGAATTTTGTTTAAGTGCAGACCTAAAGTATGTACCAGGATGTATTTCGGGAAAATATTTTAACTTCTATAGGGTGGCTCAAAAAAGTGTGAGTGGACCTGGATGATTTTTTTTTAAATGGAACACCCTGTATATTATTGCATTTTTGGCTTCCTTTCAGATCACTTTACATAACCCTAAGATATGAATAAATATATTTCGATAGTTTCAGAGATATTAAAAAATAAATCAAAAATATATTTTTCAGCCCTTCTTAAAAAAATTATTAAAAATACAAAACTGTCCTGAAATCAAAACTATATTAGGTATTTACATTAGATGGTCTGTTCTCACTTTGCTATAAATATGATAATCGTAAATCATACAGGATGTTCAATATTCTACGCCAAACTTTCTAAAATATAAAATATTTTTTTTCTTTGTTTTTAAATGGAACACCCTGTATATATATTTTTATTAGATGGAGATTAAAAAATTAACATTTTTTGTATTTAGAGTATTTCAAAATTCTTAACGATTTCGCAAATACACGCAGTTATTATTTCATATGGTGCTTTCAATGGTAAAATATGAGAGAAAAAATCATTGGTTGGCTTTGATAAAAATTTACTGTGGAAAATGCCATATGAAATATAAAAACCGCAAATATCTGCGAAACCTTTGAAATTTTGAAATACTCTAAATACAAAAAATGTTCATTTTTAATTTTCCTCTATTGAAAAAATAATATACAGGGTGTTCCATTTAAAAACGAAGAAAAATTATTTTATATTTTAGTAAGTTTGCGTAGAATTTTGAACATCCTGTATAATTTAAGATTTTCATATTTATAGCAAAGTAAGAACAGACCATCTAATGTAAATACCTAATGTAGTTTTGATTTCAGAAAAGTTCTTGTATTTTTAATTTTTTTTTAAGAAGGGCTGAAAAATATATATTTTTGATTTATTTTTTAATATCTCTGAAACTATCGAAATATATTTATTCATATCATTTTAGGGTTATGTAAAGTGATCTGAAAGGAAGCCAAAAATGCAATAATATACAGGGTGTTCCATTTAAAAAAAATCATCCAGGTCCACTCACACTTTTTTGAGCCACCCTATAGAAGTTAAAATATTTTCCTGAAATACATCCTGGTACATACTTTAGGTTTGCACTTAAACAAAATTCTCAAGTTTTTTATTCTAGGAGCTACAGATGCCCGACGCACTATTGCCGGACCCTGTATGTGAATAAATTATTTTTTGGTTTTATTTATGAAAAGAAAAAATACAAAATACATTTGAACTGAAAGAGGGCCCGCCATTGAATAACCGGAAACGGAAATGAAAATTAAGCCATCATGTCCTTATCATGTCAACCTGTCAATTGGAAAGTTAGTTCTCCAGACGACAACGAAGGCTTTCGGTGGCGTATCGTGTTTCCACGATTTAACACAGAGTTGACACTTCTCTCTAGTTAATTATTTTATGATCCTCCAGTCTAGAAAGTTTTTATAGACAGACATGTAATGATCCTTGGACTTTTGTGGTATAAAAAAATAGCAATCCAAGACTTCCAATTTGGCCGCCTCTGCTATCTCTGGTGGTGTACAGGGCTCATTATCACTCTCATAATTCATTTTTTGATTTTAAACGAGTTCTTGATATGCCACTTAATAATCATTACCTACGTAACATTTGACAATTTTAAACGTCAAAATTAATAAAAAGAAAAGATAAGAAAAACGTCAAATCATCCACGCCGCGCATCGGGGTGTTGTGAGTGTCACGTTGGCATAGCAACAAAATGTAAAGTAAATGCAAAATGTGATTTATAGAAGTGTCTAGCCCTAGCAGTCAACTATTAAGCTTGACCAATCAGGTTGGTTAGCGTGGTTATTTGAAGGGTGTTAATTCATTTGTGTTTTTCAAAAACTCTAACGTGATTGGTCGGGCTTAATAGTTGCCTGCTAGGGCTAGACACAAGTGTGATTTATCATAATTCACTGTTATCAGCTGTTATATTTCACTCTATTACAAATATGGGCACCATATTCCTTCAGCTAGGAAGTAGAATATTGATTTATTATTAAGCGGTCGTGGACAAAAATGTTAGTGCCTTTTTCAAAAGCTTTTGAGATCAACCAAAAAACAAACTATCTGGAAAAAATGCACCTAGTTGATAAAATAATTTTCAAATTCCTTGTTTTTTTAACATATTCCACAGAGTGTTCCAAACTTTCACCAAAATAACAAAATTTTGTGTTTCCTCGTATAATTGACAGATAGAAACTTATAGAAATAGGTTAATCATTTTTAATTTAGAAAGAGATACAAAAAAGTCAAATAATTTAGCAACAAATCTCTTAAAAGATATTAGAACTAGAACACAATATATAAAACTTTAACATGCATCAAAATTTTAAGGTCCGTTTTTCGTGCCAATAAATAAAAGAATAATCTAAAGTTATTCAATCTCTAGTACGTAACTCCAATTTCATTAAAATGGTTTTATTGATAAAGCAACTTTACAAGATCGCTATAATACTAAATATTTTGTTAAAAAACTACCTAAATCATATGACAATGTTTTATATTTTATTTTATGAGAAAATAACAAAAGATCAGTTTATAAAACAGCGTCATATTTTCGTACAAACTTCAGAAATTAGCTAACACTAGCAATATTGTTTTGAGAAAAGCTAAAATCCCTCAAATAAGGAGTACTCACTTTGGTGTACCTGTACTGGTATTCGCAAAAATGACAAATTTAAAAGTTGGTTTACAAATGTATTTCATTGTTATTAAGCTTAAAAGGTACAGGACAATGATTTTCTTTTCCTAATATGTATGATCAACAAGTTTTACAATCTAATGAAATTTAGTAAAAAATTAATTTACAATATTAAATAGCTTTACTTTAGTAGCTAAAAATATGATAAAAACAAAACAAAGAAAAAAAAACTGATAAAGATCATTTTATAGATATAAAAAATTTAAAATTAATCAAAAAAGTATCAAATCATAGGCAATTAGAGGCACATGAGAGCGTCAAAATAAATAAATGTAAAGATAATATGAACAGAGATAATGGTCCAATTCCTTCCACTTCTCTGTTCTTATTTCCTATTGTTCTAGTCTCTGTAATTAATTGTTACACTCGGTTGGTTTGAACTCGCTTGGCTAGATCTGCCACGTTTGGTCAGTACCAAATGAGAGCATCTATAAGCGCTCAATTTGTAGATATTAGTTTAGTTTTAATCATCTGCTGATGTTGCTAACAGAGTTAGCGAAACGCGCTTCCAGTGTTTAAAAGTAAAGTATTTTGGTTTTATTATACATGGTCTTAAATAAGTACAAATATTTTCAGGGCTGTTGGATCTTGATAAAAGAAACATATTTTCTCTTTACCGTTTCTCAAATAAGTCCAAAATAACCGAGTTATTTTAATTTGAAAATCACTGGATCTTTTCTGAGTTTTCTTTCTTGTAAATTTAATCTACTACCTATGTTCCCATATTATCAAGAAATTATGTTTTAAAATATTTTTTTTTAAAATTCCAAATTTTTAGAATTTTTTTTGCGAAAAAAACCTCATAGACGTGTCTCTGGGGTCAAAATTTACTACTCTTAAAAATATTTGCATTTATTCAAGACTCACTCTGTATATTCATAACTAGTCAACATATGATACGCAATTCCTTTAATTTCAAATGCCCAGGGACCATCCTGCGTTATAAGAAGGGGTGAGCCACATTTCAAAAATGCCCTGTGTATAACTTTTTGATCATACGCCAAGAAATTCTATATAATGATTGCTTAATGAAATGAGATCAACGTCGTTGTTAGTAAAAGAGTAAAAAAAAACAAGTGCAATATCAAGCGGTCTCTAAAAAATATGATCATGATAACACATGCGTTAAATGATCCTACCTGTCTCACCTTCGGGTCCTCCCGTGTCGTCCTCGTGTTGTTCGGCCATTTCCGCCAGCTCGTTTAATCGGGCGACATCGGCAGCAAAATTCTCCTGATTTATCTCTTCCTCGCGAAGAGTGGACAGAACTGCCTGATGGAATTCTAGAAGATCATCACCTACAAAAAAGATTTATTTTTAAAGTATATTAAGAGAGTTTATAACGTTATCAATCACCGCGACCTTATAAATCTATTGTATCCCTCTTTCTTGAGTTATAACTCATCATATAGTCTCAGAGATTTGACAAAAGCCAGTATCTGAGACGATTTTGCAGAGGTTAGTTTTCCATCTCCGATACATACATACTGCCATTACTCGCTGACGAGTATTTGACACGCATCAGAAGATGGTCACGCAAGGCGTATTCTTTCATGAGCTTTTCTGTGACTGAAAAGCCCGATACGTGATATTATCTGTCTACCGCTCTCCGGACATTCAAAAATCTCATTGCGTTGTTGTCTCTTTACTTTTTGGTTGTCGCTGGTAACTGAGTTTACAATTCTTCTCCATTTTGTTCTATTGTGAGCTTCTTCCCACTCATTCTGCATGTTAATCCCCTTTAAGTTTTCGTGAAAAATGTCCTTGTACCTTTTGAGTTGTCCACCCGGCCTCCTCTTACCGTCTACAAGCTCACCGTAAAGCAGCCCATATAACACACAATATCCGCAGGATATTCATAGAATGTCGGAATGTCCCCATTATAAGATCATCTTATAAAGACATCTATAGGATATCCTCCAGACATCCTGAAATCCTGTAGATGTCTCAGAATAGAATATCCTATGGATATATCTGTCGTATATCTAATGTACATCCAGCTGAGATATCCAAACATGCTCATGATAATAAAATATCGTAACAATATCGTCTAGATATTTAGGAAAAATAAATAATGTACTACTTTTTATATTACATAAAATGCAATAAACCATACAGATATATATATATATATATATATATATATATATATATATATATATATATATATATATATATATATATTACGTCAAGGCAACACAATATCCTGTTGGTATCTTCTAAATAATCTGGATATTTATGAGCTTGGCCACTCCCAGTAATATAGAGAATTTAAAAACGCCCGCGCAAAAAAAAATTTCCCACAATCCATCTCTCGACAGTTGTTTGTTTTTGCATCGTGTATTATTCGGTTCTTTGATTTATATATATATATATATATATATATATATATATATAATACGTCAAGGCAACACAATATCCTGTTGGTATCTTCTAAATAATCTGGATATTTATGAGCTTGGCCACTCCCAGTAATATAGAGAATTTAAAACGCCCGCGCAAAAAATTTCCCACAATCCATCTCGACAGTTGTTTGTTTTTGCATCGTGTATTATTCGGTTCTTTGATTTAGTGAAATTCGAGGTGAATTCGGTCGTTTGTCGATATTGGTTGGGCTTAAAAATGACTGAAACTAACAAAACTGGTTGAGTTTGACTTAGTTTTTTCTTATACTCATAGTTCTAGCCTTGTTCTAGCATAAATTCTATCCTAACCTCAACTAATGTCGAAAAACGACTTAGGGTCTCACAATGAAAAATTTGTGACAAAATTATAGGTGAAAATTTGTTGAAAGCGCTTGTTCTTTATCCCTAAACCCATTTTCGTGTTTGATCTATTAAAACAGAAATCTTATTTTTGTGTTTAAATTTTGAGTTTCTGGAATGTGTGGTGTTAGAAATTATACCTGTGTCCTGTGTGCTAACCATAAAATAATAAATACAAGAAGAAGTGTCAAGTCAATGTTAAATTATGGAAACAGCGTGGCTGCCTGGGTAACTAATTTTCAGATATGGCGGCTGGGACATTTGACATGACAATTTCAATTTTATGAAATTTATTTCCGTTTCCGGTTTTTAATGGCGGGCTGTTCAGGAGGTTTAAATGAGGGTTAATATACTTTTTACTTTTTCTAGTAGTAAATAATACAACAAAATTACTCAAAAATATTTATTTGGAATTTAGAACAATGTAAATATGCAAATCAACACAATTAAAGAGCTATAAACCCATAAACTACTGTATCAATATCAAAATATTTAAATAACATCAGAGATGCTGTGTTAAAGTGAAATAGTAAAGTAACAATGCACTGACTTACAGAAACTTGAAGATAAATAAATGTTTTCACAGCTTCACGGGCGTAAAACTAACTGGAAGCAAGAAAAAGACAACAGGAACCCACGCAAAACCTGGAATCAAAAAAAAAATATGTAAAAAAAACATAAATATAGGTACATAAGACTGTTGTGAATTAAATCAAACAGGACTTGAATGAAAATAAAATGAATAAAAAATATGATACACATATGATATACATGATATGATATACATCTAATACCTCATTTGTATTTTAAAAATAATCTACATACATAGCATTATTGCTATGAAAATACATAATAGGTACCTATGTGATATGTAATTACGCATTTCTGTTCATCTTGTAGATAATTAATGTAGGCTAATAATAGGTAGTTCAATAATCATAATTTACCTTGTGTAACTTGCTTTCAATTGCTCAAAATCACCGATCAGTCTTTAAAGTAGAGATACGGAAAAATCCTTGGTAAAGAATATCCCAAGATCTTTGGATCTAAAGCTAAAAAAATATAAAAACAGTTAATATATTACCTATTTTTACATATAATATGGCCCATACCTACTACACGCAGAAACGTCGATTTCATCATTTTATTCATGTAATTAATACCATATATACTTTATTAAGGTGTTAACAAGGAACTTTGTATCAAAAAACATCTTTGTACTTATAAATTTCAGCCGAAATATCATAAACAAACTTCCAATCAAATCTAAAACGGCAAAAATTAAAATGGCGCCCGACCTTGCCAGAGGCCTCGGGAGTTGACACACTATGGCTGACACAAATCATATAGAAATATTCAGATTTTTGTCTAGGACAGTCTAGAAGGCCATGCTTTCTGCCTGGGTAAGACCGCGCCAGAACTGTTTCCAATTTTCCGGTTTACTGTCACCCCCCTGGTGCTAACTTTGATGTAAACTGTTGGTGCTAGACCATGGTACAAAGAATACAAGGTATGATCGATAGCGGCTCCAATTTCGTTCAGTTCGCGCATACCACCTGTGACGTCACTAGGAAAATAATGAATAAATAAAAAATAAAGAAAGTTGACAGGAGATCTGCATTTTTTGGGGTTATGGTTAAGAATTGTTTATTTTTAAGACTTTTTAGTTCGTTTAATTTAATAATTACTAAAACCAGCAGTTCCAAAAATATATTTAAAAATAATAATTATCTATTAACATGGATTTGGACGATAGGTAAGAATACTGAATTTATTTCTATATTCGGTATAAAATTGTTTATTAGGTTTTTAGTTTGCGATGTTTATGGTAAATAATTTTCATTTTCATTGCCTCTGAATTCACATGAGGACAGAGTTGAGGATATCTATGGAAAAGTAACCACAAGAGGAATTGTTACATCATTTAAAAAATATTGGGAAGTTTATTGTTTCCCATCGAAAATAGAAAATGCCAATGCAGATGAATGTATTGTAATTGTGATAGAAGTAATTCCAAGGGTGAAGTTTATTATAATTAGTGGAAGTAATTCCAAGGGTGAAGTTTATTATAATTAGTGACCTGTGCTTTTCTTTTTATATGTAGATGTTTCTGGTTTTGAGAATAAATCCGTTGAACGACACCCAAAATTTAGAGGAAGTATTTGCATACCCAGAATATGCCCATCAAAGATTATATAGCTCAAATTTCCTTTAATGGTAGGCAATTATTCAATGCAAATTAACTTTTTAAGTGACTGAAATATTAAATAGTTTACAATATGGTATATCATTAAAAATATATTACTTTTAGGTACAATTAGGGCCTGATACATTTCAAAAAGTAGAATATTATTTTATATTAAATGAGGTATTGTACCAACAGTCAATTTATATTAATACCGGAGATGAAAAAATAACAGAATAAATAGTTCTTTTTTTATACTACAAAAATAAACTATAGAATACAACAGTATTTAAAAAAATAAATAAAAAGTTATGTCCCGGCCGAGATTCGAACTCCGGTCTCTCGCTTCCTAGCCCGACTCCTTACGCACTGCTCCACAGTAACTTGCTTAGCGATAATTCAATGACGGTATATAAACAAAAAAACAGGTTTATAACAATATCTTGACGATTTGAACTGGCGCGCGGAGCGTGCTGACCAATAGCGCCTGTTATCACCTGTGACGTAGCGACCAACCTGCGCAATATCATACCTTGTATTCTTTGTACCATGGTGCTAGACATAAACTGCTAGACTCCATAAAGGGTAATATAATCTGGTATAATACCATGGGCGATTGAAAAAAACGGCGTCAGAGGTGGCTTGGAAATGAAGATTGCTGTTATTTTGTATGTAAAATTATATGGGGAATGTCATCGATCGTAATTTTCAAGCCAATTGAACGCCGTTTTTTTTCGATATATTTTAGAGCTGTTAATAAAAATATCCAATGAATAACGTCAAAATGTGGCCAAATAAAATTAAATCGCGAACGTTTTTACTATAAACTAAGGATGAAGTAAGTATTGTCAAATAACAGTCCTCATATAATGTCCTAAAAATATTCTATAATGCTCCCAACATCATCCTTGTATTATCCTAGAAATATCCCAAATAATCGTAAAAGGCTTGCCTAGGGATGTCTTGAAGATGACTTTTTTTGTCCCATCTGGATATCCCATAAATATCCTCCTCTGGTTTTTGGATATCCCTAAGATATTTACCTACTATATCCTTGGTGGATATCCTCAAGATATCTATAGGATTGTGTTGTGTTATATGGGAGAGATTTTGGTATGCGGTTTTCTTGCATTCTGCATACGTGACCAGCCCATCTTAAGCGGGACTTTGTAATCATGGCTTCAATGCTCTCGCAGTTGGCTCTTCTTCAAGGACCGATACGTTTGAGACATGATAGAACCATTTGATTCTTAATAATTGTCTAAGGTGTCTCTGTTGCAAAATGTTTAATGCTTTCATGTGCCGGCGGTACGGCACCCAGTTTCGCTTCCATATAACATGGTGGGGATTATTATTGCTCGGTACACTGTAAGTTTCGTTTTTGTGCTCAAGTCATGATTATAGAAAACCCCGTCTTTTAATTTCCAGAATGCTCTTGAGGCTTAGACATAGTTTAAGGAAAAGAGTAGTTGCACTCTCGCAAATATTTTCTGCCAGTTTTTGCAAGCTGTCAAATATCGGCAGGTTGCAAAAGCATTTCAGTTGAATTCCGTCCGTCGAGCTGCGAGGTTCAAACGTTGCGTTCCAGCACAGAGACGGATTGATAAAAAATGAGTGCATTACGTGTGCTGCTATTAATTGTAGTAATAATTCAAAAAATTGTTCTTTGAGTTTTTTTAGATTTCCATCGGATATAAATCGGCAAGCTGATAGTAATTATCAATTAACATTTAATTATATTTGGTTATTTTAGAAGCTGAGATATTATGTAATTAACTAAATGTTATTATTTTTTTTAGCAGGTGGGCAGATTTTAAAAATAGTTTTTTACATATACAGGTTGTCTCAAATATGCGCATGAAAATATTTTTTGGTCAGGGGATTTGCCATAAAATTTTCATTCCAATAATAGTTTACGAGATAATTTATATAGATTTATTTTTGAAACAATTTTAGAGTAAATATTTTGTACATCTAAAGTCTCCGCAAATTATTCATATTTTTTAATTGAAAGAATTTTATAATAGCATAATCTCTTATAAATTTAGTGGACTGTATTTTTTGTTTTTTTATTTATTTTTTATTATAAGTGGTCGTAATATAACAATATTCAAAATATTATAGACAAAATATTGAGTTTATGTTTGAGGGAAGAAAAGTGCCACACCTAGCTTTAAACCACCTTAAATATACAGGGTGGCCCATTAGTGCGAGGAAGTCCAATATCGTCGTCGTTGTCGAAGATGTGAAAAAAGTTTTATTCATATGTTTATAAAGGGGCGTATCCTAAAATATTTTGTTATATACAGGGTGTCACAAAAAAGTTATGGTAAAGTTAGTTTTATTTTTTTTAATTATTTTACATCATTCTATATAAATTATTCTATTTCGCACTCATTTTACCGTTGAAAGAGGATTATTTCACCGGATAGCATAGTTGCTGTGTTGGAGCCTCATTTATTACGCACTCATTTCTGGGACACCCTGTATAGGGTATTTTTTATGGCGTCATCAAAATCGGAATACTTAAAATGGTATATCTCAATTTTTTTAAATGCCACATTCTGTATATTATTTTTCTGTCAGATGCAGAATTAAAAAGTGAACATTTTTTTATTTAAAGGGTTCCTAAATTTTTAACGGTTTCGCAGATATTCGCAGTATTATATTACATATGGCTCTTTAAACAGTAAATTTTTATCAAAGCCACCTAATATGATCTTTGTCTGATATTTTATCGTTGGAAATCCCATATATAATGAAATACAGAAAATATTTGCAAAACGGCTAAAAATTTAAGAACACTTCAAATACAAAAAATGTTTACCTTTTAATTCTACATCTGAAAGAAAAATAATATACAAGGTGTTGCATTTAAAAAAAATGAGATACAATATTTTAAATATTACGATTTTGGTGACGCCTTAAAAAATATCCTGTATACGATAAAGAAAATTTTTCTACACGAATTTATTCTGGTATCCTTCGTGTTTAAGAAAACATAGCTAAGTATTAATAAAGTTATATTCACTCTAGTTTTTTACCACCTTTCGTATATAATGTTTTTAACCAAAGTTTTAGTAAATAAGAAATAGAATGGCCACACCGCTGTGACACCGCAGTGTGCTTTAAATAAAGACGGTGTACTATATGCAGAATTTTATGCCGAATCCAGTTATGTACAGAAAATTAAACATGTTTTAAATCAAAAAAAAGTTGTAGAAAATCTCTGAAATAGATAATAATATAAAAATATGTCATTATATATTTTTTCCGCATTTCTTCCAATCAGAAGATTTTCAAACACAAAAGAATTTTTACCTACGCGAAATATGAAAAGATTCTGTTTTCAAGCAAGTTTTTTTTATGAACTCATATTTTCCTAAATACATATCTGTGAAACTATGGCGAGTGCCACGACTATACTTTGCCTAGTTAATAGACCACGACTATACAGCTATGTCAGTGGTCACGGGAGGCGAGAGCAAGGTCATATAAAGTGGCAGAAAAAGAACAAAGGATTTGACAAGGAGTAAAACTACTAGTTTCCTTATACTATGGCTTAGATAAACATAATTTAATTCTGTGCTTAATTTCGAAGTTAATATTGGCCTCTTCCGAAATCAGACTACCAAGGTAATTGAATTCCGCTACATATTCCAATAGTTCTTGTCCGATTTTTATGGCAATGTTGTAATTTTCCAGGGGAGTGCACATGATTTTAGTGTCTAGAGTCTTCCACGTCCTTGAGTTCTGTTTTAATAAGTTCTGTTCCAGTTAGTGGAGTGGTCACTCCTTTTCTAGCTAGATCGTTTTTTTTTCAATCTGGGTGTAGAAATAGAAAGGGGATAAATACAATAAAACTTATAGATTGCAATGCTTCCAACATAGAATTTGAGGAAAAAACTCTTAAAAATACTTAATTGAGTTCTAGTTTTTGAAAATCTAAGACTATTTACCTATGAGACGTTGGACAAAATGTGCTGGTACCAATCCTCTACGACCATCCAATAATTCTGCATCTAAAAATCCACCTGGACCCATTGGTTCTCCCCACACCAAAAGGTAATCGCCGGCTTGTATACTCAATTCCTCTTCAGATTCTGGCTCAGGATCATATGAGAATCTTAAAAAAAAGGTAAAAAATTAAATTTTCAATAAAGGAAATGATAAATAGGTATATAAAAAGGAAATATACAGTTAATGATGAGCAAGACGTTAATATACTTAGGTCAAATATATTTTAATCTTATTTTTCTTATAGGATTATTTTAATTAATGTGTATGTTTATCTAATTTTATTTTAACTAGTTTATTTGTTTTGTATTATTATAAAGACTGTTCAGCAATCGTTCACCGTTACGTCATCATTATTTGTCAAATATGAGTTTTAGAGTTTGTCTGAGATCAGTTCATATTGTTTAGAAAATTTTAAGTACGTTCCTATATTATTGATTGAGCGACTTCGTTTTTTTTATCGGCATTTATTTTTTTTTCTTGAACTCTTCATCAGTTACGATCCCTTTAATTCCAATCGTTTGGACTATTGAAATTCCTATTTTAAAAGCATCAGCAACTCGCTATATTATTTACTAAAACGCTATCAATTCGTATTTTACATGAGAATATTACACATTTGCATTGAACTTACTCTATAAGGCGTCCACGGGCAAGACTGTTCTACAAGCGTCTCTTTCTCGAGTAAATTTATTTATAAGCTTAGCAATGAGCTCTTGTTCATTTTGTTTAAATCTTTAAGGCATTTTTGCAATAAAAAGTTGAATTTTGTTTGACAACAACAATCGATTTTTAATTTTGACATTGATCGATGTCCGTCAATAAAATTATAACCCCAAATTGAATGACAATGACAATTACTAAAAAGAATATGCAGTAATTTTCGAAATGTCGTAATGACGTCACCAATTTTTTTAATCTGGTTGTCAAGCGATTGAGAGAGTTCCACAATATATGACGTAACCTTGAACGATGGCTGAACATTCTATACCAAAGCAAGTATAGTAACTTTACCACCAACCTTGCAATATAAACTGAACACCGTCCCTTGCCAGGTATGTCCAGCATGTCCACCTGGCCCTCCGGCACGTGCTGTCCATTGAGGAAGCCCCTGTTATCCGCTGGAACGGAATGCAGAGCACCTCCAGCGCTCCACTCCGAGTCCAAACCATCTGTAAGCATACGAGGGCGCAGGTCAGTTATACCCGACGTGGCGCCCCAAGGTGGCGGGTGCGGGGTTACGGGAGTGGCAACGCGCCTTTGACCTGCTCCGAGAGAGATCAGGAGGTTAGAGTGAGAAATGAGGAGGTTAGAGAAGGAGATGAGTGTCTTTAGAGTAGTAATACAATCATAGATATGCGATTTTATATGTCTATTAGGGTGCGCCAAAAAAAATATTTCTTTTTCTTTTTAGTTACCTTGAAAATATCGAGCAGGATGATGAAAAAAATCTGGTAAAATTTGAGCTTTTAGGGTGTATTCCGTTGCTTACCTTGGTTATGGTTTTACGTTCCGTTTCTACCAGTTTCCTGAAAGTTTTCTTATTACGGAACACGGTCCCTGAAAAATTCGTTTATAACTGTCACCAAATTAACCAGCGCGAGAAGGCTGGTTTTTCTGGTTTTGTTTGTCAATCAGTGTTATTTATGTGACAGAAATCAAGTAAATATTGGAAGTTTGTGTGAAATTCTCATTTAATTTCTAAAATTTGTAATATTTTGTATTTACATCCAAAAGCAATGGAGGTAGGCAGTAAAGGTAAATAAATTTTATTAACTAAATAGAATGACTTTTTAGGACCATTTAAACTTGTCATGCAGCCATTGTTTCTTAAAGTCAGGAACATTTAAAGAAAACATGAACAACAAGACAACAAGTAATCGTGAATGTTTTGTAAGCTATAAAAATATAAATATTGATTAGATTTGTTTATTTATTATCGATCTATTTTAATATTGGACCTGCCAATCTTCACTTGAGTTATCTAACGAGTTTAACAGTTTATTAATAAAGTACTTTTCAATATTAAACTCCATTGAAAAAGAGAAGCAAACGTAAAAGCAGAGAACAGGTAGTACATTAAAAATGCATAAAAGATAAATTTTATAATAGAGGCTCTGATTGAGAGGTATTGAAATTTAGAGCACAAAACATCCCCCTTTAGAACTTTTTCTTTAATGGCCATAAGCGGGAGTAAAAGACCAACCGCCCGAACAAACACTAGAGGCGCCACCGGTCATCAAATGGTGTAAAAATTGCGAAAATTTAATCATCTAATTTTGACACAAGGGTCGCGCTTAACTTATTCAATTTTAATTCAATATTCATTGTTTTCAAACTATATTATTAGACTTTGTTGTATTTTGTGAATGTATAAATGTTTTCTTAGTATAAAGTTGCATTATAGTAATTTAAATTATATTACATACATATTTAAGATTCAAATATTATGACATATATGTCAGTTGCCGTCTAAAATGTCATCTTCTCTTCTTTGCTTCTCTTTATGCCAATAGCTATGGTAACCATCGTGGTAACTGGTGGTAACCACTAAATTTGACGTTTAGGTTTGACAAATTTTTAAAACATGCAGATTTTTACGTCCAAAATATTTTTTTTTCTCAAAAGCTGTTAATGTTAGGTATAAAGTGTTTAATATCAAAATTCATCAAATTTTACAGAGAATTTAACCCTTAAGTACTAACATATTGAAAAGGTCGCGCCTATACTAACAGACCGTCTGAGAGACGCATTAAAAAAATACATATTTTGTTTGTGATTACAGATTTTTTGTAAGTGGAGTGAATCATTAGCATTAAAACTACAGGAAAAAAATATCTAATACTTATATTATGCAAACATGTTTTATATTTTTGAAAGAAAAGTACTAGTTTTGGATTTTTGACATATCTTTGTTTCTCATTGAGATAGAAAAAAAAACGAAAGGAAAATGAAAAACTATATTTATTATTATATTTAGCATATAAAAACCTATCTATTAAGCACAACAAAGTAAAAGAAAATATAAAGAATAAAAAAATGACAATGCCAAGATGGGCTTGTTCCCTACACACTTTTTTGCGCATTCCAAACAAATTGTTCTCTTCATTTTCTTCGATATTAGTCTACTGATCGTTCACACCCATATTTTCGTCATCTATAACAAAACATACACAGCTACATACCTTTAGATATTAGTTAAAACCCGTTTTTTTGCCTTCTAATTCGAATTCAGAATTATGATCGCTGTCTATAGCAAAATTTTCGCCACATTCGGATTCTATGTCACTATTTTGCTATTATCGCTGCTAATCTCTTCATACCACTTTAGAAGAGTATCCTTGTAATTTTGCTCGCCATACTTCACATGTTTTGAGCTATTAGGTGCTTGATTCATTGCACAAATTAGAAAAAAAGCTTACGTTAACACTAACACTCCGTCTGTCAGACGGCATCGACAGTTTAAACTAAAATATTTTGAAAACTACACACTTTCACAAATTGCCCTGCCGGCTTTTAACTTGTTTTGATGCGTATTGAAATTACATAGTTGGATGATAATTAGAAACGGAGGGGAGTGGAGATGTCATATGTCCAGCTAGTCCGTTGCGTCTGTGAAACGGGGTGTTAGTACTTAAGGGTTAAGTATATAATAAAAAATGGGTGTTCCCATTTAAAATAAAAAAGTTGCTATCTGCTTCCGGTATTTCCGGAAGTTCCGCCATATTAAAAATGTTTTTAATCGATATATCTCATTGTAAAACAAAGATGTTAAAAAATCTCCGATCTAGATATTGTAGTTCTCTAGAAACTTCCAATGCACGCTCAGTCTGGGACACCCTGTATGGCATGGTATTACCAGCAAGAGTATTTAAATATAATAGCATACCTATGTTTATTACTACTCGCAGACATAAGTGATTGGATGATATATGATGGATGGTAATGGAGAATTCAATAATACTAGAGTGAATAAAAGATGAATAATATACATTTCACTTAATGAATATCTAATTATTTAATAATGCGTTTATATATTTGATACCAATTAAACTTTTAGTTACGTAATCGAGAATGCGATTTTTAAATTTATTGTTGCCAACCACGGACATATTCGGCGCCAGGCAGACAAGAGACGACAGTGAACAAAGAAGTCGAATTTCGCGAGAGAGACGCAGATATATTAAAATTTAAAGGTCCCATCAAGTCCCATTTTGTCTGTTGCCAAGTATATTTCTTTGAAAAATAAACAAGATTTTCTGAAAATAAATTAATAATATAAGAAAGATATAAGTAACGTATGTTAATACGGAAATGTAAATTTTTAGTTTAGGTTGGTTTAGGTTCTTTTTTCGCAATGTACTGATAATATCAAAGAAACAGAATGACTAAATTGATCGATTTCAAACAGATAAAATCTCAAAATCTGACAACGGCGTATTTTATCTAATCTAACCTATGATTTTAGGACGCTAATCAGCTGTGCTAATCAGGCTTAAACATAAACAAATCTGATTAGTTGTTTTCTTGCATTTTTGCCTTTTTAAAGTGTGTTTTCAGAGTTTTTCGATATAATATCGTTTTGTGAGTTTTTAAGATTTAATTTTAGTATTGTTTTTGTTGCGTACTAATTTGTAAATATTGTTAAATATGAATACTGAACAGGACACGAGTAGCAGGAAAAGACGAGATGGTGGCAATGTGTGTGCTTATAAAGACTGCAAAAATAGGTCTTATTCTTCGACAAACATAATATTTCACTCTTTTCCAAAGGATCCTGAAAATTTTTATAGAAATATACTATATAATTATGTTATTAAACTAAATGTAATCCATAGATCGAAGACATGTTTAGAAGCTTGTAAGATATTTTTACAAAAAAAATTGAGCAACTCTATTTTTTTGTACATAAACTCCACATTGTGATTTTACACTTGTTCAAGTCCATATGTAAAAAAAATACACGTAAATAAAACATTTCTTACAAATCGACTTGGTCACTTTATCTTGTTTACCAACGATATACAAAATATTGCTTTTATTATCTTTATTCCCCGACAAATATGTTTCTAATTATAATTTATTTTATATAATATTTAGAAAACTCATTTTTTTCGTTTCTATTTATTTCTTTACCCATACAGTAACTATTTATAAGCTATACAGGCAAGTTTTAATAATAGTCTGTTTCAAATTTCCCGCGAAAAAATTACGAAAATTTAAAGGGACAAGCGAGACGAGGTCACTCTCGCCACCACTCAAACATGAAAGGTACCGCACGAACTGTCGTCTCTTGTCTTATCTACTCTTTGGCCAGGCTAACTAACTGGAATTTAAATTTCCCGCTGGGAATTCAGGTTTATTTATTTATTTCCTGACATTGACATTCGTTTCGACACTTTAGTTTTGTATTTCGAGTTTTTGGTTTAAATAAATATAGTGTTGTGATAATTTAAGGTTAACAATGTTTACTAGCAGATCTTGCAGTCGAACTCTGTTCTTTTTAGAACCTCTTTTAGTGTAAAGTGTACAAGATAGCTTAATAGACGTAAAAAACTCATCGCAATTTTATCAGAATATTTTGAACGGGAAACCGGTAGTAAGTGCTGTCCTTAGTACTGCTAAGAACGTTAGTTTTGTTGATGTAAATAATAAGTCGTTAATATATTTATAATTAATTTATTTTTGTTTCCTAATATATTTTGATTAAAAGAAAATATGTAAAAGTGAGCAACGCTGTGCCATTCAAGCTCAATCACGTGACTAAAAGTTTATTTGATATGAACTATATCTTCTGATGTAATTGGATTTTTTTTTACTTAACTAACGTAATATAAAAATATAATTAAGAAAAAAATATAGCATTTATTACCTAAATCGACTTCGTCCATAGCCTTCAGCTTGATACTCATCGGTGGACCGGCTAAACTGTTAAAATGGGAACTGAGTGGGTTGGAAAAGGTAACTGCGTTGGTATAACTGGTAGTTACTATCGGATTGAGGGGATTTGAGTACTGATTCAGTGAGGAAAATTGATTTAGCGTGCTAGTTATAGGATTGTTAAACGAAGGATTGTTGTACGAAGACACTTGACCTGGAAAAAAAACTAACGATAAATATGAGATAAATTTTGGCCGTTTTACTTCAAATTTTATATCGACGGATTCGTCAAAGTTCAGAGAATAATTTAATTATAAAGTGAAGTAATTATTCCAAAAATTGTACAGGGTGGGTCAAATTGGACGCTTTTAAAGGGCGATGGGGGAGATGGATGAAAACTAATATCGGTGTCTGGGGCTCAATTTTTATTAAAAGCATGATGGTGAAAACTGCACATCAATATTTGTTACCGTTTCGGAGTTACGGGGTGTTATTCAAAAATGTGCATTTTTAACAAATCGCTGTAACTTTTTTTCTATGGAAATTTTGTGCGATGTGTTTTATGAAAACATTTCGAAATCACCTTTTTACGTAGAATTTAATGGTTTAAGTATAATTTTTTTAAAACTAATAATTTAAGAATTGTCAACAAAAAATTTGATTTTTTATATGGGGAACACTGTGTATTTTTAATTCATTGTAAAGAATTTAAAATTGCCATTCCAAAAATATAGCATACTTGATATTTTGCTTAATTGCTCTTCGAGATATAGATTTTTTAAAAATTCGCCCACTTTAAATAAGTATGCTTTGAAACGAGCTTTGAACAAACTAAAAAACAAAAAAATTCTAGCTGTGGGCAATTAAAACGAAAATAATATTTGCAATGAGAGATGCAGAATTTTATAACACTTTAAACTATATTTAATAACATCAACACATTTCAAGTATATCAATAACAATAAAAATTATTAGCAAACCAAGACATGAGATTTTGCTACAGATGTTGGACATATCGACTGTCTTCTCTGTTATGGACAGGCGGGACCGTTTTTGAACATTTCTCGCGGAATTCATTACCTCAGTGGAAGTGAAAGATAACCTCGCATGACCGCTAATTACTTCTAATTCGTGCCTAGATTATACGGGCAATTTAAAAATAATTATTCTTCTGCAAAGATAAAAATCCTTAGGACTAAGTCCGGCGGTCTCGGCGGCCTCGATGGCCAACGGCTGATATCTAGGTTAGCTATTCAATCGTTCTCTAAATTGGCTGAAAAAAATTGCTGATAACTTCGAGCGATATGAGGCGGTGCCTTGTCTTGCGGGAAAAATATGTTTTCGAGTTCTATTAGGTGCATTATCATCAATATAGGGTCCAAAGCCTACTACTTTACCACCCTTTACATGTAGTGCAGTTTTATTTTGAGGAATATACAGGGTGCTACAAATTCCAGGTACAGGCATTGGTATCTCGGAAACTGTAATAGATATGAACATAGTTAAATTGGAGCAAATTTTTGCCTTGAGGGTTCACCAAGATGCCATCAAAAAAGTTTCAAAAATTTCGAGGATTGCTGAGTTTTTTGAATAAAAAAACGCATCTTTTAAATCAATTTTATTTTTTCCTATCGTTACTTTTTATAAAATCCAAAAACTAATTGCACATTCTCATTGCCACTTTATTAGAGATATCTGACAGTATTTTTAGATTTTCAAAATAGCTCATAGTCTCTGAGATACACAGGCCAATTTAATTTTTTTAAATACGGACATTTTTTATTTCACTTTTTGAAAGAATTCAATCCCCTAAGTACAACAATATCTGCGAATGTTGAGTTATTGAATGTTATTGCGTTAACATTTTTTCGACAATTTTATTATGTATTTGACAGCGTGAAATATAGAACGAAAACTTCTAATTTCTGCCGTATCGAGTATTTAAAATTAACTGAAATGCACCAATCCTATAGTAAATAATTAGAATATATTACTTACCTAAGCCTCTATTCGGATTAGCTGAAACCAATGGATTCGTGAACGTAGTGTTCGCAATAGAACTAGTAGCAAAATTTGACGAAGGTACTATTGAAGTCCCCAGCCCTGTAGAGGGAAGAGTACCGCCTATAACGTTGGTACCGATGGTTGAAAGGGGTTGTCCCAGCGATGTTCCTTTTGATTTAAAAAAGGAACAAAACATTAATGAGAATATCCAAATGATGCATTTTATTTTCTTTATTCCGTATGGTCGACAAAAAAACGACGTCAAGTTGGCTTGGAAATGTACATCAATGTGACAAAAATGACAGTGATCTTCATTTAGCAGCCATCGCTGACGCCGTTTTTTTCGATGATATTGTACCTAATACAGATGTTTGACCTATCCCAGCAGTACCCATACCAATCTGATGATGTCCGAGACTATTGAGACCTGTTGTGCCCATAAGAGTCTTGTTAGTACTTGAATAGTGATGTCCCAAGGTGTTGTAACCCGTGTTGTACGTGCCGACATTCACAGGGTAAGAACTACCAGTCCCAGTCAGTGTACCTAATAAAAAAAGTTAAAAAATTAAGTTCTATAAAATAAAAATAGATTTTTTTATCTGATTTTGCATACCCTGCATCGCCGAGCTGAACATAGGAAATGCCATGTTAATTTTTAAAAAGGCAAATAAAAAATCGCTATTTCATTTTAGAAAAATAATTATTTATATATAAGCAATTATCATGTTTCCTGAGCATTCTGTTTTTTAATTCATGTCAACACATGCCTTGGTTAATTTTTAAGAGCGAAATGAACTTGCCACCAACAATTTGCAATTTTTCATCTCATCAACTATTATTATAGAATAAGATCCCAGAGCGATCAGACAACTTATTTTCACAAGGGTGAAACCTTAGGCTCTCAGTAGTGCTCTCATGTGCTTTGAATACCGGCGTGTTTGTGGGGTTCGCCTTGGCAGATACCAGGTGAGAAAGGTAACTAAAAGAAGTAAATGAACTTTGCTTATTTTTTACATCTCTGATTTTTACATATGTTATTAAGACAGCTATTATAAAGTTACTAGCGTGTACCCGCGACTTCGTTCGCGTCGAATTAATCATTTGTAATGGTGATGATAAAGCAAAGCAAAAATTTCCATTAACATAGAAACTGGATAAAATTTTCTCACATTTATGTCAGCATGAGAAAAAACAATATAGCGATATTATTATATAACTTAGTAATATTTGAGGGGTAGTTTCATCTTGTTGGAATTTGACTTTCGAAAAATCCGTTTGCCAAAAATAAGCTTCTTACGTCAAGTAGTTTAAGCAGAATAGTGGTTAATCAATTACCCAACTTTTTGGACACCCTGTATTATTTTTTAAAAAATTTCAAAATATGTAAAAAAACAAAAACAAAATAAATTATGCGTGTCCAAGCGTTTTCCCGAAAGACTAACCGTTTTTTAAATAACAAATATTGTAATATTTGAGGGGCGTTTTCACCCTCTTGGAATTTGAGACTCGAGAAACCCCTCCTTATCGAACCTCTACACCCCACACACGCTTTAAACGTCAAGGAGTTTAAGCAGAATCGTGATTACTCAATGGTCATATTTTATGAAACACCCTGTATAAATTTTTAAAAAATCTTAAAATATGTAAAACAACAAAATAAAATATACGTGTTTAAGAGTTAGTAAGAAATAAATGGTTTTTAAAATTTACAAGAGATTTCCTATGTTCAGGCCGATAATGCATCACACGCAGGGTATCATTTGGATGTTTTGGTGCAACTAACAGGCTATGTACTATTAGATATATTAGGCACGGTACACACTGAGACAGCTATAATACAATACCTGTATTATAGGTATGCTGGCCACCCAGGCTTGTACTGGTCGGATAAATGCTAGGAGTGGTGTGCGACATGGTAATTGGTGATATCGGTGGGCTACACTCTCCCAAAGCATGAGAACTCACACTTGTAGCTAGCCCTTGACCTAGATTAGACAATGTTTCTTTGTAAATACTTCGGTGTTTCATATTAGGCCCGAGACACAAAAACACCAAGTGGGAATTATCTGAGGGAAAGCCTAATAAGGGTACGTCCATAGTGCACCGGCTTCCCGCTTTATCGCGGCAGAGTAGCGATGAGAAGAGAGAACAACTGTGTGCGCCATAGTGGCCATAGCACACCAGTCAGCTAGCTTCACTAACGTCTACGTCCCAACCAATGACTAATGAATACAAGGACATGTAACGCCCATATACGGGCTGCAGCAGAATTTGTGACTTTAGCCGCCATCATTTTGGAGCCTACGGATGAGTCACCACCTCGTCAACAGCAACAATTTTAGCGGTTTTTAATAATTTGTTGTGTGTAGTGAACTTTGTATAAACTTTATTACAATGGTGATGTGTTCAGCTTTCAAGTGTAAAAGCCGCAACGATAAGAAAGAGCCAAGAGTTGAGTTAGTGGTATCATACTTAATTACGAAAAAAACGTATTACGTAAAGTGTTAACAAAAGGTACGAAACTAGTATCGATGTATAGTATATATCAAGTACATATAGTATCAGAAAAATAATTACCAATAACATAAGTAAATAAACAGTCCACTCCACCTTTTTAGCGTTTTCTTATTGAATATGGGGGGCAACGGCCCAGCTACGTCGAAACACCGGTTCCCATTAGAACACCGAAGTTAAGCGACGTAAGGCGATACTAGTGGATGGACGGGTGACCGGTTCGAAACTCTGTATCGTGCTGTTGTCCACAGTGGCGTAGCAAGGCGGGGGCGAGGGGAGCGGTCCGCTCCGGGCGACCCTAACACACGCTACGCCACTGGTTGTCCAAAAAAAGGCAAAAGTGTAAAATCTATTGACACACACTGCTCATTCACGCCGCCGCCGGTTCGAGGCCGGATGAGATCGGATATCTCGTGAGTAAGAGTCGATTTAGACACTTGCCAAGTCAGTAGGCCATTGACCATGATATGGCCGAGGACCGCGGTTCGGATTACGCGTAACAAAGTGGGCCCCGTTCAGATTAGTCCTGGCAGCAAAAATGAGACGTTAACTGAAATCTTTACTTTTTTATTGAATTTGGTAATTATTTTTCTGATACTATATGTACTTGATATGTGCTATACCTCGATACTAGTTTTGTACCTTTTGTTAACATTTTAATACGTTTTTTCGTAATTAATTAGTATGATACCACCGCCTACACCATAGGCGTAGTCAAAACATTTATCAAAAATATAAATATCCCTTCAAGTAGCTAAGTTAAGAAAAATATATGGCCACGGCACTGTTTGAAGCCATGGTAGCAATTTGGTCTCGGGTGTTATATGTCCTTGTATTCTTTAGTCATTGGTCCCAACACTCTACTCGGGCACCCAACAATGTTGCCGTTTGTTGTCCCTTAATTTCATGGTTTTCAATTGTTAGCCTAACTAATAATCTAAGAGATTATCTTTTACTATGCTCTCTGGAACAGCATGCGGCCCGTCTGGCTGCCGGTAAACGTTGCGTTCCCTACTGCGCATTGAATGAAGATCCTATATTTTTATTAGTCCTTTAAATTCTAGTATTGAATATAAATCGAATATGTCTCCATAGCGCAGTGCGTAGAGTTTCCGACCATGAACCGATGATTCAGAGTTCGAATCCGGGTCAGGGCAAAGACTTTTTTTATTTTATTTTTGTTTATATTTTGATAGTAAAGTATTAAATAATTCTGCTGATTCAAAAAAAAATATTTAATACTATACTATCAGAATTTAACGAAAATAAAATAAAAAAGTCTTTGCCCAGACCCGGATTCGAACTCTGAATCATCGGTTCGTGGTCGGAAACTCTACGCACTGCGCTATGGAGACATGTTCGATTTATATTCAATACTAGAATTTAAAGAACTAATAAAAATATAGGATCTTCTTTCAATGCGCAGTAGGGAACACAACGTTTACCGACAACCAGACGGGAGACGGGCCACATGCTGTTCTAGAGAGTATAGTAAAAGATATATCAATGAGCCAGACATATTAAAATACTTGGTTTTCCGAAGTTGCTAGCTCTCGTACTTTAAAGACGTTTATTGTTACGGTTTATTTCAAAGTTTTATTATTATATGGTTTATTTTGTTAGAATGTTCTTAATCGCACAGATTAGGTATTAGGTATACTTATATTAATAGTAATTAGAAAACTAAATAATGCAAAAATAAGTGCTTCAGAAACATGTTAAAAAATGTCATCCTAACCAGATATAGGAAATTGCACCATTACTTAGACATTACTTTAGCAAAACTAAAATATCGCATTTTCCTGCGAATTCTGTATCAAAAATTTTAGTGCAAAGAGTTTAACAAGATATCTAAAAAGGCATGCACAAGTGGCACCAAATTAGACCAAATTATCAAAGTAAGGCAGAGTCAAGGGTAAAAGGTCGATGCACATTATCATACACGTAGCGTTTCCGTTCCAGCAATCGGACTGTGCATTCACATATGCATTTCGAAGCGTTTCAGTTTGCTTTAGTAAAGTCAGAAATAACTAAGTTGTCTCAATCTGGTTGAGAGGGTTGGAGTGATGTTTTTCCATTTTTTTCGTAAATGTCTTGTGCAATTGCCCTTCTACTGGATATAAATTATATATGACAAGCTGCTATTGGGCCAACATTAAAAGCTCTCTAAGTGTATAGATATAGATATACCACCTTTGATAGAATATAATAAAGAACCAAAAAAGAGCCTGCCAACAAAAATACAATACGATCGAAAAAAAAACGGCGTCAGCGAAGACTATGCAATGAAAACATCGTTTTCATTTCATAGTCAAACTAGACGCCGTTTTTTTTTCGATCATACGGTATTATTGAAAAAGAAAACTTTCTAGCACAAAAAAGAAGCTTAGATAAACCCTTTGATAAACCCCAGAAAACTTATTAAAATTGAACCATCTGAACCAAAATAAAAATTATTATAAAAAACATTGTTTATACATTGACTTTTATTATTTATTGAATAATTTAGTATTAACGTATTTTCATACGTAATAATTCATCAGCATTTTTGCATTATTTGAGATTTTAATTTTTAGATGGTTTGTTTAATGGCACTCTGAATAAAATTCAGTGAAAATGTAAATCTAATACTTTATCAAAAGTAATTACTAATATATCTTATATTTTTTTCCATAGCAATTGTTAAAATTGCCTTATATCTATCAAACCAAATCCAATAAAATAGTACTTTAATTTTATTTCTTCTCGCACATTTTTAAATTGCTTCCATTTTTGAAAATTTTTTTATTCCTTCTCATAAGCTATTCACCACCCATATTTATTTGTCAAATTACATAAAAACCAACGCCAACCCAGCACAATATTTTTTCTACTCGTAATAAATTCCTTGAAATAATAATTTCTGAATATTTTATAAAACGTAACTCGTTATGGAAAAAAATATTGTTTTATACACGACGATAAAATTGCATTATCGTATCCCGAAATTAACTCACTCGCGATTTCATCGCTCGTGAATTAATCTTTTCGGTCGACGATAAAATACAATTTTATCGTCTTGTATAAAAAATAACTATTTATAAACAAAATATAATATTTGACTTGATGATTTGACTAACGTTCACTTTGAATAAAAAGTAGTGAAAATTAAAATCAAATACTTGGCAACATTGTTGGGTGCCCGAGTAGAATTGTGGGACCTAGACTCTAGTAGATAAGCCAGCCAACGGAAAGCGGGAAACCGGTGCACTATGGACGTACCCTAAGGTCGTTGATATTCGCCTTCCTTAATATTTTTAAAACAAAGTTTTTCACAAAAAAAACTAAAAAAATATGCAATATCCTACTACTGTGAAAAGCTAGGCTCAAGCTAGGAACAAAACTACGTAAAAGAGACACTAGAGAACTAAGGCTACCGGAACTCACCTAAGGTAGTACTGCGACTATGGTCTAATTCAGCTAAAATTCGATTATCCTGCTCTATCTTAGCCATAATTTTTTCAATTTCAGTACCTTTGTTCTGCGACCAGGGTTGGTGTCCCCCCGCGCCGATGTTCGAACCCAACCCTGATAGACCGGCGGATGACGTCATGCCACGCGTTCTATTGGTCGAGGTTAGTTCTAGCTGGAGCTCCTCGCACCTATCACAGAAATACAGACCATTAAAAAGAAATATGTATACCGGGTGCGTCTAAAAAGTGGCTTTTTATTATTTCAGATAAAAAAACGAGATTTGGTATGATAGTATACGACATAAATTAGGATTGATTGACGTATTCAATTGTTTTTAGTTACTGTCTGTTTTACCGGAAATGACTATAACTTTTGATTTTTAAATGACAATCCGGTATTTTTTTACTTTATTTGATAGAAAATGATACTCTGAATAGTATGACATATCATATGTCAAGTTTTGATATTTTCGCATATATGGTTTATTTGAAATTGTAACAAGGCATTCATAACGACAATTTGACCCGAAATACCAAATATGTGGTACCAAATTATTCGTAAAAAAACGTTTTCCAAATAGGTATGCTAATGAGCCACCCTTGTTTCTTTGAAAAAATTGAGATATGAATAAAAATACGATTTAGGCATCTTTTCGTCAGCCAGGACAAGACACGAAAAACATTAGACGATCAAGTCTATTTTGCCAAAGCTCCTTGATTAAAAATTAGCCATGGCACTCTAGACTGAAACTGTGAAATTTAAAATACGATTTTTTTTAAGCAAAAATATCAAAAGTTGACATATGATATGTCATTCTATTCAGAATGTCATTTTCTATCGAATAAGGTCAAAATATATCGACGGTGCCATTTAAAAATCAAAAGCTGTAGTCATTTCCGGTGAAACAGGAAGTGACCAAAAACAATTATTAAATACCGTCAGTCAATCCTAATTTATGTCTATACTCCAATAATCCCGTTTTTTCATCTTAAAAAATAAAAAAAAAATAAAAATATTATAGTCACTTTTGAGACGCACCCGGTATTTACTACAGATATACAGTGAATATAGAAATATACAGGGTGAGTCTTAAATAAGTGCAAATATTCAGAAATACATCTATGAGGTTTTTTTCGCGAATTTTTTTTTAATTCAAAATTTTTGAAATTTTTTTTAGTTTTTAGTTAAAAAAAACATAAATTGTTGATCATAATATGGCAACATATGTAGTAAATTAAATTTAGAAGTAAAAAACCCAGAAAAGGTCCAGTAGATCTCAAAATTTAAGCAAAAAATATTTTTTTATTAAATTTTCAAAATAAAATAATTCGGTTATTTTGGACTTATTTGAAAAACGGTAAAGAAAAAATATGTTTCTTTTATCGAGAACTAACCAAATCTAACCTAAACTAGCCCTGAAAATATTTGAACTTATTTCAGACTTACCCTGTATAATCTATTTATTAAAATACTTGATTCTTAAGTGCACTGTTTAGATTTACTTAGTAATCAACTAGTAGATAGATTATTCTTTTACAATTATGGTGTCGTGCTGACACCAAGTCATTATAATATAATTATTACAGAAATAAATATACTAATATTGATACGGTTCTAGCTATAAAAACAGCGAACACTCCCCACTAACTGGACCAGAACCGTTCTGCTTCTTAAGTGGAAACCAACCTAAAGCAAAACTAAAGAACCTGGAAGACTCCATTCCAGGTTACGAGAATGAGAACCATCTAACGGTCTAAGACACTCAAGCCTTACGACCGAGAAAAATGAAAGAATTTCCTTGATTTAAGTAAGAACAATCTTCGGATTGCCACGAGGTTGATAACGAGACACTGTCTCCTCTATGAACAACTCATTAAATTGAAGTTCAGAAACAACAACGAATACAGATTCTGTAGGAAAAATGGAGAAACACCAGAACACCTTATCACTGAGTGCGCCGAGACGACATTACCGATGGAGAACTCACCTCTATAAAACTGTCTCAGATAGTGGCTTTTTTCAAAACCTTGAAACTGTAAGATGAGTTATAATTTAAGAAAGGGGCTACAATAGATCCATAAAGTCGCGGTGATTAACTTCCCCCCTCCCATACAATCTCCACTCTACAGTGGATAAGGATAGGAGAAACCTATATCCAGAGGTAGATAAACGTGGATTAAGGAAAAAGAACGACGTACCTGACATTTTCTAAGGCTATCTTCTTCTCCAGCTCCCTGACGCGAGACTGTCGAGCCTCCAGGGTATCAGGACCGCAACCAGCCAGAACAGACAGAGCTTCTTGGTGTTGTCGTTCAAGGTCCGCTCTCCTCGACTCGGCTGCCCTCAGTTGCATTTCAAGGTCCATGGCCTGAAACAATAATAAATATGAAGTCTACTACTTTTTGAAACATAGCCAACAATAAATTAGGGCACGAGGATCACAAAGCTAACAAAAAGGCAGATAAGATGGCCATATCAATGCCATTCATAGGCCATTCAATAGGCCCATAACTCTTCTGCGGCTCTGCAAAAGCAGTGACAAGAATGGCCACAAAACAGTGGATGGCCAACAGTTCCATAGAATGGAGGGGAAATACACAAGGGCAGAGATAGACAAAATAGTTGTTTGTGTACCAAGGCCGTAAAGTTGATACGGCCGAGTTGATTGAGGACAAAAAAGATCATACGGCCGAGGTGCACACAAAATTTTTTAAGGAGTGTCTTTTGAAGTATGTAACAATTTTTTTACAATTTTGTTTCTAAATAAAGACGAAACTGGAATATTAAATTCAAATTTTTATTAACCAAATGAAAAGTGTATTATTAAGAAACAAAGATGTGTACAGAATTACTTACAGTATCATAGACAGAAGTTGGATTATAAAGAAGTTAATAAATTAAGGCATTATTTGCTATTAATTGTTATGTTAAATGTACATTTATTACATTATGAAAAAGTAATACCACTTTTAGACATAACATTGATTTTCAGTAACAATGGTTCTTGTTGGAAAGCTGCTGACTGAAATTGCATTTAATTCAATTTCTTTGGAATTATTTTGATCAGAAAAACGTATACCTGAAGTACCTTCTCCTCCTGCAAGAATTCTATTTGAAATTTCCTTCTTTCTTTTTGAAATGGAATCTTCAATGTAGCCTTCTGCTACAGAGTTTTTATTTTAAATTTCATTTCACTGATAGAAACCAGGGGGGTGACAGTAAACCGGAAAATTGGAAACAGTTCTGGCGCGGTCCTACCCAGGCAGAAAGCATGGCCTTCTAGACTGTCCTAGACAAAAATCTGAATATTTCTATATGATTTCTGTCAACTTCTGTTACGGAACATTTTTATGCACGTCGGCCTCCTCTTCTTTTGTCTGTGTGTCAGCGATGTGTCAACTCCCGAGGCCTCTCGCAAGGTCGAGCGCCATTTTAATTTTTGCCGTTTAGATTTGATTGGAAGTTTGTTTATGAGATTTCGGCTGAAATTTATAAGTACAAAGATCTTTTTTGATATAAAGTTCCTTGTTAACACTTTAATAAAGTATATATGATATTAATTACATAAAGAAAATGATAAATCGACGTTTCTGCGTGTAGTAGGTATGGGCCATATTATATGTAAAAATAGGTAATATATTAACTGTTTTTATATCTCTTTAGCTTTAGATCCAAGGATCTTGGATATTCTTTACCAAGGATTTTTCCGTATCTCTACTTTAAAGACTGATCGGAGATTTTGAGCAATTGAAAGCAAGTTACACAAGGTAAATTATGATTATTGAAATATTATTAGGCTACATTAATTATCTACAAGATGAACATAAATGCGTAATTACATAGCACATAGGTACCTATTATGTATTTTCATAGCAATAATGCTATGTATGTAGATTATTTTTTTTGTAGATTATTTTTAAAATACAAATGAGGTATTAGATGTATATGTATCATATTTTTTATTCATTTTATTTTCATTCAAGTCCTGTTTGATTTAATTCACAAAAGTCTTATGTACCTATATTTATATTTTTTTACATATTTTTTTTGGTTCCAGGTTTTGCGTGGGTTTCTGTTGTCTTTTTCCTGCTTCCAGTTAGTTAGTTTTACGCCCGTGAAGCTGTGAAAACATTTATTTATCTTCAAGTTTCTTTAAGTCAATGCACTGTTACTTTACTAATTCACTTTAACGCAGCATCTCTGATGTTATTTAAATATTTTGATATTGATACAGTAGTTTATGTGTTTATAGCTCTTTAATTGTGTTGATTTGCATATTTACATTGTTCTAAATTCCAAATAAATATTTTTCAGTAATTTTGTTGTATTATTTACTACTAGAAAGAGTAAAAAGTATATTAACCCAGATTTAAACCTCCTGAACAGCCCGCCATTAAAAACCGGAAACGGAAATAAATTTCATAAAACTGAAATTGTCATGTCTATGTCATTGTCTGTCATGTCATAGTCATGTCAAATGTCCCAGCCGCCATATCTGAAAATTAGTTACCCAGGCAGCCACGCTGACAAAAGAAGAGGACGCCGACGTGCATAAAAATGTTCCGTAACAGAAGTTGACAGAAATCATATAGAAATATTCAGATTTTTGTCTAGGACAGTCTAGAAGGCCATGCTTTCTGCCTGGGTAGGACCGCGCCAGAACTGTTTCCAATTTTCCGGTTTACTGTCACCCCCCTGGTTAAAACTGTTAAAATTGACACATGTCGTGTGTAAAATGACACATGTCGTGCGCTAATTCCATAGCACACGACAGTTTGCAAAGCGCCAATTTCACATCGAGTTTTCCGTATGTCAACCTGCATTTTCTAGGCTAGTCGTAGAAAAAATACATTTTATGTCGGTGCTACAGCCTTGGCAAATGTGTAGGTTTTTGTACCTGGTAATGATAGGCCATTGAAAAAAAGCTATATGGAGGGTTCAGTCTCCAAGTTGCTAGACTTTGTAAAAAGGATAGGACTAGAAAATATAACGTTAGGATCAGAAGAGGATCACAATAAATCTGAAAAGGTCACCGCGGAACAAGTAAATAACCACCTCGAAGAATCTAATCTTAATAAATTCATTAAATCGTGTGATGCAGAGACCTGGAAAATTACATCGCCATTATTTAACAAACTCAAACCGCTGTCTGCGAAAAATTGTATAAATATTCTGGCCAAACACTATCAGAAATGAGGATTTATGGAGTTTAACCAACCAGGCAGGCGTATAATAAGATCAAACTGTAAGAGTGAAGGACATAATGAATGAATACATAAACACAAAATTAACTAATAGTACGAGAGCTAGCAACGTCGGAAAAACAAGTATTTGAAGACGTCTGGCTCTTTGATATATCTTTTACTATGCTCTCTAGAACAGCATGCGGTCCGTCTGACTGCCGGTAAACGTTGCGTTCCCTACTGCGCATTGAAAGAAGATCCTATATTTTTATTAGTCCTTTAAATTCTAGTATTGAATATAAATCAAACATGTCTCCACAGCGCAGTGCGTAGAGTTTCCGACAACGAATCGAGGATTCAGTGTTCGAATCCGGGTCAGGACCAAGACTTTTTTATTTTATTTTTAAGTTAAACTCCAATGATGTTTATATTCTGATAGTAAAGTATTAAATAATTCTGGTGATTAAAAAAAACAAATATTTAATACTTTACTATCAGAATATAAACAAAAATAAAATTAAAAAGTCTTTGCCCTGACCCGGATTCGAACTCTGAATCATCGGTTCGTAGTCGAAAACTCTACGCACTGTGCTATGGAGACATGTTCGATTTATATTCAAAACTAGAATTTATAGGACTAAATTAAAAAATATATAGGATCTTCTTCCGATGCGCAGTAGTGAACGTAACGGGTATCGGCAGCCAGACGGGCCGCATGCTGTTCCAGAGAACATAGTAAAAGCTATATCAAAGAGCCAGACATCTTAAAATACTTTCTCGAAAACTTTGCTAGCTCTTAGATTATAAAATCTAACAATCTGAACAGGAAAAACTGGCAGGTAAAACAATATGTGTGGACGGGACTTTAAAAAATAATCTTATTTCTTTTCTTTCATAATTTATTAATTTGTGATTCACCTTTTATAAAAAAAATATATTTTTTTAAATAAATTATAATATAAACACAATTACTAAAATAATGTTATAAAAGACAGAACTGTTTTTCTTTAAACTTTCTGCCTCAAACTTTCTGTATTTAATAAATTCCTGGCACATAAAGGCGCGATTTTTCACGCTAAACAACCACATGCTCTTTTGGCTGGTTGTTTCTCATGCCAAATTGAAAAATCGATGCCTAACTATGTTTCGCGTGCACTTATTTCTTGTTAATCGTCTAATCGTATCTTTGCCCTCGCTGTTATGGCTGGATAAAACGATTTTGAGACAAATAACGTTTTAATTTACCGTTTTCTACTTCTAATTACCTACCTACTGATTAAGGAGAGAAGACAGAAGTTAGAAAATGAAAGCATCACTGTTTAACAGTTACTTCCCTAGGTGTACTTAAGTTTTTAAAAACAAATAAGTGAAGTATTTCTATTTCCTAAATTTTGTGTTGCAATAATAAAAATTGTACTACCTTATACAGAGCGTCTAAAAATTTATTTTAAATAATTACTAGTTTTAAACGCAATAACAATATAATTAAACTTACGTGCATAGAAATCGACCCACTGTGAACTTTTGGTTTTAACTGTGTCTTTTAGAATCTATTTATCAGAGCAAGTAAAAAATATGAGCTGTTTCAAAGACAATTTAACATGCTTTAATATGAGCATAAATTTATCCAGGGTACTGATCGTTTATATGCGTACCAATGGGTAAACAAAAAAAAGGTATTTGGGTTGTGGTGACAATAAGAATAATAAATTTGTCAAATATTGCAATTACTACCTTTGTAATCGAAATTTTCACATTGTTCTTTTATTCTTTGATTAGTTGTGTTTCATTGTTTGATTAGTGTTTCAATTTAATGCATACATCACCGGAAAAAGCCGCCCAAGTAATCGCTTTAATCGAAAATGGATTTAAACAGAGAGCTGTAGCTCGGCAACTACATATGACACGCGGAGCGGTTCGAAGAGTGTGTGAACGGTATGAGGAGACTCGATCCTTTCGTAGTCGACCTGGAACTGGTAGAAAGAGATATACAACGGATCGTGATGACCGCTTTATTGTGTCAACAATGTTAAGAAATCGGCATGTTAATGCTATTCAGGTGCAACAACAGCTCCGTGAAACACGAGGAGTGACTATTAGTCAGTGGACAGTAAGACGTGATTGAAGGAAAGTAATATGACCCCCAAAACACCCGCAGTTATTCCAAAACTTACCCCAGCTCATCGTCAAGCACGCCTGTGTTTTGCACTGGAACATCTGAATTGGACACTAGAACAATGGGAATCTCTTTTATTCTTAGATGAGACCAGGATATGCCTTTATGGTAGCGACCAAAGAAGAAAAGTGTACCGGAGGCCAGGTGAGCGATTGTCAGAATGCTGCAATGAGGAGCTTATGGAGGTGGTTCCTGCATGATCTGGGATGCAATTTCTATGACTGCGCGAACCGACCCAGTTTTCATGCGTTGGGGCGACCGTCGGCACGGGAGAGGAGGTTTAACTGGTGCTAGGTATATTGAAGAGATTTTAGCAGTTCATGTGGTACCTTAGGTCGACTACATTGGAAACGAATTCACTTTTATGCATGACAATGCGAGGGCACACACATCAAGAATCGTACACGATTACATTTCAGAAGTCGCGGATTTCGGGATATGGAATGGCCAGCATGCAGGCCAGACGTAAACCCGATAGAACATTTATGGGATGAGCTAAAACGAAGAATTCGTACTAGACGAAGAGCCCCAACTTCTATCCCAGAGCTCATTGTTGCAGTAGAGGAAGAGTGGCTTAACATCCCACAAGAAACAATATCAAATTTGATCGAATCTATGCCAAATCGTATTAGAGATGTTGTTAGAGCAAGAGGGGTCATACCCATTATTGAAAATTTAGTTTAGTTAATTGTCCATAAATAAATAAATAAATAATAATATACCTCTTAGTAATAAAAAACGATAATTTGTTTCATGCATTAATTAAATAATTTTAATCCAAAGAAACGAAAATACAAATTAATATCTCTAAACTCTTTTCAAAGAATATGAAATTGTCTTTCAAACAGCATGTATTTTTTCTTAATCTGACAAATAGATTCTAAAAAATATATAGTTAACTTCAAAAGTTTGCCTTGGGCCGATTTCTATGCACGCAAGTGTATAACAAAATAATTTTTAACAATAACTTGTTTAAATGGAACATCCTATATATTTCATGAGAATCAGATGCACAATTTAATTGTCTATCAAATTATATTATACCATTTCTTACCTATCTCATCAAGTTTTCGCAGAAAATGCATTTTCTTATAATTTAGACCTCATTTATCAATATACCCATGGAATATTGACATTTTATTATTTTTAAAGATGTAACAAATTTTTGAAGGTACAGATATTAATATTGTCGATATAGTTCGTTTACTTCATTAAAAAAAATTAAAAAAACTGTTTAATTAATATGATTCCAATATTCAAACTACATTAATTGACTGTTTGCGTTGATTAATAACAATTGCTCCAAATACTAAAATACTGAATTTGTATGTGTATTAGAAAAAAAGTGGTAAAAAGTAACACCTTAAACATTTTATTTCATTTTTTGACAAATGCTTATTTAACAACAGAGACGTTCATTTTCATAACTTATTATTATATTGATTTTTGATTCAAATCCACATTTATTTAGAATAATTTATTAACTAATTAAAAACACAATTAAGTATGTAATTAATTATTATTTGGGCGGAAGTAATGGTGGTATATTTAATTAATGGCATACTCTATTATAAAGGGGTTTAAATAGTTTTCTTTTTGTAAACAATTGGGCTAGTAATATGATCGTTTTTAGCTTGTTGCTTTAAAAATAATCTAAAATGTCAATATTCCATGGGTATATTGATAAATGAGGTTTAAATTATAAGAAAATGCATTTTCGACGAAAACCTGAAGGGATACATAAAAAATTATATAATACAATTTGATAGACAATTAAATTGTGCGTCTGACTGTCCTAAAATATATAGGGTGTTCCATTTAAATTAAACAAGTTATGGCCGTTTAAAGCCAGAAATTATTTAAAATAAATTTTTGGACACTCTGTATGAGGTAGTATTATTTTTATTATTGCAACACAATAACTGATTAATAAATAAACTTTAGTAAATATTTAGTGTTAAAAACTTTGATACCCTTGGAGAAATGAAGCCTTAAAATTTTTACTACAATTTCACAAAATTGAAAATATTTTAAAAACTGTATTAAGTGTGACAAACCTTAATCAAATTTAACTTTATTTTAATCGTAGAACCTAAAAATGTAATAATATACAGGGTATTCCATTTAAAAAAAATACAACTTTAATATTTTTTTATTTATTTGGGACACTCTGTATCTTGTAAAAATATTTTTAAATTGTAGCTCTAATAGTCCTTCAACGAACCCAAAACTTACAATTTGTAAAAATCTAATCGTTTAGCTACAATACTCCGTGTCGTATGTGGTGAACAACCCTGTATACAGTCTACTCTTTTATTGAAAGCTTCTTATCTTTTATCTTACCCTTAGTAAACCGAAAGACAGATGCATGCTTGATCCGATACTTGACCGTAACTTATAACTTATTAACCGCTTTATTACACGCTTGTAATACACACAGCTGTCACGATTTTCGCCAGATATCTTACAGGTTTTTTTGCGTCCGATCCGACAATACCGCCATCAACTTAACCCCAGCAAAAATCGATGTCTATCGGGAGATAAAAATATATCGGCTACCCTATCGTTAACATATCAATAAAACACTGATAGCGCCTTGTTAGAGCGCTGTTTTTCTCGATTGATTGCTCGTTTGACGCGTTCTTATACAGTATGTCCCCGGATTGTCTTTACAAGAGGAAAAAAAAATATGATTTACTTTTTGAGGAAAATGGGTTCTTCATAAAAGTGTTTGCTTGTTTTAAAATAGTGAATTTCGTTTATGCTTTTCAAAATTACCATACTATGTTAGAGAAAAATAAAAAAATAGTTGAATTTAAATCAATAGGCGTTTCGTTTTTTTTTTTCTTTGATAGATGCTCAGATAAAAGACTTATGATAGATGGTTATTATTATTTTGATTAAGAAATGAATAATGTTCGGAAATGTTAAAGAAGCACTGGAAATAAATAAAGTATACCGGGTGCGTCTCAAAAGTGGCTCACCCCTATAATCCTGAGTCTCAACATTTCTAAAACTAAAGCTTTGTCGTATAAAAACTCGTTGCAGCCTTTTGTACTTAACAACACCACCATTGACGTCGTCAAATCTGTAAAGTTTTTGGGGCTTGTTGTGGACAATTCTCTGAAATGGGACATACATATCGAAGCTTTGTCGAAAAAATTGAGCTCTGCCTGTTTTGCATTAAGGTCTGTTTCTAAGGAGCTTAACTTGTCAGTGGCTAGAACTGTTTATTACGCACTTTTTGAGTCGCACCTCAGGTATGCCCTTCCATTCTGGGCTACGTGTTGTGCAACTCAATTTGACCGCATTTTCAGGCTCCAGAAGAGAGCTGTTCGATATTCACTGGGACTAAACAGCAGAACTCATTGCCGGGATTTTTTTAAAAAATTAAAAATATTGACTCTTCCTTCCTTATTTATATTTGAATCCGTTTGCCTAATACGTAAACATGTATCAGCTTCTCAAGAAAGGCCATCTCACACTTATCCACTCAAGAACGCGGAGCAAGATCTTTATCTACCTACCCCACGCTCAGAGTTAGTTAAAAGTTCAATATTATACAACTCGAAAAAAATGCACAATCACTTGCCATTTGAAATCAAATCCATAACATCATTTTTTTCATTTCGCAAAGCATTGAACTCTTATTTACTAGGGTACTATTTACAAGGCTTTCTACGCCGTAAATGAATTATATTTTGAAAATCAAATTTGATCTTGTAAACACTAGTCTAATGTTTGCTATTGCTATATTTACTAATGACATCGAAATGAATTTATTTAGAGGTCATTGATATTTTACTATAAACTAGCTAAATATGTTTGAATATTATTTTTATTTTTTTGTTCTTTGACATTATAAACATTTATAAATGTTTATTTTAACAATAAGACTGACAATATTATTTGTATAATGTTTTGTATTATCTTTTGTTTGTTTGTTTGTGTACCTTGTTTTTTTACTTTGTTTGTTAGTTTACCTTTGTCTACAAATTGAAAAATTTTTTGACAATAAAGGCATTTATTTATTTATTTAACTTTTTATTCGTTCAGATGAAAAAACGAGATTTGGTATGTTAGTATATGACATAAATAAGGATTGATTGACGTATTCAATTGTTTTCGGTCACTTCCTGTTTTACCGGAATTTTTTACCAGAAATGAATACAACTTTTGATTTTTAAATGGCACCTTTGATCGTCTAATGTTTTTAATGTCTTGTCCTGGCCGGTTAAAAGATGCCCAAATAGTATTTTTAATCATATCTCAATTTCTTTCAAATGGAACGAGGGTGGCTCATTAGCATATTTGGAAAAAGCATTTTTTACGAATAATTTGATACCACACATTTGGTATTTCGAGTCAAATTGTCGTTATGAACCGCATTTTACAATTTCAAATAAATCATATGCGAAAATGATGCGAAAATATCAAAAGTTGACATATGATATGTCATTTTGTTCAGAGTGACATTTTCTATCGAATAAAGTAAAAAAATACCGAGGGTGCCATTTAAAAATCAAATATTGTAGTCATTTTCGGTGAAACCGGAAGTGACCGAAAAGAATTGAATATGTCAAACAGTCCTAATTTATGTCATATACCAACAAACCAAATATCGTTGTTTTATATGCAAAAATAAAAAAGTTATAAGGGTGTGCCACTTTTGAGACGCACCATGTATGTATATGTATGTAATATCTTTAATTATTTCAAAAACCAAAGCTTGAAAAACATATTTAACCCTTATATTAAATGCTTTACTTTATGTCCAAGCATCCAAAAATGGATACTATAAAACTGATATAAAATAAAATACCGGGTGTTCCATAAGAAAAAATATAACTTTGGTTGGATCTTATTTCTGACATACCCTGTACATTTCAAAATACTTTTAAATATGCAGTTTGTCTTCCCTCATATACCCATAAAATATGTTATTCTACATCCGTTTGTATATAATTAACCGAGGCGAATGAGGTGCGCCACCCTATATATTCTGAATTTACATAAAATTTTATACAAATACTGAAATTTTCATAATTTTACGACTTTGTTTACTATTCTTTAAAGATCTCTGAAAATGTGTAAAAAACGTCGGTTTTTTTGGTTTAGACCCAATATTTTACTTGATTTTTACTTTTTTTTTAATTTGTCAATCTTAACTGATTGACATATAAAATATTACGTGTAAACGGTGCTAAATGGCTAACTATAAAAACTCTTTTTCATTAGGCACCTTCAATATGAATGAGTTAAACATATAAGCAATAAAATTAAGCAAATAAAATATAATAAAAATAAGTTTCTTTATATTTTGTTCAAATTCATTTAATACTACTATGAAAAACGCCGTCAAATTCTAAAAATGTGTCCCTATCCTATATGGAAAATCGATCACTCTAAATGACAGTTACAAAAATAAACTTTTCTCTGAAAAAAAAATTAAATTGAAAAAAAAACTATTTTTTGCCTGAAAGAATTTCGCTATTAAATCAGATTCATTACAGCATACAAATGAAACAGTCTGGAAAAATTTCACGCATCATTTCTTTAAGAAAAAATGTCTGTTTAAGAAAAAATATAAGATATTCTAAAAGAAATTATAAAAATGACCGGACATATTAACTATGCATCTTACTGAAAGCTATATATTAATAATGAAACGGTAAAAATATATTTAATAATGAGTTATGGTGCATTATTTCACTTTCCGTGCATCTTAACCCTTTATATTAACTGTATTTTATCCTTTAATACGTAGGGGAACCCCAGAAATACGATATTTTACAACTAAAACAACGTAGATTAAGATTATTGTGAAAAAACTTACCCCGAAAAACTGTAATCCCGGAAAATTTAAACTGAATTTTTGTCGTAGGGACGGAGCAAGGATTTTCACAATGGCGGCATTACTGAAAATATATATAGGTCATACTTGTGGTCGATTTTCCTCCGCGCGCAAGGGAGGATTGATTTTGTTTTTCACCCCCGGTCGGTAGGAGTGACGTCATGAGGTGTACAGAGCGCCTCTGCTTCTACAACTGTCATTTTTAGTCGACGTATACTATATCGTCCATATTATAGTTATTAGAAGAACAAGTATTTTAAACGTGATTTATTTCATATTGAATTAATACAGGGTGTTTCGAAAAACCTGTGCCATCATTCGTCGGGAAAAAGAATTATACGGTGAAGCTGTATAATAAAATGTGTCTCGTATATTTCAAGATTATGCATAAAGGATATACCGTATGATCGAAAAAAAAAACGGCGTCCGGTTGGCTTGGAAATGACGATCGATAACATTTCCTATATAATTTACATGTAAAATGACAGCGATCTGTATTTCATAGTCATCGCTGACGCCGTTTTTATTTGATCAAACGATACTATAATATACGGTCACTTTATTTCTGTGGTCTATATTTTAATGCATATACGACAGAGATTAATATACAGGGTGTTTTAAAAAACATGTGCCATCTCTTGTGGGGGAGATTCCTCTCATAAAAATAAGATTTATTTCTCATATTAACATAGGTCCGATTCTGCTTTATTTCGTAGCTACAGGAGGTTAAAGTTTTCATCTTTTTTCGATTTACTATATAAACATAAACATATACACATATACATATACCTATAAACATAAACACTTAATTTTAATGTTACGGGTTTTATTAAATCTTTTAAAAAATAGGTCTATTGTAATTATCTTAAATACTTTTTATTGAGGAATATGTTGTACAAGGTGTCCCATTTTCGTGTGTTTTACGGGGTATCTCAGTGATGTGAAAATCGCATCTTTGTATCTCTACCCATAAGCGAGATACGAAAATAATGTATATCAGTGTTATAAATTTTAATAAAATTTAGTAATAAAATACATTAAGTAAATAATAAAATTTATTAATTTTATTTGTATTTTAATTTTATTAATTGTCATATTTTTATTAATAAAAATGTATTTATCTCATCGAAGAAATCAAAATGAACAAAATAATATTTTGAAAATATCAAGATACACCTTTTAATGGGAACTAAAACCAAACACACTTTTCCTAATAACGAAAAAAGTCAGTGGCGCTCATATTTTTTTAAGAAGCTTTAGATTCAAGTAATTTACTCACCTTTTCTTTAAGTGGAAACGTTACAATACTTTTGGGGACGTTGTAAACCATTGTTTTCCTCTTCTTACCGTGATAAATTTTTGAAATTTTTAAACGAGTAATATCCCAACAATTTGCATCTTTGTTATAAACTAATGCCAATATATAGTTCTTAAAAAATATACACATAATTAACAAATAGATACTTCCGATATTCACTTGAATCGATTTGAGATATTAGATATGCTTATATCACGACGACTGCCACAAAATTCATTTTAATGTAGTGATTGATATATTAAAAGAGGTAATACCTATATATCAAAATATTTTTTTTAATTAAAATATATTGGGCAATAATACTAATTATATCAAAACTAATCTACGTGGGCAGATAATAAACTAGAATTAATTAAGAACCAATTTCCTAGAGGGTAGCAGAGTGATCTTATTTTAATTACATAATATAACAGCAACAAAAAAAGATAACGTTTATTATATTTTTTTTTCTTTCGTAATATTTTTTTTAATAATTCTCGCCATATATAATACTTCGTATGCTTCCAATTAAGTTGATTTGCCATTTATAGTATGTTCGACCTAATTAAAAGCATGCATTGTGTTTTGACATGTTCAAAATTCTTTTAAATCCACAAATCCACTCTAAAACAATTTTTAAATTTAAAAAAGTGCCACTGTTCCTAGGGTGCTTTCTGAAAAACACCAGGTGGCGCCTACGTATAATGAATTTGAAATGTATTGTGAGTTACCTATTATTTTCATAAAAGTCATTTAAGAATTCTCTTTTTTATTAAGCTTTGATGTAAAATTAAAATGATAAATTAAAAAACAACACTTAAAAATATAATAAAGCCATTAAACAATACTTTTTCTATAAATATATGTTGTTTACACGTAGAAAACCTTTTTGTAATTATATTTTATTACACGCTCATCCCTGTTTTGACAGGACATCGATGATTTGGACAATTTTGACATTGACATCGAGACTAAAAACTGACAGAGCATCGATGGTTTTAAATCATCGATAATTTCAAATTCAAAAAAATATGTGTGCTTTTGTCTTTTCCTGTTATTTTTATTCAATAAATTTATGGAATAAAATAAATAATTTTTAGAGACTGTATTCAGAAGAATTTTTGAAAGGAGCATATGGATAAAGTAGGTTTGGATAAACGCATTAGGGATAAAGTGTTGCTAGAAATTCAGCATAATAATTTAACAAGCTTGAAAAAACTTAAAAGCGAAAATCCGTTGTTTCATTGGAACCATATTTGTTACGAAAAAACTGGAGACTCGCTACTTCACGTAGCTTCTAGACTGGGCTATCAGGAAATTATAGATTATCTGTTAAGTGATGAGTTTGGCACAAGTTGTGTTGATATAAAAAACAAAGACGATAAAACACCTTTGCATGAAGCAACCCAATTTGGACAACTTGCTAGTGTTTTAAAGTTATGTTCGTATGGGGCCGATGTAAATGCTCTACGAAGAGGGGACTGGACGCCTTTAATGTTAGCATGTACAAAAATTCAAGATGATATTAGTTTACAAATTGTACAGACACTTTTTAGAAATGGTGCACTGATAAATATAAGGAACAAAGATGGTTGGAGTTGTGCACATATGTTAGCTCGTGAAGGTTCAATAGAAATACTAGAATTTTTAATAAGCAGAGGGTTAGATGTAAGCAGGTATAATTTTTGTATGATTGTATTTATTACAGATATTTTTAACAGGTTTCTATAAATACAAAAAATGGACGAAGTCCTTTGCATATCGCTTCTTTACATGGACATATTGGTATTTCCTCGTTACTATTAAAATATATTGATATTAACTTAAAGGATAATTGTGGAAATACGCCATTACACGAAGCAGTACTAGGACAACATATTGATTTGTGTAAATTTTTAATTAAAAATGGTGCTAACATCTGTGCAAGAAATAATAGCGATTTTAGGTGAATTTCTAATATTCATATCAGGGTTTTATCAATGTAATTTTACTGTTCTTTTAAGTTTACTCCATTTAGCAGCTAGTAAAGCCCAAAATAATATAATAAAGTACATTTTAAATGAACTTAAATTTGATATTAATGATCAAAATAGAAACGGATGGACTTCACTGCATTGTGCTGCAAAACAAAGTAATAAAGAGGCTTACAAATACTTAGAAAAAAATGGTGCAAATGTAGATATTAAAGATAATTATGGCAGAACAGCTTTTGATTATTTATAAGGTAGGAAAACAAAAATACAATATTTTATATTATATATTGTTTTATTTGCGATAATACAATATAATTTAAATAATATACTCATTGGACAACTTCTTAAAGTATCTTAACTTGAAATTAAAATAGAAAATCATGCGATAATTGAAGAATTGATATTTTAAAATTAATAATTCTCTTTTCTATTTTCACGACGTCCTCCACGATAGTTTTGCCTGTCCCCTCTGAAATTACCCTAAAAAATAATTCAAAACATATAATTCCATACTTTAAATTAACTATTTATTTATATACAAAGTAACTAATTAAAAGAAAAACAGTTGTTTCCTAACTAAAAAAGGTTTTTTATATACAGGGTTGTTCACCTCATTCAACACCGAGCAAGAACAATTAGATTTTTAGAAATTGTGACTGATGGGATTGTTGGAGGACTACTAAAGCTACAATTTAAAATTATTTTCAAAAGGTACAGAGTGTTCCAAAAAAAATAAAAAAATATCGAAGTTGTATTTTTTTAAACGTAACACCCTGTATATTATTACATTTTTGGTTTCTACGGTTAAAATAATGGTAAGTTTAATTAAGGTTTCTCGCACTTTAATCTTACCGTTTTTGAAATATTTACGATTTTGTATGTACATATGTAACAATTTTAATGTTTTAATTTCTTTAGGCTGAGTATTTAAGTTTTTAAAACCAAGTATTGTACTGAAGTTTTTCTATTTACTAAATTTTGTGTTGCAATAATAAAAATTATACTCCCTTATACAGAGTGTCTAAAAGTTTATATTAAATAATTACGAGCTTTAAACGGCAATAACTTGTTTAATTTAAATAGATCACTATATTTTACGTGAATCAGATGCAAAAAAATTAATTGTCTATCAAATTGTATTATACCATTTTTACCTATCTCTTCAAGTTTTCTTAGAAAATACTAATTTTTATAACTAATAAATTTTCTTATGGTATCTTGATAAGTGAGGTTTAAATTATAAGAAAATGCATTTTCTACGAAAACTTAAAGAAATAGGTAAAAAATGGTATAATACAATTTGATAGACAAATAAATTTTGCATCTAATTCTCGTAATATATACAGGGTGTTTCATTTAAATTAAACAACTTATTGCCGTTTAAAACTAGTAGTTATTTAAAATTAATGTTTGGACACTCTCTATAAGGTAGTATTTTTTTTATTATTGCAACACGAAATTCAGTAATTAGAAAAACCTTAGTACAATATTTGGTTTTAAAAACTGAAATTCGCCTAGAGAAAAGCATTAAAATTGTTACTGCATTTTCACAAAAACGTAAATATTTCAAAAAAGATAAGATTAAAGTGCCGTAAACCTAAATTAAATTTTCCTTCATACAAACTAAAAATGTAATAATATACAGGGTGTTCTATTTAAAAAAAATTAACTTTGAATTTTTTTATTTATTTGGGACACTCTATACCTTTTGAAAATAATTTTAAATTGTAGCTTTAGCAGTCCTTCAACGATCACATCACTCACTAAAAATGTAATCGTGTGGATACAATACTTCTTGTCGAATGAGGCGAACAACACTGTATAAATGAAAGAAAAATGAGTTACCTGGTTTGCTCCGCGTAAGAAGAAGTTGCCTTGTTTCGATTCCAAGATGCGTTCGTTGGAATCGACGAAATTATTGATTTTATCAGCGAGTTGCAGTGCTAGAGATTGCAGCCTGGACGGTTCACTGCGGTGCATGACAACGGTTTGCGTTGGATCATCCAGAGAAGCCTAATAATTCAACCTTATTAATTATATTCTAAAACTTAAAAAAAAATAAAACTTTACCATGAGTTCTTCGTTAATTATCATCTTGGAAATGATGGAATGCACGACAGGTTTTTGCAATTCAAACATTTCAGCCAATGTTTGCATTGATATGGAATCGTAAACATGGGAATATGTAAACAAGTAAGTCCTTAAAGATTCTTCTTTAATTAATTTTGTCAGCATGGCCCTGAAATTGTTTATATATAATAAATATAGTAGATTGATATTGAAGCGGAATCTCTCGTGAAATGGACTGTATAGAGAAATCAATAAAAATTGGCGATCGCGTCATCAAAAGGTGCGTTCACACCGGCTGCGCTGCTCCGCGCCGCGCAGCGTAAATCACTTTTTAACATATACTTTTATGCGCGCTAAAAAATACACTTCAAAAATACATGTTAAAAAAATGTCTTGAGCGGCGCGGCGCCGGCGCAGCCGGTGTAAACGCACCTAAAGACGTTAAAATTATTACCAAATTAAATTTCGAATAAATAGGAAATCATTTGATAAAGACTGTTCAGCCATCGTTCACCGTTACGTCATTATTATTTGTCAAATATGAGTTTTAGGGTGTGTCTGAGATCAGTTCATATTGTTTAGAAAATTTTAAGTACGTTCCTATATTATTGAATAGATACGTTGTGAGTAGAATCTCACAAAAAGTAAAGACTAATGTTATCCAATTAGAACTTTACATGTTTCAGCTTTCATACAGAAAACTGTGCAATAATCAAAGCAATCAAATAATCAAAGTTGATTAGGTCAAATAAACAAAGTAATAACTTAGATATAAAAACAAATATTTGTATGTCAATATACTGTCATACAGTATAAGTTGTCATACAGTATAAGTTGTGTGTACAGAGTGAGAAAAATAAATTCGTTAAGTATTTTATCGTGAGTTTAAATTAGTGGACCCACGGAGTCCGTAACAATATCTTGATGAAGAGCGCGCCAACTTTCATTGATTTTCCATCGTTTCTTATGTAGAGCGCAAAATATACCTCACAGAGTCGGCTTGATAGAACAAGTCCCACACTTTGGCGTTCATTTTATCGTTGATGATGAAAGTATCGCAAGCCGACCAATTTCCGTTACGCATGGCTTTTGCGGCAGCTACTACGTGCTCCCTCATACTTTCCGGAGGACCTACCAAGCTTTGACGTTCTGAAGACCTGTGGATAATATTTTATAATGAATCAAAGCATATTATTGAAAAAAAGTATTTTTTTTTCTTTTCATAATGTTGTTGAGAAACTATTTATTACACGTAAAAAACTATTTTTTACGCCTAACAAAACTAGTTTTTTACACGTAAAAAACTATTTTTTAAGCGTAAAAACTTTTTTTAATGACAAAAAATTGCTGTTAAGTACCTTAATTGTTGGTAGAAGGTTTTTGAAATCATTCTTCTCCTGGCATCGAATTCATGAGCTGCCATATAAGGTATTTCAATTAACATGGCGGATACTAAGTACACACACTCCAAAAGTTCCAGGTTAATGTGCATATGGAACGGCATTTGACGTTGCTTCTCGATTTTTTCCTGTTCTTTAGAACGTTCGTGCTGTCTTTGTGGTAACAACCCTTAGGAATGGGAAAATAAAATAGATATAAATATTTTTTAAAAAAATTTACGATTTCAGCTAGAAAAAATATTGATATTTTAAAACTTGTTGTGAAAGTGAAGCAAATTATTTATTAATTTGTATTTTACGCGTATAAAACTATTTGTTATATGTAAAAAACTATTTTTACACGTAAAGAACTATTTGTTACACGTAAAAAAAGTACTTGTTACACGCAAAAAAACTATTTATTACGTGTAAAAAACTATTATAGGTAGAAAAATTATTTTTACACGTAAATAAATATGTGTTTTTATTACTTTTTCAACATTTCAAACTACACTTTTTCAAACATGTCCTTCAAATCTTTAGTTAGAAAAATATGGCTCACCTTGAGCTAAAAGTTCTTTTGGTTTGCCGGTCATCATCAGATCGACAAGACAATTATGGGCGTCCTTAATGTTGGCATGTCTAAACGCGCACAATCCCAAGTGAGCCATCATACGGTTGTACAAAATTTGCGTGCTCGGATCAGAGTGGTGAATTGTTTCTTGCAAGTGGGACATTAAGAACAAATCTCTTGCCTAAAAATATATCGCTCTAAAGTACAGCATAAGTACCATACGATCGAAAAAAAAACGACGTCAAAGACGGTTGGGGAATGACAATCGATGATAATTTTGGCGACGTCAAGCCCTAGACGTCATTATTTGGCCCGTACTCTTCTTTAAGAAGCCTTCTATAAAAATTAACTTATAAATTTTTGACTTATAAGTTCTATATCACTTTTTTGTAAATGACGCCTAGAGATTGACCTCGTCAAAATTATCTTCGATTTTCATTTCTCAGGCGTCTTTGACGACGTTTTTTTTTTATCGAATGGTAGATGATTCTGAGGTGTATACCTGAAACCAGTTATCGTGTAGAGCATGATGATAGATGTGGGATAAGATTGCTCTAGTTCTGAGTCGATCAGTACCATCCCTGGCATAGATAAATTTGCATAATTTTTCCATCTCTTGAACGGATGTTACGACAGTTTTTGGAAGTTCACCTTTGAAAAGAAAACAGTAAAGATTAATAGCATTATGAATATTTTAGTCACACTGTATATGATACAGGTTGTCCCAATATTTGGTGGACATTGAACTACCCTTGTTGAACTACTACATATTTTCGGAGGGAAAATAAGTTCATTGGATACAATTTCCCTCTATACAAAAATGCTTTGTTTGTCCATTAGAGGACATCAAACTTTAAACAGATGTTTTCATATATTTTAACAACCGTTATTCCGAATTGTAAAAATATATAGTAGTTCTATGTACAGGGAATATTGGGACACCCTGTATATACAAAATTATATAGATTCATACCTGATTTTTGTTGTAGAACTCGTGGATCAAACTTGTAATAAAGATGCTCGATTTTCCTCAAATAAATGCGACATATCTCAGAAGGAATGTTAGTTCTTTCAAGATATTGCATAGTTTTATCGATTATATTGGACACACGAGCTTCATCTTTCAATCTTTCAACATACTCGTTTGAATGAGGGTCGCATTCCTTTAACAACTTGATAAATTCATCATCTAACCTATTGACAAAAAAATGTTTTGACTCAAAATGTACAGGGTGGCGTCTCTCATACGACTCGGAGGCCCCTTTACATACTACAATATTACAGCCACCTAGATTTTATCACAAGACACAAATCATAAAAATGAAAATATCTAGAAAAATCATAGTCTGGGGGGTAGGCAACCTTAACATTATTTTGAAGAGGCTTGAATTCTCCATTGGATATCGGAATAATACACTGGGTGTTTCATTTAAAATAGAAGAGTAACTTGCTTTTAAAAGCAGTCAATGTTCAATATTAATTTTGTCTCACCCTGTATAACTTTCCAGGTCAAGTTGAAATTTGATTTAAAGTGCAACAGTTATTTTGACTAACTATTAGGCTATACCGGGTAATTCCATTTTAGGTAGCTTTTATTGAAATTTAAAATTTGTTTTTTATTTTTAGAAAATGTTAAACATATCAAAAACACATTTTAATCATATGCTTCTCTAGTGAAAGTCACCTTTATTTTTTTCCTCGAACCCGAAAATCAATCCTATTACAAAAAATACAACTTTGATATGTAACTTTTTCTAGGGGCACCCTGTACCACTGTATATAGTTTTAAAATATTCTCTAAATTAACCTATATAAGCTCACTAAATTTAATTTCAATACAAACTGTCGTTCCCCTTGAAGCTGCCGTTTCGTATGAGAGTATACAGGGTGAAACACAAAAAAATACAAACCTCTCTACTGAAGTTAAGACACAACCCCGTATCTTATAGGGTGGCTCTTCCAAATTCTCTGATTCTTCTGTAACAGAGTCTGCCACAATTAAATTGCTGTTACTTAAGAGAATATCAAGCATTTCTGACATTCTTTCCAAAAGTTTTGTCCAATATTCGGGCTAAATATAACAAAAAGAGATAATTAAAAATAAAAAAAAATATAATAAAAAATTTTACTTTAAGATAAATTTTAAGATTAATTAATAAAACATACTAACCTTCATAGCATCAGATACTTTGGGATTATAATCGAAAATAGCTGATATAATGGCAAATTTAATTTTAACAAACATAGCTGGCCCAAGTTTATGTTGATCAGAAATTGCTTGTAACTCATGCAAAAGTTCAATTTGTTCTCTACGATCTGTACGTTTCTTTCCTCTAGCAGCCATAATTTCGCTTAGTTTTTTTATAACAAGATTTAGATCGATCTCTGCATCTTTGGCAAACATTTTCGGCTTTTCCTGTAAATAAAATAGAGCTATAAGGCTATTCAGTCTGTTTGTAGCATCCCTGTATATATAATTACGTGGATATATCATCGCCATAAGATTAGCATTAAGCTGTCTCTATCGTCAAGATATGCAATTTTCATACCTTCTTTGTTGCACTTATGAAACGTTCAATAGGTTTGTCCTTTCCGAGGACCTTACTTTGCGCAAGCGCATTAAAAATTGAAAGTTGTTTCAATATAATCACCAGCGTTGTGCGATACAAAATATTCGACAATTCTTTTGGAAACATTTTACCAATTTTATTTATTTTTAATTGAAGGCGCGATTTTTAAATCCATTGTTCCCAACCATGGACATATTTGACGCCGGGCTGCCTAACTGGAATGTATTCGTATTCACTAAGAGTGGGTCCCAAGTGGGCGGCCACTGCGGCCGCGAGGGCCTATTGTCGCTTAACTGGAATCTAAGTTTCCCGCTAGGGATTCAGAAGGATAGATAGAGTAGCTGTACCGCGTGTGCAACAAAGAAACAAGATAATAATACGTCGTTGATATGTTTACGATAGTTTTTCTAAATATTTACTCATTCACGTAAGCATATATATGATCTAAGATTAATTGTAATAAAAAAAAATATCTTACACTAGGAATGGCTATACCATATTTCACTTTTTCCCAACCTTCTCCATCTCCGTCTTCCTCTTCAGCCTCCTTCTTCAATTTCCTTCGTTCTTTCTCTTTCCTTTCTTTACGTTTCTCTTCCTTTCTTCTCTCTTTTTCTTCGTCGTCCTCCTTGTTTTTCTTCAAAAACCTATTTAAAAAAAAATCTTAATTTTTTGGTAATTATTTTTGACAAGTGGTAAATAAATACTATTCCAAAAGGAATTTGTAGTAGCTATTGAAATTGAAAATAAACAATTTGTTTCTCTCACTTTAATAAGTTCTTTAAATTTCAAATATTTTTTTCTGTAAAATAAAATGGGGAATTTTTGTTTATTATTTTAAAATTTGCATGGGATTCACGTAAATATTTATACCTTTCTCTCATGCTTGTGTATTTCCCATCATCTTCATCCGATGAATCAGAACTTGATTCAGAATCCGAAGGCCACTCGTCCGAATCTGAATCAGAATCTTTCTCCTAAGGTGTTTAAAACATTTAGTTTTTTAAATTTTGATATATCCCTGAAAAATTTACCTGTTTTACAGCATGTGCTGTAGGGGTTTTGATAAACTGGTTCTTAACAGGTGGTTCATCATCAGATTCATCAGCAGGTTCATCTAAAAATAATTTAAATATATCCAAAAAAGATACAATGTATTTATAAAATTACTTTTGTCTTCTTCCTCTTCATCATCGGGTTGATCTGGGTTCTCTCTGAACTTAACAATGTCTTCTTCAAAGTCTTTAAGGTATTTCCGCAGTTTTTGACGCATGGAAGCCAAGGATTTACTAAAATAAATTAAAAGATAAAGTAGAGGAAGGAATATTAATTATAATAATAATACTAATCACTTTATTTAGCCCATAGCTAGGAAAATTCAATCCATGTAAAATAAAAAAAGAAACAAAATCACAAATCACATAAACAATCAAAGTGTGTTTAGGAAGGATTGGTTAAGCATTTTGTATATAAATATCATAGTGTGTTAAGAGTAACAGTGTCTAAATTATAATCAGTTTACCTGTTGTTTTTACTCATGTTCTTTCTCCCATCTCTGTCTTCCCACATTTCGTTAATAAAATCTTCCATCTCTGCCAGACACCTAAGGAAAAATCTAGGGGTTTGTCCATTTTCTTCCTTGGCAATAACAGGACTGGCTTTTACAAATGCTTTTTGAAGATCCTCAAAACCTTAGAAAATAAAAATAACTGTAAATAAATTCTACCAATTTGTTTTTTCATACTTACTATTAAGCATACTGGACATATCTTTGATCTTTTTAAAGTTCCTAATTTGCTTGATAATATTTGTAAGTTCTTCATAACGTTTCTCTTTTGCTGATCGTACTACACGTTTTACTTCCTCTTCATCATCCGAAAACTAAAAGTTATATAGAGTATTATATTTTTAAACGTACAAACAAAATTTTAATAATACTGACGGTGAATTGAGGTCCGGCTGGGCGCTGGATTTGTTCCTCCTCAGATGAGCTATCGGAATCTGAGTCCGAACCCGCGAAAAATCGACTCATATTGCCTTAATGATCTATCTGAAATTCCAAGTAATTAACCTAACATCTTGAATAATTATTGTGTATGTGATAAAGCAGATAACAATGTCATTAAAAAAATTAAATAGTTTGTTCAATTATTTGAGCAATTTAAGAAATAGAATTACATTAAAATTACACTGCAAGATATTTTAACAAGAAAAAATATGTAGACATGTGGGGAATTGGTGCCTCTATTTAAAAACATTATTTTAGCTAGTTTAAATTATGTTAATTACTTTATACTTATGAACTATTATTAGTACCTGAAACTATAACGTAAAAACACTTGTCTCAATCACAATTTTGTGAACAGAAGCCGTAATATAAAGATAAATATTTGAAAAACTGGAAAATTATACTCGAGCTAATCGAGGTTATCTTTTGAGCAGCCTAGTCAGTTGTCGTTGTCAATGTCAGCGTTGTTACCATAGATCAAATGTAGATAAGAAAACGTAAACCATAGAGATGGGTACTTGTCTTTTTTACGCTTTTATGTAAAAAACTAATAAATCGAGACACAACTGAATTTATCATCTTTTCAACCGAGATATTAGCAGCGGACTGGCTATTGAGCAATACTATGGAGAGAGATTATAGAAATTATTGTTTGAACGTAATAAATACAACACGAGCATTTTTTTTTAGAGGATAATCGCAAGAGACATCTCTTGGACGTTTCACGTTACTCGAATGGGAAATTCTGGGAACCACCTAGAAGTGACATCTGCAGGAATTTTTTGGCATTTACTTATTTAAAAAATATAATATGAATTAATGTTAATATAGTATCTAATTATAATAAAAGCAATCTAGTTATAAACAATCCTTTATTGCCAAAAATATCGATATAATTTAATACATCCAATTGTGATTGTTTATAGCAATTGACACATTTTATGTACACTCAGAAAAATATTTTTATACAATTTATCATGCTAAAACAGTTTTTTAAGCTCTCATAGTTTGAAACACACCAAATATCAAACTTATATGGCAAAAATGTAAAAGTATACTTGAAATGTTTGTACTAGGATAAACATTCCAACAAAACTCTATAATACCTAATAATAAAAATCTAAAAGGTATTCTATAATTTGTACAAAACACTAAATACAGTAGACTATGAAAATACCAACTATAAAATTGATAGTGTAATGACCTAGCACAGGCTACACCTATTAAATTCGTTATAAAAAATGGTAAAACGAATAATTGTGATATTTTTGCCATGCGATCTTGTAATTTTACTTTTTCTTCATAAAAACTGTCTTGGGAGTCTCTAGAGTTTGATTTCATCTGGTTCTCTATTACATTAAGGTACATTTTTTCTTTCTTCGATATTTGTCCATTGGCTTTCCTTTTATTAAGCATTTTCCTGTACTTTTCTTCCTGAATTTGTGAATTCAATGTACTTGAAATTACTTGAAGCTTAGCGTAACTACTCAAATATTTTCTCAAGAGTGGAAGAAATATTATTAGTAGAAATATGTGTAAAATGAGCAAACCTATATGAAAATATTTATGTTCGAATATATGTTGTGAAAGAAATCTATAATTTACTGTCCATTTATGCTCAAAAACTCGTCCTAGATCAAAACTACATTTAATATAAGAAAATGGATTGGTATATAAGAATGGTGCTGCTAGGACCAGCTGAATAAATCCACAAATAAACAAATTTATTGTTGTTTCTGTATAAGATAAATTAGTAAGATAAGCTACTAATAAACAGGGAGCATACAGTAAAATATTCATCTTAACACTAACTGCCAAGGAATAAAAAACACTGCCTAACTTCCATTTGTTTGAAATAAACAGGTTTAAACTAATATAAAACAACAGTACGGCGACAGGGTCATTAAAAAGTCTCAATACAAATATAGAATGAATTCTGTATGAAGTCAGAGTGACTAGAATTAAAGCATAGGGCGGGATTTTTGCTGTAATTCGGTATATTCGATGTATCAGTAAGGTTTGAATAAGGTATAATACCAAAAATATATACTGAGCTAAGTATACGTTGCTGCCTTGGTTTGTTACATAATAAAATGCTGTATACAAGTAAACAAAACCTGCTGGGTACACTAATGGGCCTGTTTCGCCTAAAAATAAACATGATATAAATATACCTATCATAAATACTTAATAAAGCCCACTAACCTTTAAGGTACTGATAATCCCAAGTACCATTTAAAAATCCTTCTACTTCTTGCATATAGGCATCCCAATCGATTTTAGTGTACTTGACTCGTTCGATAATAAATATATTCAAGCATGCTTCGAAAAGAAACACCAAGAAGCATACGGGGCCTAAATAATGGGGATCCAACACCAGTTTTTTAAGGGTACTAACTTTAAAATACCTCTTGAAAATGTTTGGTTGTGTGGGAGCTTTTAATTTGGTTTTCGACGAAGGCATATTTTTAAATCGGTTTCTCAAACATTACTTAAAAGCCTTGTTAAAAAAGCTCTTTAAATTTAGGCATGGAAACTAGGTTAATCCATTATTTTTATTATTTTTAGAATTTTTTATCATTATGCAACTCAATATACACTGTGCACCACAGATACCATCTCTGATTTTAGTTCATTTGAACTAAGCTGTTACTATTCTGTGGATAAAATTAGTTTTGACATAATATATTTATATTTTCTGTGGTTAATATTTCTCATCGATTTCTAAATTTCCAAAAAAATTAAATAAATAAAAAATCTACCAAATTCTAAATAATTTATTGTCCACAGTAATTTAAAAACTTCTTGGAGTGTGATTCTTAAGAGCTATGCAGCTAATACAAGAAAACGAAGCTTTACAAACCAACGATGAAGAAAATATGAACTTATGGCAAAGTATCTTGAATGATGTACAGAAACATGGAAATCCGAAGTTGAATCCCAATAAACAGATTGTAGTTTTGGGTGACAATGAATCAGGAAAGACCACTATGGTACTGATACTGTTTACCGCAATAAACACATTTATTATAATTTAACATGCCATTTAAGGTAGCCAAGTTACAAGGCGTAGAAAATTCTAGTAAAGGATCTGGTTTAGAATACGCTTACATCAACGTTAGAGACGATTATCGTGACGATCACACTCGACTGGGTGTGTGGGTATTAGATGGAGACCCGTCTCATTCTGATTTACTGAAATTTGCATTGAACGAAGAAAACTTTCAAGCAAGCATTACTTTGTAATAGTACTATTTAATCTTATAATATCTATAATTTTAGGACACTTTAGTGATACTTACAGTATCTATGACAACACCTTGGGGTATATTAGAGCAGCTCCAACACTGGTCCTCTGTGTTAGCTGATCATCTAGATAAACTCAAGTTAGACATAGATTCCAGGCAGAATAGAAGGCAGTCAATGATTAAAAAATGGATGGACTATGTAGAACCAGGTATGCTATTAATTACATATTAAACCAGTGAATAACTTTTTTAAAATGCTTTCATTTTAAGGTGATGAGCTAGATCCAGCTTCACCAATGAAAAGGAGTTCAAGGAACTTAGGAGATGATGATAATGAGGACTATGATAGTAGTGCTTTGCCTGAAGGAACCTTGACTACAAATTTGGGGCTGGATATAGTCATAGTTGTTACTAAAACTGATTATATACAAACCCTTGAAAAGGAACATGATTACAGGTATTTATTTTATATTAAGGGTTTGAAAATATCATGAATATTTATATAAATATCTTATCACAAGATATATCTAAAAAAAATTGTTTTACTTATAAATTATATTTAACACAATCACAAACTAACAGAAACTTAACATAACAAAAAGTCTATTATTTTACCTCTATAATAAAAAGAAAAACTATTTAAAAATACACAGTTTATTACATTATTTTAGTAACATTGATGTTGGCATATTTTCATTTGATGAATTATTAGTATCAGTAAGGATTTTACTATATCTTAATAATTCTTCTGTTGAGTGTTGATATTCTTGTATACTATAAATATCATGATAAATACTGTGATATATATCTTGATATGATAACATGATATCTATTATGTATATTTTATATTTATTTTGGAATAAGGAAAAATAAGTTGCCTTAATTTTTACAGAGATGAACACTTGGATTTTATGCAGCAGTGGATCAGAAAATTCTGTTTACAACACGGCGCTGCTTTGTTTTACACTAGCGCTAAAGAAGACAAGAATTGTGATCTGTTATACAAGTAAGAATATAATAGTTTTGTTTAAATCGAACATAAATAAATAAAGGTTCTTCTAGGTATTTGACTCATCGAATCTATGGATTTCCTTTCCACACACCAGCCCTAGTGGTGGAAAAGGATGCAGTATTTATCCCTGCCGGATGGGATAATATGAAAAAAATCAGTATTCTACATGAAAACATGCATTCCTGCAAGCCTGACGATTATTATCGTGATGTTATTGTACAACCGGCTACTAGAAAGGTTAACATTCAAATTAAATACTGTATGATCTAAAAAAACTGGGTGTAAGATGGCTGCGGAATAATAATCGATGATAATTTTGGCGAGGTCAATCTCTAGACGTCATTTACTAAAAATTACTGGTCAAAAATTAACACTGACTATAGAAAGATTAAAAAAGAATAGAAAGTAATAATAATATATTTTTATAAACAAATTTCTTTTGCATAGGCTGTAAATAGAGAAACCGAGCTTATTGCTGAAGATGAGCAGGGATTTTTAGCTAGATTGCAGCAAATATCGTTTGGTGGAGCTCCTGCTCCTGGAGCAAGACTAGGAGAGAGCCCTATGAGGCCTGGACCAATCACAGGTATACAGTTATTATGCTATTATTTTTTTAATACTAATTATTTTTTTAAATCTAGGTATGCAACCTTCTCCACGCAAACTTGATGGTTCCAAGGTGGTCAGTACGCCTGGTGGTGAAGGAGTTTTGGCGAATTTCTTCAATTCATTGCTACATAAAAAAACGGGATCGCCTAATACTTCTTTGGTTAATAAATCAGGTAAGTTTATATGTATACAGGGTGATTCACGGCCATGGTACGGTAGACGTTTATGGAGAACCATTGCTAGAATTTTTTTGGAAATTTGGATTTTTACATAAAGGCGCCTGCTCCATCTGTCTTGCGGCGTCATACTAAAAGTGGAGAATCTTTGTTATTTTAAATGGAATACCTGGTATATTACTACATTTTTCGAAACTTCTTTCATATCTCCTACTTTTTTATTACACTAACCTATCTCTAATAGTTTCCGAGATAAAAAACAAAACATGTGTAAAGTCTCTATCGGTTTCCTGAAAGTTTTCTTATTACGGAACACAGTTCCTGAAAAATTCTGTTATAACTGTCACCAAACTAACCAGCGCGAGAAAGCTGGTTTTTCTGGTTTTGTTTGTCAGTCAATGTCATTTATGGGACAGAAATCAAGCAAATATTGGAAGTTCGAGTGAAATTCTCATTTAATTTCTAAAATTTGTAATAATATTTTGTATTTACATCCAAAAGCAATGGAGGTAGGCAGTGAAGGTAAATAAATTTCATTCACTAAATAAAACGACTTTTTAGGACCATAATTTAAACTTATGGCAGCCATTGTTTCTTAAAGTCAGGAACATTTAAAGAAAACATGAAAAACAAGACAACAAGTAATCGTGAATGTTTTGTAAGCTATAAAAATATAAATATTGATTAGATTTGTTTATTTTTTATTGATCTGTTTTAATATTGGACCTGCAAATCTTCACTTGAGCTGTCTAACGAGTTTAACAGTTTATTAATAAAGTACTTTTCAATATTAAACTCCATTGAAAAGAAGAAGCAAACGTAAAAGCAGAGAATAGGTACATTAAAAATGCATAAAAGATAAATGTTAAAATAGAGCTATTGAAATTAGAAAACGTCAAAATTTGACGTTTCCAGTATTTTACCAAACCGTTCTGTATCAAACCGATGTTTTTCAGGAACCGCTCTTTACCGTAGTTTACCGGTCTGGTTTGCCTGGTTTTGCAACGGAATACAGCGTTTAATTGCTAAATTTGTAAAATTGTCATGGTAACGAAATTTTTGAAATGAGACTTTAATAATAGAATTATTATTTTTTAAATAAGTCTACTTAAGTAATTTTCAAAAAAATTTTATCACAGATTCTTCGTAAACCTCTAACGTACGTGAATCGCTACACACAGAAGTTTTTATTTGTTTATCATATTCTTTCATATTAAAAATGTACTAAACATAGTACAAAATTTTTAGTTAATAACATCCCTTGTGTTAAATGCTATTTTCAAGGTAGATATTTGCACAACCTCGTCTAGACAGTCGAGTTTTTAGCGTCATAGTGTATGAAGAGCCAATTCTTTCTATTAAAATAACTGCGATTTATATTGTAGGTTCGGAATCTTTACCCGACAAGGCTACGATGCGCTCAGATGCGGCAGCTGAGCTGGATAGATTAGCTAGGGGAGGTAAAAAACCGCCCGCGCCATCTAGTGTCAACAGTAGTACAAGCAGCGGGGTCGATTTTAACGCATCAGATTGTTGAAAAGTATATATTTAACTGCTTTACAATCTTTAAATACCAATTTTTAAATTAATTTATTAATATTCAGCTTTAAACTAGACTTTTTTTATGTATAAAATATGTTATAATGGATATACCGCGAGAAAAAATTGTTCTACGAATTAAATTCACTGTCTAACAGTTTGTCAAACGAGTTAGAGGAGATTTCGACAGACGACATCCTTGAAAAAATTACAGAAAATTCATTACTTACTAATCAGAATGTAAACCCAGATTAAGATTAGTAAGTAATATTCTTAGGACAATATTTTCATTAAAAAATCGCGAACATAGTGCTTGTTCTAACACAACACAATTATTTTAAGTTGAATTAATTAATGTAAACACTCTTAACATTATAAATAAAATATTTATCCAATATATTGGAAAAATTACATTAAATTTTTTTTTTATATATAAAAAGATAAATATTTGTGATGTTTGGGCTTGGTATGGCTCTTAAAGCTTATAATAAATAAATTTGCAATTTGCATCCCACGTTAAAATATATTTCTCAATATTCAATTATTTTTCCTATATTTTATAAAAAAGGGATGAAAAACTTGAATAAAAAACCTAATATGAACGTTTTTGAATTCCCTGTATATTTATAAAACATTATCATATCGTTTTATCGTCAATTTTTGCTTATTTTCCACTTACCGTGTTTATTTTCGTATGCAGAAAATTTCTATCATATGTAAATTTGGTGTTCAACCAAAACCAATAACGTCTTAACTAAAATTTCAGTATTAGTTTTTTTCTTGAATTCTCATCGTTTTTTTAAATCAAACAGTTGAATTCTTTAGCTTGCAAACCAAAGACATTTTACGATATTATCTACATCATTGAATTTTAAAGTTTTAAATGAACTGGAAATTTTAAAATGGTGATAAAACATAAGCTTTATTATTTTTTACATTACAACATTTGTTTGTAGCATAGAAATGTTTTTTTTTTCATAAATTTAATTTCTCTTTCCTAAAAATTGATACAATTTTGAGTTCTCTGCCCAAAAATGTATGTCTTGTTAATTTTTGTTAGGTTAGGTTGTAGCTTAAGATCAACCCAACCCCTAATTTTGCACCCTTATAGAGGGTTGAATTCCCTATCGAATGCATATACGTATTACTTTTTACAAATATACTCAGGGTTCCCTATTTAACCCCGTGTGCAATTTCTGTGCCGTAAGAAAAAGACAACATAACCCAGCTCCATATTAAAACTGCATAAGTCTATTTCACCCGGATATGGATTGAACTGCGATTGCGCCAAACTCCGATTGATTGTTGTTTTAGTTCTGTTTGGATAACTTTTTATTTGTGCGCGTAAAAGAGTGATTTTGTTTAGTTTATTGTTTCCAACTATTTTTTGATATTTTTCCAACTCCATGATAATGTGTTATAAATAATAAAAATATAAATAAAATTGAAGGTTAGGGGAAACGTCAGTCAACCACTTCCCTTTAAAAACATCGACCAATGAAAACTTCTTCAGGTGAGGCATGCTCAGTTAAATGAATATCCGGGTGAAATAGACTTATGCAGAATTCCATATTGTTCTTTCACTGTTTGGGCTTCACTTTTTGGAGATTAGGCTGAGTATATTTGTAAAAAGTAATACGTATATGATCGAGTGCCCTCTTCCGGTCCTCGATATCTCTTATAGTTTGGCCGTAATTGGCGTTTTTCAAAAAAAATCTAAGTGTTCTAACTCGTTGGCCGGTACTCCAAAATTTGCCAGGCAGAAATTATTTTTGGCAACTTTTGATAAAAAGCGAGACATCTTGAATTTGTATCAGGAGCATATAAGAGCGAGGGGGTATTTTTCGGCAGCAGGAGTGAGTTACAATCACCATTTAGTTGAGAATTGTTGATCTAAATAACTTAACGTATATAAAAAAGAGCGAGGAGGTAAAGTATTAGGAGTACTTTAGTAACTTTAAAAGGTATGTGCTAATTCGTTTTTAAATCTCTGTATTAAAATATAACACAGTAAACATTTTAACTAATAAAATATATTATACAAAAAAGTGGAAATATAAATAAATAAATAAAACAAAAGTATATTAAGAAATAATTATTGTAGAAAATCCCTGATGATGCCAAAGCTTCTACTCTGAAAACAGAATAAAACATTATTAAAATAGCAAAGTACAATATGATCGAAAAAAATCCGTCAGCGATGGCTATGAAATAAAGATCGCTGTCATTTTACATTTTACAAATTTATATGTACCATACAAACTGAAAAAAAAAACTATGTCAGAGAGGTCAGTGGGATTTTATATAAGACATGTTAGGAATCCCCATTTCCAAGCCAACTTGACTTCTTTTTTTTATCACATTGTATTTACATTCATAGCAATTTAAAAAAAACACTTATAATGCTCTAGTAGTTTCTTCAAATCTATATGTACCACACGTATTGAAAAAAAAGATATCAGAGTTGGCTTAGAAATTCAGTGATTTTAATATTTTTTAATTAATAAAAAAAACGATGCCAGAGTTAGCTTATAAATCAATCAGCAAGATGCAAGATCACTGTGATTTTATATGTAAAATTATATGAAAAATCATAGGGATTCTCATTTCCCAGCCAACTTGATGTCGTTTTTTATGATTTGCTAATTATTTACATTTAATCACATTTGAACTTATTTTTTATTGAAAAATATTCTTCAATCTTCTAGATCTTCGATAAGGTATAAGAATGCATCATTCTCATATGTTGGAAAATAAAATCTGAAAAAGTAGTCCAAAATAAATACAGGGAATACTAAATAAATGTACAGGGCTGCTTAAAACTTACTCTGGTTGATTGAAAACATCAACATCCGGTATTTTACAGTGCTGCATATTCCTCAAATGAACTTCTAAAGCTACGTTGCTTTTCTCAACATTTTCACAACAAGGACATGTTTTATTGTGAATCATTTTTCGAATATAATTCACCAGCTTTACTTTTTGGTAAAAATCTAAACTCTTTGTTGCAACTGTAAAATCAAAATCATGTGTCTTTTGCATATGTAAACATAACTGGTTTATATCAGTTTCCGTTGTGGTACAAAACAAACAACTGATAGTATCGCCTCTTTCATTCCAGTCTGAATATTCTTCATCATTATTTTCAGTCTCTCCTAAAAATAATACCAAGTTGTTCTTAATAAAAACTACTAGGAATTACACATTCATAAAACTTACCTATTGATAAAGCATACCTATCATCTTCTTTCTCTATAACTCTCCAATTTTTCCCCAGTTCTAAGTAATTTACAATATAGAACTTATCATATTCACAATTCTCTGGATTTATTCTTTTATGCAATTTCTTTCTCATGTGTTCTTTTAGAATGTTGCGATCAGAAAAATGTCCTTCACAAAAAACACAAATTAACGATTGTAATTTTGCCTCTATGTGATTTATAAGGTCATCAATAAACACCAAATTCTGGGGATTGCCTAATTGTAAATTATGCTGTTGTGAAAGATGGTCTAAGTAATCCTTTCTCAACCCTAAGAATAATAACACATATTTAAAATAAAATAATTTGAGTTATATTTCATATTTGTTACCTTCTGATTGGTGTTTACAAAACAAGCACTGTTTGATAAAATTTCTATCAGTCCTCTCAAACTCCTGAACCTTTAAAACATATTCTAAAGTTATTTTGTGTCTCAATTCTTTGTCTTCTTTTAGTAGAGTACTAAAGACAAAGTACTGATTTTCAGTTGAATCAATTTTAACAGAAGGTATTATTTCATTTACTGATGCGGAACTGAATCTCTCTCTCCAGTACTTCATGTATCTAAAAAGTGTTTAAGTATTATTAAAAGCATACATTATAATCTTGGCTGTATTATTGAAAAATGAGATAAAATTCACGGAAGACAATACACTTACTCTGGAAGGTTTTTTATATTTTGCGCGTCTTCAATTACACAGTTATGAACGCAGAAAAGGTGTTTTAAATATATATCCAGGCGAAGCTGTAAGTTAAAACTGTCTTCGCATAACAAACATTTAGTTTCTATATCGGTCAACCCCCCTGTATCGTACCTCGAGTTTTCTAAAGTTAATGGTCCGAACATATTAATGCTAAAATATGTATTTAATACGTAAGTACTAAAATATAATCAAGAAAAAGCATTTAAAGTATATTAAATAAAAATTAATCTAATCTAAACCAGTTATGAAAGAATGTTTATTTTTGTGTCAAAAAAATTCCTGTCAACTGTCGACCACAGATTACTGACAACTTTTTTAGACCATATATGATTGCAATTATATATGATCCTAGGATTGTAGCCAACACAAATGGCTGGTTCAAATAAACTACTCAGTATACAAATTATGCAATTGAATCGATACGACATAGAGCGGTACATTCCTAATATTCACATAATATTTCTATCTCTTATCAATCTTTTTATACATTCTCTCCTAGGCATGAATGAATGAGAATTTAGAATGAGTGGGAGGGGGGTTAATCACTTCGACCTTACAGATCCATTGTGTCCTCTCCTAGGCATAATCTGGCATAATCTTTTCAATAGGCGGCAATTGTAAATTGTATTTTGAAAGCCCATTTCTTAAAAAAAAATGAATTTTGGCAATATTTAATGGCGCTTCCTGTCAAAATGTGATGCATATCTCAAATACAAATAAAATAAAAAGACATAAAGGGTTCATTACAGTTTTATTTCAAAAAATAAAAAAGTTACCGTCTTTAACAAAAACTAAATTTACTTTGGTATATCAAAACAAACAAAAATAAGAAAATTCAACAAAATAATCAAGTAAAATTCTAAAGTCTAGAGACGAACAAGAACTACACTTTTCCACAAAATGTTTTTGTGATATTCATAAAATTTAAATTCTGTTTTGATCAAAATTTATTGTAATTCTTAGTACAATCGTTTTAAACAATTTTTTTAAGAAAAATATACTATACAAACGTTTTTAAATTTTGAAAAAATATCATACATTTTTAACAGTATTATTATTTAACCTTGCTTTCTACAGAACTAATAAGAGTACATAACAAACCGGTAATATAACATTTGTAACGTAAATATCAAATTAAAATATTTGAACAAAAAACAACCTATATATAAGTTACTACAATAATACATTTAACATGAGTATAGGTTTATATATAAGTCGGATATAATCATTGTGATTAAACTTAAAAAACACAGATCCTACGGTTGTTTTTTAATTGCAAGTACTTTGCTAAACGAAGTAAAATTTTGGATAGAAGTATGAGAAGCGTTTAAGTTACAGTGGTTTTCGATAAATATTTTTTAGGTTAGGGTTCCTACTACGTGGAATGTTCCGGAAACAACTCAAAACCATTTGAGATTTGAGAGAATTATTGTCCTAGTGCTACAGGACCAAAAATAAGCAAAAAAACTTTATTTAGAGCACCACTAGCGGAGATTTAAGCAATTATTCTCAGTAGAATCTATATATAACAATACAACAGAGATGCACAGAGCTATTCACTGTTGAATAGTCTCTTCCACGGCTATTCCTCGTTTCACCAACTCTTTACCTATGTGAATATCTACGTCGGTACTTGTATCGACTAGGAGAACCTTAACTATCGAATCGCTCTGATACAAAATATCTTTTTCGATATCTATGAAGAGCGCTATAAACTCTTTCTTTTCAATTAGTTTCTTAAACTCGTCACAGCCTTCCATAGTCCATTTACTCTGTATAGGTTTTACATCTGAAAGCAAATTAAATTTATGGTTGGTTTCATATTTTGAGGATTAGTCCTAATCATGGCTGGGAAACTTAAATGGAAATGACAGTTCATAAAAATAGTTTTTCCTCCAAGATGCAGAGGCGCAAAATATTAAATCTGTCAATATCAACAATGCAAATGTCTATCTGACAATAAAATTTTATTTTTAACTAACACTCAGAGACGCTTTTGTTGTGATTTTATGGTTTGATTTCGTTTTGATTTGTGGAATTATTGTAAAATTAAATTCCTTCAGATTTTTTGGCAATGGATTCTGTTTTAAACAATGTTTTTTAAAAATGGTGGGACAATTTGCGTTTTGTATAGACTCTTAGTTATTTTTTATCATGGAGTTTAATTGTTGTACACCGGGTTTCCGAAGGATATAAAGGTAAGTAAATTAAATATATCTACTTACAGTTATAGATTTTTTAAATTAGTACTGCTAATAAAGGCTAATTGCTGAGGAGTTATTTAATTTTTTTACGGTGCATGTAAGGAATTAAGGACGCGCGTTGCGTTATATTAGCATGATCAGCAGATGATTAAATCTAATTTAATTTGTTTTTATTATTTCAGGTCTCAAACGGAAACAAACTGGGAATCTTGCCTACACCAAAATTATATAGCCGGTTCCAATTCACTTCAAAGGGAGGAAAATTATGTAAAACTGCCTGCTATTTGGTGAAAACCGCCAAAGATTAAATTATAACTGTAACAACTTAATATATACTATTACTAGTCTTTTTAATATTTTTTTAATTAATATCCGACATATAAGAACACTTTGTATGCTTTTAATTAAGTCGATTTATCGTTTATAATATGTTCGATCTAATTAAAAGCACACAAAGTGTTCTTACATGTATGTCTAAATTTATTTTAAATTAACTAAAACAACCCCCCTTCCTCGCACCCCTCTCATCGCATAATGTTTCTTCCTCCGACTACCAGGGGCGCCTTTGTATAATAAAATTGAAATGTATTATAAGTTGCCTATCTATTTCATATTATAAGTCTTTTTTCTATGGTCCTAATCTAACACTTAACATTAACCTGCATTAACCCTTAGACAAGGAAAGAGGGGGCACGGGTAATACCAGCAGAAATTTTGTGACGGAAAGTCGCTAGGCTCCACGTCAAGGCCGTTTGAGAAAAACAATTCCTGGTCCTTTCTCTTATAGTTGTAAGCACAACAAAACACCATATTTAAATAATAATAATTTCAAGTCTTTAAAAAGCCCTTTTTATGGCACAAATTACAAAAAAAACACAATTTTTAGGAGCCAGACAAATCAGAAAATTTGATATTGGTCCTAGATGTCGATTACCCCTCTCTTTCCTTATCTAGCATTAACCCCTTTGAATAAACAGATTGTAGTTATTTTTTATACAAGACGATAATGCAATTTTATCGTCGTGTATAAAACAATATTTTTTGCCATAGCGAGTTACGTTTTAAAAAATATTCAGAAATTATTATTTCAAGGAATTTATTACGAGTAGAAAAAATATTGTGCTGGGTTGGCGTTGGTTTCTATGTAATCTGACAAATAAATAAAGCTGTCTCTTTAGTTGTCAGTTTTGAATCAATATTCTTTAATTCTCTTTCGTGTCGATTGCCGATTGAATTGGAACCAGAAATAACTCAAAATGAAATAAGTAAATTACCAACAGATATTCAGGCTGAGGCGACAAACGCCATATCCAAACTACTTTCATTTAAATCCCGAATAATTTATGAAAAGTAATACAAATTTTTCAAAAATGGAAGCAATTATAAAACGTGCGAGAAGAAATAAAGTTTCTAACCTATCCTCGCTGTTGAAGTATCATTTAATCTACTCTTGCGGTTAAAACACTATTTTATGTACCATTTTTGATAGATATAAGCCTAGGATGGATATAAGGCAATTTTAACAGTTGCTATGGAACAAAAATAATTTTTGACCGGGATCTACCGCAGGCTTCACAACCAATAGTTACAGCCTTTTTCGATAAATCGCAATAATGTCACTGTTAATTTAAGTTCTGCTACACACATCCTTCTAGATTTACTACCTCTAAACAACTATCAGTAGTAGAATAAATAATAAATAACATAAAATAAGCACAGTAAATCGAAAAGAAGCAAAAAGACTAAAAATCTCGGTCTCAACATTATGTTGAGACCGAGACTTTAAACCAGATCTCTTAATCGCGCCCTCGATTACGTAACTAAAAGTTTAATTGATATGAAATATAGTTGCCTCTGCTTTGGCTTCAATTCCAACATATTGCAGATATAGGCTATAATTATTATATATTTGATTTTACCTGCTAATTTTGCTTTTAAAGCCTGATGTGGAAGCCTCAAAAACTTGTCATCCAGAGGAATCAACTGTTTAACGGGAACAGTTTGATAATATCCAAAATCACAGAAAAATACTGATACAGATCCAGAATGTATTACTTTTATTACACTTGTTCTAAAAAAGGTACAATATAATTTTAAATTGGTAAAACAATCATATAGAATACGATCTAAAAAAAACGGCGTCACGTCACGTATTGACAAGTTTTATGTCAATCTTTAGTAAATGACGTCTAAGGCTTGACCTCGCCAAAATTTTCAACGATGTCATTCCCCAGCCGTCTTTGGCGTCGATTTTTTTTCGGTCATACGAAACGTTAAAAATAAAAACTTTACCTATACCAAAATCCGTCATTATGCTTCGACGCATATATATTTCCGGGCAATATGTCTTCGCATTTTAGATTACTGTAACGAGTATTCCTATATTGATTTTGTAGATCTTCCATCATTTGATCCAGTTGAGGTTTCGACGATAAAGGTTGAATAAAAAAATTGTATGGATTGACGGCGAAAGGAATACAAACTTCGAAATACGTCCCTGGAATTGAAATACATTAGTTTTAATTCAATTGATAAAAAACTACACTACTTTTTATTAAAAAATATAACTACATTGATAAAAAAAACTAAAGTATAATTTTTGTTATTTACTAGCCTTGGTGCTAAGTGCTAAGTAAAATAAGTATATTATTGTTATTGCATCAAGAGCTTGATATAACAAAAAATACAAAATATACTTTATACAATATATGAAATGAGTACAAGGGAAAACAGAGGTTTATCTAAGGATCAGAAAATCACTTTCAGGGAAGTAGAAAGAAATCTGTATAAAATGTTGATGCCGGCAATACTGTATGCCGCTTTTTATTTTGTATCTCTGTCTGTCAACCGGTCATTTATATTTATCTCTCTCTGCATATCAAAAATCTTAGATCGACCGCGACAGGGCTCTAAAATGGCCGACTTAAATTCCGGTTTGAGTGCCGTCCTAATTTTATTCAAAACGTGTAAAAATATGATGTAGGGTATACATGGAGTACACTCAATAATTTGTTGTTTTATTTTACGTTGTGAAAAGTTATAATAATTATTTATTAACACAAACATCCGATACGCTACTAACGCAGGTAAATCAAATTGACGTATCTAAATTCTTTGACAAGTAATAAATAAAGGAAAACTGCAAGAAAAAATATATAATTAGTTAATTTTAAGTGAATTTCATATATGATCGGTTTACTACACGTATGTATATTATATAGTCACTTACTATCGAAAAGTTATTCCATTATTTCACTCGATTTTTGACCAAGATCTACCGCACGCTACACAACCAACTATTTTACAGTATTTTTCAATAAATAGCAATAGTGTCACTGTTAATTTAAGTTCTGCCACAATTTACTTCTAGATTTACTACCTGCATACAACTACAAGTAGTAAAATAAATAATAAATAACATAAAATAAGCTCAGTAAAGACTGACAAATCCACAAAATTTCAAATCAAAATCAAATGTATCAAATGAATTGTCAAACAGAACTGTCAATCCTCCCTCTTTCCGTCGACCATGCATGAATACATAGATAGCATTATACTGCTTAATTTTTTTATTCAAAGAGAAATACAGACCACACAGATGAGGTGACCAGACAGATTTCTAAATTGCAGTATGTAGTGTTGATAGTTATATGCACAGAAAGAAGGATAAAGGGTTCTGAATACCTATTTGCCTCATTTTTTTCTTCTTCTTGTTCTACATATTTTATTGTGCATTTTTCTCGAGAATAACAGGAAAAAAACGAGGAAATTCAGAATAAAATTACATTTACCTTTTTCGGGCAACGGCGGACTTTGTAGATATCCCGTTGATGGTACATTACCTTAAAAACATAAAAATAACTGTATTTATTTTAAAAATTATAATTAACGTAAACCTACCCGTCGATGAGAAATATTTAAACTTCTCTTTTAAATTGACATCTTCGGTTTTCTTCCTAAAATATGAGATATACAGAGTAACAAATGATTTGATGAACTTGGACCATACTTACTGCATTTCCGATTTTATACTGATTGATTTATTAATACAAAACAGCCCTCCATCTGAATTTCTCTTAAATAGTTCCGCTAGCGGTATATTGTCCTCTGTTGAACCGATAATCTTCAATAAAACGGGCTGATCTACCGCCATGTCTTTTGAAGCCAATTCAACAAAGTCTGAAGGAATTTTTTCCAAAGCTATTCTTATCTGCAATTAAGTAATTATTAAATATTATAATATGTCGTTATTAAATACAGTTAAAAAATATACCGTGCTGGCAACTGTTGCTTTTAGGTCGGTATTTACTGTGTGGAAGTAAATCGTATAGGGAGCTTAGTAAGTCGGAATGAGAGAAATGCGACGGTGTGCTGTTGCGGCGTTGCCGGTACGCCTTTCCCTGTCAAGTAAAGTAAAATCACGATCGCAAACCACTTATAAAAGATTTTTTTTTGAAAAGATAACTAGATAAAATTATTAGATATATTTCTGAGCATCAGAAATGGAATTATAAGGATATCGTTAGGGTGTCCATTTTTTTTATAACGAGATAAGCCAGTAATCGCGCTAATTTAAAAACTCAACTTTTTAACACAACACGCCATAACTTAAGAATCACTTTAAATATTGAAACTTTTTTTTATTTTAAAGATCGGATCTTTTACAATACGTTTAAATAAGAAAATTTCGATGAGGTTGTTTTTTTCCATTCAAAAATGTTAAACAACCCATCCATTTACTTTTAGTGCATAGCAATTTTCAGCAGTCGTGTAACTTTTTTATTTATAAAGATTTTCACATACTGTCTGCGACAGAAAGTTTTTGAGAAAACTACAATCAATTATTTCTAATAGATTTGGAGATATCGATTTTTGAATTCAGAGTTCTAATAGCGCGACCACTGTTTCTAACTTGCACTTAAAAATTTTTAAGCTATAGGAAAAATTACAAGAACTCGTTAATAAATAAACAAATAAAGTATCAAGAGATTTAATTAAATTGTGAAGACGCATGATGTACACCTTTCCCTAGAACTGAGTACTGACAGAGGTACTGATACTGATTGGGTGGAGCGGTCGGCTGCGACAAATCTGCTATATCCCCTTCCACATCTCTTAGCAATGTGCACAGTTTCTCGGTTTATTCATACGTTTGGCAACGTGTTTACTGTTCTCTCTCTGTTCAGTACAATATAAACGTATTGTACTTACATACGGAAATCTCGACCCAAGACTAACCTTTGCCAGCCCTTTAGTATAATAACATTTGATCAAAAATTTTATTATGAAACGTGCCTTAGACACATGCAATTAGTGTTGTAAATGGAAATATTTCCATGGAAATGGAAATATTGGAAATTTCCAAACGTGTCTCGGAAATATTGGGAATATTGGTAATATTTTTATTATTGGAATACTTAAATCTTGTCATTAACGATTCAAACCCGATGTTTATTAATATATCGTCCCATTGCTGCCAAAAGTCACTAACTTACTTTTTATTACTTCCGAGAAAAATGCGTTTAAAATGAATTGCATTGCATAAAGATGTTACAGTTGTAACTATTCGGTATTAAAATAAAACATAAATAGCCAGAAATCGTACTTAATGACTTTTGCAATCGATTCTCCGCTTCAAAACATAGTGATTGAATTTGGTTGTTCAGAAAAATGTTAGTTAGTGACTTTTGGCAGCAATAGGACGATATCTTTCATTATTTAAAAAATAAAGTAAACATATAATATGGTGAATATATCGAGTTTGAGGATTCACCTACTTATTTGCAACCTCGCATTTCTACGGGGAAGTCCCCAGCACGTAGGTCGTAGCGTCCCTGATCGACATTCATTTTGCTGTAAAAGCATTTTGTGATATTAGAAGGGTAATTCAGAATAATCTTGCATTGTCCTCACTTGACGACAAAGAAAAATCCGAATTGTTGGTGTTTGTTGACAAAAGAGAAAAATTTGCTATTAAACCCATTCATTATGCTGCAGAATTACTAAATCCAAAATCACAAGGTTCTGAACTTGATGAAACCCAAATTCTTTCTGCCATAGAATGCATACTTAATATATCAAAAAATAAACTCAATATAAAGGAGAAAGAAATAATAGATGAAATAGCAGATTACCGTTGTGGAAGTGGCAAGTTATTTGGAAATAACTTCATATGGAAAAGTAGTTTTGATAACCCAGTCTCCTGGTGAAAAGGACTGTGTTCTTCATCTTCATTATCACAAGTAGCTTCACGAATTTTGATGATGCCAGCATTTTCGGCTACCACGGAACGCAGTTTTAGCGTTTATAGTCATATTCATTCAAAAAAGAGAAACAGGCTTACTAATGCCGCTAAGCTACTCTATGTATCCCACAATGAAAACTTGCTGAAGAAAATAGGAAACGGCAATAGATCAATTCTTATTTCCGATACTATTGAAGATTTTGAGGAAGTAGACTGGCAAGATGTTATTGAGTGTGATGCTGATGACAGCGATATAGATATGCCTCTTGCTCGACTAGTGTGTCAAAATAGTTATTTTGTACAAATTTAACCTTAATTTATTTTTTAATCTGAAGAATAACTCTTTATTTATGATTATGTATAAGCATTTTGTGTTTTGCGATGTTTTGTTATGATTTTTATAAATAAATATTTCAGTTTTTCTTATTTTTTAAAATATTTCATATATTTCCAATGTCTCAGGAAATATTTGTGAAAATATATTTCTGGAAATTTTACATCACTACATGCAATAGATGGCCTAAGTCTGACGTCACGTCAGTGTGCAGAGATTAACAACCTTTTTCCAAATAATGCTAATTTTGAATGGTCCAGATATTGACTCCCCTGGTAATTTTACAGCGAAATTGTAAATAGGTTGTTTAGAGGTCTGCATTTGCTGAATACACATGCCAAGTTTGAACAATTTTGGACAAGCTGATTTTAAGTAATTTAAGAAAAACTGCATCTATTTTTAAATTAAAACTGAACAGGTAACAATGCAAAATCAGGCAAATGTAACGTACCTTAAGATGTCATCCTATAATTTTGTCAATGTCAAATTGTATTTTCTAAACGTTAGGCTTTTGCCTCATACAAACCACTTTTAAATTACAAAAATGCAGTTCGAGGATACCTAACCAAACCTAACCCTAGGTACTAGGGTTCCCAACCGTCCCGGTTTGACCGGGATTAACCAGGAATCAGAAAGTTTGTCCCGGCGAAAATTTTGCCTTGGCCGGGACCAAAAAAATCACATTTACATATAATATATTTGAATTTCTAATATTTAATGTTTTGTTTCAATTAGTTAAAAACTTAAAAATAATTGTCCCGGAATCGCCGATGCTCAAGTTGGGAACCCTACTAGGTACTATAACGTAATTGTGCAGACAGCACAACAAATTACATTTGACAATGATAAAATCATAGATTGAACCATAGATAAATGAAACAAGTTTAGATTGGAAAGTGCCCATAAGGACAATGTAAACACTATTTGGCGCTTATCTTGCAACGGTCGCGACCCAAAACTTTTAAAAATTTCGGAGCGGTTCGGCTTTTTCCGGAATTATATCGCCAAATATTGTTTATTCAAATTTATTATTATTTTCGTTTAATTTTATAAATAAAATACAATGTGTTGCATACAAGAAACTTTATTTTATATAAGGACGCATGTATGAAATACCTATGAAACATTGGAAACCGACGTTATGCCACGATCCACGATGGTTTTTGCAGTTCACAGTTCACAGTACAGCTTTTTAAGCCTTTAATGCCGCTTTTTCACAATTATCACCGGTTGGAGTAAATAAAACTTGAATTAAACTCACAAGATAGCAATATTACTTTGAAAATGGACGCTATAAACACTTTTCGGAATTTCTTTAATGAGAGCGGTTTAGATTTTGAAAGATTATTATGATTTTTGAAGATTCTGACTTTGACATGAGAAAATTATTTCTGTTTTTGTTTGCCGTTGTTCTTAGCGACCGCTATAGCAGCGCCAGATCGCGTTTAACGGTCGCGACCCAAAATAATTTCGCGACCTAAAATTTTTAAGGGCTTTCCAATCTAAACTTGTTGCATTTGTCTATGGATTGAACACTTAACTGGTTCTTGACATTTAACTGGTTTTGCACTGTTACCTGTTTAGGTTTAATTTAAAAATAGATGCAATTTTTCTTAAATTACTTAAAATCGGCTGGTCCAAAATTGTTCGAATTTGGCATATGTATTCAGCATACGCAGACTTACTATTTACAACTTAGCTGTAAAATTAATAGGGGAGCCAATATTTGGACAGTTCAAAATTTGCATGGGATCTACTGTTTTCAACCACGATACACCACCCGGTATAATAAAATAAATATTTGTATATGTATTGTGACTTCACAGTTAGGGAATCTATTACATTAGGATTATAAATTAAGAATATTACCTTAACAGCCAGATGTGGATAAGTACTGAATATGTCATTAATTTTATCTAAAGGATAAAGCTTCACTTTAGAAACGTCAATCACATCTGTACTTCCATGATCTACAAGGTACACCTGTGCTAAATCTCCAAGAGGAGACCAGTCAATTAGTTCGATTCGAAACCATTTCCTAGAAAAAAATGTTATTAATCAGTATGTATACTTGTTTTCACCTAAAACTTCCCAATATGGCGGACTTCAGTATGGGAGGCTTAAAAAACGAAAATCTCTAGAGTGGAATCAACTGTAGTTCAAATCGTTCAAATTGATAATCTCTGGTAAATCTAATTGAACTCTGACACTTGGCTGACTGACGTTTACGGTTTCTTTTTCTAAATATTTTCATTATTTTTTCAGTTTTTATTCACAAATGCTACTTGATTTTGTTCTTTTATTTAACCTGCAGCCTGCAGTACTAATTATATACTTATAAATAATCTTTTCACCGATCAAGAACTGAGGAATAGGCTATAGGAATAGGAAGATATTCTCTAATTATTTTAAGTTTCCTCGTATCAGTAATTTTCAGGTTTGTAATATGTATATGATAATAAATAAATTAAAACTTATATTAATTTCAGGAAACAACGCGGGCATTACAGATTGTTGTAAATTAGTTTTAAAATATAAAGAAGGTTTAAAACAGGTTTAAAAGTTGAGTTAGTAGAGAAGACCTAAATAAGGTAATGTTGGTAATGGGACCAAAGATCAAATAACACATGAAATATATAATATGTACAATTGTAAGTAGTTTTTATGAATCTGTTTGATATCTATTGCATTGTTTTTATATTTCTTGAAATATATCTTTTTTTACTTTACAGGATACACAAACAATAATAAAAAATACAGTTACTCACTAAAAGCACTTAAGATTTGTAATAATGTAGTTAAAATATCAAACACCGAACCAAACCAAAAATTATATTTTATTTTACTGGTATTCCTCACATTTGAAAGGAAAGTCATTTCATAAATAAGCAGAAGGACATCGTATAGTACACTCTATATTAATAATTCTTTTTAATCCTATACTTGTTAGTTGACGAATCACTAGGTATAAAATTTAGTACTCATTCCAAACCTATAGTTGTGGTTGTGACATATTCTGATGTGTTTTTGGCAATTTAAAATAAGTTAATATTTAAACAAACATTTCTGGCTTTCCTGATAGGAGTGTGAACATAAATTTAATAAAGGTATAATGTGGATAATGTTCTGATTATTACAGTTTGCATGGATGACTGTTTTTGTATGTTGTTATTTTTAATAAAGTATATTTAATGAGTTTTTCAGTATTTCTTTTTCCCTCAGAGGATTGTGTTCTAATCTTTATATATAAATTTTCATAAATTTTATCTACAAAATTTATTACCATATAACTTTTTGCTAAAGACTTTGAAGTTAATACAGTTTAACAGTATATAAAAGAACTATTTAAATAAGATGTTTGAAAATATATAGCTGTTTTTGCACACATCAATTCAATTTGTGATTAACTGTACTGAAATAAAAACAAATTAAGAGAAATGGGGTGATCTATCAGCTATTCCCGAAAGGCCATCTCATAACTATCCACTTAGGAATGCAGAGCACGATCTTTATCTGCCAACCCCGAGCTCAGAACTAGTTAAGGGTTCAATACTGTACAATGCCAAAAAAATGTACAATCATCTGCCTTTGAATATCAAATCGCTTTCATGCTTTCCCGCATTTCGCAAGGCTCTAAAATCATACCTACTGGAGAGAGCCCTATATGCGATAAACGACTTTTTTGTTGATGTTTAATTATGAACAATTTTGAATTTTAAAATTTTGATCATCTCACACACTGGTCAAAGGTCAAGTATTTAATATTCTATAACTTTAAAATTATATCTATTTACTGCGTACTGTTCTAAAATTGTCCATGTATATTCTTTTTGTAATTTTAAAGACTTAAATTTTTTTGAATTGTATTATTTGTATTGTGTATTTTTTGTTGTTTGTATTTTTTTGTGATTTTGTTGTTTGTGAGTGCTTTGTCGATGAAGCTGTTTTGGCTTTTTGTACAATAAAGCGTTGTTTGTTTGTTTGTTTGTTTATCAACTATAACATGAAACGCATCATCCTATTTCCAAGTCTTCTATTAATTTCACTTATTAAACAGCTATAATTATTCAATAATATGGATAATTCTAGGAACTCTCAGATATCGTCAAAACATGAAAACAAAAATTCACTTCCTATAGTTCTTACGTCCCTTTAACTGAAATATAAGAAACAGGGGAGTTAATATTCTAACTGGGAAAGTTTATAAAATACCTTTAAGTAAAATCTCTTCGGATCTGCGGTAAAATACCTTATTCTTATTAAATAATTTCAATAATAATAATAATAATCTATGTTTTTATTTATGATTTATGACAACCCCCTAATAACCTAACTTTAACGTCAACTTAACAATCGAAAAATGTTATTGTTAACCAAAGAGTAAATTTTTTATTTTTCATTAAAAAAAATTACCAATTTTCGTAACTAGATCGGCCATATTGAGAAACTTTTAAAAGAATTGTACTATAGAGGGTGTGCCATTTTGGTGTGTTAAATGGGGTTTCTCGTTTATAAGTAGATACCAAGAAGTGGTTTTCACATTACCCTGCTACTTTTTTATGAAATTAAAGATGCTACACACAGATTTGTCCTAGCTTTTCTTAGTTCCATAAATAGAGGATGAATTTGAAATTGTTGCATTTTTCGAGCCCGTTCTGAGTGACAGAAAGAGAGTCTGAGAAATCTTCCTTCGAGAGAGAAATCGAGCCCCTTCTGAGTCCCATGCTTTTTTTCACGTAGAACTCAGTGGCGTAATTAGATTTTCGATGGGAGTGGTAATTCTTGAAATATAACCCAAACTTATGTTTTTTTTTTTAAATGGAAAACCCAGTATATTATTTTTTATTTTATTTATCTTGATATCAGCTTTCTAAAAATATAGTATAGACTTAGTGCATTCTCCGCCGGTGCTGCCACCGCCGCGCCGGAGAATAATTAACTATACCTCTTCTCATAAACTAGAAACCCTGTAAAACAAAAGGAAATGGGACACCCAGTACTAATATTAGTAACAAAAATTAAAAAATACTGTTGCGGACCCGTGCCGTGTGAACTCAGCATTAGGCCTGGCCACTCGCCTATGACTCATACGCCCAGCGATGCCGACGTTCTAAGAACGAATAAGAATTGACTAGACAAATCTGGATTGTCTGTTTCTCTCCTATATAAGCAGACCCCGGGGCCTAAGGAAGACAGAGATAAATAACCGATCGACGCGTACAGTTACAATCGCCGCGCTAATTCAAAATAAATTTCTGTTAGATAAATAATTAGATAAATTGTAAATAAGTTATAAATAGTTCTTTAAGTCTTTTAATCATTATTGTTTTTGTTAATTAGTGTTAAATAAATTGTGTTTAAATAAATTGTGACTTTCTATCCACACGGAACCGCCGAAAAACGTAACAATACTGTTCAAATTCACTTGCAAAACATAAAATGGTTTAAAGCTAGTAATTATTTAGAATACATTTTTAGACACCCTGTATAAGGTAATTTAATATCAATACTTACCAGAGTTCGCGTTGCCAAAAGAACAATTTTCCTTTACTATTCTCCCTAGTTACTTTACATAAATTATCGTCAGAAGTATCGGATTTAAGTTGTTCTTCAATTTGAGCATGCAATTTGGTATAGTAGTCATATCCCTGATTCCTCACTTGAACATAAACATCTCCGTTTGGTTCGATATTAGAAATATATACTTCCACTATTGTATCCTAAAATTTTAAACAATATGGTACATTACAAATAAACTTATATACTTATTACTACCTTTTGTAAATTCAGCGATGCCAACTCCTTCGTAAGTTCCGGTATGAGTTTCTCATTAATTGAGTGACCTTCCGAGTCGTACATATACACGGGTAGTACTTCAGAACTACTACGAATCGCTATTGAATAAAAAAATATAATTCCTTAGACATAATAATAATACTATTTTGTTGTGATAATTGCTTAACATTATTTTTTATATATAATAGTCAAAACTACTTGAAAGAAAACTTATATAGGTATATACCATAAGATCAAAAAAAAAAGAAACGGCGTCAAAGACGGCTGGGAATGAGAATCGATTATGATTTTGGCGAGGTCAAGCTCTAAACGTCACTTACTTGGACCGAATTCTTTTATATTTTTAATAGCGCTTTTTAATGGCCTTAAAAAGGTCGCAATTTATTTTTTAATAAGTAAAAATTATTTTTAAATGGTGTGTAAAATTCGAGAAATAATACTTTTAATTTTTTTAAATAGATTTGTTTGTCTGAAAACGTTCTATCTTGTTTTAATCTCTCTATAAATGGCGTTAATTTTTGACAGGTTCTATGTCAATTCCTAGTAAATGACATTGACCTCGACAAAATTATCTTCCACAGCCGTCTTTGACGACGTTTTTTTTTTCGAACATACGGTACGGTATAATATGCGTCCATTTCACAGGAGAAGACGATTCAAGGTCAACTAGTTTCATTATTATTATATTCTGTAATTGTCTCACCTCTGCTTTTCGAGTAAGAAGTAAACAATGCAAATATAGTCTGTCCAACGACAAGATCCTTGACAGTGATAGATGTGTCTGTCATTTTCTTTGAATAAGAAGACTAGGGAAGGAGCATATCAAAAATCTTAGGTCCACCGCGATGGGCCTCAAATATGGCCGACTTAAATTCCGGTTTATCAGTGCCGTTCTATTTTATTTAAAAAATGTAAAACTATGATGTAGGGTAGACGTGGGGTAGACTCAATAATTTGTTGTTTTATTTGACGTTGTGAATAAATGTTGGTAGTTATTAAAATTGTTACAAAAATATATAATTCTAATAAAAATAGATAAGTTGTAATAATTATTTATTAACACAAACATCCGATACGCTACTGAAGCAGGTAAATCTGGTAAATCAAATTGACGTATCTAAATTGTTTGACATCTAATCTTTGACAAGAGTAGTAAATAAAAGCAAAAACGCAAGAAAAAATAATATATAATTAGTTAATTTAAGTGAATTTCATAAATGATCGGTTTACTACACGTATGTATATCATATAGTCACTTACTAGCGAAAAGTTGTTCCATTATTTCACTCGATTTTTGCCGAGATCTACCGCACGCTACACAACCAACTATTTTAGAGTCTTTTTCGATAAATCGCGATAGTGTCACTGTTAATTTAAGTTCTGCCACAATTTCCATCTAGATTTACTACCTTTATACAACTATCAGTAGTAGAATAAATAATAAATAACATAAAATAACTCCGTAAAGACTGACAAATCCACAAAATTTCAAATCAAATTCAAATGTGTCAAATGAATCGTCAAACAGAGCTGTCAAGGATCCCCACCCTAGAGTGCTTTTTCCGCCCACCATGCATGAATACATGGATAGCATTATGCTCCTTCCTTAGTCTTCTTATTCAAAGGTATAGACGTCATTTCCATTTTTTCTGTCATCGTCTGTCGAAATCTTACCGAGAAAAAAAAACAGAGTATACCAGCTCTGAAACATACCAGTCAAGCTAAGGAATGTTCTTGCCCGAATTTTTTGTACTATATTTAGTAAATTTTAATATAAAAGAACAGTGTTACAATTGTATATTTCAAGAAAAAGTTTGAGTGATAAGAAAAATATTGTTTATTCATCACGTAGGTAAATAACGTTAGAATAAAGAATACCTAGAGGTCATGTAAGAAACGAAATGTATATTTTGTAATCCCTAAAATTAAATATTTAGTACGATTATTTAGTACATTATCGAGACGTACAACCGTAGCCCATGTTCTCCGATCTTATTCAACATGTACATTTAGATTAGGCTGAAATATAATCAAATCTTGTAAATACTACTGACTCTTGAATCGTCAGCTTGAGAGAAAAATGGACTGTATATTTTTTTAAATCACAGACAATTTGTAAAAAAAATAAATACTAATAATAACTCAAATGTAATCTACCTGTAGAATCGCTGGCCATTTCTATAACTACTTCGGTATTATACAATAAACTAAGAGACTCAGAATTTCCAGTTATGTCATACAAATACTCCAGACCACAAAGTCGACATACAAAGGCCTAAAAAAAATCATGATCAAGAAGGTTATTCACGATTTTAATTAAATAGATCGAAATATTTCATAAACTACTTGTTTTAAGAATATAACATTGTAAATAAAAAATTATGTGGGTGTTAAAAAATTTAAAACAGCATTTTTGAGTTGAAAAATAATTTTAAACCGTATATCTTCTTAACATTCCCGAAAACTTGTCTATTTAATATTTTTAACAATTTTTTTTTGTATAATTTTCAAAATTACTCACCCTGTATATAATAAATAAGTACCTACCTGTGCTTGAACTGAAGCATACTCTCTCGTTAATTCGAATATATCACATTTTGGTATGTTCACTTCATCACCAAAATCGATAAAGAAACATTCCACTGTCTCTTCATCTTCGTTAATCTTCACAGTCCTGACTCTGTAAAGAAATTAGGTTAGATTACGTCACAGTTTCCTTATTAGGCACGTATAGGCAACCTGAAATACTCGTCTTCCAATTTAGCAATGTAATATCCAGCGGGTGATATAGTTTTAGGAGTTAACTCACTTTCATGTCCCTGATAGTAGATTTGTAACCGATCCATCATTGTTAGGTATGATTTCTAACAAAAAAATATTATTTTATATTTATTAAGTTAGACTGTGTTATTGATTATACGGCTGGGGAATGACAAACGATGATACTTTTGACGAGGTCGATATCTAGATGTTATTTATTAAAAATTGACATAAAAGTGTCAAAAATGAACACTAGTTATATCATATACGTATAAACACACCGGAAAAGTTTAGGGATATTACAATTTTATCCAGCCATCGTCAGTAATTTTATTTTTTGCATTTCTGATATAATAAAATTAAAATAAACAAATAGTTTACAGGACGTATTGGAAAAAATGCGAAATTTACCGAATTTTTTAAATTTGCCTTGATTTTTATTGAACTCATAAAACTACACACTTTTTTTTTATTCTAAACTGTGAATTAAAAAAAAAGATAAAACAATTTTTACTTAATAAAGGGTATGGCCTCCTCTACTGTACTTGTTCATTACAGCCCTACATCGTCTCTCCATGCTCCTGATCAGGTTGTCGATCTCTTCTTGAGGTACAGCCTGCTACGCTGCATTCACGGCCGGAACCAGATCCCTACGAGTTTCACGAGGCATACCCATTCTCAAAATTCTTCTTTAGACCGCGTCCCATACGTGCTCGATGAGGTTGAGGTCAGGAGATTGTGCCGGCCAGGGTAAGATGTTTAATTGATGAGCATTGATAAACTCACTTACCACTCTGGCTGTATGAGGCCGTGCATTGTCATGCATGAGAATGAAGTTTCTCCCAAAATCATTGGCATATGGTAACACGACAGGCTCAAGAATTAAATCACGATATGTGATTCCTGTTAGAAACCTTTCAAGAAAAACGAGATCGGGTTTTCGGCCTAACTGGACTCCTCCCCAGACCATAACTGTTCCACCTTGATAAGGGTGCACTTGCTGAACATGATCCAACCGAATAAGATTTCCTGGTTCTCTCCATACCCTAAGCCTTCTCGAATCCGGATGAATTCCAAAGCGTGACTCATCCGTGAAGAGAACATTAGCCCATTGTTCATTCGACCACTGAACATGATCTTGAGTCCACAAATATCGTACCTCTCGATTTCCTCTCGTTAAGGGTTGAGCTCTCCAGGGGCGTCTGCTTCTTAAGTTGACCTCTCTTAATCTATTGCGAACAGTGTCAGGACTAACGATTACATTATGTGTTTCCTGGAGAATTAAACTCAGCTCTGGTGCTGTAAGAGTCGGTCGGCGTCGAGCATTTAATTGTAAAAAATGATCTTGCTGAGGGGTAGTAATACGATGTCGCCCTGTGTGCCTTTCAGCAACATCACTACTTTCACGGTAGCGTGCACTTAATCGCGATATTACACTTTGCGTTGTATTTAATGCTCTAGCTACGTCGATTTAGCGCATTCCAGCTTCGAGCATACACAAGGCCCTTAGCATTTCGTCTCTGTTAAGGTGTCTACGCTCTATAATGTTGTTTAATACTAAACAAAGTTATTTGAATGAATTCTGGCAAGTTATCATAAAAACATAGCCAGTACAGGTTAAATTCGAACAATTGATGCTAGGTGCTTTTTATACATTTGACAAAAAATGCACAAACACTTCTGCAAATATCCCAAATTTAGAAATAACTAGTGTGACTACTTCGTTTCAATCGAAGTAGAAAGAATCGGCCTACAAATATGTGGTTGTTTATTCAAAACATTTATTTTTAACTTTAATAAAATGATATCCCTAGATTTTTCCGGTGTGTGTAAATACATGGTCGCTGTTATGTATGGAAACAGTCGATTATTAGGTAAAATATAGGAGGTACCGCAAAAAGTTAAATACAAAAGTTATAGGGTTTTTAAATATCTATTAGCGAGTAATAAATTTAAATATACAGGGTCGGTCATAAAGTTGTGGCACATAAAAGTTTTATTTTTTTAAATAGAACCCCTTGTTAATTATTGCATATTTCAATTCTTTCTTCAATTCCAAACAAAAATCGAAATACACACAATGTACCTCAAACCAACCATTTTTTAAGCGTTTTGGAGTTTTGGTTTAAATAAAAATGTGTTTAAATTTTGAGTTTAGGTTGGAAATAATAAAAGTATCAAACAATAACATAAAAATATTCCTCCAGTAATCCGGATACTCTATTAATTCAGCGGTGGCTGTTCCGATATGTGTCCGAACTGAAAAGCTCTTTATACACCATTTAAAATAATTTTTACACAATATAAAAATAAATTACAACCTTCTAAAGGCCAAATGGCAGTAAATAAGCCAAGTAATTACGTGTAGGGCTTGACATCGCCAAAATTATCATCAATTGTCATTCGAAGCCTTCTTTGATGCCTTTTTTTTAGATCAAACGGTATATTCCACCTGAAACTTACACTCTCTTCAGTTTTTATTTGTTGACACCATATTTCGTTCACCGACATTGCACAGGTAACTTGACCAATTAGGTTGCCGTCTTCGGAAAACTGAACGGTGTTCGACGGTACTGACACATTACAGACGGAGGGTCTACTGGTCACTAGTTGTCCTTTCTGCAATACCTTTAGGTTTAGTAAAAATGATTCGGTTAAAACAAAAACAGCCCCAAGCCAAAAGCGATTAGAGACAAATGAAGTGGAAGGTTTTGTTAAAATTATGACCAAATCCTGAGAGTATTATTCGATGATGGTAGTACTAGTTCTTGTGATACTGCAGCCAAACTTATGCAAAATTAAGTATAATTATAAGTATATTATTCATTACAATAATGCTTCATTTAGAACCTCAAAATTAGTGGTTTTAATAAGCGTAGAAGTATGTTCCTCTAATTTCAATGTTCCTAAGCATACAGAGAGTCAAAATTAGGGGTAATAATCTACAATTAATAGAAAAAGTTAACAAACTTTAAGGCTGTATTCCGTTGCAAAACCAGGCGAACCAGACCGATAAACTACGGTAAAGAGCGGTTCCTGAAAAACATCGGTTTGATACGGAACGGTTTGGTAAAACCTTTGAATGAGAAGACCAAGGAAGGAGCATAATGATATCCATGTATTCATGCATGGTGGGCGGAAAAAGCGCCATAAAAGCACTCTAGGGTGGGGATCCTTGACAGTTCTGTTTGACGATGCATTTGACACATTTGAATTTGATTTGAAATTTCGTGGATTTGTCAGTCTTTACGGAGCTTATTTTATGTTATTTATTATTTATTCTACTACTGATAGTTGTATAAAGGTAGTAAATCTAGATGGAAATTGTGGCAGAACTTAAATTAATAGTGACACTATCGCGATTTATCGAAAAAGACTCTAAAATAGTTGGTTGTGTAGCGTGCGGTAGATCTCGGCAAAAATTGAGTGAAATAATGGAACAACTTTTCGCTAGTAAGTGACTATATAATATACATACGTGTAGTAAACCGATCATTTATGAAATTCACTTAAATTAACTAAATTATATATTTTTCTTGCATTTTAGCTTTTATTTATTACTTGTCAAAGATTAGATGTCAAAGAATTTAGATACGTTAATTTGACTTACTTGCTTCAGTAGCGTATCGGATGTTTGTGGTAATAAATACTTATTATAACTTATCTATTTTTATTAGAATTATATATTTTTATAACAATTTTAATAACTACCAACATTTATTCACAACGTAAAATAAAACAACAAATTATTGAGTCTACCCCACGTCTACCCTACATCATAGTTTTACATTTTTTAAATAAAATTAGAACGACACTGATAAACCGGAATTTAAGTCGGCCATATTTGAGGCCCATCGCGGTGTACCTAAGATTTTTGATATGCTCCTTCCTTAGTCTTCTTATTCAAAGGGTAAAACACTGGAAACGTCAAATGTTGACGTTTTCTAAATTTCAATACCTCTATTATAAAATTTATCTTTTATGCATTTTTAATGTACCTATTCTCTGCTTTTACATATGCTTCTTCTTTTCAATGGAGTTTAATATTGAAAAGTACTTTATTAATAAACTGCTAAACTCGTTAGACAGCTCAAGTGAAGATTTGTAATTCCATTATTAAAACAGATCAATAATAAATCAACAAATCTTATCAATATTTATATTTTTATAGCTTACAAAACATTCACGATTACTTTTTGTCTTGTTTTTCATGTTTTCTTTAAATGTTCCTGAGTTTAAGAAACAATGGCTGCATGATAAGTTTAAATGGTCCTAAAAAGTAATTCTATTTAGTTAATGAAATTTATTTACCTTTACTGCCTACCTCCATTGCTTTTGGATGTAAATACAAAATATTATTACAAATTTTAGAAATTAAATGAGAATTTCACTCGAACTTCCAATGTTTGCTTGATTTCTGTCACATAAATGACATTGACAAACAAAACCAGAAAAACCAGCCTTCTCGCGCTTGTTAGTTTGGTGACAGTTATAACAACCGAATTTTTCAGGAACCGTGTTCCGTAATAAAAAAACTTTCAGGAAACCGATAGAAACGGAACATAAAAGCATAACCAAGGTAAGCAACGATGGCAACGAAATACACCCTATTGTATTTTATTAGACATTAAGAGTGACCGAAAACTTTTAAATATAAAATATAATTGAAACCACTAATTTATTCCACTAATTTCAAGGTTCTGTATGAGGCTTAAATCCACACCAAATCAGTTGTTAACATTTAGAAAAATCTTTTCAATACAAGTGAGTAAAGCCAGCCAAACACAGAAGTTTTTTTCGCAAGGTTTATTGTTGCGTGTTGTTTGAAAATAAACGTCACGTTAATTATACAGAAAGTGTCATCGATCGTCACTTCAAAGCCACCTGGACGCAGTTTTCTTTCGATCATACGGTATATAATATACCGGGTAGGCATTTCAGGCTTTCAGTGCCGACTTTCGTGTGTACAAAGAGTACAGTCAATACGCTCAGTAAAATAAAATGTACTGAATAAACAAATAAGAGCGAGTATTTTCCCAAGCGCATGAAATCTAGCGTCGGATTAAGTGGTTATGTAATAAATACTTCGCATTTTTCTCTCTTCGACTTACGATTCACTTCTGACATGTAAGTACCGACCCAAGACTTCTTTTGCCAACATGGTACATATAAAAGAATATACCGCTTCCCTGAAACACACAATTGTACTGCTATTCTTTCATATTAAAAATGTACTAAATATCGTACAAAAAAAATAAGTGGTAACATCCCTTGAATTAATTGTCATGTATATGTTACGGTTAAAGTCCGATGTCCGGTTAATGTCGACATTAACAGGTTAATGTTTGGGTTAGGTTATGTTTTTGGTGGTTTTGTTGTGTGTTATTCTCGAGATTAACCGGGTAATGTCGACATTACCCGGACATCGGACCTTAACTGTAACATATATACCGTATGATCGAATAAAAACGACGTTAGCGATGGCTATGAAATGAAGCTGTCATTTTTTATATGGAAGATGTCATCGATCGTCATTTCCCAGCCAACTGGACGCTGTTTTGTTCGATCATACAGTACATACAAAAGAATATACTACGGCATTCCCATATAAGCAATGAGAGGATTTATGTTCCAGTATTAAAAGAGAAAATCGAGTTTGTACGATTTGGGAACAAAAGTTCGTCCTTATTTAGCAGATGGAAACAATACGCTTGCGTCAAAATGCTATTTTCCTATTGGTCAAATGGTTTGAAGATGGGTTATCTATGGTGTAAAATCTATTGACACGCACTGCTCATTCGCGCTGGTTCAAGGCCGGATGAGATCGGATATCTCCTAGTCGATTGAGACACTCGCCAAGTCGCCATTGACAAGGATATGGCCGAGGGCCGCGGTTCGAACACCGCGTAAACAAAGTAGGGTCTGTCCAGATTAGCCTTAGCAGTCAAAAGGAGACGTTACCTCAACATAAACTCAACAAACTCTAAACAAGATACACCAGTAAGGCAAAGTATAACCTTTTAGTTTATATATTACGTAATTTACTATATATTATCTATTTATGTTTAATAAAATTTAAATAATAAAAAAAGTTAAATCACTCTTCTACGTGATGTGAACGCTTTTGATCCTTCACGCTTGCTGCTGAAGATGTAGATGTTGACGTTACATTAGCTGAAGATAATGACGACGAAACAAAGATTCTTGTCCTTGTTTTCCTCCTTCTTCGTTTTCTTCTTAATAAATCACTTGGTGAAGAAGTATCTCCATCTAATAGCTCAAGATCGTGAATGCTTGTATCTTCACTTAGTTCATTTTGAGCCGCTTTATGCAATATTTTCGTAATTAGGGTTTCAGCATACATCTTTCTGTTTTCACTTAATCTTGCATGTTTTGCTGCAACATATTTCCCAAAAGCTGTACTCTCTGATTCTTCATTACAGGTTTTTAATGTATCCTTGTAACTCTTCATAAATTCTGCTAGTCTTTCTGCCTGTGTTTTGAGAACCTGTAAAACGAAATAACTTTGTTAACATAGTATAAAGTAACACATTCTATATAAGGCTGGTAAATAACGTAGGTATCTGCCAAGAAAGTGAGATGGAAACGTCACAACGCTTAATGCTATGAACAAGGATGGTAAATGAACCAATAGACTCTTATATACTCGCGTCACGTGGTATATTTTCCTTATACCGGGTGGTGCATCGTAGTTGGAAACCTAGGAAATCACATGCAAATTTTGAACTGTCCAAATATTGGCTCCCCTATTCATTTTACAGCAAGTCGTAAATTGTTTTTTAAAGATCTGCGTATGCTGAATAAACATGCCAAATTCGAACAATTTTGGACTAGCCGATTTTAGGTAATTAATAAATAAAAACTGCATCTATTTTTAAATTTTAAATTAGAACTGAACAAGTAACAATGCGAAACTAGTCAAATGTCAACATACCTTAAGTTGTCAACCTATGACTTTATCATTGCCAAATGTTGTGCCTGTCTACTGTGCTGTTATAATAATTATGGTTAGTGTCCCCGAAATGCATTTTTGTAATTTAACCAAATCAAAAAATAAAAATAACCTCTTCTATTATTTTCTAGACATTTTTCGCTAACTTACCCTCTTCTGATACAAATCTACACTACAAAGAAGTGAAACATAGCGCTGTCATATGGCAATTAGATGAAAACAAAAACAATCTTTTACGGTATTTATTAACATAATGTTAGTGTTTTAAAATCGAACCTCAGTAACTTCGAAACTGTTTTATGACATCAATGAATCGGACCAATTAACAAAAACAAAGAGGTTAAAAAACATCTCATATTAGTAACGAAACATCGATTGTTTTTAAGACACCGATAAAAACGCCCAACACAAGTATAATGCGATATAGTCGATATACCTCTCTATTTCTCTTGCTCTCCCACTTGAATACAGTCTTCCATTTCACAGTCTTGACAGACAGTGTTATTTACTATTATATACCAGCCTTATATAAAGTACAATTTATATGGCACCATACCAGGTTTAAAAATATCCATTTGTAGCTGTTTAGTGTCCTTCCAACTTACAAAACAAATAAAACAATTCCTATGTTTTAAAAACCATTAGAGCTGTGTTATATAAGTTCATAAACGTTGACAATTTATAAAAGAATGCTAACGGAGAACAAAAATCTGTATATTAATATTATGAAATAATATTATATATACGAACCATTTATCCCATTTTTTTTTCTATCTTCAATGTAGTATTCGTCGGGTTTCAGAAGTCGACAGTCTCAGAAGCCTCAAGTCTCTTCTGAAGACGAGATTCACCATAATACCGAAACTCTGTACATGTTTCACATTTTAAACGTTCCTTCTACTTCTCTTGAATTTTTCAATATTTTTTTAACCCTTTTAAAACCAACATCTTACCAAGTTTTCTTAGTAACAGTATCATTAAAGGATCATTGTACTGGAACGTTTTCTAGTTCCCTAGTAGAACCCCAAAAATAAATCCCAAGCATTTTACAATAAGTGTGAGAATAGATTTCACTTACACACATGATTTTCCATATGTTTTTTGTAGAAAACACAATAAATTGCAAGAAATAACCTCTGTGTATGGCCAGTTAATAAAAATAATGCAATTATCTATGAATATACGTCTGATTTTCTATCCCTATCCTTCAATCTATCTAATTAAAAAAGTCAGTAGATAGTTTCTTAGAGACATTTTGTAAAATGATTCTTTCAACCTCAGATTAAATTTCAGTTCATACATAATAGATGTGAATAATGAGGTGTAAATGCATATACAGGGTGTCCCAGGCTGAGCGTGAATTAGAAGTTTCTAGAATCTCTCAATTCCATGACAGCTATGGCCAACATTATATGACATTCAAACAATTTAATTTTTGAAAGAGACAGCCATATGTCCTCTCTTTATGTCACAATGGCTGTGGTAATTACTAAATTTGACGTTTAGGCTATATATATTTTTTGTAAAAAGTCATAAAATTTTATAGAGAATTCAAGTATGTAGTAAAAAATGAGGGTACCCATTTAAAATAAGAAAGTTGCCGTCAACTTCCGGTATATCCGGAAGTGCCGCCATATTGAAAATATTTTTAATTGATAGATCCCATTGTGAAACAACGATGTGCAAAAAATCTCCAGTTAGATATTGTATTTCTTTAGAAACTTCTAATGCACGCTCAGCTTGGGACACCCTGTATGCATTAAACACATATAATGACCAAATATGCATATAGGTTCACTATATCTATAACAAGTATGGCGAACTAACATGGCGACTGAATGAAATCATGCACATTTCAAAATATTATTTACACTGCAGAAAAATAACACAAAAAAAAATACTTACTGTGCCTGGAGCACAATGATATAAAATATAATCTTCAGACCCCATTTTGTCGATTTCAACGCTAGAACTCCTGTCTATGATTTTAATCCAGTCATCTGGCAACACCTCGTTGTACTTGTCGGTATAATCTAGTTTTAATTGCCACGCCCACACTCCGCGTGTGTGTTTTTCTAACATCGGGGGAATCCTGTAAAAAATACAAGGTTCAAGTTTAATTTTATACCGTATTATTGAAAAAAAAATTGTGTGTGCACTTTGTGCGCATATTTGAAGTGAAACTTCTTCCTAACAGCTATTAAATTGAAGGATTTGAAGGACACAAATAATGAATAAAAATAATAAATTAAAAATTAATAAATAATTTGGTTCACAAAATTTGTAATAAAATGACTGTCTGTCCGTCTGAGAACTCCATTCGGGTACCTCTATCTACGTGCCGAGTTTGGTTCAAATCGACCAATAATTAAGAAAAATCCTGATGATTTCGTCCATTTAGAGGTATCAGTTCGAAACTTCGAAGGCGTCATTCTGTAGTTCGTCCCCAATTATGCCGAAATCGACCGACATTTTTCTTCAATGTCAAATCCTTAGTCCCACACTGATGAAGATGTAAACGAAACGTCGTATCCAACTTTGCTGGGTGGGACCGTGTGCACCGTCGCTCACATGGACAAAATTTTGACGTTTCTTACGTCAAGACTAACTGTCACAGCGACACGTGTCGTACACGTTTAAGTTGGTCTTGGTCCAATCTATCGATATACCAAATTTCATTTAAATCGGACGATTTTTTCTAAGCCGTAGTCTGTTCTTACCACTTTTTCTCTCGCCTGTTGTGTCGCATGTTTTTCAAATCCTCGATGGCTGCTATTCCATCAGTCGTTTCATAACAGAATATTCTATTACATCCTACGTCTATGTAATTTAATATGTGTAGAGTGAGACATGTAACTCGTGAGATTTTCAGCATTATATCAATAAAGGACGAAAACAGTATTGTTCCTAAAGGTGCGTCCAGACTTGAGCATTTTACCCCGAACGAACCGAGCGCACACGAATAAGCAGAACAAATAGGCCGAACAAAAAGCACTGTGTACGCGCGACCGACAAAAAGGAAGATATTCTGTTTCTTTTTTCTACTCGTATGGACTTCTACTGACGGCTCTTATCGACTTTAGAAGTAAACATATTAGGGCCATTGTAAAAAAAGGTCGTCAGACACTGGCTCTAAATATAAGCAGGTAGAAAGTTTAGCTTCAAGTTATTTCAATGTTTACCATATAAATTCCTCTTTTTTATTGTTACTGAGAATCTACAACAGTAAATACTTCTATTTTTATGAATGTTTAAGTTAATTTACTCTTAATTTTTTTTTAAAATAAGGTACCTAGTAGAAATATAGTCTAATGGACCATGTTTGAAAAACGTTAAATTAAATATAATACTTAAAATACAGTTGTCCTCTTTGTACATGACTACAATCACAGAATATCTAGCTACGCAACAGAAGCCTCGTTACATGTATAAAATCGTAGGTAGCAAAAGGAGACAGGCTTTAAAAGCCTGTCTCCAAATCAGATATTTTGATGTGGTAGTTTCACTACTACATAACAGAGGGCGATAAATTTAAAAGAAAACAGTTTTCTACAAACGAAATTTAAAAGAATTTTATGCAGTGTTGCCATTGTGTAATTTATATTGTAATATTTCCTGATAAAGCCTAGCTTCAAATTTGCTACATCATATAAACATATTAAGAGCTCTTTTTTCAAACGTTTAAGTATTTAACTTGCCATGTTAGTTGGAGTTAAATCTTACGAGCTGAATTATAAAATCACTTCCTGACGTTTGATTCTAACTGAATCCTGAATTTTGATTGTAATTCGGCGACAATATAATAAGTATTGTTCTACTATTATGACACCACTTCCTGACGTTCGATTGTGTTCATACCGTATGATCGGGAAAAAACGGCGTTAGCGATGGCTATGAAATGAAAATCGCTGTCATTTTATGTGTAAATTTATATGGGAAATGTCATCGATCGTCTTTTCCCAGCCAACTGGACGCCGTTTTTTTCGGTATCATACGGTATTTGATATATACTTGCGTATTTTTCATGACATTGCAATATTATGCTACCGTGAAGCATATCAAGTGATACCGTAATATAGTACCATATTACGATACATGACGTTCGATTGGGCTTAAACTTGGTATATTACGTATCTTCAGTGACATTGTAATATTATGGTACCATGAAGCATATCAAGAGGTACCATAATAGTACATAGAAGTACCATATACGATAGAGGTACCATATACGATACCATTTCCTGGCGTGCGATTCGACTTATACTTGGTATAGTAAGTATCTTCGGTGACATTGTAATATGATGGTAGTATGATGCATATAAAGTGGTACCTTAATATAGTACCATATTACGATACCACTTCCTGACGTTCGATTGGGCTCATATTTGATTATACTTGCGTATTTTTGATGACATTACCATATTATGGTACCATGAAGCATATCAAGGGGTACCATAATGTAGTACCATATTACGATACCATTTCCTGACGTTCATTTGGGCTCATATTTGATATATACTTACATAATTTTGATATGACATTGCAATATTATGGTACCATGAAGCATATCAAGAGGTACCATAATAGTACCATATACGATACCATTTCCTGGCGTTCGATTGGGCTTAACTTGGTATAGTAAGTATCTTCGGTGACATTGTAATATAATGGTACTATGATGCATCTACTATGATGCATATATAAAGTGGTACCTTAATATACTACGATACCACTTCCTGACGTTCCACTACGATATCACTTAGTGACGTTCGATTTGGCTCATATTTTATTATACTTGCGTATTTTTGATGACATTGCAATATTATGGTACCATGAAGCATATCAAGGCTTACCATAATGTAGTACCATATTACGATACCATTTCCTGGCGTTCGATTGGGCCCAAATTTGATATACTTGTGTTTCTTTATAAAGATTTGTTTAATTAATAATTTTAATTTATTTTATGAATTTTAATTTATTGTACGATGTCGTGACAGCAACTTTTATGCCGAACTAATATATTATTAATTGTACCTGTGTCACTCTTTAAAATCTATCTAGGTCTATATAAATAACGTGGCAAACAAAAAAAAATTGTTATTATAGTATTTTTTTAGTCAATTAACATTTTTTGTACTGCATTTTAATAAATCATTTCCATTGTTATTAAACGTATATTTCATTACTAACGTTTCAGCATTAATAAATATCACTATCAATCGCCCTGTATATTATTAATTTTAAAGGTAGTTAAAGTTATTTTCTTAGTTAACATAATAAAGTAGTGTATATTAAAAATGTATTTTGAGAGCATATGTTTTCTAATAATATACATAAAATTAAAACTATTTTAAAAGCCAAACGAATAATTAATATAAGTGTATCTGACAAGAAACGAAGAATAGAAAGAAATTATTATACACCAAAAAAAAGAATGGGATGCCAATTAAAGTCTGTTTGAATCTGGCAACTGTGCATTTTTAGCCGAGCTTCAAGGCCGTCGACGTGCCGTCGATCTACGTCTATCCAAAACCGAAAGTTGAAAATTTCCAATTATATTCTGATTATGATATTGTCGCGCCATCTAGTATTTTATTTGTGCAATTTTAGCTCTTTCATTTCGAGTATTTTTCTGTTGCGTAGCTAGATATTCTGTGCTACAATACAACTAAAAAAACTAATTCAATAAAAAAAACAAGTGGTTCTTTAAAAACTTTAAATATGATTTTTAACATCGAAAAATGAACGATTTTTTAACATCGAAACTCGAAGGTATAATAACAGGTATCATACCAACCATAAAAAAGGGATTTATTTAGAACCTAAACATGGTAATCCACAAAAAAATAGTTTGGTTTAAAAAAAATATCTCACCTCTCAAGTATGTCAATGTCACTGGATATCATCAACGATTTCTTCCTCTTGGCTTTCTTAGGTATTAAGTCGTCCAAAGCTTTGTTACAACAAAAGTTCTGCGAATCCAGCGGATTATGAAAGTCCTCTGGATAACTACTGTATATGTCATGTTGGCCAACCTAATTAGTAAATTGTCAAAATATATAAAAACTTGATATAAACACTCATATTGAACTTACTTTGATTTTGCAAGAATAGAACTGATTTCTTTTGGCTTTTATTTGAGTAACATTAACTACAACTTCCCCAAGATTATGAATTTCTGCAAATAACTTCAAATCGGCTAATGGGTTGTTGGTCCTAACGAATTCTGGTGCTTTGGGTACTGGCGTTTCACTGGTAGGACTGCTATTACCACATGGGTTGTCGGTCCTAACGCATTCTGGTGTTTTGGGTACTGGTGTTTCACTGGTAGGACTGCTATTACCACTATCCCTACAAATGTTTTAAACGTGTTTTTTAAAATGACAGACACATCTACCCAAGAACGGTTAACCTAATAGGACTGCTCATTCAGCCAAAAGTGTCTGCCAGGTGCATGCGAAAACTCCTCGCTTTGTGACGTCATTGTAGTCCTTGTCATGGTTATTAGTCCTTATCTGGCAACCAATAATACACACACGTGCATTATTGGTTGCCGGATGCAAAACATTCATTATTTAGTTTATTTATTTAAACTATATATAGGTATTTATACCCCGCTGACCAGCGAACCTTTAGGTCGGCGTTTACATGTATAGGAGTGAGTCGTCATGACAATCTAGTAAGTCGGAGAAACAAAAATACGAAGTATTTATTACATAACTACTTAATCTGACGCTTGATTCCGTGCGCTTGGGAAAATACTCGCCTTCTGTCTTTATTTAGTACATCTTATTTTACTAAGCGTGTTGGCCGTACTCTTCGTACACATGAAAAATCCCACCCAAGACCAGAAATGCCGACCCTTAGTATGTATGCAGTATAGAAAATTAACTGTATAAATCGTATTAAATACTCAGATAATGCATTTTTAAGAACAGCAGTTCCCAGCATCACCTTTTGCAGGCATCCTTTTTAGAGTACTTCCATATTTTACTTTAAAATAATTAATAAACAATATCGTAGGCAATTAGTAAGCACTTTGTCACAATCCACAACACAAAATGAACGTATGTTTACACTCTATAGCTCTAAAAACTTTAAAAACACCTTTTTCACATTTAAAATTGACAAAATAATTAACTCAAAATTTCTCAGCTGTTATTTTTATAAGTTTATCATAGGCAACTAATAATACACACTATCATGACAAGGACTACATTGACGTCACAACTGTCAGCTGAAGCGCGGGAAGAGGCGAACGTACGTCTTATGAGGATGAGCAATCCTATTAGTTTACCGTTCTTGACATCTACCACTGTCAATGATCTTGTCGTTGGACAAGCTACATTTTTTTTAAAATATACTGACAAATTATTACCTTTCCAAACTAAGTTCAGACATTTTTTTGGTAATTCTCCTTCTAGTAGCTAACAATGGATTGACCGTGTCATCTATATCTGTTAAAACTGTCTCCCTAGTATGATTAGTCGGTAATAATTTTGATTTCTGCTCTGGCGGTTGTAATACTTCTGTTTTTCTGTCCCTACATTGAAAAGAAAAAACAAAAAATATCAGTATTAAAATATAATCATTTTCTTTTTGAAATACAAAAGAAATCTACAAAAAAAACTTACTTGGTGTGATTATCTTGAGTGAGCTGTGGATGTATACCATTAGAGGGCTGTGGATGTATATAGTTATTATTGCTTGGTGCAGTCTTATTTTCTTTCAGTCGGTTCGTGAGCCTTTGATTTAGATCGAATTTCTCCACTTGAGACGGTTCAGAATGAAAAGTGGAATGTTCGGGAATAACAACCTTTTGTTGGGAAAATTATATAACATTGTCAATAAATAAATAAAAGTAGTAAAAATATATAATATATCGTCCCATTGCTGCCAAAAGTCACTAACTTACTTTTTATTACTTCCGAGAAAAATGCGTCTAAAGATGAATTGCATTGCATAAAGATGTTATAGTTAATAACTATTCGGTATTAAAATAAAACATAAATAGCCAGAAATCGTAGTTAACGACTTTTGCAATCGATTCTCCGCTTCAAAACATAGTTAGTGATTGAATTTGGTTGTTCGGAAAAATGTTAGTTAGTGACTTTTGGCAGCAATAGGACGATATATGTTACGGTTAAAGTCCGATGTCGGGTTAATGTCGACATTAACATGTTAATGTTTGGGTTAGGTTATGTTTTTGGTTGTTTTGTGGTGTGTTATTCTCGAGATTAACAGGGTAATGTCGACATTAACCGGACATCGGACCTTAACCGTAACATATATATAAGAACGACGAGGAATGAATGAATAATCAATAAAAAAATACCGTCAAAAATACTACGATTTTTACAGGTAATTACAGATTATTTACTATTAGAAAACTATTTTTAGACGTAAAAACCAGTTTTAGCCCTTAGATCTTATAAACTTCGTGGATAACTAAATTCCTTCATGTTGAAGAGAAACTCCAATGATCTCTTTATTATCACGGGCAATCATGGGTCAAACAGTATACAAAAAGCACAAAAAGTGACAATAATCATTAGATTGGAAAGTGCCTATAAGGATAATGTAAACACTATTTGGCGCTATTCTTGCAACAGTTGCGACACAAAACTTTAGAAAATTTCGGAGGGGTTCGGCTTTTTCCGGAATTATATCGCCAAATATTTTTTATTCAAATTTATTATTATTTTCTTTTAATTTTATAAATAAAATACAGTGTGTTGCATACGAGAAACCTTATTTTATAAAAGAACGCATGTATGAAATACCTATGAAACATTGGAAACCGACGTTATGCCACGATCCACGATGATTTTTGCAGTTCACAGTTCACAGCACAGCTTTTTAAGTTTTTAATGCCACTTTTTTACAATTATCACCGGTTGGAGTAAATAAAACTTGAATTAAACTCACAAGATAGCAATAATTACTTTGAAAATGGATGTTATAAACACTTTTCGGAATTTCTTTAACGAGAGCGGTTTAGATTTTGAAAGACTATTATGATTTTTGAAGATTCTGACATTGACAAGGGAAAATTATTTCTCTTTTTGTTTATGTTCATGGCTGAGAAACTTAAATGGAAATGACGGTTCATTAAAAATAGTTTTTCCTCCAAGATGCAGAGGCGCAAAATATTAAAACTGTCAATATTATCAATGCAAATGTCAATATCTGACAATAATAAAATTTGATTTTTAACTGTCACTCAGAGACGCTTTTGTTGTGATTTTACGGTTTGATTTCGTTTTGATTTGTCGAATTATTGTAAAATTAAATTCCTTCAGAGTTTTTGCCAGTATTCTGTTTTAGACAATGTTTTTTTAAAAATGGTGGGACAATTTGTGTTTTGTACAGACTCTTAATTATTTTTTATCATGGAGTTTAATTGTTGTACACCTGGTTTCCGAAGGATACAATGGTAAGTAAATTAAACATATCTACTTACAGTTATAGATTTTTTAAATTAGTACTGCTAATAAATGCCACCTGCTAAGCAGTTATTTAATTTTATTACGGTGCATGTAAGGAATTAAGGACGCGCGTTGTGTTATATTAGCATGATCAGCAGATGATTACATCTAATTTAATTTGTTTTTATTATTTCAGGTCTCAAACGGAAACAAACTGGGAATCTTGCCTACACCAAAATTATATAGCCGTTTCCAATTCACTTCAAAGGGAGGAAAATTATGTAAAACTGCCTGCTATTTGCTGAAAACCGCCAAAGATTAAATTATAACTGTAACAACTTAATATATACTATTTCTATTCTTTTTAATATATTTTTTAATTAATATCCGACATATAAGAACACTTTGTATGCTTTTAATTCAGTTGATTTATCGTTTATAATATGTTCGACCTAATTAAAAGCACACAAAGTGTTCTTACATGTATGTCTAAATTTATTTTAAATTAACTAAAACAACCCCCCTTCCCCGCACCCCTCTCTTCCATTAGTATTTCTTCCTCCATCTAACAGAGGCGCCCTTGTATAATAAAATTGAAATGTATTATAAGTTGCCTATCTATTTAATAGTATAAGTCTTTTATCTATGTTTATGTTGTTAGCGACCACTATAGCAGGCTTTCCAATCTAAACTTGTTGCATTTATCTATGGTGACATTAATTTTTTTATTAAAATATATTTTGACTTTTCAATGTCAAAACATATTTTAACGTTTCCCTGGTTACTGATTCTATGTCTTGCTCATTCAAGGCTCATTCATCATAGCTATTTTTTAAAGTAGTATTTTAAAGCATTTTTAAAAAAGAATTTATCATTATATGATTTAATTTTTGGTATAATTTATAAAAAAAGTATATTAAAATAACAAATATTTTCAAAATAATAAATACACGTGTCAGTTATATCTTCATTAAAAAATTTAACGGTCCATATTTTTAGTAATTGTTGTCAACGCAGCGAAAAAGTTGGCATTCAGGTCTAATATCATGGTACAAAGAAAACAAGGTATGATCGATAGCGGCTCCAATTTCGTTCAGTTAGCGCATACCACCTGTGACGTCACTAAGGAAATAAGGAATAAATAAAAAATAAAGAAAGTTGACAGGAGATCTGCATTTTTTAAGGTTATGGTTAAGAATTGTTCATTTTTTCTGACTTTTTAGTTCGTTTAATTTAATAATTACTAAATAAAACCAGCCGTTCCAAAAATAAATTTAAAAGTAAAAGACAAAAATTCAAAATATTAATTATCTATTAACATGGATTTGGACGATAATAGGTAAGAATACTAAATTTATTTCTATATTCGGTATAAAATTGTTTATTAGGTTGTAAATTAAATTGTTTATTAGTTTGTGATGTTTATGGTAAATAATTTTCATGTTCATCGTCTCTGAATTGACATGAGGATATATATGGAAAAGTAACCACAAGAGGAATTGTTACATCATTTAAAAAATGTTGGGAAGGTCATTGTTTCCCATCGAAAAGTAGAAAATGCCAATGCAGATGAATGTATTGTAATTGTAATAGAAGTAATTCCAAGGGTGAAGTTTATTATACTTAATTAGTGACCTGTGCTTCTTTTTATATGTAGATGTTTCAGGTTTTGAGAATAAATCAGTTGAACGAAGCCCAAAATTTAGAGGAAGTATTTGCATACCCAGAATATGCCCATCAAGGATTATAGCTCAAATTTCCTTTAATAGTAGGCAATTATTCAATACAAATTAACTTTTTAAGTAACTGAAATAGTAAATAGTTTACTATATTTATCTCATATCACTGTAATCCATCCGTGATCGAAGGGAAAGCGTGAAAACCCTACAATTTTCACCGTGGGGTGCTGTTTTTACGTACGGTTGGACTGTGGGCTAGTGAACAAACGAAAGACAAGTTTTTTCTCTGGGTTAAGATAGGGTTTAACTAGTAATTTTTTGATTTCGCGATCTTGCCACGCCTGCGCTACCCGACAGCCGTCAGGAGGCCGCCTGCCGTCTTCGTCTCGGTGCGCATGCGGTGCCCGATTTTCTTTTAGAAAGTAACAAGACACTGCGTAGCTGATTGAAGCGCTGTGTTGGGACCAGACGACCTTCGAAAGTCATCCTAACTTTCGAATGTTAACACATGCGCAGTGCATTCTCCGACCGCAAATACTAGGGTGAGCCATCCATCCATCGCCTCCATTTCAGGGCCGCGCATGCGCCCTTGTTTAGAAAATAGAAAGTATCGCGCTTGCGTAGAATCTTACTCCGCGCCATTTTGCGCCAAACCCCTGAGCCAAGACTTTACGGCTGCTTCTCAATCAATTTGAGTTTAATAAAGACTGTTTATATTATTTTAATTTAAACTGATTGTGTTATTTTGACTTTACCTGCACCCCTTCATACCTTGTTTTCTTTGTACCATGGTCTAATATCGTTTTGCACATGCTCAGTAGCGTATTCAGAGAGAAGGATAGGCTTATACGATAATTTTGTTCTAGAAAGAGATAAATAAAAAAATGCATGTGAAAGTCCCGCAAACAAACTCGTGTGTAATATACATATGGCATAGCTATATCCACGAAGAATATAATATCTAAGTTTTACCCCCGAAATTTTTTTATTTAAGCCTAAAAAATACATACCTTCGATGCTACTGTTGGTGTTTTACCCCTGTTGACAAATTGAGTATGACTAACGGCTTGCGGCCTGACTGATCCGCGATAATGTGAAGAATTATTCGATTTGGGTCGCCATTTTGAAGTCTGCTGATAATTATTGTGTGTCGAACGGTAATTGTTAAAATGAACCCTTGAACTGAAAAAAAATGTAATAAGTAGGGAACTAAAACTCTAGGAGCGCGACGGCTGGAGCGAACACAGCAGTTACAGCAGTTACTTCTGTTCATGACAGGAAATACAACTCTAGGAGAGCGCGACGGCTGGAGCGAACACGTCCCGATCGAGATCGCGCGGCGCGGCGCGGCGCTACGGACATACCAGTTCCAGATACTACTGTTGGCGACCTCGTCGGTTGCGCGTCGACCTCGTCGGTTGGCGACCTCGTCGGCTGGAGCTAAACACGTCGCTATGCGGTTACTACGGTTCGAGCTAACTTCAAGAGCGATTATAAATAATTTATTTGCAAATTATAAATAATTTATAATTTTGTCGTCATTATGATCGTCGTTCTTCAGTAATAGGTTCCTGATTCGTTGTGGAGCGCGACACGACGTTACAAAAAAATACCGCTCCAAAATCGCGTTACTCAAATACCGACACATCACTAACAATGACACTATTACAATTTATCGAAAAAGACTGTAAAATAGTTGGTTGTGTAGCGTGCGGTAGATCTCGGTCAAAAATTGAGGAAAATAACTGCAAATCACTTAAAAATAACTAATTATATTTTTTTCTTGCATTTTTGCTTTTATTTACTACTTGTCAAAGATTATATGTCAAAGAATTTAGATACGTCAATTTGGCTTACCTGCTTCACTAGCGTATCGAATGTTGTGTTAATAAATAATTATTATAACTTATCTATTTTTATTGGAACTATGTATTTTTATAACAATTTTACAACTACCAACATTTATTGTCAACGTAAAAAAAAACAAATTATTGAGTACCCTACATCATATTTTTACTCGTTTTGAATAAAATTAGAATGGCACTGATAAACCGGAATTTAAGCCGGCCATTATAGACCCCGTCGCGTTCGATCTCAGACTTTTGCTCAGATATGCTCCTTCCCTAATCTTTTTATTCAAAGATATTGTTAATTTTATGAGGATAATTCATTCTTCATAAAAGTTTTTGCTTGTTGTAAAATAGTTAATCCCGTTTATACTAGGTCCATGTGAATACAACAGAGAGGGAAATAACTTAACACCATATTATTGTCAATGTGTTTGGCGACATCTGTCGGTAAACGAGCCAACTAGAACGGTATCCGTAAAATTATGATCAAAAAGATGATAAGTGATCTTGAACTTTCGCACTTTCAACCGGTTAAAAAAAATAAAAGTAGGATAAAACTTACATTTTCTTCTTTGACGTTTTTTGTTTCGATACCATGTCGGCAATATGTGCGGATTTCGCTGTGGGTTCAGCCTTAATCACTAAATCATTACCCCTCCAAGATACTTTAAATGTTATCTCCGATTGAAGAAAATCCTCCAATTTTTTAAAGCCCAACTCTTGAAACGGTATTTTTTGACCAATCATTGCTCTGTAATCATCTATTAAAAAAATATAATTACATTATAGTATTATTACAAATAAAAAAACTACAAATATAAATATGTAAAAAATTAAGATTAGGGTGCGTCCAAATTGCTTGTGGCGTTTTTGAGGCTTTTAAGATGGATGCCCTTATTAATATTATTATTACTTACCAGTTAATTGGCGCACAGGTGTTGGACCTTTTTCGGTTAGACAGAGACTCCGAATATTTTTAATAACTTCATTTCTTAAATCGTCTTTATCAGCCATGTCTGGATCAGTTATAGTTCAGTTCGGGAAAAATACTATAACAAAATAAAGAGTTTTCCATAAAATTAAATTAAATTTCTTTGAAGTGGTTTACTATAGACTTGGTGCATTCTCCGCCGGTGCTGCCACCGCCGGAGAATATCGTAAAGAACGAATACATACAAATACACGGGTTTAAATGGCGAGTAAACAAAACAATTAGTATGTTGTTAATTATTCTGAAAGTATAAGTTGGTGGAAATTCTAACAAAAAAATAAAAAGGTAAATATTTTGATATCTTCAGAAGGTCTAACTTGCATTATAATTTATTATTCCAGTTAAAAAAAAATATATGAGTTCAACTAGGGTAGCGAGTATAGTTTTATCACCGGTTTTGCTAGTGGGGCATAATTGGAGCTATTTCGGCTATAACGAAATTTTTTAAAGGTACATAATTAATTTTAGAAGATGTTTATAAAACATTTAATCACAAGTTGATCAAAAAAGTATACCATTAATATTGAAAATTATATTTCATCCTCTCATAGTATATTATGTCTATTTAATTTTTTGATTATGTAATGTGCACTTTGTTTACTCACTTGTTTCGTCGAAATGCTTGAATCCATTTTTGCTATTGATCAAATCGGTGTAAGAATTTATGAAGCTATAAAATGTTGTTTCGGGAGAGTTGAATATCCGGGAAAGTTGAGTTATTGAATGTTATTGCGTCCAACAACGCCCTAATTACGCTCTCCTTTACGCGTTAACATTTTTTTGGGCAATTTTATTAACATTTGAAATTGTCACAACACAACAAGACGCCTAGTTCGAATTCTCATTCCCTTCATTTTTACTATCCGAAATAGCGTTACATCACACAAACCTCGTAAACAATTAGTATATTGTTTACGAGGTTATTATTATAGTCTCAATAACTGCACTAGCAAAAAACTAAATACTTAAATATTATGACAAAACCCCGATTTCAATATTATTTTAACGTTATCGACATTCGACATGACGGCGCGGCGGCGGGAACTATATATTGATAATTTCTGATTTCTGTCGCGCTGCGGTCGGAATTTGTTGAAATGAACTGATATGCACCAAGCCTATAGATACTGGGTGTTTCAAAAACATGCGCCATCTCTCTTGGTGAGATTCCTCACGAAAAAATATCATTTATTTTTTATATCGACATATGTAGGTCCTTTTTATATCGACATGCAGGTCCGATTTTGCTTTGCTTTGTAACTACAGGATTAAAGTTTTCATTTTTTTTTCGATTTATTATAATTTTCTTCCAAGGACTTTTAGCGATTTGAAAGATATTTTGAGCGTAAAAGTTACTATAATCGCGACAAATTTTATTGCTAAAATCGTGTCGACATATTAACCAAGGACGTGCATATGGGTTATGACATGACTGGAATATTTTTCTAGAAAAACATGTGCGCCACTGACTTTTTTTTTATCTTGTTAGCAATATTGTATAAACCGTTAATGCGGATTAAAAGTTGTCTTATTGTTACGGATTCCGTGGGTCCACTAATTTAAACTCACGATAAAATACTTAACGAATTTATGTTTCTCACAATTTCCACACAATTTGTACTAATTTAACACACAACTAACTATTTATAAAATTTCTTCGCCAAATTGTCCGATTCGCAATTTAAAAAGCGGTATTTTCAAACTTCAAACTGCTGAACCGCCGATTACGCGCCTTTATATATGCTCTGGTAACTGTTCCTGGAACGTTCTAAAATTATCGGTAACTTTCTGCCATCTACCAGTAAATTCTATTGCTTGATTCGCCTACTTGTCGACTTAATTAAAAGATGGCGCCTCAACAAAAATGTCTTCAGATTTCTTGACAATTTAGGCAACCAGCCCAATACACGTTTTAGTTACTTGCTTCTCCGACAGATGGCGCCTTGATAATATTTTGATATAAACACCTTGGTAATATTTTGTCGATTTTAGTCTCCTTGATATAAACGCAATTTTATTAATTTGCCCTAATACAGATCTGATAGCAACATCTGCATAGTTAGCAAAAATGCATAGTTTTAAAGTTACAGGATGTTAAAACTTTAAAAAAATACGTCTTTTGTCATTGTATTAAATGCAATTATTTTATATTCAATTTGCTGTAGGTAGCACTGAACCACAGACTGAACATTACTGTTATACATTTTAATCAAATTTAATAATAAAATAAATCAAATAAATAATTTACTAATTTTAATTTTATTAATGTGATTAATAAAATTGCCTATATCTCATCAAAAAGATTAAAATGCATAAAATATCAAGATACAACTTTTAATCGGCATTAAAGGGCCTGCCCAATGTTGCTAACAGGAGAAAAAAAGTCAGTGGCGCACGGTTTTTATTTTAGAAAAATATTTCAGTGATAACCCGTATGCACGTCCCTGGTTTATCTATCGACACTTTTTGAGCATTAAAATATATCGCACTTATAGTAACTTTCACCCACAAAATTTTATTCGAATCGCAAAAAGCACTTGAAAGAAATTTATAATAAATAAATAAAAAAAGATTTTAACCCCTTGTAGCTAAGAAACAAAGCAGAATCGGACCTATGTTGATATAAAAAAAAAATGATATTTTTACATGAGGAATCTCCTCACAAAAGATTGAAACACCCTGTATAGTACTCTAGCTATATCTTCCTTACTGAATTCAAAACTAACTTAAACCCATCTTAAACTCTTATTTATCAAGGACTGGAATTAAAGAGGACAATATATCAAGTTACACTTCAACCCATACCATAAATAATATAATTTATAGCTTGTTGGGAATACCCCATAAAGAGTGCTTTCTTAAGCCAGCCAAGTGAAAACCTAATAAAAAATAATTAGCTCTGAACCCTAATATTTCAACAGGTACCATATATTTCAGCATTTGTACATAAAATAGCTCAAATAACTTTCTCTTGAGGCATTTTTATAATAATTAAAAAATAAAAATAATGTATAAAAAATAACAGAAAACAGAAGATAAATGCATTAGTTATGATCCTTAATTAGAACACTTTCATAAAAGTAAAACTAGTACAACCTAGACCTTATATTATTACATTATTTTTTGTTATGTATGAATAATCTTTATCTCCCCTTTCCTAGAAACCCATTCTTTTGATAAATTTACCATCTGATCAAAAATATTTTTACAGCAAATTTTTCAAGTAAAACATTGAACTGAAGTTTCAATAAAGCCCCATAAAGCAAAATATACATGTAAAAACACCAGTAACAACGAAAAAACTACAAATATCCGAAGAATCAACAAGCAAGCATTCTCTTTACAAATTTAAGGTCAGGATTTTTTTGATTTTTTATAACAGCGCTACTAACCTACATAACATACTACAAAATTATGCATACCTGGAAAATTTCAGTCCGATAATTCGGTCATAGCGAAATATACTCTTTTAAACAAATACTACTTCCTATACAATCGCATATAGTCTCACTTGAATCGTTGAAATCAATTTTTTAAAAAGTAAAAACGAAAGACAAACTCCAGTTAACAGATTGTAACAGTCACAAATGACAAATATGATAAAACGAAGTTGACACTTTGACAGAATATAGAAAAAGGGATGGCGATGTGTTTTCTACACGACCGTTCACTGGCCATTTTTTACTGCGTTATGATGTCACAGAAGATCTATTTATATATGAACTATCATATAAAATGTATAATTATTATCTGTGGTCTAAAACCACAGAGAAACCAAATAAATTTACCCCTACTTATTTGTTTTTATTCAAAGGTTTATTTACAATTTTTGTTTCTATTATTTATTTTAAGTATTTGTTATTTTTTTTGAGTTTTAGATAAGGAATTTTAGAAAGTTAGTAAACAAAGGTTCCTTATAAACAGTCACAAAAACTCTTTGATTATATCTGCGAAAACATCTAGAAAATGTAAACAAGTTGAGAAAAAAAACTTTATTAATTTTAAAGATAAGCACCACGCAAAAAAACGGATTTTTTTTTATCTAGGATCCAATAAATATTACTTTTTATACAAAAAAATAAGCTATTTCTTGTTAATACGTCTTCGACTTTCAAATTTTCTAACCTTGAGGCAGGTTACCATTTCTGTACACAATCCACATAAATAATTTAATATATATTTTTTGGGGCTAAATTAGAGAGATTAGAAGCTTTAATAATCATGTCCAGAAGACCTAGAACCAGACAAAGCACAAGAAGGGTATTCATGGAAGGAGCAGACTCTATTGGAGGAAACGCAGCGGTAAATATTTTTTTTTTAACAAAACACGCTTAAAAAACATTACAATAATTTATTTCAGTATTACAAAACTAAGAAACTTAAAATTACAAGATAATTCTAAAATATAATACGTCATTTAGTCTTCGGGCTTTTTAACAATACCGTACTTCTCACATACTTGTAATATTTCCTCAACAACCTGTACAATTTTTTTCTTACTTCCATCCTCATCCGGTACACACTTGAGAGCAAATATTATTTCCAGAATATTAGTTTCCATCAGTTTTTCTGCAAGTTCTTTACCAGAATTCACAATATTTGAAATTATACACACTCCTCTATACTGTAAGCTACTAATTTGGTTAGCCAGTAAACACTGCATTGCTTCAAGCCAGTTCTTGGATTCAAATATTTTTTCACAACAATTTTTACTGAAACTTGTCAAAATAGCTAATAATCCTCCAGCAGCCATTGCCGTATCTTTATCCTCATCCAAACAACAAGCCACAACAAATTTAACTCTGTCATTCTCTCCCTCAAAGTATCTCTGTACTATATCCTCACTTTGAGCGAGATTACACATGCACTGTATCGCCGCACGTGACAACATCACGTGATCTTCATACAGGTAATGCTCAATTTTAGTAAAACCACTTTCTCTTATAATTCTTTGTCTAGCACTTTCATTGATTTGGGCGATATTACACAGTGCCATTAAAGATTCAAAGTTTTCTAAAGCTGAACAGTCTTGGTGTAATAACGATAATAAAGGCCTGATTACCTCCAGAGAACGTTGTCCAGGAAAGGCTACTTCGGGGTTCATTGTTATCCCGATCCTAGCCAGGGCTTGAGCGGCTTGTCTTTTACCCTTCTCTGTACCGTCTAGAGCTAGTTTAATAAGTACTTTCACTGCGCCTTGTTGCACCATGACTCCTCTGAGCTCATGCTCGCTGGCGAGAGCGTTAAAAACCCTAGAAATTAACTCTCTGGAGTTGGGGCTTTCTGTTTTGGATAGAGCTACTAGAGCTGTAGTAACGTTTTCGTGTCCGAGTATTAGTAAGCGTTTTGTAATAAAATCCGGGTCATCTAGTTCGTGTTCCTCAGGAATATGTTGTTTGGCGAACTTAGCTAGCTCAATCATCTCGGGGATAACCTCTTGTTTTTCGTAGGCGTTGCATAGGTTGACTAATGTGGTTATAACTCCGTAAACTACGCTTTGATCGCCTGTCTGGGCGAGTTGTACTAAAGATTTTAGGGCTGCTTTGTCTGAAACGAGTTTTTCTTTAACTTCTGCGTCAAGGGTAAGGTAGGAAAGTCCTTCGGCGGCCCATTTTTTGACATCGGTGTCTTTTCCTGGATGAAGTAGGAATCTGCGACATGCTTCGGCGAGTTTAATGGATGAGCCTTCGGCAAAAGGTTTAATAGAGGCGTCTGTCCCTGCGTAGCTTCCTGAAAAAAATATTTTGTAACAATAATATAGCTTTGTTGCTTTTCAATAGTTTTTGTACAGGGTGTTCCATTTTTTCCTGTTTTATAGGAACGAGAATTAACGAGAAACCCAATAATACACACGAAAATGGTACACCCTGTATACGTGTTCATACCTAACTTGCATAAACCGACAAGAGCTCTGATTTGAATGTGATCGTTTTTTGATTTGTACAATTTTTTTAAAATTTCTGCACCCTGAGAGACTATACTTTTTGCCTTATCAGCTTTACTAGCGGCTGCTATTATACATTCACAAGCTACCTAGAATAGAAAAAAAAATGCAATAAAGGTATAAATCCTCGTCTACACCTAACGTTTTGCCTGTCAGTTAAAACGGAAGACCTTCAAATTTTAATAGAATCTATGATATTGTACAGGGTGGGTCAAATTCGACGCTTTTAAATGGAAACACCCTTTTCTATAGGAGATAGACGAAAACTAATATTGGTGTCTGGAGCCCAATTTTTATCAAAAATATGATGGTGAAAACCTCACATCAATATCTGTTACCGTTTCGGAGTTACGGGGTGTTTTTCAAAAATGTGCATTTTTAACAAATCGCTGTAACTTTTTTGTTATGGAAACTTTTGTATTTCTATGAAAACATTTCCAAAGCACCTTTTTACGTAGAATTTAATGGTTTAAGTATAATTTTCTTAAAATTAATAATTTAAGAGTTATCAACAGAAAAATTGATTTTTTATTTGGGACACCCCTTATATTTTTAATTAACTGAAAAGAATTTAAAATTACCTTTCCAAAAATATAACACACTTGATATTTTGTTATAAACCCCTTCGAAATACAGAATTTTTATAAGTTCGCCACTTTTAACTAGTAGGCTTTGGACCCCTTATTGATGATATGCCCTTAATGGAACTCGAAAACATATTTTTCCAGCAAGACGACACACCGCCTCTGAACGCAAATTTTTGAAGCCAATTTCAAGAATACTTGAATAGCTAACCAAGATCCCAGTCGTTGGCCGTCGAGGCCGCCTGACTTAGTGCCCATGGATCTAATCCTATGGATATATTTGCGGAAGAATAAAGGTTCCTTATTCTTCCATATAATCTAGATAAGAATTAGAAATACTTCGAAGTTATGAGAGGTTATCTTTCACCCCCACTGAGTTAATGAATTCCGCGAGAAATATTCAAAAACTGCCCCGTCTGTCCATAACAGAAGACGGTCGATATGTCGAACACCTGTAGCAAAATCTCATGTCTTGATTTGCTATTTATTTTTATTGTTATTAGTTATTATTTATGTTGGTTAAATATATTTTAAATTGTTATAAAATTCTGCATATCTCATAGCAAATATTATTTTCGTTTTAATTGATGCTCACAGCTCACAGCTAGAATTATTTTGCATTACAGCCGGTGCCGTTCAAAGCCTACTTATTTAAAGCGGGCGAATTTTTATATACTCTATATCTCGAAGAGGAATCGAGCAAAATATCAAGTGTGTTATATTTTTGGAAAGGTAATTTTAAATTCTTTTCAATAAACTAAAAATATACAGGGTGTCCCATATAAAAAATCAAATTTTCTGTTGATAATTCTTAAATTATTAATTTTAAAAAAATTATATTTAAACCATTAAATTCTACGTAAAAAGGTGCTTTGGAAATGTTTTCATAAAAATACAAAATTTTCCATAGCAAAAAAGTTACAGCGATTTGTTAAAAATGCATATTTTTGAAAAACACCCCGTAACTCCGAAACGGTAACAGATATCGATATGCGGTTTTCACCATCATGTTTTTGACAAAAATTGAGCTCCAGACACCGATATTAGTTTTGTCTATCTCCTATAGAAAAGAGTGTTCCCATTTAAAAGCGTCCAATTTGACCCACCCTGTACAGGGTGTGAGGTGTGAGTAAATTGGACACTTTTCAAGGGAAACCTTTTCTATAGGAGATAGACGAGAAAAAATCGCTGTAACTTTTTTGTTATGGAAAATTGGGTATTTTTGTGAAAACATTTCCAAAGCACCTTTTTACAGAGAATTTAATAGTGTAAATATATATTTTTTTTAATTAATAATTTAAGAGTTATCAACAGAAAAATTGATTTTTTATTTGGGACACCCTGTATATTTTTAATTCACATTGAAAAAAATAACTTAAAATTGCCTTTCCAAAAATATAGCATACTTGATATTTTGTTTGATTCCTCTTAAAAGGTATTTTTTGGAAGGTTCTTTTCAGTGAATTAAAAATACACATTTTATCCCAAATAAAAATCAATTCTTCTGTTGATAACTCTTAAATTATTAATTTAAAAAAATATACTTAAACCATTAAATTCAACATAAAAAGGTGCTTTAAACATTTTTCATAAAAATACAGAGTTTTCCATAGCAAAAAAGTTCAGGGATTTGTTAAAAATGCACATTTTTTTATTTGATCAGTAACTCCGAAACGGTAACAGATATCAATGTGCGGTTTTTACCATCATTTTTTTGATAAAATTTGAGCTCCAGACACCGAAATTAATTTTCATCTATATCCTATTGAAAAGGGCGTTTTCCTTTAAAAATGTCCAATTTAGCCCACCCTGTACAGTGTACAGTTTTGTCAGTGAAACTGAACGATCCTGTCAGTTCTCTAGACAGCCGTTTTTTTTTCATCCACACACAACGTTTTAATTGATACATTTTGACTGAACAGGCAAAATGTTACTGGTAGACCAAGCTTTAAACTATTAAAATTTCCTACCTTTTGTTGTAACTCATCTTCCGTATTAGCCATAACCAAAATCATCTCCAAAATACCCTCTTTAGCAATTATCGTATTCCCTACATCTAGGGGACCCCGTAACAATGCTGTAATCGCAACTGTTACCCTTACTTTACTCTCTATATCTGGTGTTAACAATTTATCCTTAATAAATTCTTGTATTTTATTCAAAAACTTTTCTTTAGCTTGGTCATAGTACATATTTTCATAGATTCGAGCCAAACAAACTGCAGCTATAGTCCTAGTTGATGGTGTAATGTTCATTGCACTTTCATAGTGATACTCTTCAAGTTCACTAGCACATTCCATAAGTTTTTTTACCCCATCTAGATCTATCAACTTTTCTGCCCAGTCTAGGGCAGTATGGTGAATATTCCTGGTTAGTATTTCAATAATAGCATCCCTAGCTAGCCCAGAAATAGCCTGGTTATTTATTGACATTGTCAGACACGATAGTAAAGTGTCAATGATAGATTTATTCCTGTCAACAAGCTCTTCTTTTGGTTTAATGTCCGATTTGTTTTCCATGCCTAAATAAGAGTATAAATTTTATGAAGAATGCTTTAAATAATAATTTTACCTACCAGATAAACTGTTTAAAATGGATTGTATACAGTACTGAACAGCGTTAACAACAGGTTCTTTTGTAGAATCTAATACTTCAAGCAACCAAGGTATACCGATATCCATAAGTACTATTCTAGTTTTTTCTTCAGAATTCTTACAGAGTTCACTGATTATTCTAATACCGGTAACATAGATTTCTTCATTCTTCTCTACTTTGAGTAAACTTTTAATTTTTTGAACTATACAGCCTTGTTTCAGCATAATCTGACTGCCAGCATTTTCTCTAGCCAATACCAACAGATTTTTCATTGCAGTTTCACGTTTATCCTTTGGGTTAGTCGGATCCAATATAATATTTAACATACTTTCTAATTTGCTGTTGGTTTGAGCACTAATACGAGCCCTTTCTTCAACTATCTTATGTAGTCTTTGCAAATACGGCTGGATAATTTTGTTTGATGGGTCGTCTTTGAAAATTTGCGTAGCGTCTTTGTAAGCTTCTTCAAACCTCAAAAAATAATGTAATATGTATTAAAAAGTCTTTTAATTATAATTGAAAGGTACCTTTGTAATGATTCAAACGCTTGCAGTCTGCGAAAAAGGGCTTTAGGGTCGTTGGGTGTTATTTCTAGGCTTTTACTGCAATCTTTTATAGCTTCTTCGTATTTTTCTAACTTCAAATACACTGCGGCGCGATTTTTATAGTAAACCGCTAGTTCTTTCGGTTCACCCTTTATCCTGTCTATCGCCATGGTGTAGTACTTTAGGGCCTCGTCCCATTTGCCCTCTTTAAAGGCTACATTTCCCTGTTCTTTTAGAGCTTCACTTTCAGTTTCACTACCCATTTTTTTATACGATAAAAAAACGTTTTTACTTTTACTGAACAATAGTTTTAACTTAACTGTAACGTGTGTATCCTCGCGTTGCTCTATTTAAGTATTGTTCAACGAAGTATCATGAAATTTCTCGAACAAAATCTATATTTAAAAATGTATTTTTAGTTCGAAATAGAAAACAAAAATAAATACTTTGGAAAAATAAGTTGGGTTATGTTATCTGTCATTTTTTGATAGTGCTGGAGGATGGTTATCGATGTTTTAAAAACATCGATGTTTCGAGTTCAGCGTTGATAACTCAATGCACAATTTTCTATATTATGTACAGGGTGTCCCAAATATGAGGTCCCCAATCAAAATGCCACCTTAAAAGTTAAAAAATTCTGAATGCTCTGGAAGATTTTTCGAAAAAAAATCATGGGTTTGAAAATTTGGTAGAAATACATTTGTTATTATAACACCATCTTTGCAGAACAAGAAAAAAGTAGTTATGACAATGTAACATTTATTTTGTTCTGCGTATCTATTCCAACAGAGCCACAAAAAAATAAAAATAAAATTACAAACTTTTTTTTTGCAAAAATATTAGAAATTTTTAAAATTTTAAGGGAGTATTTTGATCAGTATGAAATTACGCAACTTTTTCCTCTATTTAACTGACCTCGTATCTCGTGGGATACCCTATATTTATTACTTAATATTAATACGTGTCTTATTTTTAATTAAACGTCGATAGTGTTTTAAGGTCGATCAGAGAATAGGTACATTAAAGAAATGCTAACTTCATGTTAAAAAATGGAAACAGACGCCACCTGGTGCAGCCTGGCAGTACTAGCTAAATTGAGGGGAATTGGAGGGGCGGAGCTTAAAAGAGGGGAAATTTTTTAAAAAATATTTTTATAAGTATCACTGATTTACTGTTTAAAGTTAATAAACATATTTTTTATTACTTTAATATAATTTAAAGTATTAAAAAATATCTCTATTAACTTTACACAGCAAATCAATGATATTATTAAAGACTTATTATTTTCAGAGAAAATTCATAGTAAATAAATTACACATTTAGTAAACAATATCATTTATTTTTTAGAGCTGCGATTTATATTACAATAATATTGAAATATATATATTTTTTAACAATGAAAAAGAATATCCCGGAACCTGAAAAATAAAGATGATCAATTAATGACTTAAATTAGTTCAAAATACATTTTGCAAATAACTAGGGAATTGGAAAGATAAACATACTATTAAAAATACATTTTAGTAGTATGTTATCATCTATTTACTGATAATACATAAGTATATAATAACATGAATAAGGCACTATGATACAACTACCTAGTAGTTGTATCAAAATAACTTCTACTAATATCACAAAAATATGTGCTAATTTAAATTCCTTTAATGATCTAATGAAACACTATCTATAGCCTCAATACATGCCATTCCAAAGGCAAAAAAACTATTAACCAAATAAATATAAGCTGAATAAAACATAAACCAAGCCAACGTGCATAAAAAACCAAAAAATGCATCAAAAAATACTTTTATCAGATCATACCCTTGGATATATTATGTATTTTATATATCGCACATCCCGTTCAAAAGTTTACTAACTCAAAATAGAGAATATAGAGAACATTGTCAAGAGAAGTAAAAGAAAATTTAAGTTAAGGCAATATGCTCCTTTTTGGATATTAATGGCCAAATAATATAATGTTGATTTAATAAAATTTTACTGGCATCCTTCTGAGGTATAAATCAGATTAAAAGGACATTGTTTTTGTAATAATTGTTTGTTTTGTAAACATTTTTTGAAGACAATACAGTTTTGAACGGGCTGTGCGATATAAACAAGGATCTTACTATTATTTGAGGTTAGAAAGTATTTAAATAACATAAAACATAATCAAAATCATTTGTCATCATAAATTATAGAGGTACTTACGTGTTTTGATATTATTATCAGGAAATAATACGTTTAGTTAAACAGGTACGCTGCCAGGCAAGTTCTATCGGCGGGTCTTTGCAAAAGTTGAAATCTAAAAATACAAAACTACGTTTACATCTTAGTTGTATTTACGAATAAAGTATTTGTGTGTAATTTCTGACTTACCAGTTAATTGAATAATCGCATTAAATACATCCAAATGGTAATTTAATATTGTAAAAAACAAAATTGTTTTAAATCACTTGCCAGGACAGCCGGCCAGCTTCTTTGTTGACAAAATGGCCGCGGTATCATGATTTAAGCAATGTGAGTGACAAAGAAAGCCAATGCCTGGCAAATGTTGCTTTCTTTGTCGTTTATCCTGGCACGTTTAAATTTGACTGTTGCCTATTTTCCCATACAAGTGACACCCCCGTGAGGTCGATGTTTGACGTCGACGCCCCCCATCACTATTTTTAGAAAGTTGCCAAAATCAGCTGTTTGTCAATTTTTGACATTTGACGAGTAAAATAAAAACAATCGATGCTAGTCATCCTTTTTAAATAAATTTAATATCTATAACATCAAATCGTACTTATACATAATAGAAAAAAATACATTATATACCCCGAAACACAAAACTATCAGTAAAAATGGTATGTTAAAGTTTTTTTATCACATTTAATTCCTTTTAAAACCCTAATTACGAAATTAACATAAACAATTCAGTTTCAGTTTGGCTTTAACATGTTCCCGGACATTCCCAGGCCCTTTAACGTTACGTACCACTGTTATTCCGTGGCTATGCTTCCAGGAAACGAACGACAAGATGTAGAAAGAGGAGGAAAAAGTATTGGATTTATTTCTTTTTAATTTTTAAACTCATTCTTTGTTATTTTTAGTTATTATGCCTCCCAGTGCTCTCGAACAACTAACAAGATTAAATATTAACTATCCGATGCTGTTTAAGTTAACAAATAAAACAACCAGCAGAGTTACGCATTGTGGTGTATTAGAGTTTGTAGCGGACGAAGGAAAAGTTTATCTGCCATTATGGGTGAGAAATCTACCACTATTAATATACCTGTGTTGCATCGCCGACTTGAACATAGGAAATTCCATGTAAACTTTAAAAATGAAGAATAAGTTTTGATCAAACAAACTTAAAATCACAAATTATGTCACAATATGACAAATCTATTATGATTTCCTTTTACAGATCAGTAAAACAAGCGGCCTCAATACAAGGGGCTGTAATAAGCAACTGCAATTAACATTTTACCAACACAACAAAGTTTTTTTTTCTTTTTTTTTTATTAAAGTCTTTAATTTTGAAGTTAATAAAATACACAAAAAATGTAACAGGTTAAAAAAATAATCATACTAATTTAAAAAAGAACTAAATTTATGTAAAAAAAACAAAGTTGTGAAGGTATCTGATAAAACAGTACAGAGAAAAATAAAGCTAGTGAGCTGAACCAAAAAACAAACTATCCAGAAAGGATGAACCTAAATGATAAAATTATTTTTAAATTCCTTGCTAACTTAAAATATCAACATTTTGTTGAACTTTTATTTTTAATTTAGAAAGAGATACTAAAAAGTCAAATAACCTAGCTACATACTGCTTAAAAAATCATCAAAATCGCCCCACTAGAACAAAATATTGTCCCATTGCTGCCAAAAGTCACTAACTTGCTTTTTATTACTTCCGAGAAAAATGCGTCTAAAAATGAATAGCATTGCATAAAGATGTTGTAGTTAGTAACTATTCGGTAATAAAATTATTATTATTATTATTATTATTTACACAATAGAAAGCGGTATAAAAATACCGATGAGTCTACTGTCTTTTTATGTTGCGCGTAATTTTTTCGAGTTTACTGGCCGTAATGCAAATGTACAGAACTCAAGGTATTCATTTCTTGATCAATTTTGTTTTTAAATGAGTTGAGAGTTGGTACTGAAACACTTTCTTCTGACAGCAAGTTCCACGGGTACACTATGCGGTTAGTCAAAAAAAATTTTCGCTGGAGTTTGGACGATCTTTCCTTTTCCAGGCGTCTGCTGTGGCCTCTAAGTTGTGGAGTTTGGCAAGGATGGTATATATTTAATGGGCAAGTGTAGAAACAATTTAGAATTTTGTAAGTCTCTATCAAGTCCCCCCGCAAACGCCTCTGTTTTAATGTGGTGAGATTTAACATCGCAAGACGATCTTCATACTCTAGATCCTTAAGTTCATGGGGCATTTTTGTCACCTTGCGTTGAATTTTCTCGATGAGATCAATATCCTTCTGAAAATAGGGACTCCATATTATTTGACCATATTCTATTTTGGGTCTAATGTAGGACTTGTATATCTTTAAAATAAGATCAATAGAGCGGTCTTGAAATGCTCTTTGAATGAAATAAAGAAGAGAATTTGCTTTTTTAGTAATCTTTGATATATGCACATACCATTTTAGGTTTCCAGTAACTGTAATCCCTAGATCTTCCTGTTGTTCTACATGTCTTAGACTTAATTCATTTAGGGTGTAGGTTTTGTGCGTACAATTCATTCCAATGCTAAGAACAGTGCATTTGTCCTCATTCAGTTTCATTCTCCATTGTTTGGCCCAGGATTCCACCAACCTTAGATCATGCTGAAGATTGACGTAGCTCGTTTCGGGATTTGCATATAACTTTGTATCATCCGCAAAAAATATGATATTCGTTTTTATGCCTCTTGCCAGATCGCTGATATACAGGAGGAACAACAGTGGGCCCAACACAGAGCCTTGAGGACACGCTGGTCACTTTGTGTTTAGTTGAAAGAGATCCGTTTATTCTGACTTGGAAGTAGCGTCGGGTTAGGAAGTTTGATATAAGTTTGAATAAATTCCCTCTTATGCCGTAGTGGTTTAGTTTATAAAGAAGCATCTGGTGGGGTACTTTATCAAATGCCTTTTCAAAGTCAAGATAGATGACGTCTGTTTGTTGGTTTCTATCAAAGGCTGCTGTCCAATCGCTAAGACAAGATGTCATGTTCGTTATTGTGGATCGACCAGGAAGAAATCCATGCTGTGTGCTGGGTAAGACATCTTTTTCCATTAGGTATGGAGTAAGTGTGCGTAATAAAACATAAATAGCCAGAAATCGTAGTTAATGACTTTTGCAATCGATTCTCCGCTTCAGAACATAGTGATTGAATTTGGTTGTTCGGAAAAATGTTAGTTAGTGACTTTTGGCAGCAATAGGACTATATATTCTTTAAAACCATAATAAAATTCAGGTGTCCGTTTTTTGTGCTGTATTATGCGTGTATTTCTAATTGTATTGTTTTTAGATGATGCACAATATGACACTGGAAGAAGGCGATTTAGTACAAATGGAAAGTGTCTCCTTACCCGTCGGGACATTCTCGAAATTCCAGCCTTTATCTCCCGAGTTTTTAGACATAACCAACCCCAAAGCAGTCTTGGAAAATTGCCTAAGATCATTTGCTTGTTTAACCACTGGAGATGTCATTGCAGTTCAATATAATCAAAAAGTATATGAGCTGTGTGTTTTAGAAACCAAACCGGGCGATGCTATCAGTATTATCGAGTGCGATATGAATGTAGAATTCGCAGCTCCCGTTGGTTATAAAGGTTTGAAATTACTTTAATTATACCGTGTGTTGTATTGTCGTCGACCTAAACATAGAAAATCCCGTGTAAATTTTGAAAATCTAGTATAATGCATGTATTCAGGATTCAGGCATGCTGCAGAGCTGCAACAAGTCAGTTTCAAAAAGACTTAAGTCGTTTCTAAAATCAAAATGATTTAAATCTTAAGTCAAATTCAACATAAATTTAAGTCTGACTTAAATCATTTTATTTCAAGTCAAGTCATTTTTGTAAAGACTTATATCAATATAACGTTATTTAAGTCTTTTTATGACTTAAGTCTATATTGTTGACTTAAATCATGATGATCTGCAAGTTAAGTCAGTAAAATGACTTAAATCAAGATAACTACCCTCAAATCATGACAACCAGAATTCAATTTAAGTACCTTTTTTAAATGTTATTATTAATTTTCTTGTATTACCAATTAGGCGATTTTTTTACTGCCATTCTATTAATTTCTTGTTGGTACAGATGAGACTAAAACCACATAAAATAAAATGGTTAATTTTAAGAACAACAATAAACGCAAAAATATGTTTTTTTTTATAAAATATAACTGATTTTGTAGTACTTATTACCGTTACACCATTACATTAGATGTATTCAAATATATATCTATTAAAAAGGGGTGATGTGTTGTGGTGATCACTATGTAATATATTAGGTTGTTAACACGACAGTTACTTATAGGGGAACAGAATGGCAACACTGCCTATTGAGAATGCGTGCACTTATAGGGTTTTCTGCCGACTCGTCCCGTCGTCGCGTCGTCTATCGACGAGCGGGCCGAGGTTGCCATATTTCAACCATAAAGCTCTTGCCGCGTGTAATCAACATATTAACAACCTGTATATCAATCGCATAAGCTAAGGGCTGGGGGATTTTAAGGTACTCTTCAATATATTCGAGATAATTTTTCCTTTTGTTTGTCTTTCGGGCTACAAACCGAGTCGGAGATTCACTTGAAAGACAACAGACTCACTACGCACGCGTAACACGACAAATATAAGGTTCGTTCCAACCGGACCGAGAACCGATCCTGGAACGGTAATTCTGCTTCAGTAGCGTATCGGATGTTTGTGTTAATAAATAATTATTATAACTTATCTATTTTTATTAGAATTATATATTTTTAGAACAAATTTTAGTAACTACCAACATTTATTGACAACGTAAAATAAAACAACAAATTATTGAGGCTACCCTACATCATATTTTTACAAGTTTTGAATAAAATTAGAACGGCACTGAGATAACCGGAATTTAAGGCGGCCATTTTAGGCCACCGTCGCGGTCGATCTCAAGTTTTTTATATACCGGGTGCGTCTGAAAAGTGGCACTGTGCGTCTAAAAAGTGGCCATAAAATCAATAAAATGAAAAATATACGAAATAAAATAAATGTACTGATTTCTTTCGAAAATCGACAACTATGAAAATATGAACCCTTCCTGGACACAAACGGTACATTGTGAGACAGAAAATTGTAGAGAGAAACAAGCCCTATAACATAGGATACAACATTTTAATGAACAGTGCTTTCTATAAAATCAATAAAATGAAAAATATATGAAATAAAATAAAGGTACTGATTTCTTTCGAAAATCGACATCTATGAAAATATGAACCCTTCCTGGACACAAACGGTACATTGTAAGACAGGAAAATGTAGAGAGAAACAAGCCCTATAATATAGGATACAACATTTTAATGAACACTGCTTTCCATAAAATCAATAAAATGAAAAATATACGAAATAAAATAAATATACTGATTTCTTTCGAAAATCGACAACTATGAAAATATGAACCCTTCCTGGACACAAACGGTACATTGTGAGACAGGAAATTGTAGAGAGAAACAAGCCCTATAACATAGGATACAACATTTTAATGAACAGTGCTTTCCATAAAATCAATAAAATGAAAAATATTCGAAATAATATACATGTTCTGATTTCTTTCGAAAATCGACAACTATGAAAATATGAACCCTTCCTGGACACAAACGGTACATTGTGAGACAGGAAAATGTAGAGAGAAACAAGCCCTATAACAGAGGATACATCATTTTAATGAACAGTGCTTTCGAGTCAAATTGTCGTTATGAACCGCAGGTTACAATTTCAAATAAACTATATGCGAAAATGTCAAAAGTTGACATATGAAATGTCATTCTATTAAGAGTGTCATTTTCTATCAAATAAAGTAAAAAATTACCGAGGGTGCCGTTTAAAAATCAAAAGTTGTAGTCATTTCCGAAGTGACCGAAAACAATTGAATATATCAATCAATCCTAATTTATGTCACATACTAACATGACTAACATTACCAAAGCTCGTTGATTTATCTGAAAAAATAAAAATGTTATAGAGGTGAGCCACTTTTGAGACGCACCCGGTATAGTCCTTCTTTAATCTTTTTGTTCAAAGTTTTTTTAAATTATTTTTGACAACAATATCGTCAATTTGACATCATAAACAATTGAATTTGTGTTATACCAATCAGAACCAGATTATTTTTTCAATTACATAATATATTTTTATCTTTCAAAACTCCAAAAAGAATTCGTAGAAGCTATCGAAAATGAACAATTTGCTTCATTTTAAGGAATTCTTTGAAAAGTTTCAAATATTTTTTTTTCTGTAAAATAAAATGGGGAAAACTTATTCATAATTTTTAAAATTTACATGGGATTTCCTATGTTCAGGTCGGCGATGCAATAGACTGTAAAGAACTCTATAAACTGCTGATAAAACGCTGTATGCTAATTCTTTTTTAGAGCCTGAAATTGAAAGGAAAATTGAAGATGAAGAGATGGCAGTCGATCCTTCAGATTTAATGCCTGAACCATCGGGTTTTGTTGCTTTTAAAGGCGCAGGTAATCGTCTGGACGGAAAAAAACGCAAGGATTCTATAACAACAGGTAATTAGAAGGCTACAGTTAGTAAAATAAGTGCCAGTTAATGCTCAAAATGTTAATTTTAGATGCTGTGCCCAAATCTACATATGTTCGAGGTATACCGGACTACGATTATCAAATTGGGACACTAAAGTTCATTAGAAGATCGGTTAAACAAAAAGGCAACGATACCGAGGATAATAACGAATTTAAAGCATTTAGTGGAGCTGGCTTTAGCTTAAGAGGAAGGAATTAAAATTATTCTTGAGTTACTTATTGTACATATTTTTTTAATATTAAAGTACCTATTGTATCACTTTGAAATTAAAAAACAATGAAAAAAATGTTTTTTTTATAGAAAGATATTAAAATAATGAATCAAAAATGTTTTTTTTTGTACTTACCCTTACCCAAATGACCCCATATTCCTAGTTTTTCCTGTCTCGGAACCATCGCAGCGTGCACCAGTAACTATTTTTGTTAAGTTTGTCGCAAAGATTCAGAATATTCTCACTGTAATTTAAATCCCGGCACAATGTCACAGATTATATTGACAATGTCTTAGAAAGTTTTTACTTTTTTACACTTTGTACTTACGAAACCATCTGTAAAATATAAGAAAAGCTCGAAAAATCCGCAAAAATTCAAATAAAACTCGAATTGGCGTCAGTTGGCGTCAAACAAAACTGTCAAAAATTACATCGCCAACTTCTGGCGATTGACGCAAAGTTTTGAGGTTAATAATAACATTACTAAAGTCAGCTAAAGTCTGCTGACTATTATTTTTCATTTACCTGTTTACCTTATTTAATTTTCATAATTTTTAATGACAATGATTTTATTTTGAAGTTTATTTTGTCAAATAATTGTGTATGTTTTCAAATCCAAAATTTAGAATGGTCTCAATAGGTACGGCAGTTTCAAAATTATTCGTAAAATCGAATTGTCAGCGGTTCAAACTCTTCCAAAGGAAATTGTTGTTAAGAAGCTACAATACCATCAAAAGAAAGACCGCTAAAGATGAAAATTTCCTATCCAAATACTTATATAATAAAATCAAAGCCAAGGGACCTATTACGGTAGCTGATTACATGAAAGACGTATTACAAAATCCAGTTTCCGGATATTACATATCGAAAGACATGTTTGGAGAAAGCGGAGATTTTGTAACATCTCCAGAAATATCACAGGTTGGTAAATACTCTAATTTTCTGAACATTATAATCCTAAAATTGGATTCTTACAGATCTTTGGAGAAATGCTAGCAGTATGGTTCTTAAATGAGTGGTCTAAAATAGGGTTTCCCAAACCATTACAGATAATAGAAATGGGGCCAGGCAGAGGCACTTTAAGTAGCGATATTTTGAAAGTCTTCAGTCATTTTAAGGCAATAAAATCGCTAGTTAGGTTTTTTACATGTTTGAGTTTAATTGACATTTTTAGGCTTTGCACAATGTATCGTTACATTTAGTTGAAATTAGCCCAGTTTTAAGTGAGCTTCAAGCTAAAAGCTTATGTTCTTCAAGCTTTTTAACGAATAATATGTCTAATCCGATATATAGAGAAGGCAAGTATTGTACAGGGTGATCCATTTTCGTGTTTTACATTGTTTTTCATTTATGAGTAGAGATCCAAAGATGTAGTTTCCACCATACTGCATACTGTGCTACTTTTTATGAAAATAAAAATGCTACACACTGTATTGTTATAGCCCTCTTAGTACCTGAAATACAGGGTGAATTTGAAATTGTTACATTTTTGCAAGTTGAATAATGCATTCAACTTTTTTGTAGCTCTACTCGTAAACAAGAAACCCCATAAAACACGCGAAAATGGGACACCCTGTACATTTCAATTATCTTGGTATATGTGTATTGTAGGTATTTCACATCAAGGTATCTCTGTATATTGGTATAAACAGCTGAAAGATATACCAGATGGCTTCAGTATTATTTTGGCTCATGAATTTTTTGATGCCTTACCTATTCATAAGTTTCATAAAACTTATGCTGGATACAAAGAAGTTCTTATTGATATTGATAAGATTGAAAGCGAAGAAATCAAGTTTAGGTAAAAATCCGTCAATTATATTTTATACATACAGGGTGGCGCAGTAAATTTTTATCAAAGAAACAATCGAAAAACTCATATGTAATATAATACCGCGAATATCTGCGAAACCGTTAAAAATTTAGAAACACTTTAGATACGAAAAATGTTCATTTTTTAATTCTGCATCTGAAAAAAAAATAATATACGGGGTGTTGCATTTAAAAAAAATGAGATATAGCGTTTTAAATAGTGCGATGTTGGCGACGCCATAAAAAATACCCTGTATAAGATAATGTAAATTTTCCTTCGAGGACTTATTCTGTTATCCTTTGTGTTTAGGGAAATATAGCTGAGTATAGTAGCTTGTAGTAGTACAAAAAGTAGTGTACAGGGTGTCCCATTTTGGTTTAAATCACACGGTATCTCCGTTATTCATGAAGATAGAAGGGTGCGGTTTGCACAAACCTGTACCACTTTTTTGTCAAATGGAAGATGTCGTAAACAAAATATTCATAGCTCTCTTCGGTTCTGAGCTACAGGGTTTTTTTGAAAATTTTGCAATTTGGGATACCTCCTGTATCTCTGTTATTGTTAAAGGTATCGAGAAGGTGAAAAATGTTTATTGTAGAACTTTTTACATAGAATACAGTGGCGTAGTCTGTTGCTCTACGAAAAAAAAATATAATTTTAAAGATATGAATTAAAGTTATGTTTTATATATATATATATATATATATATATATATATATATATATATATATATATATATATATATATATATATATATATATATATATATATATATATAAAATATATATTTAGAAATTATATGATCTGGCTTTCCATAAGCTTCTCAAAAATATATAACACTGTATATTTATTTTCATTATTTAATGCAATATTTAAAAAAATATATTAAAAGATCATATTTATTAGTAGGTCATGATTGATAATAAAAGAAACTAAGGAATTATTAAAAGTAATACTGCTATCTGTCTCTTGTTTTATTTTTAGAGCCACTATTTAATTCTATGTATATTAGGGAAACTTATCTCTACCGCTATTTGTAAATCTTGAAAGCTATGGTATCGGAACTTTTAAATATTCCTTTATCTAATTTACGTGAAATATACTTTCAGCAAGATGGGGCTCCCCCTCACAACTTAACTTACAATGAAAATATTAGAATTTTGTTAAATTATTATTTCTCAAATCAATGAATTAGAACCAATGTACCCATATGATGAATGGCCTCCCTGATTCCCGGATTGTCTGTTCTCGATTTCTGACTTTGGGGATTTTTGAAATATGAAATATATCGTGGCAACTAATACGATGTCGAACACCTGGAAAATGCTTTAATAATGCAAGCTTTTAGGTATTTGCAAACCCAGCCCATTATAATAAGTTCCGTTCCTTTTTATCTGCAGAATATGCTCCCGAAGTTTCCGGAATACAGTTCGGACCACCCTGTATATATTTGAGATGCTCATAGCAAGGCGGATAATATGATTTATAAATATACAGGGTTTTCCATTTGAAAAAACATAACTTTAGTTCATATTTTCAAAAATATTTTTTCGTAGAAAAACCAACTACGCCACTGCATTCTACGTAAAAAGTTCTACAAGAATCAGTTTTCATCTTCTCGATATCATCTATAATAATGGAGATACGGGGGCTGTCCCAAACTGCAAAATTTTCGAAAAGACCCTGTAGCTCAGAAACGAAGAGAGCTATGAAAATTTTGTTGACATCATCTTCCGTCTGACAAAAAAGTGGCACAGGTTTGTGCAAACTGCACCCTTCTATCTTCATGAATATGGGACACCCTGTACTATATGCAGAATTTTATGCTGAATTCATGAATAACGAAAAAAAAATTTGGACACCCTGTATACAATAAAATATTTTTATGATATATACCTTAATAAACTGGTCAACATTTATATTAAACTTTTTTTTATATCGTCAACAACGACGATATTGGACTTAATCGCATTTATTAATGGGCCACCCTGTAGATATTAACAAAGTTTTTTATTAGATATGTGTTGGCTCGTCAGGATACGCCAATGCTTAAGGTTCTTGTGAAACCGAATGAAAACAGGGAGCATGTTGAAGTATCCCCAGATAGTATGCTTATATACGAACAAATCTGTAGGAGAATAGTATCTAGCGGTGGTATAGCTCTTATTTGTGACTATGGTCACGATGGTACGGGTACTGACACTTTTAGGTATGTATTTTTGAGGCAAAATTGTCAAAATTATTATCCATTGTTATTCCCCAGCCGTCTTTGACGCCGTTTTTTTCGATCGTATTTATTTTTAATAAATATTGAATTTTGAAGGGCCTTCAAAAAGCACAAGCAAGTCGACCCTTTAGTACAACCTGGCACATCAGATCTTACAGCAGATGTTGACTTTAATGTAATCAGAGAGGTAAGTATTACTTTTTATGTATATACCGAGTGTCCCATTGTTGTATATTTTACAACGTTTCTCGTTTATGAGTAGAGATACAAAGATGCGGTTTGCACATTCTACTTTTTATAAAACTAAAGGTGCTACACACAGATTTGACCTAGCCCTCTTAGTTAGCCCGCTAAAATTAAGGGTCATAATTCAAGAATGACAGCTTCCAGCGAAAAACTAGTTACGCTACTGGATTCTACGTGAAAAACTCTGCAGGGCACAGTTTTCAACTTTTCAAAGAGTTTTAAGATAGCCAAATACAAATGGGGTCGATAAATGCAACATTTTAAAATTCGTCCTGTATATTTCAGAAACTAAGAGGGCTAGGGCAAATTTGTGTATAGCATCTTTAGTTTCATAAAAAAGGCAGCGGCCGTAGCGGGTGATGTGAAAACCGCATCTTTGTATCTCTACTCATCAAACCCACGAAAATGGGACACCTTCTACAGTATCTATATTATTTTCCAATCAATTTTAGGTAGCTTACAATTACGGCGATATAATATATCTAGGACCGATTAAGCAACGGAACTTCTTGCACAGGATCGGTATCGAATACAGGGTGAACGCTTTAAAAGAGAACATGACCGATAAAAAACAGATCGATAATTTAATTGCGTGTTATAATTTCTTGACTGATGAAGAAAAAATGGGGGAAAGGTTCAAGTTTTGTGCCCTCGTACCGTCAACGTTAAAAAAAATTATTGACATGCATCCCATTGTTGGTTTCATGTAATAACTTATGCTTGTTAAAATTGTGTTAATAAAATTTATATTTCAAAGATATTTATGTTTGATTAAAAGGAAATCAAAATCAATAAAGACTGTTCAGCCCAGGGTTGGCATGATTTAAATCAAATGATTTAAATCATGATTTACATCGTGATTTAAATCAAGTGATTTTTTTAATGTTAATCATGTGATTTAAATCAAAAAAATAATTTTATTGAAATTTGTTTTATAAATAAAAAAATAACTGTAAAAGTTATACAAATCTATCCTAGAAAACTATCAAAAATATTTCTATAACAGATAATAAATCGAAAAATAATTGTAAATTTTATAAAACTATATAAAAATATGTATTCATCAATTTAAATGTTGAACCGATTTTTGAAGTAATTTCGTGTGAATCCATAAGACCGCTAAACGCAGGAATTTATTTTAAAATTTATTTATAAGTGACAAATGACAAAAATTCGCTTTTCGAATACATAACAGTAATCGAGAAACGATTTGTACACTCGTTGAATTTGACACCTAATATCAGTTTAATAATATATTTTTGTACTTTTGTGCTTAGGCGTAACAGTGCTTTACTTTTATGCCTATAGCCGTTAAAATGACAAAAATTAATACTTTTGAGACGTTTGAAAAAAAATCCTTTTGATCTGAAGCGAGCAACTTTTTTGCGGAATATATTGGTGACCGATGTGGAAAAATCACACGCCCCGTAGAATTGTTAATGTTATCGGTATCGCTCAGAGTTATTAAGATTTAGCCATTTAGGATAGGACTTTAATTGGAAATAAGTCCTAGTCATTTGGAAATCCGATTTAAATATTGTTTTGAATTAAAATCAAAAAAATCTGATTTAAATAAAAAAATCCGATTTAAATTAAAAAAAATCATGATTTTTTCCAACCCTGGTTCAGCCATCGTTCACCGTTACGTCATCATTATTTGTCAAATATGATTTTAGGGTGTGTCTGAGATCAGTTCATATTGTTTAGAAAATTTTAAGTACGTTCCTATATTAGGTTTGTTCCAACCAGCATTTCGAGATCGTTTCGAAATTGTACTCGAATCGGTTTTCTTGCACTTTGTTAGCATGCGCGGACTTCGAATAGTTTCGTGACGGTTCAAAAAGTATTAACGTTGGAACGCTTTGTGGATTGTTTTCGGGACTGTCAAAAGTGTCAAGCGTGCGTGTATCGATCATTTTTTTGGTTTTGTTCGAGGAATCAAGAAAATACGATTAAAGCTTACCTAAATATTGTTCATTTTTCACTCTTTCACTAGGCAGCAACTCCAAATTGTCACTATCTGAAGTGGAGCTAAAGAAATCAGTCATACCATAGTCACTCATCCTTAATTATTATCTATAGATAATTATGAAAGTGTACAATTTAAAATTTCCGAACGATTTACTCCACACAAACTCACAAGCAAAAGTATGACGGACACATATTCGAATTCGTAAAAAATAACCAATACAGAAGCATCAGCCGGACGCCGAACCAGAATCAGCTGTTAAAAATCGATCATCACTATCTATGCTTTAATGCGCAAGTCAACCCAAACAGTTCTCAATTTGGACCATGTACCGAAATTACCTACTATAGTCTGTCCAACGAGAAGATCCTTGACAGTGATAGATGTGTCTGTCATTTTAATTTCAAAGTAGTTTATTTTATTTTAAAAAGAAATAAGTTGGTACAACTGGAACGCATAGCAGGAAATTAATATGTATGTATTTAAAATTTGACTGACAAGTAACTTCAAAATATTGTGAAAAAAACTGTATAAAACTAAAAAAATGTACTCGAGTTATTTTATTTAATAAAAAACGGTCTGTGTTAATACAAAGCAAACAAAAACAAGACACCACATACCAAAAAATATAAAAAAGAACTATTTCTTACTTTCAAGCTTTATGAAACTTCCCGCATTTATGATTATATTTATCAATATAACTTATGTACAAATACAAATTTGTAATATTCCGCAGGAATAAATAAAACAACACAAATAAAACAAACTACTTTATTAAGAAAAACACTTACCAATTTTTATCCATCACAGGTTGATTAATTAACTTTAATCTTAATTTTTTTTAAACCAGTACCTTTTGACATTATTTTTCTGCAGTACTAAAATCCATTATTTACCTATCGTGTGATGTCGATATTTTACAGCTACTCCAGTTTTTAGTATGTGTTTAGTATGGTCCTTCTACTTATTCGAGATGCACTTATCAACGACGAGATGGTATACGAACTTTATTGACAGTAACTTTATTGGTGTATCTGTATAAGACTTTCTGCCAGGGCAGCGAGTATTAACCATAAACTGTGCTCTGGGTTCTACAGTTAATTTTCACTCGATTTTTCCTCCACTTGACTTCAAAAGACACAAAACACACGTAATAACACGAATCAAAATGCATCATCTTCCAAAACGCAGAGTATTTGACAAAAGTTGTCACAAAATTATAACCTATAATTTGGCAAGACTTTGACAAACGTCAAAAATCTAAAGGCGAGTTCATACGCATCGGCGTCCGTTTGTCGTTCATCGTTCCGTCAAACCAATAAAATTGAAATACGATTTGTCATTTTTGAAATAAACCAATAAAACTGGTTAAAAACAACAAGTGACGACGCAAGACGAATTTATATTTAAACCCATCCATAGTTAACTTAAAAATTATTAGAAACTTTTTTTAGTAAAATAAATGGATTGGTATGGGACATCATCTGCTTTTCTTTTGTCATCGTCTGTCGAAATCTTACCTGAGAAAAAAAACAGAGTATAAATGATCCGAAGGTAGGTTGGTACGCAAATAGGATCGTCCGATAACCGTCAAATCCCGGTTGGAACACATTTGAATTACAGCGCACGAGCGTGATCGTTCGGTGACGGTTCTGCGGCCGGTTGGAACAAACCTAATTGATTGAGCGAGTTCCGATTTTTTTTCGGCGTTTATTCATTTTTTCTTAAACTCTTCTTCAGTTTGATCCCTTTAATTCCAATCTTTTGGACATCTGCAATCTGCAACTCGCTATATTATTTAAAAGCGCTATCAATTTGTATTTTACATAGGAATATTACACCTTTGCATTTTACTTATTTCATATAGGGGGTCTGGTAAACATTAAGTACCTCAGAATTTCGCATTTTTTATTTTTTTAATCGAAAGCTCTATTGCTATAGAACAGTATAAAAGAAAAAAATCCTTGGATGAAGCACTTTTGAACCAAAAAAATTAATTTAAAAGTGTCTAAAATGCTAACCAATCTATCACAGTAAATTATTTAACACCCTCCACAAAGAAAAGCTAAGCAAAGCAACCCAAATGCTCACAAAAAAACTCTGTATGATTCAACAAATTTTTTGTCTTAAAATGCTCTATTTACAGTAATCTTTCTAAGAAAACAAAGAAAAGTGTGAAATTCCGAGGTATCTAAAAGTTTACTAGAACCCACATAGGGCGTCCACGTCTAGCAGCGTCTCTTTCTCGAGAAAATTAATTTATGAGCTTAGCAATGAACTCTTGTTTATTTTGGTTAAATATTTGAGGCATTTTTTTCAATAAAAAAAATTAAACTTTCTCGATGTCCGTCAATAAAATTATAACCCCAAATCATAGATAAATGAAACAAGTTTAGATTGGAAAGTGCCCATAAGGACAATGTAAACACTATTTGGCGCTATTCTTGCAACGGTCGCGACCCAAAACTTTTGAAAATTTCGGAGCGGTTCGGCTTTTTCCGGAATTATATCGCCAAATATTGTTTATTCAAATTTATTATTATTTTCGTTGATTTTCGTTTAATTTTATAAATAAAATACAGTGTGTTGCATACAAGAAACTTTATTTTATGTAAGGACGCATGTATGAAATACCTATGAAACATTGGAAACCGACGTTATGCCACGATCCACGATGGTTTTTGCAGTTCACAGTTCTCAGCACAGCTTTTTAAGTTTTTAATGCCACTTTTTCACAATTATCACCGGTTGGAGTAAATAAAACTTGAATTAAACTCACAAAATAGCAATAATTACTTTGAGAATGGACGCTATAAACACTTTTCGGAATTTCTTTAATGAGAGCGGTTTAGATTTTGAAAGATCATTATGATTTTTGAAGATTCTGACTTTGACAAGAGAAAATTATTTCTGTTTTTGTTTGCCGTTGTTCTTAGCGACCGCTATAGCAGCGTCAGATCGCGTATAACGGTCGCGACCCAAAATAATTTCGCGACCTAAAATTTTTACAGGTTTTCCAATCTAAACTTGTTGCATTTATCTATGCCCCAAATCAAATTACAAAGACAGTTACTAACTAAAAAGAATATGCAGTAATTTACGAAATGCCGTAATGACGTCACCAATCTCTTTCATCTGATTGGCAAGCGATTGAGAGAGTTCGACAATATACAGGGTGTCCGGAAATTATTGCAACAAAATTTGGTCATAGATTCTTGAAAAAAAAATAGGTGACCCGTATTTTTTATTTTTGGCCAGGGGCGCCCTTTTCGGATTTACAGCCCCCTAAATTTCGCCTCTAAAAAGAGTTTTTTTTTAATATCTCAGAGTCCTGTTGGACGAAAATCACTAAATTTGGTACACATTGTTTTACCATAAAATGACATTTTTTGATGCTATTAACCTTTGCTATTAACTTTTTTATTTTCATCAGTGGCGTCCCTACCGTATTTAAACTAAATATTATCGAAGAAAAAAATGGTACGCCACTGTTTTTTTTTAAATAAAAATTATTTTTAAAATCTACGTTAAATTTGGAACAAATTTGACCTCTTAACTTTTTTTTGGTACGACGCACCGTTTTCGCGTAAAAAAATAAAAACCACTTTCATACATGACCAAATCCCTCGAATTTTAATGTAAATTTCCATAGCAAAATTTAAAAAACCGCAATTTAGGTTTTTGGACATTTTGGTTCGCACTTAGGTAATAAAAACAAGATTTTAGAAAATAAAAAAAAATATTTTAAACTTAAGTCTGTCGTTTTAAAAATTTTGCCATTGAAATTTACGGTAAAATTTTAGCGATTTAGTCATGTATGAAAATGGTTTTTATTTTTTTTTACGCGAAAACGGCGCGTCGCGTCGTACCAAAAAAAGTCAAGAGATTACATTTGTTCCAAATTTAATGTAGATTATAAGAATAACTTTTATTTAAAAAAAACAGTGGCGTACCATTTTTTTCTTCAATAATATTTAGTTTAAATATCGTAGGGACGCCACTGATGAAAATAAAAAAAAGTTAATAGCATCAAAAAATATAATTTTATGGTAAAAAAACGTGTACCAAAGTTAGTGATTTTCGTCCAACAGGGTCCTGAGATATTAAAAAAACTCTTTTTAGGGGCGAAATTCGGGGGGCTGTAAATCCGAAAAGGGGGGCCACTCGCCAAAAATAAAAAATACTGGTCACCTATTTTTTTTTTCAAGAATCTATGACCAACTTTTGTTGCATTAATTTCCGGACACCCTGTATAACGTGAGGGTCATCGATGGCTGAAAATTCTATACCATAGAACCCTTTGATCTATACCATAGAACCCTTTTGATTTTTAGGACTTATTTTCATTCATTAGGAAATTTAACAATATTTTCATGTTTTTATTAATTTTCTCTAAAACGATATGGAAATTTGGAAAAATATAAACGGGATTAACCAGTTAAGAAAAAGCAAAAATTCTTATGAAGAATGCATTTTTCTCAAAATGTCAATAATAAAAAAGTTTTTCTCTTGTAAATTTCTAAAGACAATCCGGGGACATACTGTATCTACAGAGTGTTTCAATGTAAGTATGTGCAATCGAAAAATACAGTGATATAATTTTGAAAATTTTGGGAGACATATAGACATATTTTATTATTAAGATAAAGTTCGTGTCATTATAAACAATTTTATTTTTACTCAAAATTCACCGAAAAGGACATCCAGTCGTCCAGTGACCTCTGGCACCGCAGTTGAAACATCTGAAACAATAGGGTTAGGATAAGCAAGACTCGCGTATAATTAAAAAATAAATAAATAGCTTACATACCTTCCATAACCGCCATAGTATGCTCCTGGAACCCCATCCTCCCTAAAACACAATTTTTTTATGTATCAATGAGGATTATAATACAGGGTGGTCCGAATTGTATTGGGAAACTTCCGCAGCATGACTCCTAGTTGTAGGGGGCGCCACCTACATGTTTTTGAACTTTTTTGAAGGGTAATAACTTTTCGTTTGTACCTGTACAAAACTACTGAGTGAACTCTTAGTAAAAATCGCCGAACAGTAATATACATACAGGTACAGACGAAAAGTTATTACTCTTCAAAATAGTTTAGGTGGTGCACCCTACAAGTAGAAGTCATATTGACATCAAAATCAAATTTCCAATGCCAAAAAACACCCAGACACCAATTTTCATCCAAATATCGGCATTAGTTCAGAAGTTATTTTAAAAAAATCGAAATTAAAATATAACTTCTACACCCTGTATCTACTAAACCAACCATTTTAGGACATAAATTTATACAAACTTATTAACTTATTTTTATCTGCAGAATATGCTGCCCAAGTTTCCCGAATACAATTTGGACCACCCTGTAGATAAAAAAAATAAGTTACATTAACTTATCAATTAAGTATACTTGCAAAAACTACAGGTAGACCAAAAAAATACTACTTAAAGAAAACTACAGAATATTATCAAAAAAAATCATACCACTCAGAGTCATCATATTCACTCATATCACTATTAGAGCTTTCACTTGACTGTGAATCTTGTATAACTATAACTGGACCTGCAACAGTAATATACATTTTTTTTACTTTATATAGAAATATAAAAAAAACTTGTGGTGTTGTTAAGTAGTGTATAGGCTTGGTGTATTCTCTGCCGGTGCTGCCACCATCGGAAAATATCGTAAACAACCAACATATACACATACACGGATTTAAATAGCGGGTATACGACAAATTTATTATATAATTATTCTAAAAGTGTTAGGAAGATTAAGAACTTGTGAAAAATCTAAAAATAAAAATAAAAAAGTAAATATTTTGATATCTTGAGGTCTAACTTGTATTATAATTTGTTATTCAAGCTAATAAAACTTTTTATATGAGTTCAACTACGGTAGCTAGCATAGTTTTACTCACCGATTTTGCTAGCGGAGAAATAACTAGGGCTATTACGATTTTTTTAAAGGTACATTATTATAATTTTAGAAGATGTTCATAAAAAATGTAAGCACTAGTTGATTAAAAAAGTATACCATTAATTGCAAATTATAATTTATACTCACACTATGCCTGATATTATTTCAACATAGCTACAAAGTTAGTTTAATTTTAAAGGTGGCAACACACACTACGGCAAGCTTGACAAGCATGCATGAACAATATTTTTGTACAAGCATGCATAGTTTACCTTCGCCGCCACACGGTATAGTATTTTTAATACCCATTTAGAATAACACCATCCTTATTTATTATTAATAAATCAGTTGAAACAAAAAATTACCAACAAAAATGAACGTCGATTACTAATAATTTGTTAGATGTCACGTTTTTGAAGTTACGTTTCATGGTAATGTCATAACGCAAAATAAGATATAAAAATGCGACATCCTTCTCGGCTTGGCCGTCAATTAATCTATACTTATTAAGTAAAATTTTGTATGCTGCATCCTTCTTCACCCTATCATGATATTCTGGTGATTTAATTCGCCAAAGACACGGCTGATTTTTGTATGCGCGAATAAAATCTTCCAGTAATCCTCGATTGCTCCTTTTCAGATCGCTAGATATGATGGCGACGCGACGTACAGGGTACCTATTCTTGACATCGTTCGCAACTTTGCGTATACGTACGCATCACGTGTGTTGTTATATGGCTTTTTCGGAGATGCGAGATGCGAGTGGTCAAAAACAGGTACCCAGGTCATTTACGATCACGGACTGAACTAATTGTTTGTACAAGCTGAATACATGTGGTACACACGTACCGTTTCGCTTGCGCAAGCATGGTTTGTCCAAGCTTGCAGTAGTGTGTGTAGCTACCTTAACAACTAGTTGTCATTTTGTGTCAGTTGAAACGAAAAAAAATCAAAACTCAAATTTCATTTCAATACAAACTGTCGTTCTCCTTGCAGCTTCCTCGGCGTACGAGAGGCGCAACCCTGTATATCTTATGGTTTTATAATTACCTGGACCTCTACTGTTGGAGTTCTGTCTCCCACCACGTCGTGCTACTGGGCCTTTTTTTTGAACATTCTTTTTGGGCTCCTCAAGTTTTTGCCGTTCTTCCAAGGCAGTTTTTCTATACTCTTTCATATCTTCGGGAGCATTCTCAAGCATCTACAATAAATGTAAAAATACATAAATAATACTTTTATAAACAGGGTGGTCCCAACAAGTAAAAAAGTTCGTATAAATGTATGTCCTAGTTTCGGAAATACAGGGTGTAGCAGTTTCATTTTTATTTCAATTTTTTCCAAATAATTTCTGAAGTAATGTCAATATTTGGATGAAAATTATTGTCTGGGAATTTTTTGACGTGAGAAATTTGATTTAGATGTCAATATGGCTCCTACTTGTCGAGGGCACCACCCAAGGGCACCACCTACATATTTTTAGTTTGTTTGAAGAGTAAAAACTTTTCGTCCGTATCTGTATAAAAGTACTGAAAAAAGTATACTTTCACGAAATTTTTTACATAAAAAAGGTCTTTTGGTAAACGTTTTTGTGCTAAAAGTTCAACAGAAACTATTTTATCATCATTTTGTCGAAGAAAAATTTATGATTAATTTAAAAAAATATAAAAAGTTCCCAAATTTATCATTTCAGTCAAATAACCATCTACTCAACATGTTTATTTTTTGTCAATAATGACATGTATTGACTATTTCCATTCTAAATATCTTGAGAACGGTTGCTCGTAGCACCGAGAGATACAATTTTTTTTAAGTTTTTTAAGTAAAAAATCACGGAAATGTAATTTTTTTCACTCGCTAGTTTTATACAGATATGGACGAATAGTTATTACTCTTCCAAATAGTTAAAACACATATAGGTGGCGCACCCTACAAATAGGGGTCATATTGACATCAAAATCAAATTTCTGTCAAGAAACTCCCAGACACCAATTTTCATCCAAATATTGACGTTACTTAAGAAATTATTTGGAAAATATTAAAATAAAAATGAAACTTCTACACCCTGTGTCTCTGAAACTAAGCATTTTTGGACATACATTTATATGAACTTTTTTATTTATTTTTATCTGCAGAATATGCTGCCAAAGTTTCCGGAATACAATTCGGACCACCCTGTATATTTAAAACGAGTAAAAACTGACCTTTTCAATCACATTATCCAAAACCAGCGTTCTATTGCTTGACGTGATTTTTTTCCGACATATTGGACATTCCATTTTCTTTTTCTTCCACATATCTATACAGTATTGACAAAAAGAATGGGAACATCCTAACGTCACAGCTTTTATAAACAAACTGGTACAGATTGTACAGGTAAGTTCATCCTCCATTTCTTCAAATTTCTGTTTAAAAAATACATCAGATTTATTTTGAATGTGGTAAACAATGATTCAGTATTGAAACTAAAAGCAACTAAGAATAGTTAAAACTTATGACATCGAGCAAACACCATATGCAGTGACCAGGCATCACATGATGTTGAATTAAATAATATTAAAACGGATTTGCTTCAGAATGGCTACTCTGAGAAGTCCTTAGACAAAATTATATCAATTTGTAAAACTGACTCATTGGTTCATCGACCTAACCTAACCTAACCAACACACTGAAGTTTGGTACACCTATTTTTTTACACCCTGTATTAAAAAATACCTGGTTATTTGCAGCAGTTGAAGGCACAGTCTTCTCTGTAGCTTTACTAAACCCTGCTTGTGGAGAACTGGGGTTATGGCTATCTGGCTCATTTTTTTGTCCCTCTAAGCAAAAATGTTACGTTAAATAAATATAACACAAATATATTTTACCTCTTTACCTGTAGGCTCAATTGCACTATTTATAACAACCTCATTATCTGGTAGAGGCACCATCATACTATCTACTATATCACATGATTCTGATGGTGTTACAATATTACTGCTCTGTGCACTACTCTCATTCTCATTTATTTTTCCCTCAGGGTTTACTATGTTCTGATTTTGAAAGTAAATCGAATTATTACATTTCTTAAGAGTTACTAGCACTAGTTTAAGTTTTTTATTTGGATTTTTCGTATCTATAACACTCACTATGTTCGAAGGCCCTGCTATTTGATTTATGTGAACGGTATTTGTGTCTCTAGGTTGAACTTTACTTTGGTTTGATACACTTTGACACACTGTATTTGGCTGAATCACACTGGGAGGGGCACAACTCTATAAATCAACAATTATTTTTAATTTTATTAACGTCTAAGATTAAAATTACCACAGGAAGAGGTCTGGTGGTGCTTTCAATATCCTGTAGAATATTATCCGCCAAATTGTTAAGTAATTCATCACTAATATCTTGTATATTGTTAGATGTTTTGGAGTCTATACTAGACACATCCTGTACACTCTCAGAAGCCTAAAAAACAGAATAAGTTTGATCTATCTTAATTGGATATTTTAAAAAATATATTAAACAAACCTGTAAAAATTTATAAGAATAATTTCCAATTCCCAAACTTATTTCATCGTTATTTTTTAAGACAGGTGATGTTTTTGAGTGGTAATGATTTGAATTAATAAATGTTCCATTTGTACTCTAAAAAAACAAATATAAGCAATTAACTTTAATCAATATTATAAACATACAGAATCAGTTAATGTCCAGCCACTTGGTGTCTTATTGAGAGTAAAATGAGTCCTTGATACTATTTTATTTTCGATAACGTAATTAGATAACAGGCTCCTTCCAATTGTAAACTAGAATAATAAAATGTTATTGTCCTGTATTGCAAAATAAAAGGGATACTTACTGGACTTTCGTAAATATCTATTACTGCTCCCGTATCTATATTTTTTAAAATAGGGCAATTTTCGTTCATATTGTCTTGTTTTTACAAAGAACAATAAATTCTAGGAATAATTTCACCAATAAAGTTCGATATCCAATAGAATTCAAAAACAAAAACAAGGTATCATTTTATCACAGAGTAGGTATTTGATAGGTATTCTAGAACTATAATTTTAAACAACATTCAGACGAGTAATTCCTTTTTGTGGGTAGAATTTTATGCTTTCGATATTTTTAACTATACTTATATTTTAATTTGTGGCTATTTTTTCCAATAACTAATTCTTTAAAAACTTGTTTTGATTTCGATGAGACCATAGATTAAGAATTTCAAATTCAAACCATAGTAACATAGACAACTTTAAAACAAACAACAAACCAGGGTTGTGCGTAGATATTTTTTACATGACTTTATCATTAAAAAATAAATTTAAAAAGAATTATAACTACTTACATAACATTTAAACAGGATTTTTCAAACGGTAAAGTTGTTTTTTTACAATTTTAAACTAATTTTATTATTTATTACATCAGTGATTTCAGACGCTTATCATATATATCATATATCAACAGCTCGTACTTTATATATGATATAAATTGACTAGCCAATCAAAAATCTTAGATTGATCCACGTAATTTATTGGCCAATCATAACGCACTATAAAAAATTTGACACTCGAACTTAACCCAAGATTTTTTTGAACATAAACTGAATAGCTTTTAATAACAAATAAAATTAAAATAAATAAGAAATGATTATGTTTTAGAATTAGGATAGTTTTGGTTTAATTAAACAAGGGTTATAGGCATTTATCTGGCGAATGTAAGTGTCTCTATTATCTGTAATAAAAGTAGGAAATAGAATTTATTTATTTATAGTTTTATAACGTTTATCATACAGAAAATCGTGGATAGCGAAGTTATTTGTTGAGTAAAGAAGCTAAACAGACTCCTAAACTTAGACTGGTCTTAAACATCCCTGACAAAAATGTCCTTTAAAAAGCATGTTAACTCTGTAGTATTCAGTGCTATACAGAATGTAGACATGGAAAAACTTGCTATATGTTCTGAAGACGATATTCGACCTGTTTTACCATGTCTTGTTCGTATGGGTTTAATATCACCCTTAGATACATCCAAAAAATGCACAAACATGAAGGTTAACATTCTCACTATCGTGAGTGGCATGGAACTGGTGAATTCTATAGTTGCCCTGTTAAGTATCGATTTCCACAAGCTCGAAATCGAAGTAAAGAAAGAACAACAGTTGCGACAAAAAGGAAACACTTCTCAAAACGACTCTATTCTAATAGGAAACTTGTCAAACACTAGTATGGCACTAGAATATGAAAGAAGTGACATGACTAGAAGACTTAGTATTTTACTAGGCGAATTGTTATATATACAATCACAAATTCAAGAGACTTCTGAAGTTTCAGACCCAGAAACTTATAATAAATCTTCAGAATTATTCGACAATGATATTTTTGCAGAGGAGCTATCCGATATTATATGTATCGCTCTAGCAGAACTCCCAACAACATTAAACATTTCAAATATCGTTGAAACACTTTTACATGTTCATAATGGTCCAGAAATTATATCTAGGGTTGTTGCCAATTTTCCTGACAGCTTTAGAGAAGGTAACTGTATTTAAACGATGTATAATAATCCAAATATATTGATTATTTATTTTAGTATGTACTTATTTAATACAAACTGGCGAAAAACAGGAAGAGTCTATATCCAGTACTATAAGGGCTGCAACTATTGGTCTTTTATGCGAGATGAACCCATCACAAAGTCTATCTGTAAGAAGTAAATGTGTTGAACTATGTAGAATGCCTGCTCTGGCAATAGCATTGTCTTTAAATAATACATCAGACGATGGTGAAGGAGATATGGTAGCTTTTGTGAGTGGTTTGTTGCTGGGAAATGATCAGACTATTAGGTTTGTATGAGAAATGATTTTTCTTAACATTGTGTAACAAATAAATGAATAAATGCAGGAACTGGATTGCAATGTTTATAAGAACTGGTCAGAAACGCAAAGGAGAAGCATCTAGTAATGCCTTGCAACAATTAAGGGATGAACTTTTAAAAAAGTTGCAGAAAATAATTGATTTTTCACCAAGTGGACAAATACCTGACAGTCTTGTTGTTCAGGCATCGGCTTTGTTAAGATTATATTGTGCACTACGGGGTATTGCTGCTATAAAGTAAGGAATATAAGTTTATTTACGAATGACTAAAGAATACAAAGACTAATAATACCAGAAACTAGTTATCAGGTGTTTAACAGGGTCTGGAAATAGTGCTTTGGGCATTTGTAGCTCATATAATAAGAAACTTTTTTTAGGAATTTTAATTTAGTGTAAACCTAAAGGATGTATTTCAGGAAAGTATTTTAACTTGTACAGTGTGGCTCAAAAAAGTAAGTGGATCGATATGAGTTTTTTTAAACGGAACACCCTGTATATTATTGCATTTTCCGCTTGCTTCCTGATCACTTTACGTACTCCTAAGATATTATTAAAACATTGTCAAAGATATTAAAAAATAAGTAAAAATATATTTTTTCAGCCTTTCTTAAAAAATTATTAGAAATACAAGAAACGTCGTGAAATCAAAATTATTCTATATTTACTATAGTTGGTCTGTACTTACTTTGCTATAAATATCGTAATTTTAAATCACAGATTTTGCTCCAACCCGTATAATATGTGTGTTATATGTCCTTGTATTCTTTAGTCGTTATTTACCGATTTATGAAAAATAATATGTTTAAATTTAGATTCCAAGACGAAGAAGTGAATCTTATAGTTCAGTTATTGACGTCCCATCCAAATCCTACGCCTGCAGGTGTCAGATTCGTGTCTATAGGTTTATGTATGCTTATAGCTTGTCCTTCCCTAATTTCTCAACAGGAACACGAAAGACGCAGCATTGAATGGGTAATGTATAGCCTATTCAGAGATATAATAACAATAATCTTTATTTCAAAATAATACCTTATGATCGAAAAAAAAACGGCGTCAAAGAGGGCTGGGGAATGACAGTCGATGATAATTTTGACGTGGTCATTCTCTATACGCCATTTAACTAAAAATTTACATAAAACTTGTCAAAAAGTAACACTAGGATGATTAAAAAAGGATAGAACGTTTCCAGGCACACAAAAATCTATTTAAAAAAAGTAGTTTTTGCAAAAGCAGTACAAATTCATTTTCAGTGCAGTTAACAACGCCATGAATAACAAAATTATCTGGTTAAATTAAATAAAATAATAAAACTCTTTTAAACTAAGTTGATTTATGTAAAAAAAATTATTATGTCCAAAAAAACACATAAAACACACGAAAATGTACCCTGTACTGTATTGACTGTCAATTTTATAGATGACCAATCCACTTACTTTTTCCTGTTTTAGGTTCAATGGCTGGTCAAAGAAGAAGCTTATTTTGAGTCAGCCAGTGGCGTTACAGCTTCTTTTGGCGAGATGCTGTTGCTAATGGCAATTCATTTCCATAGTCAACAGCTTAGCGCTATTTGCGAACTAACTTGTTCCACTTTGGGTATGAAAATCGCCATACGACACAATAACATGAACCGGATGAAGCAGGTCTTTACCCAGGAGATTTTCACTGAACAAGTCGTAACTGCGCATGCGGTTAAAGTTCCCGTTACGCAAGGACTAAGTGCTAATATGAATGGTAGAGTAAATACATAAATTAAAACTCTTAAGCTTCATTCAGAACCTCGCAATTAGTGGAATAAATTAGTGGTTTCAGTTACTCTTTATTCTTTTTAGTTTACGATTATTCACAATGTCTAAAAAACAGAATTAAAACTAATAGAATATCTTAGCAACAGCTTGCGGTATTGCAAAATTGAACTGAGCATTACAATTAATTACCTAGACTAGAGTAATAGGAACAGAGAACTGGAAGAAATTGGACCATTATCTCTGTTCATATTATCTTTACATTTATTTCTTTTCTCATTGGTTCTTTGATGAGTCGCAAGCAACACAACGTAGTTCTGAGAACGAGCCTTGAAGTTTATTTTGACACTTTAACTGTCAAAGTTATCAAAATTCGTCTTGCTTAATCCATCGTTGCCATATGTCTCAAATGATGATAATATAATTTTATTTACCTACTGTATATTTTAGGTTTTTTGCCAGTTCATTGCATACATCAGCTTCTAAAGTCTAGAGCATTTGCCAAGCACAATGTCAACATAAAAAATTGGATATATAAACAAATTTGCAGTAGTATCAATCCTTTACATCCAGTTTTACCAATGTTGGTCGAGGTATACGTGAACAGTATAATGATCCCCAACTCAAAGAACTTAGAACAAGCCAACAAACCTTTGACAGAAAACGAAATAAGGAGGGTAAGAGTATATAAGTCTGTCCAACGAGAGGAGGAACTCTGACAGTGACAGTTATGTCTTGTCATTTTAATTCAAACCCAAATTTTATTTTCTGTCATTTTTTTGCGTCTGTCTTCTGTCGAAATCTTCCTGAATTCGCTGGACAGACTACTATCTATTTTACGAGAGATTACTATTCAAGGTAGCCTGTACATCACAGTTACCTTAAGGGATGTTATTAACTATTTTTTTTACTAAATGTGGTACATTTTTATCAAATGAATACAGTACCAAAAATAAGTGCAAGTATTTTAAGTGGTGGTAGATCTGGCCAAAACAAACATATTTTCTCTTTACCATTTTTAAAATAAATTCGTAATAACCGAGTTAATTAACTTTGAAAATTTAACGGAACGGCAAAATGTGAACTTATAACTTGTAAACATACAGAATGTGGATATCGCAAGAGGTGGCAACATTGCATTCTGAAACTAAACAAGCGGCCGGAAAATATAACATTTTCAACATTTTTTTGCAAAAAAACTCATGGGCGTGTTTCTGGGGTCGACTATACTATCATTTAAAATACTTGTACTTATTTCTGGGAAATATTACGCAATATTTTTAAGATCAACTAAAGTTGACCGTCAAGCACCTTATAATCTTTATATTGACCAAAAGCCAAGAACCCCTTAAATAAAAAAATAATCTTTATCTCTATATCTGTGATTATCTGAAATATTTTAATCTTGTTGAATATTAAAGACCTCGAATCGAATCAATTTTAATGAAATGGACTATACATTTTTTTATTTTACAAAAATGTTTTTACTTTTTTGCCTAGGTATTTCAGAGTTCAATTTTTGGTCAGTACTTTGACAATAAACAATCAATTTTCACCATGGAATTCGACATCAATGCTGATAACCTAGATGTAGTGGTTGATAACACCAGTTTAACACCACAGTTACTGTTGTTATATTATCTGTTACTATACGAAGACTGTAGGCTCAGTAACGCCCATGTATTAGCTTCCAGCGGGAAAAAAATCAAACAGTACACCTCTGAGTTTATGTCTGAACTACCTATTAAGTATCTATTGCATCACGCTCAGAAGGATCAAAGTTCTTACTCCGGTTTGTTTGTGATCCAAAAAAAAACTTTTTTTATAACACAAGCTTCTTTTAGGTCTTTTTGGTCCGCTTTTAAAACTCTTAGCTACCCATTTTCCTCACTTAACCTTGGTAGAGGATTGGTTAGACGATATGTCAATACAAGTTGAAAGAAAGCCGGTTCATATCGACGAATATATGGTAGTGACTGCCTTCAGTGAGATTGAAACTAATCCGTCAAAGTATTTGGATTTATTTAAATTTATGTTTAGTTTTTTGAGATATTTATTGTTTTTAGATGCGCAAAATTACTGCAAAATATGCTGAAAATCGAGGCAATTGATATATGGCCTTATGCAGAAAGTTTTACACAATTCGCCAGGTAATAAATAGATATGTTTATATACCATGCGTTCGAAAAAAAAACGGCGTCAGTGATGGCTATGAAATGAAGATCGCTGTCATTTTATATGGAAAATTATATGGGTGACTGATATCGATCGTCATTTCCAAGCCAACTGGACGCCATTTTTTTTTCGATCATACGATATTATATATTTTTGTTTTTTATGTAGTTTAAATAAATATTATAAGAGACATCTATACAGGGTGGTCCGAACTGTATTCCGGAAACTTCGGCAGCATATTCTACGGCTAAAAATAAGTAAAAAGTTCATATAAATCATTTGTATGTTCTAAATTGCTTAGTTTCGGAGATACAGGGTGTAGAAGTTTCATTTTTATTTCGATTTTTTCTAAATAATTTCTGAAGTAAAGTCAATATTTGGATGAAAATTGGTGTCTGGGGGTTTTTTGACATGAGAAGTTTCCGGAATACATTTCGGACCACCCTGTATATCTAGGGATGAGATTTTTGTCTAGAACTATCGGTAGTTCTCGATATTTCAAATAACAGGCGACTAAAGTTTATACTATATACGAGATATATACCGGGTGTTTCTCAAAAGTGGCTCATCCCTATAACTTTTTATTTTTTGAGATAAAAAAATAAAATTTGATATGTTAGTATATGACATAAATTAGGTTTGATTGATGTTTTTAATTGTTTTCGTTGACTTCCTGTTTCACCGGAAATGACTACAACTTTTGACTTTTAAATGATATACTCGGTATTTATTTACTTCATTTGATCGAAAATGACGTTCTGAATAGAATGACATATCATATATGTCAACTTTTTACATTTTCAATTAAAAAAAATAACATTTTAAATTTCAATTTAGGGAACTATGGCCATAAATGTAACGTCAATTTGAATAGCAAGTGTGTGGTACCAAATTATTTGCAAAAAAATGATATACCGATACCTATTGATAATTATCGTCATATCGATAACCAAAATATATCGATAAATTATTGATAATACACACATCCCTATACATATCCACAATAACTGTATTTCAGGAAAGTACTAGGTGAAAATATTCCAAGATTTCTTCAAGACCTCTATAAAGACGTTTGGTTAAGATTAAATACAGTGTTGCCACGCCGTTTGTGGGCCTTAACTATTAAAAGCTTAGTCGATGACTTTTCATCCTTAACAAAAATCGACGTAGCCGAAGATCCGCTACAGGTATCGATAGATATATCTTTTAATAACTGTTATTTTTATAGTTAATTAAACTAACTTTTTAAGATAATGAGGTGCGATGAACGCGTATTTCGGTGTGCCCCTGTATACGCTATTGTATTGAGAGTCTTAAGAGCAAGTTTAGCCTCTTCCAGGAGTCAACTGACTCAACACTTACAGTCTAATCCTAAGTTAGATGCTCACGGTCAAATAGTAAGCGAACCGGATAGAGAAGAAATGTGTAGAGCCACAATTGCTGCACAGGTAAGATAAAAATGAGGTTATAAGCAGATATTTATGTATTTCTATTTTGTTTCACGAAAATCTCGCTCTAATTCAAGTCCTGACACGATATTTTTCGAGATTTATCCACTTTGCATATATCCAGTATTTTATTTTTGCAAAATAAAACTTTTTTACGACTAATTTGCAAACTTTTCGATTACACTGTATATATAACGCGAAAAAATCTTCTGTGGTTCAAATGCAGTTTGACATATTTGACATGTTGTTTTTGGTTATGTTTTATTTGTATTTAGAAAATTTTCAAAATAAAACAAACAGGTACGTATTTTTAAGTTATTTTTTATATCTGTTAGAAATTAAATTGATTTTATTTATTTGTGATGGGAAGAAGGAATATAGGAACAATTACATAGCCGAGAAAACTGCTTAAATGTGAATTAAAACACGAAAATATTCGATCCCTTCTTGAGGTGTGAATTTTCAAGACAATTTACTACTTATTAAGGATAAATGGATCATAGAAATGAACAAAACAGTGGTCTGAATAGAAAAAGTCAATGGAATAAGAACAGAAGAAGATCTAGAAGTGATTTTACTTACTCTAAAGAACAAAGTTACAGTAAAACTACCGAAAGTAAATTTAAAAGTGTTGAGGAATATAAACGGGAGTTAACACGGTTTTTAGAAGAACATGCTAATATATCTCCACCTGAAGAATTCTGGATATTCTACGATAAATACCAAAATGCTCAAAAACTACGTACTTCTAACGATACCGTTCAAAATAAAGTACTAAATATTGAATTTAAAGAAAAAAACATTTTGTTTGAAAAGTTACCTGTGTTAGATAGACATGGTGAAAAGTTTAATATATCAAGAAGCAGTTTTGAGCAGTTTTTATTAATTATAAAGATTTTCCAAGATTTCCAACAGAAAACTAAGTTTTCCAAGTTAAAAAAATTGAGAAACGCTCAGAACGACTTGCCAATTGCTCAGTTTAAGGAAGAAATAATTGATAAAATACGAAATCACAAGGTTGTGCTGATTGCTGGCAATACAGGTAAAATATATTTCTTTAAATAATAGGCTTATGTATGTACTGCTGTGTTAACAAAAACACCTTATCTGATGCATTGAAGGAATTAAGATCTTTCTTGTTTATAAAGTAATAAGATACATTTACTCTTTTTCATAATATAACCACCACAAATAAAACAAGATAAGGTGTTTTTGCATTTTATTTAGTTGAAACATGCTTTAATCTTTTTAATGACACACTTGTATCTCAATTGTAGTACTTGGTATCTATTTTAGGGTGTGGAAAGTCAACCCAAGTACCGCAGTACATTCTGGAAGCTGGTTATGAGAGAATAGTGTGCACCCAGCCAAGAAGGATTGCCTGCATTTCCCTGGCTAAACGTGTAGCTTATGAAACTTTAACCGATTTTAAATCTACAGTGGGATACCAAATACGATTCGAGAAAACTAAGAGAAGCGATACAAACATTATTTTTATGACTGAGGGGCTTTTACTCAGACAAGCATCAGAGGAGGAAACTCTGAATTCGTACAATGTTATAATTTTGGATGAGGTTCATGAGAGGCATCTGCACGGAGATTTTTTAATAGGTTACATAGACTCTTTTTTTATTTATGTTTTTAAATTCTATTAAGATTACTGCTTTAGGTATAATGAAATGTTTGTTGTACAAAAGAAAAGATGTTAAAATTGTACTGATGTCGGCCACAATTAATATAGATCTTTTCAGTACGTATTTCGAAAAAGACAACATACAAATCATACAGGTACGTAATGTATTCTAAATAGGGTGTTCTGTAATGTCAGGCTATTTTTTAAGAGGGTTGTGTATATGGTATGAATTTTAAGAAAATAAAAGTCGGCTGGGGCAGTTGACGTTAATTTTGGCGAGGTCAATCTCTAGAGGTCATTTACTAAAAATTGACATCTTTGATTGACATGAGACTTGTCAAAAATTAACACTAATAATTATAGAAGAAGATTAAAAAAGGATAGAACGTTTCCAGATGCATAAATCTCTTTTCAAAAAATATTTTTTCTTGAATTACTACACTATTTAAAAATCGTTTTTACTCAACATAAAAATAAATTACAACCTTCTTAAGGCCAACTGGACGGGCAGTAAGCGCAATTAAAAAGTAAGGAAGAGACCTATTCTTCTTAATAGGGCTTGACCTCGCCAAAATTATCGTCGATTGTCATTACCTAGCCGTCTTCGACGCCTTTTTTTTTCGATTGTATGATACTAGCATGTCATTATGGAACACCGTGTATATTTAATTTATGATTTAGTAATAGAAACTTTTAGGTTCCTGGTAGATTGTTTCCTATTGAAATTAACTATCATCCCATCATAAAAGACCCGTTTGAAAAGAAAAGAGACAAGTTTGATTGTACTCCATACTTACAAATACTACAGCTGATTGATGAAAAGTACTTGCCCCATCAGAGGGGTGATGTGTTAATTTTTTTAAATGGATTTTCAGAAATATCAACTCTAGCAGATGCTATAATAGATTATAGGTAAAATTTTTGATTTCTAAGTAGTCCGAGATCTGCCAGACCTTACTACTTATTTTCTCACAATTAAACTGTATGGGATAATGTTGTAATAGCATAGTATAAGGAAACTAGTAGCTTTACTCCTTGTCAAATCCTTTGTTCTTTTTCTGCCACTTTATATATGACCTTGTTCTCGCCTCCCGTGACCACTGACGTAGCTGTATAGTCGTGGTCTATTAACTAGGCAAAGTATAGTCGTGGCACTCGCCACAGTTTCACAGATATGTATTTAGGAAAATATGAGTTCACAATAAAATAAAATAAAAAAAAATTGATCATCGAGTAAAAACTTGCTTGAAAACAGAATATTTTCACATTTCGTGTAGGTAACAATTTTTCTGTATCTAAAAATCTTCTGATGGGAAGAAATGCGGAAAAAATATATGACATATTTTAGTTGGATTTTAACTGTATATAATAAAATATTTTAGGATACGCCCCTTTATAAACCTTGAAACATAGAATAAAACTTTTTTCACATCTTCGACAACTACGGCGGTATTGGACTTCCTCGCACTAATGGGCCATCCTGTATATTTACGGTGGTAAGAGATTATGCTATTATAAAATTCTTTCAATTAAAAAATATGAATAATTTGCGGAGACTTTAGATATACAAAATATTTACTCTAAAATTGTTTCAAAAACCAATCTATATAAATTATCTCTTAAATTATTATTGGAATGAAAATTTCACATCTCTACTTTTCAACCAATAACATGCTTTAATGTTGACTAGTTACCATGGCAACTGAAAAAAATTCCGGAAATTTTTTCGAGGCGCCACGAAACTTTAGTGGAAATTTTTTGACAGTTGAAAAGGTAAACATAAGATCTACAATCATAATGTGAATGAACTACAATGTCTATATATTGAAATATTACCCATTTGAGTTTTAGCATTTGATGTAACTAAGGTTGGTAATATTTTTTATTTAAGGAAATATGTTAGATATACCTACATATGAATTTCTTCGAAATTGCCATGTTCTAAAAAATATAGTTCTGCCGTCTTTATTTAACTAAAGCTGGTATTTTTTCTATTTAACGAAATATGATGGATATACACTTGATTTTGATTTTCGGGTGTTATCTGGTTTTATATTTTCAATTTCTTCTTTAATGACTTGTTGGTTTACTTTTCCAAATCGCGACATTTCGCTATACACTTCTTACTCTACGTACAGATGTTTTAAAACTAGTAATAGCTTAATGACAGACTTGCAAACAAAAATGACAAAACACATAATATGTCAAAAACATCAATACCTTGGCCAACTTAACAAATTGAAATTATTTTAAAATGTCATGTTGGATTAATATTTTTTGTTTCAAATTTAGGTGTGAAATTTTCTTACCGAATACCACGCAAGCTTAAATTATTCCTGGAAATTTTCTTTCGGGCACGAATATTTTAGGAAAATTATCCCTCGTCTTCGACTCGGGATAATTTTCAAAATATTCGTGCCCTCAAAAAAATTTCCGAAAATAATTTAAGCTCTTGTGATATTATAAGTGAAAATTTTATGGCAAATCCCCTGACCAAAAAATATTTTCATGCGCATATTTGAGACAACCTGTATATCTAAAAAACTATTTTTAAAATCTGCCCAAAAAAAATAATATCATTTAATTAATTACATAATATCTCAGCTTCTAAAATAAACAAATATAATTAAATGTTTATTGATAATTAAAGTGATAGGTTAGTATTAATTATTGTTATTATGTATTAGTAGTTTGTTGATTATTATAGTCTGTCCAACGAGAAGATCCTTGACAGTGATAGATGTGTCTGTCATTTTAATTTCAAAGTAGTTTATTTTATTTTACAAAGAAATAAGTTGGTACAACTGGAACGCATAGCGATATATTTAAAATTTGATTGACAAGATGACAAGTGATTACTTCAAAATATTGTGAAAAAACTGTATAAAACTGAAAAAATGTAATCGAGTTATTTTATTTAATAAAAACGGTATGTGTTAATACAAAACAAACAAGAAGAAGACATTACATACCAAAAAAATTATAAAAAAGAACTATTATTTACTTTCAAGCTTTATGAAACTACCCGCATTTATGATTATATTTATCAATATAACTTATGTACAAATACAAATTTGTAATATTCCACAGGAATAAATAAAACAACATAGGTAAATAAAACAAACTATTTTATTAATAATAACACCTACCAAATTTTATACCTTAAAGGTTGATTAATTAACTTTATTCTTAATTTTTTTAAACCAGTACCTTTTGACATTATTTTTCTGCAGTACTAAAATCCATTATTTACCTATCCTGTGATGTTGATATTTTACAGCTACTCCAGTTTTTAGTATGTGTTTAGTTTGATCCTTCTACCATATACGAGATGCATTTATCTACGACGAAATGGTATACAAACTTTATCGATGGTGGTGTATAAGACTTTCTGCCTGGGCAGCGAGTATTAACCATAAACTGTGCTCTGGGTCTACAGTTAATTTTCACTCGATTTTTCCTCCACTTGACTTCAAAAGACACAAAACACACGTATAACTCGAATGTTTTTTCTTCCAGGTAAGATTTCGACAGACGATGACAGAATTATAAGCAGATGACGTCCCATACCAATCTATTGATTTTACTAAAAAATTTCTAATATCTTTAAGTTATCTATGGATGGGCGTCAATATAAATTCGTCATGCGTCGTGTCTTGTAAAATTTAACCAGTTTTGAAAGGTTGTTATTTAAAAAATGACAGATCGTATTTCAGTTTTATTGGTTTGACGGAACGATGAACCACAAACGGACGCCGATGCGTATGAACTCGCCTTTAGATTTTTGTCAGTCTTGTCAAAGTCTTGACAAATTATAGGTTATAATTTTGTGTCAACTAGTTGTTAAATACCCTATGTTTTGGAAGATGATGCATTTTGATTCGTATTATTGTAGCATATGTTTTTTGTGTCTTTTTGAAGTCAAGTGGAGGAGAAATGATGGATGAAAATTAACTCCCGAGACCCATTATATTTCTTTGTGGTTGATACTTTGCTGCCCAGGCAGAAAGTCTTATACACCAATGAAGTTGTAATCGATAAAGTTCAGTATACCATTTGTCGTGAACACGATGCATCTCGGATATGGTAGAAGGATGCAAACTAAACACATACTAAAAACTTGAGTAGCTGTAACTGAACTCGACATCACACGAACTAGGTAAATAATGGATTTGATTTACTGCAGAAAACATAATGTCAAACCTCAACTAAACTTCAAAGATTAAAGTTTATTAATCAACTTACTTTAAGGTATAAAATTTGGTGATGTGTTATTTTAATTAAATAGTTATAATAGCATAGATTGCAAACCGATCTTATATGGTTTGTTAGTGGCGTTGAATATTACTAATTTGTATTTGTACATAAGTTATATTGATAAATATAATCATAAATGCGGCTGTTTCATAAAGCTTGAAAGTAAATAATAGTTCTTTTTTTTATTTTTTCGTATGTCTTGTTGGTTGTTTGTTTTGTATTAATTTGGCATACCGTGTACATTAAATAAAATAACTCGATTACATTTTTTCAGTTTTAGGTTAATTCACAATATGTATAAGTAATCACTTGTCATCTTGTCAATCAAGCATTTAACTGTATGCGTTCCAGTTGTACCAACATTAGTTTATAAAATAAAATAAACTACTTTTTAAAATGAAACATTTCATTATATTTTTTCAGTTTGATAGACTATAATAATTTTAAAATCATAAATGCATTATCTTCCATTTAAACTGCCCGCCTTTATTTAACAAAAGTTGACACAAAATTATAACCTATATATTTGGCAATTAGTTCAGTTAGGGCTCAAGGGTGCGCTACAATCGATCCTCGTTAAACGTGTTAAATGACAAAATCTAAAGGCGAGTTCATACGCATCGGCGTCCGTTTGTCGTTCATCGTTCCGTCAAACCAATAAAATTGAAATACGATCTGTCATTTTTTAAATAAACCAATAAAACTGGTTAAAAACAACAAGACACGACGTATGACGGATTTATATTTAAACCCATCCATAGATAACTTAAAAATTATTAGAAACTTTTTTTAGTAAAATAAATAGATTGGTATGGGACGTCATCTGCTTTTCTTCTGTCATCGTCTGTCGAAATCTTAACTGAGAAAAAAAAACAGAGTATATATAGGTACATCCAGCCCTACACACAGATAACTTATTTATCTCTGTAGGAGTTACAATGTATTATTATTATTTTGTAATTTTTGTTTCTGGAAATAAATTATTATTATTATTATTAAATTACTATCAGCTTGCCGATTTACATCTAATTGAAATCTAAAAAAACTCAAAGAACAATTTTTTGAATTATTACTACAATTAATAGCAGCACACAGTAAGGCACTCATTTTTTGTCAATCCGTCTCTGTGCTGGGACGCAACGCTCGAACCTCGCAGCTCGACGGACGGAATTCAACTGAAACGCTTTGCAATCTGCCGATATTCGACAGATTGCAAAAACTGACAGAAAATATTTGCGAGAGTGCAACTACTTTTTTCCTTAAAAGTGTGTACCTGCGTATGCGTACCAATTCACAGGTACACACTAATACTACATTATCCCATACATTTTATTTGTGAGTTAATAAGTATGGTCTAGCAGCCTGGGAACTTGCTCTAAAAGGACATGGATAACTTATTTATAACATAAAATATTGATTTGTAGTGAGCATAAGAAAAACTGGATCGTATTACCGTTGCATAGCAGTTTGTCTTTAGAGGACCAGGACAAGATATTTGATTATCCTCCTGAGGGCGTAAGAAAATGCATTATTTCTACAAATATTGCGGAAACATCCATTACAATTGACGGAATTAGGTTAGGTTCCTTGAATAAAAAAAGATTAAGGAAGGAGCATATTATGAACAAAATTAGGTGTAGAGATACAATATTAGTTATTAATATTCTTAATAACAAAAGCACCAGATACGCTTCTGAAACACCTGACGTATCTTATCTTATTTTTGGCATAAGGCAAGAAAAAATATATAATGAGTAAATTTCAAAATTGATTTATTTACTATACGTAACGTGTATTATACCGGGTGCGTCTCTAAAGTGGCTCACCCTTATAACTTTTTTATTTTTTCAGATAAAAAATTAGATTTGGTATGTTAGTGTAGGTATATGACATAAATTAGGATTGGTTGACGTATTCAATTGTTTTTAGCCAGTTCTTGTTTCACCGGAAATGACTACAACTTTTGATTTTTAAATGACACCCTCGGTATATTTTTATTTTATTTGATAGAAAATTAGACTCCGAATAGAATGACATATCATATCTCAGCTTTTGACATTTTCGCTTAAAAAAATCGTATTTTAAATTTCAATCTAGCGTGCCATGGTTGTGTTAAAAACACTAATTTTTAATCAAGGAGCCTTGGAAAAATGTGAAAATTATTCCCATATTTATCTGAATTTTTGACCGAGATCTACCGCACGCTTCACAACTAACTATTTTACAGTTTTTTTTTCTGGAATTCGCCAATAATGTCAATGTTAGTTTAAGTTCTGACACAGTATCCTTTTAGATTTACTATATCTGAACTAAACCAGTTGAAGAATAAACAATAAATATCATAAAATACACTCAGAAAAGCCAGACAAATCAAATGCGTCAATTGAAACGTCAAACATAACTGTCAAAATATTGTTAAAAAAATTAAAACACTGGATAGTATTGTGGTCCTTCCTTAATCTTTTTATTAAGTTTAGGTTTCGTTAAAAATGTTTCTTTGAACATATTTGTTTAGATTTGTTATAGATTCGGGAAAATGCAATAGAATGGTGTATAATTCGAATTTGGGGATCAGTAAGTTGAGTGAAACGAACATATCTCAGGTAAATAGTAAAAAATATGTTTTTTTTATAATTTAAAATAATTTTTTTTAGGATAGTGCCAAGCAAAGATGTGGCAGGGCTGGACGTACAGGGCCTGGTATTTGTTATAGACTATATTCCGAAGAAGATTTTCGAAATTTTGTTCCATTTACACCTGCAGAAATTCACTTAGTCCCCCTTCATTCACTTATTTTGCATATGATTTCCCTTGGACTGAGTGACATCGAAAAATTTCCGTTTTTAGAGAAACCCAGTCAAAAAGCCATCGAAGAAAGCTTGGAGAAATTGAAATTTACAGGTTAGACACTTACTGTACGATAGAGAAAAAAAACGGTGTTGAATTGGTTTGGAAATGACTATTGATACTATTTACCAGATAAATAAACAGTTTGTATAAATGTATGTCCTAAAATGCTTAGTTTCGGAGATGCAGGGTGTAGAAGTTTTATTTTTATTTCGATTTTTTCCAAATAATTTCTGAAGTAACGTCAATATTTGGATAAAAATTAATATCTGGGAATTTTTTAACATGAAAAAATTTATTTTGATATTAACATGACTCCTATTTGTAGTGGGCGTCACCTACATACGTTTTAACTGTTTTCAAGAGTAATAACTTTTCGTCCGTACCTGTATAAAACTACTGAGTGAAAAAATATACATTTTCGTGACTTTTTACATAAAAAAAGTGTCTTGGTAAAAAACGCTACGAGCAACCATTCTCAAGATACTTAAAATTTAAATAGTCAATACATGTCATTATTCAAAAAATAAACACGCTGAGTAGATAGTTATTTGACTGAAATAATAAATTTGGGAATTATTTTTTTTAATTAATCTTAAATTTTTCTGCGAAAATATGATGATAAAACAGTTTCTGTTGAACTTTTGGCACAAAAACATTTCAAATTTATGATTTCAGTCTAATAACTATTTAGTTAACATGTTTAATTTATGTCAATGATGATAGGTATAGTCTATAAAATGAATAACTCTGAATTTTGACCGTTATTTTTTACCAACATGGCAAATATAAAATCCCTCTGTCAAAAAAGTTACTGATATTCTTTAAATTGAGTGCCTGAACGAATCAGATAGGTAACTCTTTTTACTTCCGTGAAATAGAAAAGGGAAATAATAAAACAAGTGACAGTTCCTCTTCTTCTTGCAAAAATCAACACGAAATGTCATAATTGTCCAAAGTAAAGTGTCATCAGCTTTTGAGATTTCTAAATATCAGACCAATGCCGTCTCTAATAGAACAGCCGAGGAGCGAGATTTATGACGTCACGCTAGTTAGATACTACGGATTAATAAATATGATCGTACTCCATAGGCAATATAGATAGTTTTAGTGTTAAGAATATTAATTTTAAAAAATATGTGCTCATCTTTTGACATGTTTATATTAGTTTATTAATTGCAGTAAACATTATGTGGTGTTAGGTTAGGTTGTGAATATTTTATATGTAATTTTTTGGATTATATTCGACACTATTTTTTTATATGACATAACACTCATGAAGGCTATAACGTTAGCCGAAACATTTTTTTTAACCAAAAAAAGTAATGAAAAAGCAAATGAAAACTTTATCAGCGTTTTTCCCGAACCTAAATCCAAAAAAAAATCAAAAATTTTAGAATAATTTTGCATATAAGATGACAGTGATCTTTATTTCATAGCCATCGCTGACGCCTTTTTTTTTTCTGTGATATTGTATTATTTACAAATATAATTTTTCGAACATTGATATTTGCAAAATATACATATAAATTTTGTGAATGCAAATATCACTATTAGTAGATGTTGAATATTTTTTGTTAAATTAGATCGATTTTTAAACCCCAAAATTTAAAATGTATTTTTCATTTTACCCATTATCTTATGTGCCTATTCATTATTTGTATATTGTAAAACATTTGCTGCATTTGTATGGTTCATAGTTTATTTGCCAAAGTATTTATTACTATAAATAGGTATATATATATTGTATTTATTAACTGTATATTATGTATATTTCATGTAAACTATATCATTTTTAAAATACAAACCAAAAATACGAGGAATAATTATGTTTTCCATGTATTCTACAACATATTTATTAATCCGTAGTATCTAACTAGCGTGACGTTATAAGTCTCGTTCCGAGGCTGTTCTATTAGAGAGGGCATTGCGTCAGCATGGCCGCAAGTTGCTAACCTAATAAAATTATCACTAGAAAAGCTCACGGGAACTGTCAAATTCAAAGTTATTTGTTTCACAGACTATACTGATAATTTCGATTCCAAATATCTCGAAAACCATTATTACGTAGCGATTTTTACCAAGAGACCTTTTTTACGTAAAAAACGTCGTAAATTTATATTTTTACTCACTAGTTTTATACAGCTACGGGCGAAAAGTTATTACTTTCCAAAACAGTTAAAAAATATGTAGGTGGCGCCCTCTACAGTACTAGAGTCATATTGACATCAAAATCAAATTTCTCGTGCCAAAAAACTTCCAGACACCAATTTTCATCCAACTATTGACGTTACTTCATAAATTATTTAGAAAAAAATCGAAAATAAATATGAAACTTCTACACCCTGTATCTCCGAAACTAAGCAGTTTAGGACATAGTACATTCATAAGAACTTTTTTACCTATAAGAAAAATATAAGTAAATTTAAAAAAAATATTGTGGATACATTATCTTTAATAAGAAACTTTCCAGAACCTTTAGATGATTTTCTCCAATATGGTTGTCAACTACTTTCTCCAGCGTTTTTAGTATGAACGATGTGAGACTAATAGGCCTAAATGACTTGGGATTTGTCCAGTCAGTTTTGTCTATTTTGGGTATGAAGATTACTTTTGCTCTTCTCCATGTGGTTGGTATATATCCCATCGCTAGAGTGCTTCTTGTAATGCTTAGTAGATGGTGAGTAGCTATTTGCTGACCCTCCTTTAGAAGGGCAGGAAAGATCCCGCAAAAACTGCAGTTAAAACTTTTATGTGAAAGCAGGGTTTAAAATGACAGCGATTTCCAAGCCCATCCTGACGGTGTTTTTTTTTTTTCAATGGTATCGTATTTCGTGTATTGTTGTTTTATTCATCTATAGGGTGTAATAGTATGATTTTTAGGTGCTTTGAATTTATCTGACAATTGTTTGGCTCTAACCCCGTTAGGAGATGCCTTAAGTCAACTGCCAGTGGAACTACCAATAGGAAAAATGCTGATACTCTCCACTGTGTTCGGAAACGTTAATTCGGTTCTAGCTTTGGCAGCTCTTCTGAGCGTTCAGAGCCCGTTAACTCAGAACGCGTACAGGAATTCTGAGGCTCAGAACTTGAGGAAACCCATAGAGTCTAATCATGGTGATCCAATAAGTTTGTTAAATTATTATAAGGAATGGTAAGGGTTACTAATAATTTTGAATATTAAAAAAACTTTTTTTACTACCGCATGTCTTTACTACCGCATGATCGAAAAAAAAACGTCGTCGAAGACGGCTGGGGAATGACAATCGATGGTAATTTTGGCGAGGCCAATCTCTAGGCGTTATTTACTATAAATTGACATAAAACTTGTCAAAAATTAACACTAATAATTATAGAAAGATTAAAAAAGGATAGAAGGTTTCCAGACACACAAATCTGTTTCCAAAAAAAAAATTCAAAAATCAAATTAAAAAAACATCAAAAATAATTTTTATTATTAAATTAAAGCGTTTATTAAAAATAAAGAAGAGTACGGGCCAAGTCAATGACGTCTAGGGCTTAACCTCTCCAAAATTATCATCGATTGTCATTCGCCGTCTTTGACGCCGTTTTTTTTTCGATCGTATGGTATTATATTTATTAATATTGTCCTTTAAATTAAAATTATTTTATTTTAGGTTATCTATTAAGCAAATATCAACCCCGTCGCATAATTCTAGTCAAACAAAAACCGAAAATACTAGAACGTGGAGTAGAAAAAGATGTCTGGAAGAACAGCGGTTCTACGAAGCTACTAAGTTGCTGGAACAATTTAGGGATATACTACAACAAGCTAATTTATTACCGAAAATTGAAGAAGGTCTGTAATTATTCTTAATTATTTTTTGAGAATGTTATATTTTATTTATTTTCGTCTTGAGTTAATGAACACTCAAGAATTTAGAGTTAGTAACTCGCATTTTCATTGGAGGACACTGTCATATTTATTTCAAACCAATAACCAACGAGAATATTCGTATAATTTAATAAAATTACGGTAAATCACTATAAATAATGGATTGTTTGTAATTGAACTCTAATATCTGTATTATTAATCCGATAAATGATGAAGATAAACAATTGTGATTGATTAAAATTTTAAGATGAAACTTTTGTTAACAACATTCTGAGAATTTGAATAATGAATTGAATAATGACAAGACAAGTGACATCTGTCTAAAAAGACAGCGATTTAGATGACAATTTGGTTATGTAAAATTTACAGTGACAATTTTGGTTATTCAAAAGAAATACATATTCTATGAGTTTACTGGTTGCCTAACGATTAACATTAATTTAAAAATAAATCCCCAACATAAATAATGAACAAAACATTTAAACAAAAACAGACCACACAAAACAAATTGTTGGTTAATAGTTGGGTTAATAGCAGTAAGATAGCAGTTAGTAGTCAGAGATATAGATGTAGTAGTATTTTGGTTTAATGGCCATAGCTACCAGGGCTATCCGACCAGTTGATAGAATTATCGTTTTTTAATAAGAATTAAAAAACATAAAATTATAAAGCTAGAATAGTATACGGTTTTATATTAACTCTAATTTTATAAAAAACATTTATAAAAAAATATATATCCTTCAAATCCTTCAATTTAATAGCTGTTAGTAAGAAGTTTCACTTCAAATATGCGCACATAGTGCCGACACTGTTTTTTTTGTAGAACTATCCAGTAGTGAAAGAATGATAAGACACGGCGAACTTAAGCAATTAAAACATATTAAATATCAACTAAAGAACGAGACTAAAAACAGAGAAAGAACCCAGTTAAAATATGAAATGTTTAATTTTGGGGAGACCTCTGATAAATTGGATGCCAAAACTGATATCAGAGACGTAGAATTTCATATTTCAAATGATTTTAAGGTGTTATATTATTTCATTATTCATTTTAAATGTTTTAAACTTATGAATTATTTTCAGAGATTACAAAACTTACTTAACGAGACGTCTGCTCAAAGTTACAAAGATTTGATGCTGTTAAAAATAACATTAACCAGTGGTTTCTATCCACAAATAGCTGTTGAAGATGAACATAACTCGTCTAAGACCGTTTCGGAAAAGTTATACCACACGAAAAACAAAAATTATATATTTCTGAGACCCATGAGTTATTTTTGTACTAACAGTGAGATACTGGAGCTGTCAAATGATGAAATCGAAGTACCACCTTCAGGTAAAAATTAATATTTAAAAAAATTTGATTGTTTTTAAAAAATAATAATTGAAATAGTTGGTAATACATTGTAAAGAGACTTTAGAATTCTTTAGATTAATGTTAATAGAATGACATATCATATGTCAACTTTTGACATTTTCAAATATGGTTTATTTGAAATTGCATTATGCGATTCATAACGACAATTTGACTCGAAATACCAAGTGATGATATGATTTAAAATACGATTTGAGCATCTTTTAACTGGCCGAGACAAGACACTAAAGACATTAAACAATCAAATATATTTTTTAAAGACTCCTTGATTAAAAATTAGTGTTTATAACACAGCCATGGCACCCTAAACTGAAATTTAAAATACAATTTTGTTTTAAGCGAAAATGCCAAAAGATTGACAACTGACGTTTAAAGCATTGTTTATCTGTCAACCATAACCAACGGTTGTTCGCTCGAAATTGGCTTTGTATTACAAGTTTTTGGTTTAAATGAATTGTGTTATGATACTTTAAGCTTAAAATTTTGTACTAGTAGATCTTGGAGTCGAACGGTGTTCTTTTTAGAACCTCTTTTAGTTCAAAGTTTACAGGATAACTTAATAGTTGATGCAAAAAAACTCATCGTAACTTTATTAGAATATTTTGAAAGGGAAAGCGGTAGTAATGGCCCTTTATGCCCCTTATGCTGTTAAAGAGGTGAGTTTTATTAAATTTTAACTGTTTATATATTTATAATTAATTTATTTTTGTTTCCAAAAATATTTTGATTAAAAGAAAATATGTAAAAGTGAGCAACGCTGTTCCAGTCAAGCAGGTTCCAGTTAACAGGTGACTAAAAGTTTATTTGGTGTGTCCTATAAGAAAAAATCTGAAAAGTATAAATTTGTAATTAAATTGTAAAAAGAATTTCTTAAATTCCTTGTCAACCAAAAAGAAACAGAAAAAAAAACATCAGTACAGCCAACTATTTCAGTTATTTTGAATCACCTTGTAATCTTTGTTTATATTTTTTAAGGTTATTTCAGTAAACGACCCATCTCAAAAAAACACCAAATTCTGGTCTATCAATCGATTCTAGAAACAAAAAAAGTATACCTAGTGAATACCTTAAGAATGCCCTGCATCCAAACGTTGTTTCTATTCGGAAAAACTATAGTCACAAATTCAACTTTAACAAAGTTTGTCGTTGATGATTTTTTAAGTATAGACGCTCCATATTTTGGACAGGGAAAAAATCTATTGTTAAAGGCATTAAAGTTGAGAAAAAAATGGGAAGAAAAATTGGAAGCAAAGTTAAGAGATCCCATGTTAAAACAAAGTGATAAAGAAAAGGAGGATATATTTTATTTTATTGAAGATTTAACAAGCTATATGAACCTACAAATTTCGTATAACGTCAAAAGGTTACTTCCTGCTGACCTGAAAGACTTATATACATTTTCTTCTGAGAATTTTCTCAATATTGACAAACAAAAAAATCCTTTTGATAGAGAATATTCCATGCATCCTAACATAAACAAAGGTGGATTTAATGTGACAAATAATATAGTTTTTGACGGGTTATTACCAGAAGAATGGTCAGATCGTCTTGAACAAGAAGTTTTTCTTACAGAACATCCCTGTAAGCACTGTAACCAAACCTTTTCTAATAAATCTTTATTTGAAACACTTCAACATGATGAATTCTGTGAATCAAAGTTGATTGATGTCAAGCAAGAGGTGATTGAGGAAAGAAACACGGCTTTGAAAAGTAACTCTAAAAAATGGTTTTGTCTTACATGTAATAAAGAATATGTTTTAACTCCTACAGAAGTATTAAGGCACAAAAAAAGTTGTAAGCCTTAAAAATATTAGTAATATATTTCTTCCAATGTGTTTTACTTGTTTTATTTACCTGTTGCTTTTGGATTGTGTACATAACAAATTTTAGAAATCTTCAAAATTGCATATGTAAAACGGTATTTTCTAAAGAAGCGCGCGTTATTAATGCGGATTCTTCATAAGCGCGACTCGTTTTGCAGCGCAGGTGACGTCACGAATTCGATGTCGAGCCAGCCTGCCTGCGCGCGGACATACCGTGTTTATGTGTATCGTGGATCTAATTAAGTCGGAGTGAGAAAAATGCGACGATGTGCTGTTGCGGCGTTGCCACATTTCTCCGGTACGCCTTTCCGTATCAAGTAAAGTAAAATCACGATCGCAAACCGCTTATTTTTAAAAGACTTTTTTTTTCGAAAAGATGACTAGATAATATCACTAGATATGTTTCTGAGCATCTGAGATGGAATTATAAGGATATCGTTAGGGTATCCATATTTTTTATAACAAGAAAACGTTAGTAATCGCGATAATTTAAAAACTCAACTTTTTAACACATAACACGCCAAACACTCATAAACCATTTTAGATATGAACACTTTTTTTATTTTGTTCGGATCTTTTACAAGTTGTTTAAGTGAGAAAAATTCGATAGACTTGTTTTTTTCCATTCAAAAATGTTAAAAAACCCGTCCATTTACTTTTAGGCCATAGCAATTTTCAGCAATCGTGTAACTTTTTTATTTGTAAAGACTTTGATATACTTTATGCGAAGAAAATATAGCAGAAATATTAAGAAAGTTTTTGAAAAAAACTACAATCCATTATTTCTAATGGATTTCGAGATATCGATTTTTGAATTCGGAGTCCTAATAGCGCGACCACTGTCGAACACCAACTTATTTTTGCAATATATAACTGCAAGTATTTCTAACTTGCACTTAAAAATTTACAAGCTATAGGGAAAATTACAACGACTCGTTAATAAAATTAATTGAATTAAAGTTAATTAAATCGTAAAACTGAACGCATGATATACGCCCTTCTCTAGAATTTTAAGTACTGATTGGGTCGACCGCGACGAATCTGCTGATCCCCTTCTACGTCTCTTAGCAATGTGCACATATTCTCTGTTTATTTCATACGTTTAGCAACGTTTTTACTGTTCTCTCTTTGTTCACTACATTATAAACGCATTGTACTCTTCTTACATACGAAAATTTTACAGTCTCAGGATCTGAGACGGTTTTACAGAAGTTTTTATTTAGATCGGCTGGTACCTAGAGTAGGAGGACTTTTTTATTTTTCATAATTATACTGTTAATTTTATAAACACATAGGTAATATAATTATTTTTAAATTTAGGAAAGTGCAGCTGTTCAGATGCTTCTAGAAACGTGCATGGAAAATGACCAAGACAAATGTATACCAGGACGCCGATGGGCTCTTCAAGAAGTCAGATCTTTAGTTTGCAGTTACTTGCATCAGGTTTTTATTGCTGACACAGTTTTGTGCAAGCTTGTACATTTCCAGGTATAAAAACTGATACTAAATAATTATTATTTTTTACTGAATTAATATAAGCTTATTATAAACGAAAGAATTAATATAAACTATATTTTTCAAATAATATTTTTTTATTCGTAGGGATATCCAAGTGAACTGTTAGAAATTGTAATTAAGGGTGTGCCCTCGATGCACATCTGTTTGGATTTTCTTCAAGAATTGATGCAGCAACCCAGTTTAAAGAAACAAATCTTTGCAGTTCAGTTATTGTCGCATTTATGCGTCCAGTACGCCCTGCCAAAGAGTTTGAACCTGTGCGTAACGGCTCTGAATTTATTGTACGCCCTTTTAGGAGGTAATTTTTGAACAAATATATAGTCTATTAGTTTTGGTCTTTTTTTCCGCTACTCGTATTTTTGTTTATTTAAAATATATAGTCTATTTCACGCGAGATTACGATTCAAGGACAATATGCACCTTCATTAAACGACTGCCTTTAATTAGGTATAACAATGCGTTAGAGCTCCCACATATTCCCATTTCTTTAAATCCAGATCTATTGTGATAGATCACAATATATAGTTATAACTCATCATACAGTCTCAGAGCTTTGATAAAAGCCAGTATCTGAGACGGTTTTACATAGGTTAGTTCTCCATCTCCGATATCAGTCCTACCCAAATTTATGGCACGAATGGTTGTCCTCTCGGCGTACTCAGTGATGAGGTGTTCTGGGGTTTCCCCATTTTCCCCACATAATCGGCATTTGCCGTTATTTCTTAGCATCAATCTACCGAGGTGTTCGTTGAGGAGACAATGACCTGTTAAAAACCCCGTGATGATCCGAAGATTGTTCTTACTTAAATCAAGGAAAATATTTGATTTTTCTCGGTCGTAAGTTCTGAGAAATTTCTCCGGTGTCGGATGGAAGTATTTTGTATTTTTTATTCTAGGTTAGTTTAACAGTTAGTGGAGTGTTAGCTCCTTCTCTAGCTAGATCGTTTGCTTTTTCATTGCCTTCTATATCTTAGTAGGATGGCACCTAGAGTACGAAGACTTTATTATCTTTGCCTAATTTGTGCAAAAACAATTGTAATGCCTATCACTACCGCACAGTCAGTCGAACTTTCTACATACGTACCGGTATACCTGCATAAACCAGGCTTGCACAGGCGGCCTGAGCCATAAAACTGGGCGTCTGTGGGGGTCTTTAGTAAATACCATTAACCATGAATCGTCAACTTCATTGAAACGGACTTTGTAAACAAGTTCTAATATTTTTTTAAATTAATTATTTACAGGAATTTCAAGTTCTCAGCGTGTTAAATTGTTCAAACCCGTACTTCCAGCGCTGGTAAGAATCAGCGAGGCTTTTCCATCTCTAATCGACGACATCGTCAATCTTTTAATGCAACTGGCCAGGATATGCGAGAGCCAGGCGTCTCTAGCCAGCCATTTTGACAGCCAGAGGGGAAGAGGTCTGGAAATATCCGCGCAAGAAAGTGCGGAATTGTGCGATTTGACCCAACGAACTTTAAGTGATATTTTAGATAAAAGTGTACTTAGAACAAATATTTACAGACAAGAATAATAAATCGTTGAAATTGTCACAGCAAAATGTATTTTTTATTTAATATTCGTGCCCCTAGATATGTAAATAAATAATAATTGATAATAAATGAGTTTTATTAAAGCAAAATATACCGTTTAGGAATACTGTCTAATCCTGAACAAAAAGAAGAGGTTATTTAATTAATTAACACAAAAATAATATATCCTAAGCAACTTAAGAAATTCTGGGATAGACGTTATTTTATATAAAAATAATACCTACCTTTATCTCCTCGCTCTTATGTACTCCTGATACAAATCCCTGATATATACTTTAAGGCAAAAATCGCACGAAAAATTTAAAGTATATACCTCTTCGCTCTATGTACTGATACAAATCCGAGAAAATTCAGCTTTTAACAAAAATCGAACAAGAATTTTTAATCCTTGTCCAAAATTATTGGTTTCTATCAGGAACACATAAGCGTGGGAGATACTATTTACCTAGTTGCTCTTATGTACTCCTGATACAAGCCCGAGAAAATTCACTTTTTGACAAAGATTGCACGAACATTTTTAAACCCTGGTCGAAATCCGCTGATTTCTATCAGGAACGCATAAATGTAAAGAGATAAGACGTAAATTAAGGACCACAAGTAAATATAGCATCGATCAACGATATTTCTGCTATCTCTAGCAATTCGACCTCGTTTCAAAAATTAATGCCCCAATATTTCGAAAACTATGAGAGATATCGAGGAACGGAATAGCGCATTCAATAGAGAATTCAACCCTCTATTAGGGCGCAAAATTAAGGGATGATCGGAGCAAGAAAAATTTCTTGACGAAAAATGAGGTAAGGGGCCTTCCTTCATTTTTCGCCAAAAAATTTGTTTGTCTCTAATCGCACCCTTATTTTGCGCCCTTATAGAGGGTGGAATTTCCTATCGAATGCCCTATTCCGTTCCTCGATATCTCTTATAGTTTGGCCGTAATTGACGTTTTTAATAAAAAATCTAACTGTTCTAACTCGTTGGTCGGGACTCCGAAATTTGCTAGGCAGAAATTATTTTTGGCAGCTTTTGTTCAAAGTGAGATTTCTTGAATTTATATCAGGAACATATAAGAGCGAGGAGGTATTTTTCGATACCAGGAGTAAACAGTTACATTCACCAGGATCTTCATCAGGAATATATAAGAACAAGGAGGTAAAGTATTAGGAGAAAACTTTAAAAAAGATATTTACTAGTTCTTTTTTGAATCTCGGTATTAAAATAAAACACAGTAAATATTTTAACTAATAAAATTTATTATACAAAAAAGTACAAATATAAAATAAATACAATATAATAGTACTGTTTTTATTCAGATTATATTTACAAAATAAAATAAATAGTAACTTAAATAGTTATAAACATTTAATAATACAATAAAAATATTTTACTTTAAAATATATATAACAAAAATTAATCACAAAAAAAAGATTAGAATGATTTAAAGTATCCTAATTAGTTATATATGAAATTTTCATTTTATTTATACGATTTAAATAAATCTATTAATATAGCTTGTTCCTGACGTTTTATATTCTTCATATCCAACATTTTGTGGAATTCTGTCAACTGACATTCAGGAAAAAGCTTTTTACATTGCTCCACAAAATTCTTCTGTGGTTCTATCGGGGTCATAACGATTTTAAGGATCATTTCTGCTTTTGTCATACCTACAAAATCAAATATTTCATTAAATTCATTTAAATACATATAAAAAACGTATTTATATACCTTTTGTGACAACTTTTGAGTAGGCTGCCGGCGCTGTCCTATTTATTTGAGACGATATTGAAGGCAAATTTAACAAAACCGTTTTAAGCATATGAGTGTCTAGTAATAACTGTTCTGCACCTAAAAATTAATTTGTTACTACATCAAATTCTACAGTAGACACAAAATACCTAAGCTAGTTAACCACCGCGACCTTACAGATCTACTGTATCCCTTTTCTTCAGTTAACCCATCATAGTCTCAGGGCTTTGATAAAAGCCAGTATCTGAGACGGTTTGCCACAAACTTTGGTACAACTGATATCGGAAAGGGAGATCTAATCTCTGTAAAACTGTCTCAGATATTGGTTTTGTCAAAGCCCTAAGACTGTATGAATTATAACTCAAGAAAGGGGGACTAGATAGGCGGGCTAGATGACACTGAGATCTATTCTCAGCGTGTCTTCTAACGGGCCTCATTGACCTAGGCCAGGTAGAGGAGACGGTAGCTTGTGTAGCATGTTGGGTCTAGAGGTAGGCTCCCGACCCTTACTAGAGGTGGTAGCTTGTCTGCCACTTGTGGAGGCTGGTCTCGCGCAAGTGTCAGCTGCTTCTCCTGTCATTCCCTCTGGGGTTGGTCTCTTGGAACTTGCAATGTTAATGTTCTCAGTGTTGCTAGGGGGTTTCCCTGGAGGTTTACCGCGTTAATCGGACCTTATTGCTTGTTAGCACCACTGGTTATTTAGGGAACCTTTATTCTTCCCATTTTGGTGACCACTTTTTCAAATAAAATCTCATAAGAGATGTTTCTTCTTACCTTTACCCTATTCCGCTTACCCATGAGTCTAGAGCTACGTTAGGTTTAAAATCCCTAGACCTAGGGACTTTAGTTAAATAATTCTGTGGTAGTAGACATGTAATTCATACCTTCTGTGTTTATTGGTTTACACTTATAAATGTTCTGTATAAACTTTGGGATAAAACTATTGGCAAATTTGATGCAAAACTGTGTAAAATATTTCCTGGAATGAGCTAAACTATCACGAATTATTGGAATCGTTGTTTTTAGATGCATTGTTATAGATGTAATGTAGGGACTCTGGTCTCCAACAGCGTCAATATTTTGCCATGGAATCTATATAAATAAAAAAGAATAATTATTTAATATTAATTAATTGTTCATAACAAGATATAATTACCTTAGACATGGCTGTTAAAGATGGTTCGCAAGCATTTTCCAGATCTTGTACTAACAACTGAATACAATTAGAAATAACCCTAAAAATTACAACTATAAATGACTGACTTTGACATTGTTAGTACAATATGATCGGAGAAAACGGCGCCAGCGATGGCTTTGAATTGAAGATCACTGTCTATTTATATGTAAAATTATATCATGTCATTTCCAAGCCGACTTAACGCCGTTTTTTTTCTCGATCATATGATATACAGAGTTTTCACATACTTATGAAACAGATCTTGTTCTTTTGACAGATCTATTTGGTCTGCCAACGTGGCATCAATTTTCTCTTTTAATTTATCTTGTAACTGTTGAGTGGTCTCCAGACAATACTCGGCAGTGGTTAAAATACAGCAAATTTTAGTCTGTTCGTCTTTGGCAAATCTTAAAAAAATCAGGTTATATCGAATACTAGACAACCGATATAACGTTATAGGCCCCGTATACACGTTACGTTTTTAAAAGCTCAGGTAAAACTTCCAATCTGTAAGCCGTTTTAACTAACAGGTAAAACGTGACGTGTAGACGAGGTTTTACTCCTAGTACCTCATCATTTCCCCTTCCTTTAACAAAGAAGAAAAATTCTGTATTAATCCCGAGGTAGAAATCTTTTGAAGATCTTTTGTAAAATTCTGAACTGAACTACCCAACGACTGGCATTCAATTTTTGGCAAGTTGTTATAAAGCAGTTTTTCCGAGTATTCTTGTAGGTATTTTTGGAAGGTTCTTGTTAAACTAAGCATCGATTGACCTCTAAAGACAGAGCCATGTCAAAGAGGATACAATATTACTAAATAATATGCAAACCTATCTAACTGAGTGCATTGAATCATGCTCTTTTTATAGAAAACAAACAGATCTGGACAGGAGGGTAAGATTGCTGCTTGAGTTTCGGCATTTTCAATCGGTTTGTGTTGTTTTTCGTCCTGTACAAACCTGTCTATAAGGTCGGACAGATTCCTATCCAAGCTTTCAATATAAATGTCCAGATAGGGAATAAAACAACGACCTTGAAAGAATAATTAACAAAAAATATTTATCTTTAGTACTTTGCACAGCTCCTTTAGTAACAAATGACGATTTAAGGTCATCCTGAATCTTCAATAGAAGCTGGCGCAAATTTTAGGGAATACAGCGGCTGAGTGTTTTTGTGTGTTAAAAGAGACCGTTTAGGGAAGTCGCTTACTTAGCCACTCAGCCGCTGACCGTCCCTGAATGCCGCACATTTACATAATGCAAATACCAACCCTCAAACATGACAGTTAGTAGGGATGTTATTTCCTTTTTTGTACTAAACTTAGTACATTTTTAATATGAAAGAACAAGTTTTATTATGTATATTTCAAGCAAAGTTTAAGGTATCTAAAAAAGATTTACTAAAAAACAAATACTTGGGCACAATAATAAATGAAACTGCCAAACAATTACAAGAAGTAAAGTCCGGGATTGAGATAGCCAGAAATTATTTTTTAAAACTAAAGAAATTTCTTTGCAGTAAAGATATTGGATATAAACATTTAAGAAAAAGAATGTTCCGATGCTACATGCTTTCGACGTTATTGTATGGTGCCGAAGCGTGGACCCTTAAAACAGCCGAAATTAATAGACTGGCGGCTTTCGAAAGGTGGTGTTATCGCGATGTTACGGATTTCTTGGGTCGATAAGTAACAAATATCGAGATGTTACGCCGTATGAACAAGGAAGAAGAAATACATAAAACCCTTAAGAGGAAAAAATTAGAATATTTTGTATAAGAGGTCCTAAATACCAATTGCTCCAGAATATTATGGAAGGAAAAATCCAAGGAGGACGTACAGTACATCTGCTGGATCTGTGTCTATGAAAGGAATGCGGACAAAAAACATTTAAATAAACAGCAATATATTTATACGTCGATTTGACGAGTGCGTCACCGCAAATCGCTCCGCCCACTCATTTTATTGGCCACTTGCAAATTTGTTGAATTTTTATTGATGGGACACGTCGTCTATTTTTTTACAAAAAACATCGAGAGAATATCGTTTCCCCTCTCACGGATACCCCGTAGCTACAGAACGGATAGACGTACTGTAGTCGGGGCAGAAGACGAACATCCTGGCTGAAGAATCCCAGAGAATGGTATGGAATGACGTCGAATGGATTATTTAGAGCAGCCGCAAATAAAATCAAAATAGCCATGATGATTGCCAACCTCCGTTAGGAGACGGTACTTGAAGAAGAAGAACAAGAAGAAAAAACATTTGCTATTCATCACAGATTTAAGAAATACCTAGATAGAAATAAAATATATATTAAAAAATTATTATTATTTTTATTATTTAACAGAACATCAACGGTTTCTTGTAGACGTATCAGTTTTAAAAAAAGTAAAGTGTTCTCGAATAGTTGAATTTAAATATTTTAAATAGTTTTTTTCTTTATTCTTTACAAAAAATAACTATTTTATTTTGTAGATTTTCTTGCAGTGCAGTGGCGAAATACCCATAAAGGATTTTTTTTTTGGAGAAAATATATATTTTTGTCATAATACCTAAAAAACTTATTAGCTTAATACAAGTTTTTAGTACATTTTCGAAATGTATAAACCTGTTGAAATATTTTAATCTTTCAGTAAATATTGTTGACCTTAAATCATCACCTTTGAGTGACGCGGACTATACCTATTAATCCGTTAAAGGGAGAATCAGCAAAATCCAACAATTCGTTATTTACTGCCCCATTATTATGTTTTTCTGTTTTCTTCTTATGCTCATCCAGATGATTTGTATTAAGCCCCTCATTGACTGTAGCCCCTGTAAATCTCTTGAACAACAAATTCTCAAAAGCACTAGTCTTTTGAATGGCATACAATAGTAGCTTCACATCAATTTCGTTTTTTCTCTTAGCCATTATTTTTGATAACTCTTCTCTTGTGTGGTGACAAAACTGAACAGCAATTCTCTCAGAGACTTCCCAGTTTTCAGGGAACATACGACCTGAAAAGTCTTAGTTACAATGTATAATACATATATTGTATGATCGAAAAAAAAACGGCGTTAAAAACGGCTGAGAACGACGATCGATAATTTTGGCGAGGTCAATCTCTATTTTACCTACTTACTATTTTACCTCTTTACCTACTGTATAAAAATAATTACAACCTTTCTAAGACCAACAGGCAGTAAGAGCCATTACAAAATAAAGAAGAGAACGGGTCAAGTAAGTAAATGAAGTATTAGACGCCGTTTTTTTTCGATCGTTTGGTAATTTTTTTATGTAATTTTCTCATTAACCTAGCTTTTCTTCAAACTCCAGCAAATGCCTTTTAACCCATGCGTATCTTTTATCTATTTTATCTAGCCAAGCTGTATCTTCAGTCTCTTGAAACAAGTGACTGTATTCCTGCAGTTCCAAAGTTATAAACCATTTTAGAAGGTCCTTCTTTACTTTGGGGTTTAATATAGATACCACTAAACAAGCCTGTTGTAACTGTTTGCTTGGTATTGTATTTTTACTATTTGCACCTTGAAAAGCGTCCTGTAAATGTTTGTCATTTAATAAAAGATATTTATGTAATGAGACTAAAGAATACAAGGAAAAGAACTGTTACTAGTTGACACCAAAGCCAGTGCTTCTCGCTGCGGCTTTTACACTTGAAAGCTGAACAAACAACCATTGTAATAGTAATACAATTAATACAAAGTTCACTACACACAAGCGATTAAAAATCGTTAAAATTGCCCCTGGTGTCTCCTCCTTCGTTTGGCACCAAAAAAAAGGGAACTTTTAATTTAATATCACAGACTTTGCTCCAGCCTGTATTTGAGCATTATGTGTCAATGTGTCATTGTATTCTTTAGTTATTGTATTTATTTTAATGTTAGGTTACCTTAAAATCATGTGTAATTTGATCAGCTAACTCTGTGTGAATACTTTTCACTTGATCGCTTAATTTTTTTATTTGAGGTATGTCCGAATAATGTTCAAAATGAGTCATAACTTCGCTAATTGCTTGGAGAGGAAGAGCTATTTCTCCATACAAATGCTTTTCAGTTAAAGACTTTAATGTATCAACACCACCCACTAACATATGAAGATGATTCAGTGTTGTTATTGCCTTAAAAAATATGATAAAAACAATAAAAGAATTTTATTAGAAATTATTTTTTAATGTACCAGAGTTAAATTTCTTTTAGCACAATCTAATTGCTTAATGTCTCTGGTGATTTCTCTAACCATCTCCTCAGACTTTTCTGCCCGTTCCTTGATGTCCTTTATGTGTAAGAATAATTGTTTAATAATCTTTTGAGACTCACCTAGCGCTTCCCTGTAGAATCATGTAAATTATATGGAAGTTTAACATATTCTTTCAAAAAATAATAATAAATACCTTCCATCTACGCTAGCCTCAATCTGGCTTTGGATCACTGTTGAAATATCATTATCTATTGTATGAATCTGATTCTCCATTTTTATAACCATTTCATCAATGTTTGAAAGGGACTGTTCAGTGGGAAACAGGGAATTTATGTAGTCAATACTATTGAAATCTGGTTCATCTAAAGAATCTTTATTGGGCAGTACCTAGTCAAAGATTACAAATTATTCTGGTTGTACATGAGATGTTTTTACTTACCTCATCTATAGCTTTTTGTACTTCTGGTGGAAAATTAATAAAAAAATCTGAGTTATCTTCGTCTAGAATTTTATTTTCCATAATATCTTTTATTTTTATCAGGTTCAAACCACAATAACTTTGCAAGAAGTTAAGAATGGTAATTCTAAGTATCTTAAAGCACTTTCATTAAGAGAATACCTTAGGAATTATTTATATAAGATCAAACTATTTACTGGAACATATTATTCAATATATTATCTAGATATTTACACTAAAAGTTAAGTATTTTTAGGGAGAAATAAGAATTTTTCTGTACTTACATATACACCAGAATATTAATTAATTTCTGTGTGTCAGGATATCTACTAATTAAGGAAACTCATAAAAAAGGTTAGCTGATTATTATTAACACTTTTAGCTAAAATATCAATTATTTTTAGCCCAGAAAACTATAATAATCCTAAACAATTTTTGTTGGCTATTATAACCTTTAAATCTGTAAAAATAGCATGGAGGAATAAGAGAAGGGAGACGCAACTACAGTGGGGGCGAGGCAAAGTGTACTACTTCAACAGAACCGGTTTATGTACAAAAATAATCTAATAATAAAAGCCTAAAAGCAAACATAACGGAATTTTAATTTTCTATCGATAATTTTGTAGTAGCTGCGTTACGGGCCTGTACATTGTTTATACTACCGTTACCAAGACACCGCTACCGATACTACCCGTGAATGTTTTATTTCTGTTATCCGAGTCAATGCCTTTCCTGCTAGTACAACCACATATAGCACACAAAACACAAAATATATTTTTTTTTAATAGAAAACATTCAAATTCTCAATAAAATCATTAAATTTTGGGAAAATCAAAGGGGAAAATGCACCAAAGACATAAAAGTACTTCCAAGATGGCTGGCTGGTATTATTTTCGCCACAGCTGTTACGCCTCTCTTGTTTCTCCATGGATGAAGCACTGGTTCAAATGAACTACTCTGGAAAAAAATGATAGAAATCATATGTTTTTGAGTTTGATAGACGTCAATGTCAAAAAAACAGTTTGGAAAATAATGGAATTATGTTAATTGTTTAACAAACAATTGTTGTTTTTCAAATTAGGGTTTATAGAAAAAGAATTAATTCGTATTTAAAATGGTAAGTGACACAATCGACGTGTTTTGTGAAACCCCCTAGGTTTTTTTCTAGTTAGTTTTAGTACTGGGTGATTTACACATTCCACACAGGTGCAGTAGTTTACCGACGAAATTTAAGAAACTCTTGGTTCCTGGTAGAATTCAGCATATTCTTTGCACTGGAAATTTGTGTACCAAAGAGTCGTATGATTATTTAAAAACCCTTGCTTCTGATGTTCATGTTGTACGCGGCGATTTCGACGATGTGAGTTTAGAAAGAATACTTATTTAATAAGACAGTAACATTATATTTCATTCAATACTTTTAGAATCTAAATTATCCCGAACAAAAGGTCGTTACTGTGGGACAGTTTCGGATAGGTTTATCACATGGTCATCAAGTTGTACCCTGGGGTGACCCAGAAGCTCTCGGTAAAAGGAAGTTAATGTTTTTAATAACATTTAAGCTAATTTTAATAATTTTTAGCACTAATCCAACGTCAGTTAGATGTAGACATATTAATTTCTGGTCATACCCACAAATTTGAAGCTTACGAACATGAAAACAAATTTTATATTAACCCTGGAAGTGCGACAGGAAGTTATAATGCTTTAGATGCGTAAGTATTCACTTTTAAAAGTGTTAAGTTATTTTTATATTAGTTGTTTTTTTATTTTGCAGATCTCTAACACCATCATTTGTGTTGATGGATATACAAAACACAACTGTTGTAACCTATGTCTATCAATTGGTTGGAGATGATGTTAAGGTTGAAAGGATAGAATATAAGAAAAATTAAATGTGTAATAGGGTAGGAAAATCAATTTACTAAATTCTGTTTAAAATTATTCTTTCTAAATCATATATTATTTTGTATTAATTTTAATTTACTTTAATCTTAAGGAATGAGAAATTATATATTATTTTTTTAAGACCATGATGTATATTTAAAAAAAACTTTTTTAAGTTTTAACACATATTTAATTATTGCTTTTCTGCATTAAATGTTATTATTGATAAGTAATATGGTATTATTATTGGACTATATACACAGAGAGGAGATACCATAGATATTTATATTATAGGGTTCCATACCTCAAAAGGAAAAAACGGAACTCTTATAGGATTGTTGTCTGTCTGTCCGTCCGTCAAGACCCTTTACCTTGGGAACGCGTGGAGGTATCAAGTTGAAATTAAAACATGATTAAAACCATAGACTCAGTTCTACAATTCTAAGTTAACGTAAACAAATATATGGCCGTTTATGCCGCAAAAAACGTATGTTTCGACATTCTCAAGGGAACCAACATTTGTAGGATATTTTCCTTTGACCTAGAACTATGAAATTTGGCAAGTAATACCGTCTTATATTACAGGTATGGGGAAAAATCTGAAAACTTTACATTTGTGATTAAATTAAAAAATAGTCTTTATACGGCACCCTCGGTAGGCGAGTCCCAATCGCACGTCTGTTTTTTTAAGTTATATCCTTGTATATATATTTTTAAAGTAGATCAACCTAAGACGTTTATGGACTAAGACTACTAGATGGCAGGACCGGTTTCCCTACAGAAATATTTTTTTTGTTACTCTGAATTTTGAAGCCACCAATAAAAACAGAGAAAATAAAAATCCATAATTTTCGGACTGTGCCAATTGGTTACTAATCGACCAGATACTTTTTGTCTATTAGATATGCTATAAAAGCTGGCAATTATACAATTGGACCATTGTAAATACCCGACAAATTCTTCAACGCCGACGAGGCCGATGTTTCTCACTGATAAGAAATAAAAATGTTAGTTTAGATAATTTTCGAGGTATTTTTTTCTTTCTGAATGCAAATTTTAAAGTATTTTATATTCTTTGTCCCCTTGACCTATTATCCTGGTCGCACGTATGGAAGTTCTGTTTCTTCTAGTTTTAGAAAATGTTCTTATTTCTTTTTTATTTGCAGTTGTAGTGCAAAATTAGATTAATTTATTAAGTTTAATTATAGTGTTTAGTGTAGTATGTTAGTGTACTCTACCAAAAATAGTTTAGTAGTGTTTTTATAGTTTATTTTGTAGTTAAGTAGTAGGCGAAGGGATAATTTTGTTATTTTTTCTTTTTGTTTGATAAATTAGTAATCAAATTGATAATTGGTTCACTGTAGAATACAAGGAATAAGTAGTTGTGTGGTGTTTTTAAGAGATTATATTCGTTTATCTTGTAGTTGAGTAGTAGCTGAAGGGGTATTTGGGTACCTATTTCTTCTTTTTATTTTTCTTGTAATTGTAGTAGTTCTATTAAGTATTGTGATAGATACACTATATCTTCCTTCAACTTCGTTGAAAAGTCATAAAGACCATAATATGAAACAGAATAAAAAATAAATTTTGCATTATTTAATTAAATTATTTTCCTGATACATTTTTTTAATGAAAATGTATTTGAATTATTTCAGTTAGACATGTATCCTGCTTTTAGAAAGTTTTATGGTTTTATAATTCTTCACACATACAAAGTTAAAGCAAACTTGATTTTAAAACTCTGGCCATATTTTACATTAATAAAGATTTAATTGGTATAATAAAGATTTAGATGGTGTATTAAGTACAATATATTTATTTTAATGTCAAATAATATTGAAGCAAGTTGCAATTTTTTGAATATTTAATCAAGAATGTAAAAAGTTTTATGTTTTCAAAAAAAAATATCGTAAAATTCGTTAAACAATCAATTTAGAATAAAATAATCTAAGAATGAAATGATTCTTTAATAAACCTGCATTAAATCAAATTAAAATAGGTATGTAACTTTTTTTGAATATTAATTATCAGCAATTAACATTATCATAAATTATAAATAATGTACCAACATATCGAAATAATAATTTCTTTGTTAATACGATTTAGAATTCTTAAAATAACAGGCAAAAGTAATCCACAATTTACAATAAAATAAAAATTTCGTTTAAATTTATTAATCAGCTGATTACTATTAAAGTTCGCAGAAACCCGGGCTATATTATTACATTACTCTGAGGAAAATAACGAAAATAATCGATATTTTTGACTCCGCCCCGAAAGGTTCACGATTTGTCCTCCAGTTGGCAGCACATTCTGTCTAGTCGGTTGGGCAACTTTAAGAATATATAAACAAGGGTTATATTGAACGAAAAATATATAGAATTCCTTATAGCGATCAACAAAATATATTTTATGTAAAATAATTTATAACTCAGATCTTTTTAATGATTTTATTGACTGAAAAAATATTTTAAAATAAAGGTTTTTAAATGTATACATTGAGAAATCCTACATAAATAGTATTTCTGATAAAATAATCAACACTATATAAATATCATAAGCTGAAAAGTAAATAAAGTCGATTTATATATTTACTATTGCAATCAATTAATAAAAATTGGGAATAGAACTAATTTTAAAATGTATACAGGTATTCACCTGATTCGGAATTGAGTATTGTAGCCAAATGATTGGATTTCTAGAAATTGTGAGTGATGGGATCGTTGGAGGACTACTAAAGCTACAATTTACAATTATTTTCGAAAGGTACAGAAGAGTGTCCCAAAAAAATATATCAAAGTGTATTTTTGTGTTGGGTGAGTGAAACACTCTATATGTTATTACATTTTCAGTTTCTACGATTAAAATAAAGGTAAATTTGATTAAGGTTTGCCGCACTTTAATCTTACCATTTTTCAAATATTTACGATTTTGTGAAAATGCAGTAACAATTTTAATGGATCATTTCTGTATAGGCGTATTTAAGTTTTTAATACGAAAGATTGAACTAAAGTTTTTCTATTTACTAAATTTTGTGTTGCAATAATAAAAATTATACTACTTTATACAGAGTGTCTAAAAAATTATATCAAATAATTACTAGCTTTAAACGGCAATAACTTGTTTAATTTAAATGGAACATCCTGTATATTTTACGTGAATCAAATGGTATAACACAATTTAATTGTCTATTAAATTGAGTTATACCATTTCTTACCTATCTCTTCATGTTTTCGTAGAACATGCATTTTCTTATTCAATATACCCATGGAATATTGACATTTTTTTTAAGCAACAAATGTACAAAATGTACGATAATATTGCTAGCTCATTTGTTTACAAAAAGAAAACTATTTAAATCTTTGTAAAAGAGTATGATAATCCTAGATCATATATAATAATTAAATATACCACCATTATTTTCGCCAAAATATTAATTAATTACATACTTAATTATACAAGTTAATAAATTCTTCTAACAAAATGTTGATTTGAATCAGAAATCAATATAATAATAAGTTAGGAATATGAACGTCTCTGTTGTTATAAATAAGCATTCGTCAAAAAAATGAAATAAAATCATTTTCAATCAGTTTTATTTTTTAGTAACACAGTTAGGCAGTTTTTTCGTATTTGGAGCGAGCAATTATTAATCAGCGCAGGCAGTCAATGTAGTTCGACTACTGGAATCATATTAACTGGTCCTCTTTTGCAAATATTTGAACAGTTTTTTTACTCTTTAATAAATTATTACTCTTTGAATTTTTTTTACATCTTTAAAAATAATCTAAAATGTCAATATTCCATAGGTATATTGATAAACGACGTCTAAATTATAAGTTAATGCATTTTTTTCGAAAACTTGATGATATATAGGTAATACAATTTAACAGACAATTAAATTGTGCATCTGATTCACTTAAAAGATACAGGGTGTTCCATTTAAATTAAACAAGTTATTGCCGTTTAAAGCTAGTGATTATTTAAAATAAATCTTTAGACACTCTGTTACCGTATTTTCACCTTAAATTTTCACAAAAATGTAAATATTTCAAAAACGGTGCGGTTTACCTTTATTTTAGTCAACAACTAACTAAAAATGTAATAATATACAGGATGTTCTATAAAAAAAAAACTTTTTATTAATTTACTTAAGAATTTTTTTATTTATTTGGGACACTCTGTACCTTTTCGCAATTTCTGTCGAATGAGGTGTCGAAATGTCAATATTCCATGGGTATATCGATAAATGAGCTCTAAATTATAAGAAAATGCGTTTTCTATGAAAACTTGAAGGGATAGGTAAAAAATGGTTTAATACAATTTGATAGACAATTAAATTGTGCATCTGATTCTCATAAAATATACAGGATGTTCCATTTAAATTAAACAAGTTATTGCCGTTTAAAGCTAGACATTATTTAATATAAATTTTTGGATACTCTGTATAAGATAGTTTAATTTTTAAGCCGGAGTTTCATGCATCCGAAATCCGATGGTACGACATCTGAAATCTGAAGTTATCGTGTGAAATAAAAAAAGCCTGTCACATACATCCGAAAGTTCGTTCCGAAATTTGACAGTTTTAACATTTTTCTGCTGCGCTGAATAGAGATTCATGTCATGTTTTATTGGAGAAACACTTATAAAAATAACTTCCTCGCCAAATATCCCGAAATTGCCCACTTCCCACTAAACTTGTTTTTAAAAACAAATGTTTTCAAAAAAAGTGAGGTTAAAAAACATACGATATCGTACAAAAGTTAAACAAAATTTAACTTTATACGACGTCGGATGATTAGTTAAAATTATCGGATAAAAATTGTTGTCAAAATATTTCGACCAATAGGAGCACCGTCGGATCGTCGTGTCATCGGATTTCGGATGCATGAGACTCCGGCTTTATCATTACAACACAATATATGATCAATGAATAAACTTCAGTAAATATTTAGTATTAAAAACTGTGATGCCCTTGGAGAAATGAAGCCTTAACATTTTTCCTGCAATTTCACAATATTGAAAATATTTCAAAAACGGTAAGGTTTTAGTGTGATAAACCTTAATCAAATTTACCTTTATTTTAATCCTAGAAACTGAAAATGTAATAATTTATAGGGTGTTCCATTTAAAATATACAACTTTGATATTTTTTATTTATTTGGGATACTCTATAGCTTGTAAAAATATTTTTAAATTGTAGCTCTAATAGTCCTTCAACGAACTCAAAACTTACAATTTGTAAAAATCTTATCGTTTAGCTACAATACTCCATGTCGTATGTGGTGAACAAGCCTGTATACTTTTTTTAACAATCAAAACAACACATTTTGAATAACTCTTTGTTAAAATATTTCAGTTATCTCTAAATCTTTGTACTTTTTTCTCCAAATTTCAAGATCAGACTCTGGTCTTTTGGTAATAGTTTTGCTAGAATCTGCACCGTTTTTGCCTCAAAAAAAATATTTATATTAATTTGAATTCTTTATAAAAAGTAAAATAAAAGTTACCAGCTTCTTTTTGTGATATACCAGATATAGCCAAAGGATTAATTCTCATCATTTTGCGCTGAGAATTATTTTTATTTGTCGAACTAAAAAAAATATTTAGTTAATAATAATGCCGCTTTATGATAGAAGACTTACTTTTTATCAGGAGTTGTTTGGATTATTCTTTGTTTTTCATTTTGGTGCAACTCCAACCCTGCAAATTATAAAACATCATTATACCGTGTTATGCATTGGCTCAGGACATACCGGGTGATGCATCAGCTCAGGACATGTAGTAAATCCCAAACTGTGCTGGCAACTCTTACTTTTGGGTCGGTATTTACATGTGTGGAAGTAAATCGCATAGGGATCTTATTAAGTTGGAGTGAGAGAAATGCGACGGTGTGCTGTGGCGGCGTTGCCACATTTCTCCGGTACGCCTTTCCCTATCAAGTAAAATCAATCGCAATCCGCAATTTTTAAAAGACATTTATTTTCGAAAAGATAACTAGATAAAATCATTAGAAATGTTTCTGAGCATCTGAAATGGAATTATAAGGATATCGTTAGTGTATCCATTTTTTTAATGAGAAAACACATAACACGTGATAACTCGAGGGTAATTATTGGGAAAACTGGAAATCGTCCGTTTTTTGACCAAAATTGGTATACACCCTATTTTGAGGTCATAGATTACGAATCTTAATTTTTTTTCTGGCGGACTCTTACCGTTTTATCAGAAAAACGAAAAATTATTTCAACATCGACTTTTTCTTAACTTCTCATATTTTTAAGGTTTTCTATCACATATTTTGTTAGGTATTCAATAAACAATGATATTTTTGCTATTTTCTGTTACTTTTTTAACCAATTTTATGCATAATAGAGGAAAATTTGCTAAAATAAATATGTAAACAATCTGAAAATGTTGGGTTGTTTCTGGCATTTAAGGCAACGTTGCCAATGCTAAACCTAAATTTAGCGTGTTTTTTTCGCTCATTCTGGGATTACGAAAGGTCGCCAGAAGAACGGCTGTTTCCCATAACTGCTATTTTACCAACGAGATCTGACTATTTATAACCACGAAGTTGCACGAAAGAGTTTTGATTGCATTGGTTATAACTTCCATGCGGAGGCGGAGGGTGTTAATCTTTTGTTGTTGTATTATACCAAAAAAAGATTAACCCCCTCTGCAAAGAAGTTGAAACCTCTTTCGTGCAACTTCGTGGTTATAAATAGTCTTTATATAACTTCTTTGCGGAGGGTTTTTTTATAGTACAATAAAGACGATTTATTATATTTAACTATTGTCAGATCTCAAAATAGGTAGGTAATTTATTTAAAATGCCTAATCACCCGAAAAAATAGAAGACATGGCAACGTTGTAAATTTTCAAATTTCTAGGTTAGATCTAGAATATATTTGTCTCTCTCATTACATAGGAGAGAGAAAGAAAGATATATGAAATGTCCAACTTCCATTTGGTGTCAATTTTCTTTATTTTGTTAAGAAAAGTGTTTTCAGGAAAATTTTGGACATTTTTCTATCCTCAATCAAGTGCGACTTTTAGATAAACTATAATAATATAATGAAATTATTACTTTATAGGACCGAAATAAAGAAAAATTCAATGTTGAAATTATTTTTCGTTTTTCTGAAAAACGGTAAGAGACCGCCAAGAAAAAATTCAGATTCGTAATCTACGACCTCAAAATAGGGTATATACCAATTTTGGTGAAAATCGGACGATTTCCAATTTTGCCAATAATTACCGAAAAATTCAATAGGCTTGTTTTTTCATTCAAAAATTTAAAAAACCCAACCATTTACTTTTAGAGCATAGCAATTTTCAGCAATCGTGTAACTTTTTTATCTATAAAGATTTTTACATACTGTCTGCGAAGAAAATATAGCAGAAATATTAAGAAAGTTTTTGAAAAAAACTACAATCAATTATTTATAATGGATTTCGAGATATCGATTTTTGAATTCAGAGTTCTAATAGCGCGACCACTGTCAAACACCAACTCAATACCACTTATTTTTACCAAAAATACAAGTGTTTCTAACTTGCACTTAAAAATTTACAATAAGGAAAATTACGACTCGTTAATAAATAAACAAATAAAGTATCATGAGACGTAATTAAATCTTGAAGCTGAACGCATGATGTACACCGTTCCCTAGAATTTTAAGTACTGACAGAGCATAGTGACAGAGGACAGAGGTACTGATTGGGTCGACTGGTCGACCGCGACGAATCTGCTATATCCCCTTCCACGTCTCTTTAGCAACATGCACAGTTACAGTTTCTCGGTTTATTTTATACATTTGGCAACGTGTTTACTGTTCTTCCTTTGTTCAGTACATTAACTAAAAACGCATTGTACTCTTCTTACATAAGGAAATCTCGACCCAAAACTAACCTTTGCCAACCAGTTGTAATCAGATATTGTACTTTAAATCAAATTAAAACTCGTCCCGAAAAGTTATACAGGGTGTGACAAAATTAATGTTGAACATTGATCACCTTTAAAAGCAAGTTACTCTTTTATTTTAAATGTAACACCCAGTATATTATATTAAATTTTACCCGGGATTTCCTAATATGTTCAGAGCCGATGCTTATAACCTGGTATTTATTATTTCTATTATTACTTGAGTCCTCATTAGATTTTCTTTTCTGTCCACTGAGTGCTATATTTTGGTGTACAACTACATTAGCACTATTTTCCCTTACTAAGTCCTGTTCTCTTGGTAATATTTCTTCTAAAAACCAATTCAAAAATATTAGAAACAGTAAAAAATGTGTTTGTTTTGGTTATACCTGTATCAATCTCATCACTTGAGGATGTTGATGAATGATTCTCATTTACAACCTCTAAAAATTTACGAAAAGTAAATATAATACCAGAAAAATATGTAGATGTACATACCTTTAAATTGTTCTTTATTTGTATTACCCAGACTTTCTCTAACAAAGGAAAAATTATCTACAGTTGCCTTAAGTATATTTATATAAATGTCATTAATTGATATTGAGCATACATTTTTGTTATATTGTTGTATGGATTTCATGAGATGATGCGATTCAATAACGGACTTTATATTTGTGTCATTTTTAATTAAAATGTATCCGTTGATATTAGGAGATTTTAATCTCTTTGTAAAATCATCTGACTTACTATACAATATAACTTCACCTCCTTAAAAGTTAAAGACTGTTATATTTTAAAAAAGGATTTTTTTTACGTACCACAACTGCTAACAATATCACAAATATCACTTTTGGATTTTTCATCAAAGCATATAACCAACATATCATCCAATATAAATCTTCTAGCTAGATTTGAAGTGACTTCTTTAATACCTTGTAACGCTAAAAATTTATCTACTTTGGGCATAAATGAATTGATATCAGGCAATTCCCCAGCTGATTTTGTTCGTTCTAATAATTTTATCCAATATTTCGGTGTTACTATTGTTTTTCTATCTATCAACATCTTGAGAATGATTTTTTCTTTCAGCGATTGAAAATTAATTGTTTCTGTAGTGAAGTGGGTACAGAGATCATTATATGAATGACTGTATGGAACTCCTAAAAGTTCTAAGATGTTTTCTACATAATTACTACTGGGGTTTACTATATTAATGTTATTCACTGTTTGCCATTTAGGATCTATAAAACTAAATATAAAAATATGTTACTATAAATAGTTGAGGATGTTCTTATTAACCATTTTTACCAATATTTACAAGTTTGAATGCCGAATAAGATAATATCTCTGTCGTTTAAGGCTGTCGGTTTCAAAACCCTAATTTTATTAACAAAAGTTCCTCTTTTTGAGCCCAAGTCCTCTATTGTAGCTCTTCCACTCTGACAAACATACACAAACTATTATGAATAATAAAGCATTTAAAAAATTCGTTTAGTACCTTTATTGTTAAAACTGCATGAGCCTTACTGACTGTTTTATCATCTAAAACAATGTGATTTTTCCCGTGTGTCCGTCTTCCAATAAAATAAGTATCGTTGAAACCAAGACATAATTCTTTACCTATAATTTGAATAATGCAATTTATATTTTAAGAGCAAGCAATAATTACAAGAATATGTTAGGATATACCTGTACTGACTTCCCTAAACAGAAAAACCATTATTGTTTACGTATATAATAATGAACATTATAAAAGAGATAGTGTCAAACTAATCCAGAATGAATTTGATGTTATCTACGAAGCATTTTAATAAATTCGTTTCAAACCCTAAAAACTAAATAAAATGCGCTCCAATTCAAAAAAATTTTGTTTTATTTTGCTTGTTAAATTATGTCATTGTTAGCTATGACAGTTGACGTTCGTTTAATTTCAATCATATTCTTTCATTCTTGATCATATATAATTTCCTCCAATATTTGATTTCTATTAATTATGGAGTGTAGAGGTACCTCTACACTCCATACTATTAATATAGAGATGCGCAATGACTTTTTTAAGTAATTGAGATGCGTGTAAAAAATTGTAAAAAGCATATCGATAAGAAACAAACCATAGCCAGAGTGATAAGTATAAAAGGACAGAAGGCAATGAACTGACAAGTACAAGGCAAGTACTTTTTGCCTTGAGGGGTTGAGGCAGTGCCTTCTATTAAAAGATCAGCCTCGGGCGAGATTTATGACGTCACGCTAGTTAGATATAACGGATTAATAAATATGTTGTAGAATACATGGAAAACATAATTATTCCTCAGACTTTTGGTTTGTATTTTAAAAATGATATAGTTTAAATGAAATATACATAATATACAGTTAATAACTACAACATATATACCTATTTATGGTAATAAATACTTTGGCAAATAAACTATGAACCATACAAACGCAGCAAATGTTTTACAATGTACAAATAATGTATAGGTACATAAGATAATGGGTAAAATGTAAATATATTTTAAATTTTGGGGTTTGAAAATCGATCTAATTTAACAAAAAACATTTAATATCTACTAATAGTGATGTATTATTATTTGCATTCACAAAATTTATATGTATATTTTGCAAGTATCAATGTTTGAAAAATTATATTTACAAATAATACAATATCATCTAAAAAAGGCGTCAGCGATGGCTATGAAATGAAGATCGCTGGCATTTTATATGTAAAATTATTCTAAAATTTTTGATTTTCTTGGGGGATTTTAGGTTCGGGAAAAACGCTGATTAAGTTTTCATTTTGGTTTTTCATTATTTTATTTGGTTTAAAAAAACGTTTCGGCTAACTATAGCCTTCACAGTGTTGTGTCATATGAGAAAAATAGTGTCGAATATAATCCAAAAAATTACATATACAATATAATTCACACCTCATAATGTTTACTGCAATTAATAAACTAATATAAACTTATCAAAAGATGACCACATATTTTTTAAAATTATTATTCTTAACACTAAAATTATCTACATTGACTATGGAGTACGCAGTAAACATTATGTGCGTGGTGTGAATATTTTATATGCAATTTTTGGATTATATTCGACACTATTTTTTTCATATGACACAACACTGATGGAGGCTATAATGTTAGCCGAACCGTTTTTTTTTAAACCAAATAAAAATAATGAAAAATCAATCAGCGTTTTTCCCGAACCTAAATTCCAAGAAAATCAAAAAATTTAGAATATTTAGAATCAAGGTTCAAGAATATCAAATTTTCCAAGATTGTAAAATTCTAGTTAATTATTTTATGTGTACAGTTATTTAGGGAATGTCATCGATGTTCATTTCCAAGCCAACTAGACGCCGATTTTTTTCGTTGATACGGTATAATTCTTACGTAAAATGTAAATAACATTAGACCAATTAAAACAAAGAAATATGAATTTCTTAGTATTTTTAGTAAAACCTTTATTAACTTAATTTTGTATTATGCAAATATACCAATTTTATTGTTATTTTATTCATATTGTATTCAGCCATCACTTAAATATTTGATATTAATTTGGTATTATAAATAATCAATACTATTCATTAAAAATTACTGAACAAATATATGTTATGCTTAACATACATTATATATTATCAAACAAAAACACATTCTTCTTTTAAACTGTATCAGTCTTGTCTTTACAAAAATCTTTTTTAAAATTTGAACTCAAAATATTAATCTTTTTCATGATCTCTAATACACATATTCTTTATTTTTCCCTAGTTCATAATACCTACTTACGTGTTTGAATCTATCGAAGCTGAACCAGCAACACTTGGAGTGGAGATTCCACAATATGAATAAAATAAACATAATTGTCCAGTTTTCATTAATACCATCATGGGAGAATATTATTTTTAAATTTATTAAAGATATTTTCAATAAAATTCTCTTGATTTATAACTCGTACCCACTTTTCTTGCTCTTCCGGACACTTTAGGCTGCCTAGTATAATAACTATCCTTTCCACCAGGAACACAACAAAGATGAGGCATAGCACCAATAACACACTCCACTTAAGCTTTATTGATGAATTGTTAGAGTCTTAAAAAACACACACAAAAATCACGATAAATAAAAAATTTATGGGCACTTTTAGGTTAAATCACTTGCACAACGTGTAATTTTTAAAATTTCTATTTTTTTATGCGAAACCGAGAGTGACCATATATCTGGTAGTAGTTTATGTCACTTCAACACCAAAATAATTAGTTTTTTGCACTACAATAATAAATAATACCAAAAATCAAAGAGTTAAAACCAAAAATCAACCGACAAAATATGAAACGGAATCTAACCCAGTGTTACCAGATTGGGCGATTTATCACAAATTGGGCGATTTTTCGATTGCTCTGGCGACCTGAATTTTAGGAAAATCGCAAGTCGCCATTTGGGCGATTTTGGCTAAGATACTTATGGCACCAGTCAATCAATGCATTGCCAATATTGACTTAATTCTTGTAATTATTATAGATATCGATTCCCGAAACGGCGAAAATCGCAATTACATATTAGTAGATCAATATCCGAAGATATCGATTTATATTGCTCATCTCTCAACTGGCGTTTGTGACTTCAGTTTAGTTCACGTTTAGTTCTCAGTAAGGTTCTCAGTATGTTCTCAGCACGTTTCTCTCTCTCCAATCTGCCATTTTTCCCCTTTGTGACGTCATCAAAGCACTTAAAATATTAGTCATATTTTGAATTGTGATAGGTATAATCTTTATAATGAACTAGTTGCTTGAGATTTTTGTAGGTTTAGTATAAAAATATTTGGCGACTTTTATTTTATTTTGGCGACTTTCGCCACCTCTAGTGGCGACCAGCTAAAATAATATCTGGCAACACTGATCTAACCCAATATCTAAGTATGTACAGCTGATGAAGTAAACAAAAGTCCGCCCGTAGGCTGATCTTTTAATAGAAGGCACTTAAATAAATAATGAAAACTTAATCAGCGTTTTTCCCGAACCTAAAAATCCCAAGAAAATCAAAAATTTTAGAATAATTTAACATATAAATTCATCGCTGACGCCTTTTTTTAGATAATATTGTATTATTTGTAAATATAATTTTTCGAACATTGATACTTGCAAAATATACATATAAATTTTGTGAATGCAAATAATAATACATCACTATTAGTAGATATTAAATGTTTTTGTTAAATTAGATCGATTTTCAAACCCCAAAATTTAAAATATATTTACATTTTACCCATTATCTTATGTACCTATACATTATTTGTACATTGTAAAACATTTGCTGCATTTGTATGGTTCATAGTTTATTTGCCAAAGTATTTATTACTATAAACAGGTATATATGTTGTAGTTATTAACTGTATATTATGTATATTTCATTTAAACTATATCATTTTTAAAATACAAACCAAAAATCTGAGGAATAATTATGTTTTCCATGTATTCTACAATATATTTATTAATCCGTTATATCTAACTAGCGTGACGTCATAAATCTCGCCCGCAGGCTGATCTTTTAATAGAAGGCACTGGATGGGCTATGAGGTAAGCCGTTTGACGGTTTTATCGATATTAAAAAAATTTTAAAGTTTGAAAACATGATGAAAACAATAAATTAAGCTCGATGCAATTATAACTTTTGGTCATCTTATCTTCATTTTTTTGTATTATACAGTTGAATATAAGGCATAAACAGAAAATATGGGATGGGATAGCATTTTTATACATTAAAAAAACACCTTTTAGATAAAACGGTTATATATTTTAACGTCAATTACAATAAAACCGCTGGATATACACGAATATATCCAATTTAAGAGCTAGCCGAAGCAGCCGGGGCTGCGGTTTTCTCTTCCTCCTTCTGCCTATCCTTCTTAAGAGGGCCCATGAAAGCAGCCTTATCTGCCGGAGTCTGGAAACGACCGTGACCGAATTTGGACGACGTATCGATGAATTTCAGGTTGATCTTCTCCAGAGACACACGTTTAGTATGGACCAACAAAGACTAGAAAAAAAATTAAATAAAAATAGACTTTACAGTTCCAGTCTATTAACTATAAACTAATATTTTAATGACAACACAGAAACTTTATTGATATTTTCATATATCTTACCTTTCTAAGCGTAATAACTCGTTTCTTGGGCCCCATACAGCATCCCTTAATCATCACAAAATCATTGTTCACTTCACCGTAGTGTGGAAAACCTCCCATAGGAGTGATAGTTTTTTCAGTTAAATCGTATTCAGTAGAAGCATTATTTTTGATAACCTGTAACAAGAAAAAATACTATTTCAGTATGATTCACACCAGTAGACCAAAAAGTATTTAAATCAATAAAAAATCAGTCCTATCATTCATAATCACAGATTAAGTTCATAATCCTTTTGGCTCTGGAAGTTTCTCATCATGAATACTATAGTTCAAAAAATAAAAAAAAAAAATAAACATGTAATAAACTTACTTTGCCATCCTTGGTGTGAATTCCCGCACCGATTCTGTAGATTTTCTTGTTCATTTCAGTACGGTGATGGTAACCCTTTTGACCAGCACGGGCTACAGTGAAGGACACACGAGACGGATGCCATGCTCCAATACAAGCAACTTTACGAAGACCTTTGTGTGTCTTACGGGGCAGTTTCTTTGTGTGCCACCTCGATGTAACACCTAAAAGAAAGAAAAAATACTTGTAAATCAATTAAAAATAAATAATAATTTTTAAGTGACGTTAAAATTAATCAGTAGGAAGGCAGCATGGATTTTATCCTCAGTAAAAAATCAGAAAAGCACAATCCACGTCTTTCATCATTATAAGTCTTTTCCTTAGATATTTATTATGTTTTCTTGCTTACCTTTGTATCCTTTACCCTTGGTTACACCAATGCAGTCAATCATCTCATCCTGGGCAAATACAGAGGCGATAGGGATGGGTTTTTCAAGATGTTCTCTAGCCCAGGCAACTTTATCAGCTACAGTTCCACCGTTAAGTTGGATTTCCATAATATGTGCCTTCTTCTGTCTTTGTTTCAGTAATTTCATCTAAAAGATTTAAAAAAGATGCTTAAAAAGATTTTTACAAAAAAAAAATATAAGAATAATTCTGATAGTTTTTTTGAATTGAATTTGAAACAGTATTATAAAATTATTACATTATGAAAAAGGACTGTGTGGAGTAGGTTTTGTCAGAGTGTCATTGTCCATGGACTACACAATGATAATGGAATATACTCCACGAGCCTCCCGAAGGGCTCATTTTCTATGACACTATAGTTAGAACCTCACAGAGTAAAGGCCCTAATTACCAACAGCTGGAGGGTAAGCTCCAAACTGACCGTGTCAAGAAATAATTCTATTATTATTTTAACTAAACTAACCTGTGTATGGGCAATAACTCTGACGACTTTACAGTACTTCACAATCTTCTTAAAATCACGTTCAATTGATTTTTTGCCCAAGTCATCAGACCATTTCTTTGAACTTTTGGTAAAAGCCTTCTTTTTGCTCTTGTACCTATTTTAATTCAGTGTTAAACATGCTGGAACAAAATAAGGGCATTGTCTCATAGTTTAGAGGAGACTTGAAGCCCTTTTGCTCACATGGCTCAATCGACTGAGTTTTAAACTTCAGATTCTTCAGCACAGTGAGTACATTTATAGCCTTCATGTAGCCAGTGGAAGGCTTTATTTATGATTAGTTGATTTATAAGATAATGTATATAATTATGAAAATAGGATAAAGGTCCTTTTTTATGTGAACTTACCAGTTCTTGTAAAAACGTCTGCGACAATCTTCAGACAAATGTTCAGCCCAAACGGTGGCCAAAGCACGTAGACCATGTGGAGTTTCGATATATCCAACAACGCCAACAACCACCATTGGTGGAGTTTCCAAAATTGTAACAGCCTCCACAATTTCTTTCTTGTTAATTTTTGAACCTGGACGATCGGCTTCACGTAACACGTGAGTCATACCGGCCTTATAACCGATGAAAGCGGTTAAATGAACGGGTTTGGATGGATCATCTTTAGGGAAAGCCTTAACTTTACCACGGTGTCTTTGGGATCTCTTTTTGGGGTAGAAGCCCATAGAACCATGTCGAGGAGCACTGAACTTTCTGTGCGACTGAAAATATAAATCAGATTATTATTCTGAACTTAACTTAAAAGCCGGTTTAATCAGAAATGGAGACAAATTATCAGACCGCCCTAGAGGATTATCCACATGAATATTCGGATAATAACCATAAACAAAGATAGCAAAAATCATCATATTAATTTAAAAATATTAATAGAGAGATATAATATTTGTATTCTATTAATATTATAAAATACTTTAAGAAAATTTCACTGGAGGATTATTTAAATAAAAAAGAAAATACGGAACACCTACCATCTTACAGGAATAAAAACGAAATGAACGAAATCGAACGTCAAAACGCCAGAAGTAAACTTCTTGTATTCTTGTCCTTGTCATAGATGTCGCTTCAAATGTTTGCCATAGAAAATAAAATACAGTAAATCATATATAATTTTACGTTGGATATATCGGATATATAATTTGAAATTATTAAAGAGGTGCATTTCCAGCAATCCCTGTTACAAGTTAATATGATGGTTAAGTAACTTAGGCAACTACAGATACGAAAAACTAAAAGAATCAGGTTATAATGTTCAATTGTCAAATAACGTACAAATTTAAAAAGTGTCACCAAATTCAAAATTTTAGTGTTTGTTTACTTCTTTGAAAACATTGTCCATAAATATGCTTCATTCATCTTCATTAAATATGGTTCGATTGCAAGAACTGAAGTTGTGGCAAGGTAATTACGATGAGCATACGCAGAAAAATAGTGATAAAAAAGTTGTTAGTGAAAAAGATGAAAAACATTTGAGCGAATCAATATTTAATACATCTATAGAAAAGGTAGATACAACAAATTGGGATAAACATGAGATTGTACCTTCTAAACCATTTGAAGAATTGTTAGAAGAAAAAATTGCTCAAGATTTACCGATTCAAATACGTAATAAGCCCAAGAGGCCGTTTTTGAAAAAAGGACAAGGGACCGCTAGGTTTAAAATGGCTCAGTATCCTACAAATATAAAACAAACCAGTAAGTTTAAAAAATAGTTAAAACTCTAGATGAAAGATTAAGAAGTATTTGCAACAGTCAATAAATTAAAACTAACAGTGTATTTGTTCTTATTATATTAAGGTAGACTGAAAGATCTAACTAACAGTGATAGAAAGGGTATCTTGAAGAGGGCTACAGTTCAAGTTCAGGAAAATATTAACTTAACACCTTTAACTGTACAGGAGTGTATGAAACCAAGAGGAACATGGAAAGCGGCATTTGAAAATGGTTCAACTGAGAAAAAGAACCAAGAAGAAGATAGATATGATAAATTTAGAAGAAACCTCTACTTCAAATCGGACGAAAACTTTAATAATCATTGTAAAACTGATAATGCATCGATTTTTAGCGGTTTAAATAAGTCTATTATGGAAAAAATCAAAGCTTATGCTTCAAAATCGTTCTCACCTAATGAAAAATTAATATCTAATGATATACCGTAAGTAACTTTTTAAAAAGTTTTGTAATTATTAAAAAAGCATTTTTTTATATATGTAACAGAGAAAATCTGTTAGATATAATGATACCGTATAAAAAGGATCCAGGAGAGCACATTCTAGAGGAACAAAAATCGGAGAGGGAGTTAAAAAACTTTGAAATGTTAGAGCAAAAAGTTGAAAATAGTTCTTTTTGTTCCACCAATACCAGTGTTATGAATCTTTTGGCTAGTACTCCTCAAAAAAATTATAGTACAACGAATATTACTGACAAAGGTACCTATTATTTGTTTATTTAATAGTTGAAATTTTTTGCTGATAATTTTTTTTTAAGAAATATTGTTTGTTAATGACAGACAGGAAAATATTCATTTGAAATTGGAGGAAATTGCCGAGAAAACTGACGTTTTGCGAAATTTTCTTATTAATTTGCACAAAATGGAATTGAATGATGCACATCAAAACTGCAACGATTTTAAAGGTAACTTTGTATAGGAAAACCTTTAAAAGTCGGTGTGCACGTCATGAAAATATAAATATTTTTTAAATGCACGTCACAATGTTGCCACTGCTGCTTTTTTTACTTAGACTTTATTTTACTTCAGTTTTTTAAGTTGAATTTGACAGTTTAAATCAGTTTCATAATATATTTTCCTACTTTTGTGCTTAGGCGTAAAAGTGCTTCACTTTTATGCCTAGGTGTTGACGTTTTTATATTGTCAATCGCGTCGCAAAAATGAATACTTTTGTGAAGTTTAAAAATAAAACACTTTTTTTAAATTGATATTTCAAGATGTTAGTGCACATCGTTCAAGCAAGATGACCTCCAGAGGAACTAGTTTTTCTGACGAAGAGACGAGATGGTCATCGAGATCGCCCAGTGTGGTGGACAATTATACCGAATATGACAGTACCTGTCAAAGCGAGAGTGTCACAAGAATCGACGCGGGCGTCAACACTAGTTTTGACAGTTTTAAGTTGGACGATACTGTCAAAAATGACGAACCCTGTACAGAATGCGAGGTTTTAAAGTACTGCTTATTTTACGAAAGATTTTATTTACTATAGTTAGTCAGTCATATTTAATATTCTTTGTTGTTTTGTTATGATGTGTCATCATTTTGCTCTGCGAAATTTTTTTTAAATGGTTTGGTCTCTTTCTTTGATCTGTGGTCATGAAATTGGCTACTTTCATTTGTCCAATTTGTCTGATTGAGAAATTGGAGTATTTTGTCAGAAGAAGTTACCACATACATATTTTGAAATACAGTATGATCGAAAAAAAAAACACGACGTCATAGATGACTGAGGAATCACAATCGATGATAGCGAGGTCAATCTCTAGACAAATTTATTTCCAAAAATTGTTTTTTTTTCGAATTTTAAACTACATATACCATTTAAAAATAAATTTTTATCAATATAAAAATAAATTACAACTGTATTAAGGCCAACAGGCGATAAGTGCCGTTAAAAAATAAAGAAGAGTACGGGCCAAGTAAAAGACGTCTAGGGCTTGACCTCGCCAAAATTACCATCGATTGTCATTCCCCAGCCGTCTATGACGCCGTTTTTTTTCTCGATCATATGGTATTTTAGTAGTTTTACTAGCCTATAAGATTTTTTTATGGTATTCCAGATCAAAACTTTTACAAAAAACAAAAAGTTTTAATAATCTTCAGACAGAGCATGAGAAATTAAAAAAAGAACTAAACGAGTTAGATGGAAAATATAATAATATAAAAAAAGAAATGAATAATAATGAAAAAAAGTATACAGAACAAGTGGCAAAACTAGAGGAAGAGATGACTAGTGAGCGAAAAAAATATTTAAAAGAGAAAAACTATTTTGAAAAGTAAGATTTACTGATTAATTTGATTATTATGATAGTAATGATAAATGCATGTATAGGGTGTCCCACTTTCGTGTGTTTTATGGGGTTTTTCGTTTATGAGTACAGATACAAAGATGCGGTTTTTATATCACTGTGCTACTTTTTTTATTAAACCCTAAAGATGCTACACATACAGGGTGAGTCTTAAATAAGTGCAAATATTTTCAGGGCTGGTAGATCTCGATAAAAGAAACATATTTTCGCTTTACCATTTTTCAGATAAGTCCAAAATAACCCAGTTATTTAAGTTTAAAAATTAAAACAAAATTGATTTTTTTTTTCAAAAAAATTTGAGACACCGGATTTTTCTGTATTTGTATCCCTTTTGTTGCCGTAACCATAGAATAAAGCCGTAACTATGGTAAATTAGAGATTAAGAAATTATACCGTGGGAAAATTTGCGGTGAACAGGCAGTTCTAAAAAGTTTTCGAAAAATATACAGAGAAATTTAAAAGAAATTGCACAATTTTCAACATCTTGTTTTAGCGGAAAAAACCCTCAGACGTGTTCCTGGGGTCGAAATATACCACCCCTGAAAATATTTGCACTTATTTAAGACTCACCCTGTATATTTCTCCTAGCCCCCTTGGTTTTTGAAATACAGGGTGAATTTGAAAATGTTGCAATTTTTCTATCCCCTTCGTATCTTGGTTATCTTATAACTTATCAAAAAGGTGAAAACTGAGTCCCGTAGAATTTTTCACATAGAATCCAGTGGCGTAACAAGATTTTTGCTGCGACCTGTCATTTTTGAAATATGACCCAAACTTATGTTTTTTTTTTTAAATGGGATGCCCTGTATATTATTTTTTTATTTTATTTGCCTTATTACAAGCTTTCTAAAAATACAACATACTCTACGGGGCGCATCTCAAAAGTGGCCCACCCCTATAACTTTTTTATTTTTTCAAATAAAACAAGATTTGGTATGTTAGTATATGACATAAATTAGGATTGATTGATGTATTCAATTGTTTTCGGTCACTTCCTGTTTCACCGGAAATGACAACACAATACAATTTTTTATTTTTAAATGGCACCCTCGGTATTTTTTACTTTATCAGATAGAAAATGGCACTCTGAATAGAACAACTTTTTATATGAAATTGTAACATGAGGGTTACAATCAGGTTAAAGAAGACTAGGACAAATCTGTGAGTAACATCTTTAGTTTAATAAAAAAGTAATACAGTGATGTGAAAACCGCATCTTTGTACCTCAACTCATAAGCGAGAAACCCTGCAAAACACACGAAAATGGAACACCCTGTACATTTTTATTGTTTTAGTTATATAAAAGACGCACAGAATAGACCGTCTAAAAAAGAACGTGAAGAAATTAGTCAGTTAAAACAAGAATTGGCCGATGCAAAAGAATTGTTAAAATTAAAAGATACCAAATATGGAGCCTCACAGGCCAGGCTTAGGACTCAAGTGAAACAACAAGAAAAAGAGCTAACTGAACTTAAAGCTACTGTGGAGAAACTACATAAAGAAAACGCAAAATTGAGGTTAGTTTAGTGTTTTCTAATGTTGTTTCTACAGGGTGGTCCGAATTGGATTCGGGAAACTTGGGTACGATATTCTCAGATAAAAATAAATAAAAAAGTTTGTATAGATTTATATCCTAAAATGTTTCTTTTCCGAGATACAGGGTGTAGAAGTTTCATTTTTATTTTGATTTTTTCCAAATAATCTATGAACTAACGTCGATATTTGGATAAAAATTGATGTCTGATGATGAACCCTGTATCTCCGAAACGAAGCATTTTAGGACATAAATTTACACGAACCTTTTTACTTATTTTTATCTGCAGAATATGCTGCCGAAGCTTCCCGAATACAATTCGGACCACCCTGTATAGCATTTTTTTGTGATTTTTGCATTATAACATTTAGTTCGAACCAGAAGTACATGCGTCGGCCTGCCGAAGTTAAAATGCTTCAAGAAATCAACAAAAACCTGTCAAAATTGACAGAAGAAACCTTTAAAAAGAAGGTAGAAAAATCTGGCAAAGGCAATGGTGACGAGAAACAAAATGTAGTATCTGATATCAGCATCCAAGGAAGTGAAACAATTAAAACTACACCAAAAGTATAACGCGATCGAGAAAAAAACGGCGTCAAGTTAGCTTGGAAACGACGTATACATACCAAGCTAACTCGACACCGTTTTTTTTTCGAATCATACGGTAAATCAGTGAGTGTGATTTATTTAAAAATGTGTTTATTTTAGGAAACAGAAGAGAAGTCTGTTACAACGCGTTCTAGTAGAAATTCATTAAAGAATGACAGTGTGGAGTTAAATTTTATAAATTACGATACTGTTTCTATTGAAAAACAATACGAGCATAAGTTTGGCAATGTCGCAAGTCCCAGAAATACTAATTGTTCTGCAACATTAGGTAGAAACAAAAATATTTTTATTAAATTTATTCAAATCTTATATAGCCGTGATCACTCCAACTGTGTGGTCTGTATTTTAATGCATACTACAGAGATAAATATAAATGACCGGTTGGCAGACAGAGAGACAAAATAAAAAGCGGCCTATAGTGTTGCCGGTGTAGAAAAAAAAATTAAAAACTTTCGTGTATACTACTGAAATGAAGATAATATGTCTAAGCTAAATATAATTTATTACAGCTGTAGTAAAATGACTAACTAATTGTAAAAAATAAAGCTCCAACTCTAGATGCAACCATTTTTCATAAACGCCTACTTGTGCGGTTTGAAATTTTGAAGCAAAATCTGGCAATTCCGCATAGAAGAAATATATCAACCCAAGTTTTATCTCTTTTTAATACTTTGATTTTCCATTAAATTATCTCCATCGCTGTCTTACACGTTAAATTCCAGACCATGCTTCTACGGTGACCAAATCTGTATACAGGGTGCTACAAATTTGAGGTACGAGCATTGGTATCTCGGAAACCGTAATAGATACGAAGATGGTTAAATTGGGGCAAGTTGCGCTTTCGGATGTTCACCAAGATGCCATCGAAAAAGTTTTAAAAATTTCAAGGATTGGTGAGTGTTTTGGAAAAAACGAATTTTTTTAAAAATCAATTTTATTTTTTCCTGTTGTTATTTTTTAGAAAATCAAAAGACTAATTACACATTCTCGTGGCCACTTTATTAGGGCTATCGGATAGTATTTTTAGATTTTCAAATTAGCTGATAATTTGTGAGATACAGTGGCCAACTTATTTTTTTTTTAAATACGGACATGCATTTTTTATTTTATGTTTTGAATCTCTATTCTCCTTATTCAATGTTAATTAGTGATTAGTTATTATTGCGATGAATATAATCAGACTAAATAATTTACAAAACCAGAGTCGGACTTGAAATTCTTTTAAATAATAATTAAATAGTTTTGTTGTTGTTAAAACAAAAAAAAAAAGTATAAAGTGTGACATATCATTGTATTCAGGAGAGTGAGTTCTTTCAAAACGTGAAATAAAAAATGCAGGTCAGTATTTAAAAAATTAAGTTGGCCTGTTTATCTCACAAATTATCAGCTAATTTAAAAATCTAAAAATACTATCAGATAGGCCTAATAAAGTGGCCGTGAGAATGTGCAACTAGTTTTTTGATTTTCTAAAAAATAACGACAGGGAAAAATAAAATTGATTTTCAAAAAAATCCGTTTTCCCAAAAAACTCAGCAGTCCTTGAAATTTTTAAAACTTTTCTGATGGTAATTTAAAGCGCAAGTTTGCCCCAATTTAACCATCTTCGTATCTATTACTGTTTCCGAGATACCAATGCTCTTATACCTCGAATCTGTAGCACCCTGTATACATAATTTTAGATAAGTCTGAGAATGTTCTTCCTGATGGTTCCATTGAAATAAGCTACTCTAACGGCAATTTAAAAACTATATCTTCCGATGGTCAGTTAATAAAAATGAAATATTTTAACGGCGATACCAAGGAGACTGATTTAAAAAACAATATTATCAAGTACGATCCTGTATGATCAAAATTAAAAAAATTATAACATATTGAACTTATTTCTAGGTACCACTACGCCTCGACTAACTCTTTACATACACAATATCCGGATGGATCAGAATTACTGGAATATTCAGAGTAACGTCATCTAAAGGCTCACCTACACGTAACGTTTTAACTGTTCAGTCAAAAAGTATTAGGTAAAACGTTGAATCAAAACAATCAATTCAACAATCAAAAGTCGGCGTCATTTTTACTATTCTTAGTAAAAACTAGTGATGGGATAACTCGAGCGAAAATTCGCTCGAGACCCGATTTTTGAAATAACCGACATCGCTCGATTATGAACGAGCAATGCAAGTGACGAGTACCAAGCGACGAACGCAAGCGATCCTAGAATGAAATAAATTGAAATCCGATTTTAATGTGACCTACTCGATAAAAAGCCGAGTTAATTTTCTATATACATTGCAGGTAGCAAATTTATACGACGCCGTATAAACCGGGTGCCTCTCAAAAGTGGCTTACTCCTATTACTTTTTTATTTTTTTAGATAAAAAATCAGATTTGGTATGTTAGTATATAACATAAATTAATATTGATTGACGTATTCATTTGTTTTCTGTCACTTCTGTTTCACCGGAAATGACTACAATTTTTGATTTTTAAACGGCACCCTCGGTATTTTCTTACTTTATTTGATAGAAAATGACATTCTAAATAGAATGACGTATCATATGTCAACTTTTGACGTATTCGCTTAAAAACAACTTGTATTTTAAATTTCAATCTAGAGTGCCATGGCTGCTTTAAAAACACTAATTTTTAATCAAGGAGCCTTGGAAAAATAGATTTGATCGTCTAATGTTTTAGTGTCTTGCCCTGGCCAGTTAAAAGATGCCCAAATCGTATTTTTGATCATATCTCAATTTTTTTCAAATGGAACGAGGGTGGATCATTAGCATATTTCGAAAAAGAATTTTTTTACGAATAATTTGATACCAGACACTTGGTACTTCGAGTCAAATTGTCGTTATGAACCGCATGTTACAATTTCAAATAAACCACATGCGAAAATGTCAAAAGTTGACATGTTATATGTCATTCTATTCAGAGTGTCATTTTCTACCGAATAAAGTAAAAAAATACCGAGGGTGCGATTTAAAAATCAAAAGTTGCAGTCATTTCCGGTGAAACCGGAAGTGACCGAAAACAATTGAATATGTCAATCAATCCTAATTTATGTCATATATTAACATACCAAATCTCGTTGTTTTATCTGAAAAAATAAAAAAGTTATAGGGGGTGATCCACTTTTGAGACGCACCCGGTATATTTATCCGTTGCGTATCTGAGAGACAAAATTTTACGACCTACATCGACAATGCATCGAAATAAACTAAATCAGGAATCAGGCGATCAAGCGAATCGCTCGCCGCTTACTACTTGCCGTTCATTACCGAAAGAATATGTGCGCACGCAGCTTACTGCTTGGCGCTTGGCGTTAACGAGTACTTACAACATGCGACGGACAAAAAACCGTATTTTTAAATACGAGCGATATTTCGCTCGAGTGATCACTCGGTTATTGCAATCGCTTGATACTCGAGTACTCGATTATTGAAATTAATCGGTTTTTCCCATCACTAGTAAAAACATCGTAAAAACCATAGAAACGAAACAGTCTTCACGTCTTCAACGTCAAAAATAATTTCAAAGATATAATATATGTATGTATATTAACTAAAATGATATCATCATTATCATCATCATTTTCAGCTTATTCAACCATTTCTAATTATGGTGAAGCCTCCCTCACATATTTAGATACTCTCTTTGTAGTTTGCCAATTGGTTGTCTATTGTTGGCTATGCGGGCTCAAGTTATCCCTGCTGATTTCCTAATATCATGGTCCCATCTCAGGTTTGGTCTTCTTCTAGGTCTCTTAATTCCTCGTGGGTACCATCACCATGCTGTAATTTTTGGGGTCCATCTGTTGTCCGTTCTTCTTGGCAGGCGTCCTGCTCATTGCCACTTGAGGGATTTGATTCTGTGGATATCTATTACCTGGGTTTTTTGTTGTACCCACTTGTTTTTTTTTGACGGTCTTTTTTTGTCATATTTTGTTCCATTGGGCATTGTGTAACCTGCAGTTTCCTTACTTTTACACCTTTTATGGTTTTTCTTGGATATTCCCAGCATATTTCATTCTATTGAGCATTATGCGACCTGCAGTTTTCTTATAATGTCCGTTTTGAGTGTCCAGATTTTGTATGCATAGGTCCATGACTGGTAGTACACATTGGTTAGGGTTATCACACATCTTATATGGTTAAAAGATATTTTCCATCTATTTTTAATCCTTTGTTGGTCCAATCCAGTTGACGGAAGATTTCTTCCAGTGTTGCTGTAAACAGCTTTGGGGATATCGCATCTCCTTGTCTTACTCCTTTACCAGTTGGTCTACTAGTCTTTAATGCGTCTTACCCGACAGGTAAAACGTTACGTGTAGGCAGAGCTTTAAAATAAATCACAAATTCGATTCAAACTAACCCAAATTTTATATAATTTTTCAGAGGACAAAAATGTAAGAAGTATCCCGATGGTAAAACAGAAGTTAGCTATTCGGATGGTTCCATCAGGCTGATTTATCCGGATGGTACCGAGGAACAACAATTTCCAGACGGCCGACGAACTGTCAAACACGACAATGGAGAGCAGATTATATTTTTGCCAAACGGTCAAAAAGAAGTGCACAATCAAAACTACAAAGTTAGTAATCTGTTATTATCTATAGTCCGTTTCATTAAAGTTGACGATTCAAGGTCAGTGGTACCACAGATTATACAGATTATAAACTTTGTTTTTTCTTTATTGTTTTTCGTGGTTCCAATTTTCGGAATCGGGCACTAGTTAGGTTACTAGTTTGCGCACATAGCACGCCCACTTATGGCCTCTAAAATTGTGCACAGCGCCTGACCGGCACAGTTATTAGAGAGATATCGGAAAACCGAATAGCGTCATGCAGTATTTACGCGTACCATGGTTACGATATGCGCGAGTCAATTTTTTTTTCAAACACCCGCTAATAACGTTACCGCCTGACGTAATTTGCGGATCAATTACACCAAGCGCTATTTCTAAATAACGTTTAAAAATTGCTTAAATGGGCATGTGCGGGTATTTGACAACCGGGGCCGGCCGGCGAGATCTTTTATTTTAGGTTATGTTTGAATTGTTTTGAATTATTACTTTAGATTTATTAGGTAATTTGATATTTAAGTAGCTGGGATTAGTTTTAATTAAATAAATATGGCCCAAAATATGGATTCCACCTCTTCCAATATTAAAGAACCTATAAAGAGGCTTAGGTTTACAGCAGATGACGACTTAGCCCTTCTAAGAGAATTTTTTGCTTGTTGCCCTAAACCCACTGGCAGACGTTGAACAATAAAGCACTGGAAATAAGCACTTTAGCCCTTTAGTTTTAAAATACCTAGTAAACAAAACAATTTCAAAGTTTTAAATTCAAAGTTAGGTTAAGTTTAAATAGCGGACGCGACGCGAACAGAATTCTTTCCGATCCGATAACTATAAATGAAGAGAGTTAATACCACCTCATACGGTAAAGTCGGCCTAAAACACGTGGCCTTATTAACGTCCATGCACGCTATTCGGTTTAGCGATTTCTCTATTACGCTGTAAATTATTCTTTACGTCTACGTATACGTGCCAGGAGCGGCCGACTCGACCGTATGCCGTTGTTCTCTAATACCACCTCACGTAAAGGAAATAACACCTGGCCTTATTAACGTCCATGCACGCTATTCGGTTTAGCGATATCTCTCTATTACGCTGTTTATTGTTATTTTACGCGAGTTTATTATTGCGCACAGGAAATTTTACTCGTTTGCACATCGTCATAAAAAACAATTTTCGTACCACGAATTAGGGATAAGATTTTTATCTGTATACATATAGTATACCTAATCTGTGGTGGTACTGTCTGATTGTGCTTGCATTAGTTAATTATTTATAAAAATATGTACTAAATATTTATTTATTGTCTGTTTATCACAGAGACGGGAATATCCAGATGGTACAGTGAGAACTCTGTACAAAGATGGTACTGTTGAAACGGTGTATTCTAATGGAAGAGTGAGGTTAAAGGATTCTGATGGGGTATTGGTTATGGATACTTACAAGAAATAAGTCGATACCAAGAAATAAGTCGATAGTTTGTGATTTGAGCAAGAATGTATTTATTAATTATTGTAAATTTTGCAATATTGTTAAGGCATGTACATAAATAGGATAACGAAGACAAAAAATGAGATTATTTATTTATTTCGACAAATAAAGATTACTTTTATATTGAATTGTAGTTTTAATTACTTAATTAATTAATTTTTGCACAGACCCTTGCACTAAAGATAACGATTCAATGTCAATAATATTTAATAAGACTTACCAAATGTACTAAGCAATAATTTTGGGGAAAAAAACATATATTTCGTTTCTTACGCAGCCTCTTGGTATTCCTTAACTAAAAACCTACACGATAAAAAGGAAATGTTTTTTAAGTCGCTCAATTAAAATGTACTAAATACAGTAACAAATTTTTAGGTAATCACATCCCTTGGGTTAACTGTCATGTTTCGTTCATCACCGCGACATTATAGATGTGTCCCCATTTCTTGATCTGTAACCCTCATCATACAGTTTCAATATTTTAGGGATTAAAAATATATATTTCATTTCTTAAATGAACTCTAAGTATTCCTTAACTAAAAACCTACGCGATGAATGTTGAAAACCCTTTTCAGATCGTTCAAACTGCTTAAAATATACAACTGTAACACGATTTTTTTTGTATTAAAATGTACTAAACATAGTACAAAATTTTTAAGTAAATCACATCCATTGAATTAACTGTTATGTTTCAGGACCCGTACGCATCTTATATACACAGGAGATATGTAACCATTAGGTACCAGTAAAAAGTAAAACTACTGATCAGATAATTAACTAAAATTTTAAAAATCAGTAACTATCAATAAAAAAATAATTTTATACTAAATTTGTTATTCATGTTCAGGCTAAGCTCTATTTCTATGTTTTATTATTTATCTACGTACCAATAAAAAACAAAGTTAATGTTTCCGGTTTAAATTGCTAAACAAAGATATTACAAGACAATTGATATGCGCGAGGTACAATACAGATAAGCTAAATATGCCAAAATAGCTGAATTGGGTAAATAAAAATATTCCATTATGTTTTATATAGTTGCATTCATTGAAAAATATATTGATAGTAAACCTATACTATTTAGGCACCGAATGAACGAAAAAAAAACGACGTCAAAGACGGCTGGGAATGACAATCGATGATAATTTTAGCAAGGTCAATCTCTAGACGTTATTTACTAAAAATTCTCATAAAACTCGTCAAAAATTAAAGTAATTAGTATAGCCAACTGGCAGTAAGCGTCATTAGTAAAGAAGAGCACGGGCCAAGCAATGACGTATAGAGCTTGATCTCGCCAAATTATCATCGATTGTCGTTCCCCAGCCATCTTTGACGCCCTTTTTTTTCGGTCGTAAGATATTTAATTTAATAAGAAGGATACCTAAATCATAACATAAAAAATAAATACAATATCACCGAAAAAAAAAGGTGTAAGAGTTGGTTTGGAAATGACGATGGCTGTAATTTTTTTATATCAATGACGCTGGAAGCGATGACGTTCAAAGCTAACTTGAGACAGTTTTTTTCGATCTGTGCTAGGTATTAGTCTTCTATAAAGGTGATTCTTTGGTGAATGGCTAATTTCCTTGTGAGAGATTCAAATTTCAGTTGTGGCAAAGTAACATTGAATTTGTTTTTTTTGCTCATACAATGCAAATGTATTAATAAAATAAATAATTATAATAATCACTGTATATTTGTAATAATTATAACATGTGTAATGATGTAAATAAATGTAATATAATATAAATATACATAGAGCTATTAAGGACACGTTAGTTTATTATCAAAAATATAAGGAGCCTACGTGAATACATATTAAAAACTAACTATTAGATAATATTCACTATTTCCTATATAAATAAATAACAAGACGGAATTGGTTTAAAATTTAAATTCATGGCCGATATGAGATTTTCGTTATTTACATATAAGTTCACAATATCTATAAGAGCCACCTCCATGTACGGTATTGTGGTATTTTTACTATTAACGCTTTATAGAAATAGTTTGATTTTTCTTCCGTTTATGTTTTTTTTTATAAAAAAATATCAAATATTATGAATTCATTCGGGTTTAACATTTTATTTTTTGTAGCAATTTTTACTAAAGTCGCTAAAAGTTATCCTTTGCAATATGACGAAGAATTTGATGATTCCATGCCTGATCTATCCTATTTGGGACACAGGGTGTTCAAGTAAGTAAATATAATATTTCTACCAGTGGCGGTACTGCAAGGTTTAAAATATGGGGGTGCACAACTTTATAAAATAAAAAAATTGGTCAAGTGCGAGTCGGAGTCGCACTTGACCAAATAAGGGTTCCGTACCATTCGAAAATAAAGACATAATTTAAAATTCCGTTACAATACTGAAATGGATTGGAGTTTTGTGATTACAGTGATATATAATTTATATGGTTTTGTAACAAATTGCTCGCTATTTAATGACAAATGCTGAAGCTCTGTAACCTTAATCAAGCCTTAATCAAAGCACGTGTGTTTGTAATTTTGGGTGTGGCTTAACACGACCAGATCGGGCTAAGCCTTATACACCTTAACTAGGATTCGAACCTGCCTTACTACGGCTCCAACGTCATAGCAGCGTAAAGTCCTAACGCTTTAACCATGCGACCACCGAGGACTTGAAAGATTCTATGTAAAATTCTTACTTAAAAGATAATGTTTAGTGAAAGTACTTTTTAATTTATAAACATTTATTTAATTCTGCTTTTAGTATTTGTTCTTATAGCGACAACATAGATACAATATCTGTGAAAATTTCAACTGTCTAGCTATAACGGTTTATAAGATAGGCCTTTGTGACAGACAGACGGACAGCGAAGTCTTAGTAATAGGGTTCCCGTTTTTAGCCTTTGGGTACGGAACCCTAAGTACGGTTTCAATCGACCCATAATTAAGGAAAATCCTGATGATTTTGTCCATTTTGAGGCATCGGTTCGAAACGTCGAGAACGTCATCGTGTGTCCGTCCCCAATTACATTTTCCTTCAATATCAAATCCTTAGTCCCACCCTGATGAAGATAACGAAACGTCGTCTCCAACATTGCAGGATGGGACCGTATGCACCATCGCTCACATAGCCTACCCACCAAATTTAGTCGCAATTGGACGGTATCAATTTTTGACGTTTCTCACGTCAAAAGTAACTGTCACAGTGACACGTGTCGTACACGGTCAAGTGGGTCTTGGTCCAATCTATCGACATACCAGATTTCATTTAAATCGGGCGATGAAACATGAAAAAAGTATGAAAACATGAAAAAAATATATAAAGATCATAAAAAAAATTGATTGATATTTAGAAAATGTCAATCATATCCATACGAGTTATGACAAATGCCTGTTTAAGATTTTATTATTCTAATGTATTTTCGATTGTTGTTTTAGAGAACCAAGTGTCGAAACAGGAAAACTAGTTGAAACCTGGAACGCAACGTCTGATATAAATCCAGAAGAATTGGGGGAATATGCCGAAGGAGATATTCGGTTTCCCAAAGTAGCTAGGAATGGAATGATCGCAGAAACTTTGAGGTCCTACCAGAAAATTCTAATCCCTAGAGTATAAGCGTTGATTGAATAAATAAGAAGATGCGCAACCTTATGGACGATTTCGCGGCACAAAACATGTCCGAGACGTAGCTGGCGTTACCGTCAGCCTGTCCGAGATTTAGTTTAGCTCTGCGCCGCTGTGCGCTGATGCTCGTTTATAGCGCGGAGGATAAAGAATACTGTACCGTAGTTCTGCTTTCAGTCGACAGAGTGAGTGGTTGTTGTCGGAGATGGTGTTGCCAGAACTACTGATAAATCCGTAGATTTACGGATTTTGGGTACAGTACGTTACTAATACGGATTTTCTATCATTAAACAATTTAATATAATATTATATGATTAAACAAAGAACGGCGCGAGAGTTGGCTTGAAAATGAAGATCGCTGTTATCTCATATGTAAAATATTATGGTAAACGTCGATAATTGCCATTTCCAAGCCAACTAAACGACTTTTTTCGATCATACGACATATTCAGTACCTTTCAGAATTTTTATTTTTGTTGTTTATTCTAAGTTTAACACGAATAAATTTTCAATACATAAACGCGAATTTTTCATCCAAAGATATTTTTGTCAAACGTATTATAGATATTAATATGGCAACACTGTCGCTTTCAGTTCCACACCGTCTTCGATATGTTTTTTGCGTTGGCCGCACAATGAGTGGTGGCTCCACCATACAGCACTTGATACATAAGAGGAAATCAAATCTGCCTTGTCACGAATTCGCCCATTAGGTTGGGTATCAACGGTATAAGTTTTTATTCAGAAACCATCTTGATTTGACTATTTATTTAGTCACTTATATTTTTATCGTTTATTTTAGATGGAAAGATGGTATAATTCCATACAAAATTGACGGATTCTTTGACATTGACAGTTTGAACAGCATCAAACGAGCCATGGATATATACCACAAATATACTTGTATTAAGTAAGTATTCGTTCATAAATTACGCGTGGCATTTTTGATGATTTTTCGTACCCCCCTCTTAGGCAAAAATTTTAAGTGCAAATAATTAATACTTTTTATTTAGATTTCGTAAAAAAAATGACGACGACGATGACTACGTTTCGATAGTAAACTCGAATACAGGGTGTTGGTCCAGCGTGGGTCGTATCGGTGGAAAGCAGGAGGTGAATTTGCAAAGCCCTGCGTGTACTTCCAGGGTTGGGACGCCTATGCACGAACTGATGCACGCCGCTGGATTTTTGCACGAGCAAAATCGGTTCGAAAGGGACGATTTTGTCGATATTGCCTGGTCGAACATAAGAAAAGGTAAGTAAGGGATAGTACAATGGACGTGATTGGCTAAAATGTTTGTACAATATTTAGTACATTGTTTAATGAGTTAAGGAAGACCTAGAGTTTGAGTATGAAACGAAATATATATTTTTATAATTAAAAAAAATAAAATCTAAAATTATTACCTTAGTACAATTATTAAGTTCATTTTCAAGATGTACTGTAGATTGTATGGGATGGGGGAAATCACCGCGACATTATAGATCTATTGTGCCCTTTTGTGTTATAACTCATCATACAGTTTCAGGGTTTTGATAAAAGCCAGTATCTGAGACGGTTTTACGGAGGTTAGTATTCCATCCCCGATATCAATCGTACCAAAGTTTATTATACAGGGTGGTTCGAACTGTATTCCGGAAACTTCGGCAGCATATTCTGCAGATAAAAATTTGTAAAAAGGTCCGTATAAATGTATGTCCTAAAATGCTTAGTTCCGGAGATACAGGGTGTAGAAGTTTAATTTTTATTTCGATATATCGAAATATAGAGGAGACTCGAAGAGTGTCCTGTTAAAAACCCCGTGACAAACTGAAAATTGTTTTTACTTAAATCAAGGAAAATATTTGATTTTTCTCGGTCGTAAGTTCTGAGAAATTTCTGCGAGTGTCTTAGACAGTTGGAGGGTTCCCATTCCAGGTTCTTGAATTCCGCTTTAACTTGATTTCCAAAACGGTTCTGGTCCAGTTAGAGGAGTGTTCGCTTCTTTTCTAGTTAGATCGTTTACATGCATACATAGCCGAATCTATTAAAATAAACTTATTTTTCCATCTAGGTCACGAGAGCAATTTTGACAAAGCTGACTCGTCCACGACTACAGGCTATGGAGTACCGTACGACTTCAGATCGGTGATGCACTATTCCGGGACAGCTTTTTCCACAAATGGAAAGCCCACCATCATTCCAAAGGTACTAGTAAAATATATAGTCAATTTTTTACACTGTCTTCTAACAAACATGTATAAACTTTTCACGTAGGATTCATCAAAAACAGAAAAAATGGGTCAACGTGAGGGCTTTAGTAAAGGAGATATAACAAAACTGAATCAAATGTATAAATGTCCAGATAAAACAGCGTCCATAACAGGAAATAGCCAGTCTACTAACAGTGGAACTGAAAGCCATGAGATTAGCCAAGTTGAAAATAAAGACAGTTCAAATCCTTTGGTGAATTTAGCGCAAGGAATAATTCAAGCGCTCTTTCATAAATAACTATTATATTAATTTTTATAGTTTATACAAACGGTACAAGTGGGTAATAGTGTTTGAAGTTTTTCTTATACAGGGTGATTATTCCTTATCACAAATAAAGGTTAGTGGTGTCAAAGAATACCAGATAATCTACTGAAACATCTAACGTAATATGTGTATTATATGTATAGTTAATTAGCAGTGAATAATTATTCACTTATTTCTCTCGATTTTTTATCGAAATGTACCACACGCTGTACAATTAACTATTTTACAGTCTTTTTCTGGAATTCACAGTACTGTCATTGTTAATTTAGGTTCTGCCACACAATTTCCTTCTAGATTTACTACCTCTGAACAAAACCAATTGTATAATAAATAACATAAAATAAGCTCAGAAAAGCACAAAAAAATCCGCAAAATTTCAAATCAAATTTATTTAAATGTGTCATTTTAAACGTTGTACTGTAAAACTGTGAATATACAGGGTTATACACCTCATTCGAGACGGAGTATTGTAGCCACACGATTATATTTTTAAAATTATGAGTGATTGTATCGTTGGAGGACTACCAAAGCTACAATTTAAAATTATTTTCAAAAGGTACAGAGTATAACAAATAAATAAAAATATCAAAGTTGTATTTTTTAAATGGTACCCTGCATATTATTACATTTTTAGTTTCTACGATTAAAATTAAGGTTTGCCGCACTTTAATATTACCGTTTTTTTGAAATTACGATTTTGTGATAATATCGTAACAATTATAAGGCTTTAATTTCTCTAGACGTATTTAAGTTTTTAAAACTAAATATTGAAATGAAAATTTTCTATTTACCAAATTTTGTGTTGCAATAATAAAAATAATACTACCTTATACAGAGTATCTAAAAATTTATTTTAAATAATTACTAACTTTAAATGGCAATAACTTGTTTAATTTAACTGGAACACCCTGTATATTGTACGAGAATCAGATGCTTAATTTAATCGACTATCTATTTATTTAATATGTCTATCAAATTGTATTATATCATTTTTTACCTATCTCTTAAAGTTTTCGTAGAAAATGAATTTTCTTATAATTTAGACCCCATTTATCAATATACCCATGGAATATGTATTGACATTTTAGATTATTTTTAAAGATGTAACAAATTTTCCAAATGTACAGATACTAATATTGTCGATATAGTTCGCTCATTTCATTAAAAAATTGTGTATTTTGGGTGGTATTTCACAAAATTTGCAGGCTATTGAGGAAACAGAAAATGTACAGATTACAGAAATAAGTTGAAAATAATATTTATATTAAAACAGCATTATATGACACCTTTTTAAACAATGCATGCCCTTCAAACCTTCAATTTAATAGCTGTTAGTAAGAAGTTTCACTTCAAATATGCGCACATAGTGCACACACTGTTTACAAGAACATAACAATAAAAACAACAATACAGACTTAGTAATTTAATTTCACATAATAAAAAATTCTTATTAAATTAATATACATTACAAAACTAATGATTTCTAGTATATGAACGAGATATTTTAACGTAAAGCATCAAAAAGCAGTAAATTACCATTATTAAATGCTTAAATTAATACTATATAGTTTTCAAACAATTCAATGAAATGATTTCTCTTATCCCTATATAATTTTTCTTGCCTCACAACTTTTCAATATATATTTTTTATTTCTTTATAAAAGATTAAGCAAACCAACAATTGCTGGAACTAATAAGAAGGATTGCTTCAGAGATAGGCCTAAAATTCCTGAAAATATGTACCAAAAGAGAAACACTATACCGCCTTGGACGAGAAGATGTATTCCAAGTAAACTAAAAAAAATAAACAAAAAAAAATTTACTACATGAAAAAAATATATATAAAACTTCCCTAATTCGAATATTTTTATAAATTAAGTTTATTTTTTTTATTATTTAATTAGTATATCTTCTTTTTTATTAGAAATTGAATTTGATAATGTCTTTGGCTGCAATGTCTTAATTAACTAAAGCTTGATTTTCATGCATCCGTTATCCGACGATACGATATTAATTTTAATTTTATTGGTTGAATTTAAAGACTTCGATTGGTTAGAAAATTACGCAGTTTTTAAATTTATTGCATTTTCATGCCTCCGTTCATCGGATGTACGTTTTGCATGTGATTGGTGTCATTTTAAATTTTCATTTCCATAATGATTTCGCTGTTTTACTTATAGTCTAAGAGTTAAGCTTGATTTTCATGCATCCGTTGTCCGACGATACGTTGATACGATATTAATTTCATTGGTTGTATTTAAAGGCTTCGATTGGTTAACCGTTTCTAACCAACCAAAGTCTTTAAATTCAACCAATAAAATTAATATCGTATCATCGTATCGTCGGACAACGGATGCATGAAAATCAAGCTTTAGCAACGTTTTCTAGAGAGAATTTTAAGAAAGCTGCATGGTTCTTTAATATCTCTTTTGCTATGCTCTCCTGAACAGAGTGCGGACCGTCTGGCTGCCGGTAGACGTTGCGTTCACTACTGCGCATCATATCTGTATTCAACATCTGTTCACTACTGCGCATCACAAATTCTCCCTGTATTTCAGGAACTAAGGATGCTAGGACAAACATATGTGTAGCATATTTAGTTTCATAAAAAAGTAGCAAAGTAATGTGAAAATCGCATCATTGTATCTACTCATAAACGAAAAATACCATAAAACCCACGAAAATGGGATACCCTATACAGATGTGATACGCAGTAGTGAACCGCAGTAGTCTACCGGCAGCCAGACAGCCCGCACTTTGGTCAGGAGAGCATAGCAAAAGATATATTAAAGAACCAGTTTCTGAAAATTCTCGTTTTCCCGACGTTACTAGCTCTTGTACTATTATATTATTTATTAGTTTTTATTATTTTAGATTAAATTTGCAAAAAAAAGTGTCAAAACGTCCGTTATCGTATATCTTTCTCCGTTGACGGGTTGGAATAAAAAATTTACGAATGAAAATGGCGTGAAAACGCTATGACCAATCAGAGCGGACCATTGTATCAACGGATAACGGACGCATGAAAATCAAGCTTATTTTTTTTTATTTCCCTATACCTTTGAACAAAAAGATTAAGGAAGGAGCATATCAAAAAACTTAGATCGACCGCAACGGTGACCTAAAATGGCCGATTTAAATTCCGGTTTATCAGTGCCGTTCTAAATTTATTCAAAACGTGTAAAAATATGATGTACTCAATAATTTGTTGTTTTATTTTACGTTGTTAATAAATGTTGGTAGTTATTAAAATTGTTATACAAATATATAGTTCTAATAAAAACAGATAAGTTATAATAATAATTACTTATTAAGACAACCATCCGAAACGCTACTGAAGCAGGTAAATCAAATTGACGTATCTATTAATTCTTTGACATCTCTATTAATTTTTGACAAGTATACTCTGTTTTTTTTCTCAGGTAAGATTTCGACAGACGATGACAGAAAAAAAGCAGATGACGTCCCATACCAATCTATTTATTTTACTAAAAAAAGTTTCTAATAATTTTTAAGTTAACTATGGATGGGTTTAAATATAAATCCGTCATGCGTCGTCTCTTGTTGTTTTTAACCAGTTTTCTTATTTTACTAAGCGTGTTGGCCGTACTCTTCGTACACATGAAAACCGGCACCCAAGACCAGAAATGCCGACCCTTAGTATTATATATAGTCACTTACTAGCGAAAAGTTATTCCATTATTTCCCTCGATTTTTGACCGAGATCTACCTAGGGTTCCCAACCGTCCCGGTTTGGCCGGGATTAACCAGGAATCAGAAAGTTTGTCCCGGCGAAAGTTTTGTCTTGGCCGGGACCTGGAAACTAAAAAAGTGTGTACTACACACATAATATATTTTAATTTCTAATATTTAATGTTTTGTTTCAATTATTTAAAAGCTTAAACATAATTGTCCCGGAATCGCCGATGCTCAAGTTGGGAACCCTAGATCTACCGCACTCTACACAACCAATTATTTTAGACTTTTTCGATAAATCGCAATAGTATCACTGTAAATTTAAGTTCTGTCACAATTTCTTTCTAGATTTATTACCTCTAAACAACTACCAGTTGTAGAATAAATAATAAATAACGTAGAATAAGCTCAGTAAAGACTGACAAATCCACAAAATTTCAAATATATGTCAAATGAATCGTCAAACAGAACCGTCAAGGATCCCACCCTAGAGCCCTACCTTTGTCTATAATACCATGGATGAATACATGGATACATTATACTCCTTCCTGAATAATTTTATTCAAAGGGTCCATTACTTAGAGATTCGAATTAGGGAAGTTTCACAAAATACATTAAAAAAAACAGAACTTACATTTTATCTTTTTGTCTGGCGGAGTTCAAAGTTTTTACTGGGTCTTTGCTAAGATAAATTCTGGCACCGAGGGTAAGGTCATCGAAGTATGCAGGCCATACCAAAGAAGATATGTCCAGGCTGAATTCTTCTTGGTCGTTTTTATTCAGCCACGTTTGCAGATCTGTGGTATTCTTAGCAGAAAATTTCCATTCGGTAAAAATAAACTTTTCCAAACGATCTAATGATGTGTTTACGTTTCTATGAAGTTTCATTAAGCTAAAATATGAAATTATTATTAATGAATAATGAAACATATAATTTTCATAAATTATTATATCGATGCAAGGTTAAAGTTAATTTAAAAATAAACGATAATAAGTTATTTCTGTATTTTTTTTTCGTTCAAGACAAATAATAAATACCGTATGTTCCAAAAAAAAAGGTGTTAAGTAGGCTTTGAACGACCGATGATGGTAGATTGTATGGGAGAGGGGTAGTTATAGTGGTAATCACCGCGACCTTGTAGAATTATTGTGTCCCCCTTTCTTGAGTTATAACTCATCATACAGTCTCAGGGCTTTGACAAAAGCCAGTATCTGAGACGGTTTTATAGAGGTTAGTTCTCCATCCCCGATATCAGTTGTACCAAAGTTTATTATACAGGGTGGTCCGAACTGTATTCCGGAAACTTCGGCAGCATATTCTGCAGTTAAAAAAATATGTGAAAAAGTATGTATAAATGTATGTCCTAAAATGCTTAGGTTAGGAGATACAGGGTGTAGAAGTTTCATTTTTATTTCGATTTTTTCCAAATAATTTTTGAACTAACGTCATTATTTGGATGAAAATTGGTGTCTGGGAGTTTTTTGACATGAGAAATTTGATTTTGATGTCAATATGACTCCTACTAGTAAGGTAAAAAAAGGTAAAAAAGGTCTCTTGGTAAAAATCGCTACGAATAATGGTTTTCGAGATATTTGGAATCTAAATTATACATACCTGAGATCATTGACATAAATTAAACATGATGTTAATTAAGGTTGCTCAAAGCGATTTTTACCAAGAGACCTTTTTTATGTAAAAAGCGTCGTAAATGTATATTTTTTTACCCAGTAGTTTTATACAGGTACGGACGAAAGTTATTATTCTTCAAACCAGTTAAAAAATATGTAGGTGGCGCCGTCTACAAATAGGAGACCTTGACATTAGAATCAAATTTCTCATGTCGAAAACCTCCCAGATACCGATTTTCATCCAAATATTGACGTTACTTCTGAAATTATTTGGAAAAAATCGAAATAAAAATGAAACTTCTACACCCTGTATCTCCGAAACTAAGCATTTTAGGACATAAATTTATGCAAATTGTTTTACTTATTTTTATCTGCAGAATATGCTGCCGAAGTTTCCGGAATACAATTCAGACCACCCTGTATATAGCACGAATGGTTGTCTTCTCAGCGAACTCAGTGATGAGGTGTTTTTTTTTATCTCAATATGGCTGTTAAAAAGGAATTGACTTATTGTTAAACTTACATTGGACGTCCACCAGTCAGTCTAGTTATGGTGTCCAAAATGATAGCTGGCAAAAAATGGACAAAAAGCGCCGATATCTTATAGTAAGTTACTGACGGCAGCAATTTTAAATGTGGATACCATACGGCGGATTTCAAAGGGTATTTATGAAGATTATCGTTAATCCTGGTTTCTACATAGTCCCATTTGAAGGGATTTCTTGTACTGGACGTGCTATGATAGACTTGGGTCTTCTTTGATTGGGTGGCACCTAAAACAGAACATGCCTTAAGCCTCAAATTATACAGGGTCCGGCAACAGTACCTCGGGCATCTGTAGCTCCTATAATAAAAAAAAACTTACGGATTTTGTATAAGTACAAACCTAAAGTATGTATTAGAATGTATCTCAAAAAAATAATTTAACTACAGGATGACTCAAAAAGTGTGAGTGGATCAGGATCGTTTTTTTAATGGAACACCCTGTATATTATTTTTTCAATAGATGGAGAATTAAAATATGAACAATTTTTATATATACAGTACTTCAAAATTTCTAACGATTTTGCAGATATTCGCGGTTTTATATTTCATATGACATTTTCCACAGTAAATTTCTATCAAAGCCACCCAATGATTTTTCGCTCGTATTTTGCCGTTGAAAGAGCCAATGAAATAATACTGCGTATATCTGCGAAACCATTAAAAATTTTGAAGTACTTTAAATACAAAAAATTTGCATTTTCTTGAAAAAAATATATTTTTTATTTATTTATTAATATCTCTGAAATTCCAGAAATATATTTACTCATATCTTAGGATTATGTAAAGTGATTTGAAACGAAACCAAAAATGTAATAATATACAGTGTTCCGTTTTAAAAAAATCATCCCGATCCACTCACACTTTTTCGAGCCACCCTGTAGAAGTTAAAAATATTTTCCTGAAATACATCCTAGTACATACTTTAGGTCTACACTTACACAAAATTCCAAAGTTTTTTGTTCTAGGAGCTACAGATGCCCGACGCACTATTGCCGGAACCTGTATAAAAAATATTTTTACAAATTTTTTTTTCAATATTCCTTGTTTTTAGAAAAACTATCTCTCGAGGTTTCCATGATACAGGGTGATTTTGAAAATTATGCAATTTCTAAACATTGACATTCTTTTCATACACATGACATATTTTCTGACACAACTGACATTGAATCTCAGTTGTCTGACAACTTATTAAGAAAGTAAAAACAGATTCTTACATAATTTTTTACGGGGAATCCAGTAGCTTAGTTAGATTTTGTCTTAATATTACCATTTACGAGATATTGATCATTACGTTATATTAGTCTTTTTAAGCAACAAACATCTATTTAATAACTAAAAAAATATATTTTGCATTAAAGCACAAACATACCTGAATGAAATCCGGCTGCCAGGAGATTATTAACTACTATATCGACGGGAATATAGTCGTATATTAGTTGTTTAGCCACGGGTAATCGCCGAATGACACCTTTGGATGCACCCATCAGAAAACCTTGAGGACCATTTTTACTAATAGTCCAGCCTGGTACCGGTTCCTTAAAGGCACCCACAACTGCAAAAAACATCATATAAAATACAGGAAATATCGGACATAATATACAGGGTGGCTTATAATATAAAAATCCACATACCATAGAGATCTCGAAAACTAGAAGAGATACAGAGATGATTAAATTAGAGAAAAGTTGCGTCTTACGTGTATCTCAGAAACGAAACATCCGATTAAAAACAAACCAAATCATATCTTTCTGAAAAAAATAAAAACAAAATTTTGAAACTTCGTGTTCTTTCGTTAATATCTTCGGAAGTAATAGGAGTTTTCTAGATCTCCAAACACGACGTTGTAGAGCATAACAAGACGAAACTTTTCCGTAATTGAATCATCTCTGTATCTCTTCAGGTTCACGAGATATCGAGTAGTATGTGTACGGTCTTATATTTGAGTCCCCCGGTATATTTGAAAGTATCCTTACTCATGGAAGGTCTCACGATAGTGCAGGGGAAAAGTTCCTCACACTTTTGTACCTCGTGTTCGGCCATATGTTTCGTTATCGTGTAGGTGTTTGGGTGTTTGCCTAAAAGTTCTGGAGTTTGTTTTTCTAATTCTTCTGGATTTAGTTTCGCTACAATTTTGATTAATTCCTCTGGGTCTCTGGGTAGGGGATAAATTATCTATAATTTAGTCACAAAATAGATACTTTAATCTATAGTTTTTCGCGTAAGTAAATTTAGAATTACCTCTTCAGCTTCGTTCAAGTATGAGTTTACGTAAGCGCTGCTTACGTGTATTAAAACCTTTAGGTTGCGACATTTTTTAGCTAGTTCTGTTATTCGTCTTGTACCTTAAAATAAACAATATTAAGTCTTGTCTTATGTTAAATAAATTAACTTAACAGAGTCCTCCGTTATAAGCATAGATTTTTTTATAAACTATGTAGTATGAACGATCGGTTGACAGACAGAAAAATAAAATAAAAAGCGGCACACAGTGTTGCCGGTTATCTAGGGTTGGAACTTTATTGTGAAGAATAAAGTTCCAACCCTAGATGCAACATTTTTCGTAAACGCCTATTTGTGCGGTTTGAAATTTTGATGTAAAATCCGGCAATACAGCATAGAAATGTACCAACCCAACTTTTATCTCTTTTTACTACATTTGATTCTCCATTAAGCTGTTTACATCACTGTCATACACGTTAAATTCTAGACCACGCTTTTACCACAGCTTTTACGGTGACCAGAATGTTATAATCAGCTCCTATATTTGGGCTTAGGTCAACTTACCTAGTAAATTAATATTGATAGTGGTATTTAAGTCATCTCCAAAGTCCAAAGTGGCCGCGCTATGGAAGATAACATTAACATTTTGGTGTAAAAGACTTCTATCACTTTCAGAAAGACCTAAATTCTCCTCTCCAACATCTCCGGCCACTGCTTTGACACGTGCAAACACCTAAGAAAAACAATTACTGTACGGGCTGTCGCATTTTTGTGTATTTTAAATGGGTTTTCGCTTATTAGTAGAAATAGAAAGATGCGGTCCTCACTTCTCACATCACTGTTCTACTTTATATGAAACTAAAGATTCTACCAAATAAGAGGGGTAGGAAAAATCTGTATGCAGCATCTCTAGTTTAATAAAAAATAGCATAGTAATGTGAAAATGAGACACCCTATACAGGGTGGCTCGAATTCGACACTTATCATTGGGATTTCGGAAACCGTAAGAGATACAGGATCGGTTAAATGGAGGTAAAGCTGCGCAGTTTGATGCTCAATAAAATGCCGTATTGCATTTTTATTTTTTATTTTCTTTTGCATAAAATATTCTGGTGATGGAATTTTCTGTACGAAACGTCGGCAAATATCAAAGTGACTATATATAGTGTTTAAGAGTGATGAAAGGATTTAATTAAATTGAAAAAAAATCAGGTCCGTATTTAAAAAAAATTAAGTTGATGATGCTCGTCAGAAGCCGAAACGTCAGAGTCAATATTTAATCACACAGAGTTATAGAGCAGAAAGAGTGGCCATGAAAATGTGTTTTTCATTTTAAGTTATCTTAACAAATAAAGCCAGGAAACAATAGAAAACAAAATTGAAAATTCCGATTTTTTTCGAATATATTCGGAAGTATTCGGAATTTTTCAAAATGCAATACGGCATTTTATTGAGCATCAAATTGCGCAACTTTGCCTCCATTTAACCGATCCTGTATCTGTTACGGTTTCCGAAATCCCAATGATGAGCGTCGAATTCGAGCCACCCTGTACAGTATAAAAATGTGCTTGATTTTATACGAAAATAGCGAAATAATAATGTCAGAGAATATTCAGATTGTACTCGTAGCACTAACATTTTTTTGACACAATTAGCTGTTTCTGGGCACTATTGTATACTGAGTTGGAGAAGCATAATAACTTAGCTAATACAACAATTATTGTGTCGCATGTTTACAAAAATCTAAATATAATCTTGTAGTTATTTATTTTTATATGTCCTTGTAGTATACCGGGTGCGTCTCATAAGTGGCACAGTACACCTCTATAACTTTTCTATTTTTTCATTTATTTATTCAGATTTTTACAGACGAGATTTGGTATGTTAGTATATGACATAAATGGGGATTGATTGACGTATTCAATTGTTTTTTGACACTTCCTGTTTCACCGGAAATTACTACAACTTTTGATTTTTAAATGATACACTCGGTATTTTTTACTTTATTCGATAAAAAATGACAGTCTGAATAGAGTGCCATATGATATGTCAACTTTTGACTTTTTAGCTTCAAAAAAGAATTGTATTTTAAATTTCAATCTAGAGTGCCATGGCTGCGTCAAAAACACAGCTATGGTAGCTACTGATCGTCTAATATTTTTCGTGTCTTGTCCTGACCGGTTAAAAGATGTCCAAATCGTATTTTTAATCATATCTCAATTTTTTTCAAATGAAACAAGGGTGGCTGATTAGCATATTTGGAAAAAGCATTTTTTTTACGAATAATTTGGTACCACACACTCGGTATTTCGAGTCAAATTGTCGTTATGAACCGCATGTTACTTTTTTTTAAATAAACCATATGCGAAAATGTCAAAAGTTGACATATGATATATCATTCTATTCAGAGTGTCATTTTTATCGAATAAAGTAAAAAATACTAAAGGTGCCATTTAAAAATCAAAAGTTGTAATAATTTCCGGTAAAACAGGAAGTGACTAAAAACAATTGAATACGTCAATCAATCCTAATTTATTTATCAATTTTTATCTGAAAAAATAAAAAGTTATAGAGGTGAGCCACTTTTGAGACGCACCCGGTATAATATACTCCTTCCATAATTTTATTATTCATAGATTTTGACACTTACCTCATCAACAGGCTTATCTTTTAGCAAACGTTCAAAAATATTGTTGCTTTTAATTTCTTCCAATCTTTCATTGATTTGTTTCCCTTTCTTTGGTCTAAGCAATAAGTAAATATCTCCATGATTCGGTATGCTTCTCAATATTTTTTCTAGAAGACACACTCCCAAAAAGCCTGTCGACCCAGTTATAAAAATGTTTTTTCCTTTGTAGAATTCTTTGAGACCAGCTGAAGCCATGTTTTCTGTTTCTTTCACAGTCTACCTGTAAAAATATCAAAACATGTTTTTTTTTGGGTAGTTTTTTTGTACTAGCGTCTAGTTGACTCCTTAATGAACTAAAAATTGTAACTATGACGTCGTAATAACGTCAAAAATTTAATTAAAACATTAACGTACAATATTAAGCTTCGTCTACACGTAACTTTTTACCGGCCAGGTAAGAGTGGTCCGATTATACAGGGTGATTCAAAAAACATGTGCCATCTCTCATGGGGAAATTCCTCCGTAAAGATTTATTTTTTATATCAACATACGTTGCTATTAGACTCGGTTCAAGGCAAATTAATAAAATTCCGTTTATCTCATCAAGGAGGCCGAAATCGACAAATTATCAAGAGACAACTAATAATCGGCATTAAATTGCTTATAGTTCAGTCATTGGGGATTTTTGATTGGAAAAAAGTCCGGAAGTTTTGCAACTTTGCAGGTTTATAGGTTTTGGGGTCCCTAACTAAAATCCAAAAAATGCACATTTCCAGACTTGCCGCCGGCGCCGCTATCTTGCTAAGATGGCGCCCAAAATCGGTATTTTGTGAATATCTTATGGAGGCTAGAAGGAGGAGGCGAATCGACAATGGGCATATTTGAAATTTCTGTCCCTACTTTAAAGCAAGTTTCTCGGTTTGACACCAGAGGCACTGCAAGCGGGTTAGATTGATCATTTGCATTGTTAGAATACGATTTAACTGTGTTTTTACTAGTTTTTTTTAAATTTATAGTTATTTTATCGAACTATTAGCAATGTAACAATGAGTGTGATTAAAAAACCCTATATAATAGATCTTGCTTGGTACCTGGCTGTATAAGTGGGACTTACAGTAATTCGCTCATTAATTTATGAATAATTAATTTTAATTATTGAAAATGTGTACTTGTTTCCACACCACCCAAGAGGTAAAGTATATGGCGCGTTTATTTTAACGTGGTCTCCCCGGAGGCCTACTCCACTAGATAAATTAAAAACTTTAACTTATCTGCACAAGCCCGACGGATCTGGTTCATTGATGTCAAAGTCGATCGTGTCTGCCGTGCTGTTTTAGTGAACCCTAATCGACATTTGATTTCGGGAAATCGACTATACATAATACATATATCATATTTTACCCAAAATTGTAAAATTTCCAGGGACTTTGTGCCTAAACGGTTAACTTTAGCGAAAATTTTCATAAAACCTTTTTTATAGGAAATTTTATTCTCTTTAATTCTGCTCTCCTCAAATTTTCGCGAAAAACGCATAGTTTTCGAGATATTCACAAAATACCGATTTTGGGCGCCATCTTGGCAAGATGGCGGCGCCGGCGGCAAGTCTGGAAGTGTGCATTTTATGGATTTTAGTTAGGGACCCCAAAACCTATAAACCTGCAAAGTTTCAAAACTTCCGGACTTTTTTCCAAGCAGGCCCCTTTTTTGATCCCCAATGACTGAACTATTACACTATTTCGCTAATAAGAGGAAAAAAGTCAGTGGCGTCCATGCTTTTTTTAGAGAAATATTCCAGTGATAACCCATATGCATGTCTCTGGTGAATATGCCGACACATTTTTAGCTTTAAAATATGTCGCATTTATAGTAACTTTTGCAATAATTTTAACCTCAAAATTTCATTCGAAACGCTAAAAGTACTTGGAAGAAAATTATAATAAATCGACAAAATATTAAGTCTTTAACACCCTGTAGCTACGAAACAAAGCAGAATCGGACCTATGTTAATATGAAAAATAAATCTTATTTTTACGTGAGGAATCTCCCCACGAGAGATGACACATGTTTTTTAAAACACCCTGTATATGTAAAACTATTGAACTATACCTATTTGATATCTAAACATGAAAGTACATTCGTATGGTGCAACATATAAACCGGGTCACAAGAATCTGCTTTTCCTGGAGATATAATAAGACATTCTATAGATTGTTGAACCCTAATCTAGCAATAGCGTAACATTTTCCTTTAAACGGCATATTACAGTTTTTAAAATTTAATTCTAACGGTAAATTTACCATAGATTTTGAATTTCTCTGTATAATTTATTCATAAGTATTATATGAATAACTAAATAATAATAGTTATAATAATATACCTACGTAAACTACATAATTATTTCGCGTTAAGTACATTAGTAATTATTTGTGAAAAGTTCAGTGGATTTTTTTTTAATTTCTGTCTTGTTTATAAATGTTTCATAATAATTTATTCATATGAAGCTATTAATTTTTAATATAGAAAAACCGGTTACCTCCCAAAACATTATAAACAAAACCATAAAATATACCTTAAGTTGCATAAATATATTCAAAATTTCGTTTGAAATAAGTACAGAGTAACTGTTTTATCATATTTTTTTTATAAAAAAATTAAGATTATTTAACAAAAATCATTTCAGTCAAATAACTAGTGAACAGTGAAGACATGTTTTGATAATTTCCATTCCAAATATCTTGGGAATGGTTGCTCATAGCGATTTTTACCAAGAGATCTTTTTTAAGTAAAAAACAGCGAACATTTATATTTTTACACTCAGTTTAATACAGGTACGGGTGAAAAGTTATTACTCTTTAAATCAGTTAAAAAGCATGTAGGTGCTGCCCTCTATAAGGAGGAGTCACATTGACTTCGAAATCAAATTTCCCATGTCAAAAAACGCCCAGACACCAATTTTCAAATAAATATCGATATTAGTTCAGAAATTATTTGGAAAAAATCGAAATAAAAATGAAATTTCTACACCCTGTATCTCCGAAACGAAGAATTTTAGGATATACATTTATAGGAACTTTTTTACTTATTTTTATCTGCAGAATGTGCTCTGTCGAAGTTTCTCTAATACAATTCGGACCAACCTGTATATTAAAAATCCAGTTTAAAATAAATAATAAATTAAAAAAATATATATATTTATTTTATTACTTTACGCCAAAGTGATATTTTTGGATAAATACGTTTTACAATCAAATAATGTAAATAAAAAACTTTTGAACTTCGCTCTTAGTTTTTTATTGACTCTTTTACCTATATTAATTAATTTTAACACTGTACCAGAGACTGTACAACAATATAATTGACGCAAGTATGAACATATTTAATAACTTTTAATTGAACAATTATGTTAATGAAAATAATATTTCAATAAATTAGTCATTAACTAATAAAAGAGGAAATAAAAAAGTTATGTCGCAAACGCATCAGGTTTGGCAAGTGTTTGTCCTGTACCTTGTTTAACCTTTAAAATAATAGCTACCTATGGAAAATTCTGAAAAAAATATTGGTCTCCCCAAAGTATAGATATATTAAAAATTCATTTAAATTTCCCAACATTTATCAGGAATAATTATTTTTTCAGAAATTTTCCGTAATTCTATGTCTATATACTGAAATCTTGAAACTTCGGTTTCTTCCGTGAATATATTCGGAACTAATCGGAATTTTTAAGATTTCAAAAAACGACGTTGTAGGGTTCGGTAACATGCAACTTTTCTCTAATTTGATCACCCCTGTATCTCTTCTGGTTTACGAGATATCAAGTACTGTGTATTCTTATACTAACCCTGGTCACTTTATCTGCGTGATCCGTATTTTAATACATGTGACAGAGATAAATATAAATGACCAGTTAACAGACAGAGAGATCAAATAAACAGCGGCATACAGTGTTGCCGGTTTTTACGTTTGTAGGAAAATGTGTCTAGAAAAAAATTAACTATTTTAAAAACTTTCATGTATACTACTGAAATGAATATATCTAAGCTAAATATAATCTATTACAGCTGTAGTAAAATGAGTAACTAATTGTGAAAAATAAAGCTCCAACCCTAGATGCAACATTTTTCGTAAACGTCTACTTGTGCGTTTTGAAATTTTGATGCAAAATCCGGCAATACCGCATAGGAGACATGTATCAACCCAATTTTTATCTCTTTTTAATACATTTGATTTTGCATTAAGCTGCTTACATCACTGTCTTACACGTTAAAATCCAGACCACGCAGTTTCGACGAGCAGATCGGTATATGCGACACCGTGCATTTTATATAATACAGGGTGAGTCTTAAATAAGTGCAAATATTTTCAGGGCTGGTAGATCTCGATAAAAAAAACATATTTTCCCTTTACCATTTTTCAGAGAAGTCCAAAATAAGCGAGTTATTTAAGTTTGAAAATTAAAAAAATGATTTTTTTGAAAAGTTTTGAGAGCCACTGGATTTTTTCTGTATTTGCATCCCTTTTAGTGCCGTAACCATAGTGTAAAGCCGTAACTATGGTAATATCTTAGATTAAGAAATTAGACCGTGGGAGAAAATTTGCGGTGAACAGGCAGTTCTAAAAAGTTTTCGAAAAATATACAGGGAAATTTAAAAGAAAATGCACGATTTTCAACATCTTTTTTTGCGAAAAAAACCTCATAGACGTGTTCCTGGGGTCGAAATATATCACCCCTGAAAATATTTGCACATATTTAAGACTCACCCTGTATAATTGATAAAAACGAGATGCTATTTTTACATACAATTAAATTAATTTATTAATGAATCTAATAATTGAAAACTAACCAACAATCAATCTAATAACCACAGAGTATAAACAACAGATTTTAATTATTTTTTCATCGTAAAAATAAATGAATAAATGTCTATATAGGTACAAAGTTTTTAACTTTACCGAAAGTCTGTCATTAAGAAACTGAAAATAAATTAATAATTAGTAAAGGTAAATAATTAATAATTACAAACAGATACAACAGTTCAATTTTATTATTAATGATGTTTTTGGTCTGCTTGATTGAAAAAATTCGTGCTTTTTTATCTTTTGTCATATTTTCCCAAATAATTTTAGAAAAAAAAATCGAAATATTATACAGTGTGGGCCGAATTGTATTCGGGAAACTTCGACAGCATATTCTGCAGATAAAAATATAACATACACATTTTTTATTTAAGTCAATAGAGACATAGAGGAATTAATTTATCCTTATATTTTAATTTTGAACGGTCTTGATTTATTATTATATAGTATTATCTCTATTAATTTTAGTATTATTTATTTATGTAAAAATGTATCAATCAAGTAGAGAACAATCTAATTCTACATAATAACCTTGTATATGTATTAACAAGGATAAAAATAACATATTTAGACTTATCAGCCACTCGCAAAGACTCACAAACTTCAACAAATATTGCAATACGAAGATTTTTTTGTTATAAACCAAAAATATTTTATTTTTTATTAACTTTAAGAATCTCAGTACAAACAAACAAGCCTATACAGTTACAATTTTAAAAAATTCCCGTCACAAGTTACCTCAGAAATGACGATCGATAAAATTTTATACGGAAAATTATGGCGAATGTCTACCATTGTTATTCCTTTGGGTAACTTGACGCCGTTTTTTATAGTACTTAACACAATAATTATAAAATTGAATGTGTTTGAAGATAAAGTTGCGTTAAGATTGCAAATAATATACAGTATGTTCTCCAATTGTCTTTACAACAGGAAAAACTTTTTTATTATTGACATTTTGAGAAAAATGCATTCTTCATAAAAAAATTCCTTGTTCTAAAATAGTTAATCCCGCTTATACTTTTTCAAATTTCCATACCGTTTTAGAGAAAATTAAAAAAAAAACATGAAAATATGGTTGAATTTTTTCTAGAAAATCAAAACGCGTTTCTATGGTAATATAATTTCGACATCATTGCTAGACGGTTATTACATATTTACATATATACAGGGTGGTCTGAACTGTATTTCTGAAACTTCGGCAGCAGATTCTGCAGATAAAAATAAGTAAAAATGTTCGTATAAATGTATGTCCTAAAATGCTTAGTTTCAGAGATTCATAGAAATTATTTGAAAAAAAATCGAAATAAAAATGAAACTTCTACACCCTGTATCTCTGAAACTAACCATTTTAGGACATACATTTATACGAACTTTTTTACTTATTTTTAACAGTAGAATATGCTGCCGAAGTTTCCGGAATACAGTTCGGGCCACCCTGTATATTATAGTATCTTATCTATGGTTATTATTAATTTTGATTAACTTCATCTTTGCTGCTGTTGTTAAAGTACCGTATGATCGAATAAAAACGGCGTCAACGATGGCTATGAAATGAAGATCGCTGTCATTTTATATGTAAAATTATATGGGAAATGTCATCGATCGCCATTTCCAAGCCAACTGGACGCCGTCGTTTTTTTTCGATCATACGGTATTACATTTTCCAATAAATACTATCACCCTTTCCGTAGCATTGAACTAAATAAATTTTGTGCTTCTTCGACATTTTAAAACACTGAAAAATATGATGTTTTTTTTAAATCTATATGAATTCTATCAACAACAATCTATCAAAGAATGAGAACGAAATTATAATACCATAGAAACGCGTTTTGATTTTTAGGATTTCAAAAAAATTCAACTATATTTTCATGTTTTTTTTTTAATTTTCTCTAAAACGGTATGAACATTTTGAAGAGTATAAACAACATTTTTTATTTTTTGTTATTAACATTTTTCTCAAAATGCTAATAACAAAAAAAAATCTCCTCTTGAAAAAACAATTCAGTGATATACTGTAGAAAAACGTCTGTGAAATTGGCATTACTATAAACTAATCTAAAGTAAAGTAAAGGTAACTTGACACCGTTTTTTCTAGAACATATAGTATTTAACACAATAACTATAAAATTGAATGTGTTTAAAGATAAACTTACGTTACTATTACAAATAATATAGAAAGACGTCTGTGAAATTCACACTATTTTAAACGTATGTAAACTAAAGTACGAGTTAACAGTGCCTGATGTTATCCGATTCCTAGTACCCGTTAAACTGAACATTAGTACCGATAGCCGGCAGAAAATGACATTAGAACGGTAAACCGGACTTTGTTTCATAATATTTTCACGTACAGGTACCCGTGGTTTCTCTTGGATATTATTAATTAATATTAATATCACTAATTATATTATGAAAAGTTCATTACGCATTCCAATTAATTATTTATTGAGAAAATTGTGAGAAAATCTATAATTTTATATTAATAAATTATAAGGGACTTTAATACATTCACATATTTACCTTTAAGTTCATATTTTTTATATAATACACAGGGCGGCGCCTCTCATATGACGCGGGGGCTTCAATGAGAAGGACAGTTTATATTAAACTGAAATTTTATAAATTAATATAGAGCGTTTTTTTTTAAATATTATGTACAGTTTAAAAAACAAGTTATATACATATCAAAGTTGTGTTTTTTTTGGAATGGAATACTCTATAACTATACCGGGTGCGTCTCAAAAGTGGCTCACCCCTATAACTTTTTATTTTTTCAAATAAAAAAACGAGATTTGGTATGTTAGTATATGACATAAATTAGGATTGATTGACGTATTCAATTGTTTACGGTCACTTCTTGTTTCAGCGGAAATGACTACAACTTTTGATTTTTAAATAGCACCCTCGGTTTATTTTCTTTATCCGATAGAAAATGACACTCTGAATTCTGAATAGAATGACATATCATATGTCAACTTTTGACATTTTCGCATATGATTTATTTGAAACTGTAACATGTGTGTTAGTGTTTTTAACACAGCCATGACACTCTAGATTGAAATTTAAAATACAATTTTTCTTTAGGCGAGAATGTCAAAAGTTGACATATTATATGTCATTCTATTCAAGATGCCATTTTCTAACGAATAAAGTAAAAAAAAATCCGAGGGTGCCATTTAAGAATCAAAAGTTGTAGTCATTTTCGGTGAAACAGGAAGTGACCGAAAACAATTGAATACGTCAATCAATCTTAATTTATGTCATATACTAACATACCAAATCTCGTTTTTTTATCTGAAAAAATAAAAAAGTTATAGGGGGTGAGCCATTTTTGAGATGTATATTAAGTATTAAGTGATTTTCGGATTCTATGAGAAAAATAAAGGTGAGTTTTATTAAAGAAGCATATATGACCAAAATGTAAGGTTTTTGCCATATTTGACATTTTCTAAATATGAAAAATAAATTTATTTAAATTTCAACAGAAGCTACCTAAATTGAAATTTACCTGGTGGTATAGCCTAATATGTAGTTAAAATAACCATTGTCCTTTAAAACAAATTAAAATTTGAACCGAAAAGTAATACAGGGTGAAACAAAATTTTTATTGAACGTTGGTCACTTTTCAAAACAAGTTACTCATTTATTTTAAATGGAAAATGGAACACCCAGTATATTATCCCGATACTCAATGGGGAATTCATGTCTTTTCAAAATACTATTAAGGTTACTTACACCTTAGACAAAGATGTTCCTAGATATTTTCATTTTTATTACGTGTGGACCAAGCTTAAAGCATTTAATCCTTTTATTTCAAGTTGGTAAATATTTAATTTACAATTTAAACAAAGATAAAAAGTATAATATTTATTTTAGAAAAAGATCTTTAAACCCAAATCTGTTAAAATATATTTTTACTGAATAGATCTTTGAATATTTTTAGAACTTTTTACTACTTATTCTATAATTATTAGTTTTATAGTGCGAATAAAAGGTTAATCTAATAATAAAATTCTATTACTAAAGAAATAAAATTAGTTTGAAAATGAACTGGTTATTTTATTTCTATTCTATGTTTTTTAGCCCTGGGTGTTGTAAATAAGATTTTTTTGTTGCTGGTATGTGAGAGATTCACAAATCCTGAAAAACCTGAATTGCCTCATTAGTTCGTATTAAAATTAAATAAAGAAACATGTATGGAAATTTTAATAATATTCAAATGTAAATGTTTAGTAATATTATTACATTACCAATAAGCATAAAATTAAAATGAAATAAATTTGAAATCCAAGCAATTTTTTGATTTATTAAAACATTGAATGTTGAAACATGCAAGACTGCATATAAATGTATGTTTTTATCATATGGAGTTTGACTGTGTTTAATTTTATTGTTAATTAACACTAAAATTATAAACAGAACTAGAATAGAAAAAAACGAAATCCAAGGAAAACTTTTGTGTCCGCTTTTTCCACAATGTCTCAAACCAAACCACAAATATACATTTCATAAAATAAGATGTAAATATAAATTAAAATTAATTACCAGCAATTAATAAATCAACTTACCAAATCACAACACAATTTCTTTTTCGGAGAACTAACCTCACCTTGCACATACATACAAGGATGGCAACAATATATCGATATTTTCAAAGTATCGATATATCTGAATAAAAATATCGATATGTGCGATCGATATTTAAGTCTCAGATATATCGATATTTATGATGTCTAAAATCTCTATAAATGGGATACCCTATAAATAAACCATTTTTTTCTAGATTGCTACATACTCTTACCTACTTTTTTACGTATTTACACGTAAAATAGTATTTTATATCAATTTCTAGATAACACCAGAGACAAAGAGTAGCCAGAGATATGGAATGGAATCCCTTCCATATCTCTGGATACCCCTTGATCACAGCCCTTGATCCTTTGAATAAGAAGACTAAAGCGACAACGAAGGCTTTCGGTGGCGTATCGTGTTTCCACGATTTAACACAGAGTTGACACTTCTTTCTAGTTAATTATTTTATGGGTACGACATCCGAAATTTGAAGTTATCGTGTGAAATAAAAAAAGCCTGTCACATACATCCGAAAGTTCGTTCCGAAATTTGACAGTTTTAACATTTTTCTGCTGCGCTGAATAGAGATTCATGTCATGTTTTATTAGAGAACCACTTATAAAAACAACTTCCTCGCCAAATATCCCGAAATTGCCCACTTCCCACTAAACTTGTTTTTAAAACAAATGTTTTCAAAAAAGTGAGGTTAAAAACACACGATATCGTACAAAAGTTAAACAAAAATTTAACTTTATACGACGTCGGATGATTAGTTAAAATTATCGGATAAAAATTGTTGTCAAAATATTTCGACCAATAGGAGCACCGTCGGATCGTCGTGTCATCGGATTTCGGATGCATGAGACTCCGGCTTAAGGAAGGAGCATAATGATATCCATGTATTCATGCATGGTGGGCGGAAAAAGCACTCTAGGGTGGGGATCCTTGACAGTTCTGTTTGACGATTCATTTGACACATTTGAATTTGATTTGAAATTTTGTGGATTTCTCAGTCTTTACGGAGCTTATTTTATGTTATTTATTCTACTACTGATAGTTTTGCGGCGGTAGATCTCGGCAAAAATTGAGTGAAATAATGGAACAACTTTTCGCTAGTAAGTGACTATATAATATACATACGTGTAGTAAACCGATCATTTATGAAATTCACTTAAATTAACTAAATTATATATTTTTTTGTATTTTAGCTTTTATTTATTACTTGTCAAAGAATTTAGATACGTTAATTTGACTTACCTGCTTCAGTAGCGTATCGGATGTTTGTGTTAATAAATACTTATTATAACTTATCTATTTTTATTAGAATTATATATTTTTATAACAATTTTAATAACTACCAACATTTATTCACAACGTAAAATAAAACAACAAATTATTGAGTCTACCCTACATCATAGTTTTACATTTTTTAAATAAAATTAGAACGATACTGATAAACCGGAATTTAAGTCGGCCATATTTGAGGCCCATCGCGGTGTACCTAAGATTTTTGATATGCTCCTTCCTTCTTGATCATATCCCTGGTGCAGTCATTTTATTAGTAATGTTTCCACTATATCGATATATTATCAAATAATGCTTGAAGACAGAAATTTTGAATATATAATACAATGAATTTTGCTTAACAAAAATGAATGGATAAATAAAACTAATACACCTGTCATCTAAATCTTGTATTTTTATTTACCGAATCTCTTCCAGCAAACAATGTACTGAAATTAAAAAAAAATACACGGAAAATTGTTTCCCGCAGATTTATACTTGCCTCTATTTACAATCTAAAATTACAGAAAAATACAACAATAACGAGTATAACACAAGAGTAGCGACTTAACTTTTTTCTCTATAAGACTGGATGATAAAATTATTTTAGTTTTTTACACCAATACTGTATGTGTGTGAAAAATTATGGTAAATATAAATAATTTAATATTATATAATTTTCTTTTACTGGAATAATATCTGTCTCTTAAAATAAGGGGTTTCTTTCATTACTTTTGAGCTTGTGCCTCAAGCTTCTTTTTCAAAGATTCTGGCATTTCTGGGGGTGGGGGACGGGGCATGCGCATAGCCACCTGAAAAAACAAATGGAGGTTAGAACGTTTTGTGTGTAGGTACACTTTGAACAAAAAGTCGAATAATATAGATAAGCTTTGAATAAAAAGATTAAGGAAGGAGCATATCAAAAAACTTTAATCGAAGTGGACCAAAAATGGCCGACTTAAATTAAAAAAGTTAATCTTTTTACTCAAAGGTTTAACATAAAACAATCCTAAGGATTTGTAGGGTTTTGCGTTTTAAAACATATTTTAAAAATTTTTAATTATTAATTTAATATTAATTAATTAATAAGATAATTAAATTATATCAATATTACCTTGAATGCATCATAGATAAACCATTGAAGAGCGGTGAGTGTACCAATCATGACTATCCTTGGTGTGAGGCCCTTCCAGAGACCAGCCATACCCAATTTTTTAGCTGCTTCCAATGCAGTTGATCCCTAAATTATAAATAAATAAATAAATAACCATTTATTACCTAACAGAAATAAGTAAATCTCAATTTAAATTACCAAAAAATAACAATACAAATAAAATAAACTTATGGGCTTGGTGCATTTCAGTTGATTTTAAAAATTCCGAACAAAGCACAATACAGCAGAAATCATGTGAGTAAACAAAGTGCCCATTACATCTTAAAAAGTTAAATAGGAATATACTATGAGAGGATAAATAATAATTTGCAATATTAATGGTAGACTTGTTTTAATGAACTAGTGCATAATTTTTTTATAAACATCTTCTAAAATGATAATAACTTATCTTTAAAAACATTCGTTACAACCGAAATAGCCTTTTTATAATATAATAGAACTTTTTTACTTATTTTTATTTGCAGAATATGCTGTCGAAGTGTCCCGAATACAATTCGGACCACCCTGTATACTAAGGGCTAAAGTTTTGGGTCGAGATTTCCGTATGTAAGAAGAATACAATCGGCACCAGCAAAATAACGTAAATTTTTAAGTGCAAGTTAGAAACTCTTGCACTTTTGGTAAAAATAAGTGGAATTGAGTTGGTGTTTGACAGTGGTCGCGCTATTAGAACTCTGAATTCAAAAATCGAAATCTTGAAACCTATTAAAAATAGTAATTGCTTGTAGGTTTTTTTCAAAAACTTTCTTAATATTTCTGCTGTATTTTCTTCGCAGATATTATGTGAAAATCTTAACAAATAAAGTTACACAATTGCTGGAAATTGCTATGCACTAAAAGTAAAGGACGGGTTTTTTAAAATTTTTGAATGAAAAAAAAAACCTATTGAATTTTTCTCATTTAAACATTTTGTAAAAGATACGAACTTCAAAATAAAAAAAAGTTTCAATATCTAAAGTGGTTCTTGAGTTTTCGAGTTCGTGTTAAAAAGTTGAGTTTTTAAATTATCGCGATTACTGACGTTTTCTCGTTATAAAAAATATGAACACCCTAACGATATCCTTATAATTCCATTTCAGATGCTCAGAAACATATCTAATAATTTTATCTAGTTATCTTTTCCAAAAAAAAAGTCTTTTAAAATTAAGCGGTTTGCGATCGTGATTTTATTTTACTTGATAGGGAAAGGCGTACTGGAGAAATTTGGCAACGCCGCAACAGCACCGTCGCATTTCTCTCGCTCTGACTTAATAAGATCCCTATGCGATTTACTTCCACACATGTAAATACCGACCCAAATGTAAGAGTTGCCAGTACGGTATGATTTAGAATTCGTTTTGCACTCACCTTTTCTTGATTTAGTTTACTGACAACAGTATCAGCAGGATGAGATACGATAGCGCAAAATACACCGGCGATGTAACCAGCGGCGAAAGTAACGACAAGTTGTTCAGGTTTGGAGCATTCAGCCCTAAAAACGAAACACCAATTAAGAATAAGTCACATCAAACACATTTATTTTGTAATAAAAACGAAATATTTCATATTATTTTTGAATTTTTAAGTATTCATTAATAAAATATATGTCGTTATTCTCTCCAAAAAAATCCTATATGGGTATATCGCCGCTGCTAGAAAATCTACAAAATAAAATATTTATTTTTTGTAAACACTGCTGTTTATCCAGTTGAGACTAATTGTCAGCAGTGGCTTACAAATGAACAAATTTGCCTAACGGACAAAAAATGCTTAACGTTTCGGTAAGTTTAAGCAAAACTACGTCGGAAGCAAAAAAATACAAAGAATAAAGAAAAAAATATATTTAAAATATTTAATTCCAACTATTCGAAAATACTTTAATTTTTTTAAAACAGGAACGTCTACAAAAAAGCTTCAAACTTTCTGTATGATTATTTTGAATTTTTACGTATGTTATGTTTATTTATGTTGTGTTCTTTAAAATCAAAGAAGCGATTGCTATACATTACTAACAACTACAGATGCATGAGCAATACATTTATTTTTATTAGATTGTATTAAAAGTCTCTTTTATTTTTCTTTTAGAGGATATCGCTTCTTTTATTATAATGGCGTTTATAGTTTTTTTTTCTTTATTTTTTGCATTTTTTTGCTTCCGACGACGGAAAGAGATAAACTTTCCGAAAAGTTTTTTTGGTCGTTAGACAAATTTGTTCATTTGTAAACCGCTGCTGACAATTAGTCCCCGTTGGATTAACACAGCAGTGTCTACAAAAAAAAACTATTTTATTTTGTAGATTTTCTAGCAGTGGCGAAATACCCATACCCATATAGGATTTTTTTTGGAAAGATGAATCCGCCACATAGGTATAGACATTTTTTATATGTAGTTACACCATATTATTGAAAAAACCTAACCAAAAACTGCTGGTTAATAACAATCGGTGATAATTTTCGCGAGGTCAACCTCTAGGCGTTATTTAATAAAAATTGACAGAAAACTTAAGATTAAAAAAAGGATAACACGTTTCCAGACAGAATTGTAAACTACACACCATTAAAAATCATTTTTTACTTCACATAAAAATCAATTACAATCTTCTTAAGACCAATTGGCAGTAAACGCCATTAAAAAATAAAAGTACTGCCCAAGTATATGACGTCTAGAGATTGACCTAGCCAAAATTATCATCAATTGCCATTCCCAGCTGTTTTTGACGCCTTTTTTGGATTGTAGGGTATTTAGATTCTTACCTGGGTTTTGGAACAACATATTTGTACAACAATTCGACAGTACGCTCGAAGCAGGCGAATTTCATCATGGTGTATGGGATTTGTCTCATCCACAGTGGAACCAAAGATTTGTAGAAACCATTTACACCTGGAACATAAACAATTATTAATATATAACAAAATATTAACGAATTAGCGTTGATTGAAGAAATACGAAGATGCGCAACCTTATGGGCGATTTCGTGGCACAAAAGATGTCCAAGACGTAGCTGACCATACCGTCAGGATGTCCGATATTTAGTATTAGTTTGTCTGATGTCGTTTACAGCGCAGCGGATAAAGAACTCTGTACCGTAGTTCTGCTTTCTGTCGACAGTGGGTGGTTGCCAGAGACAGTGTTGCCAGAACTACGAATTAATCCGTAGATTTAAGGATTTTGAGTACAGTACGTTAATAATACGGATATTCTATATTCAAACAATTTAATAAAATATTGTATGATTAAACAAAGAACGCCGTCAGAGTTGGCTTGGAAATGAAGATCGCTGTTATTTCGTATGTAAAATATTATGATAAATGTTAATAATCGTCATTTTCAAGGCAACTAAATGACTTTTTTCGGTCATACGAAATATTCAGTACCTATATATTTTATTATTTTTGTTGTTTATTCTACGTTTAACACGAATAAATTTTCAGTACATAAACGCGAATTTCTCATCCAAAAATATTTTCGTCAAATATATTACAGATATTACACATTTTAATATGGCAACATTGTCGCTTTTCTTCCTCACCGTCTTCGATATGCCTTCACTGGCCGAATTAGATACAATAAGTGTTTTATGCGTTGGCCGCAGAACGGGTGGTGGCTCCACCGTACAGCACTTAAGATGCAAGGGGAAATCAAATCAGCCTTCGCCCATTAGGTTGCGTATCTTCCCAATTCTTTCAACCAACGGTACTACATTTTATATTAACATATTTTGAATATACAGGGTGTCTAATTCAGGAGGTGTTGCTTTCTCTGATGCTCATCCGAGATCTTTTTAGCGCGTTGCAAAATTGCCGTTAGTTTCTGAGACACGGGGTGATTTGTGAAAAATACATTTTGTGAAAAAATATTCATTTAAACGGTGTTTACACTAGATGCAATTGGATGCAACGCAATTTTTAAAAATGGCATGCAATTCGGTTGCACGCGCAATTTACCGTTTACATAAGGTGCGATAAAATACATGCCATAATTTTAAGAATCTATTGTGCCAACCTAAATAAAATGAATATAACAACTGTTTCATTTATTTTTTTATTTTATCTTCGAGGTATCATTGTGTATGTCTTATTAATGTACAGGTTCCGTTTTTTTCCTTTTCTGAGGTACGGAACCCTAAAAAATGGTACTTGTATGTAAGGTGAAATAGCAAAATTCCATTTAACTAAAATTTTACATTGGAATTTACAAATATATTGATATAGCATTTATTTTTAACACTAGAGAATAGAAAATACATCAAAAGTGTGGTTTTTAAATGCATATATCTCTATAATATTATAGCATTAAATACTATTTTGCTGATGGTTAGTGAATCTGACTTATTTGGCTATTGGTAAACATTTTAATCTATTTTAAATTGTATATTTTCCTTTTTTAAACTTTGATCTATATCTTTTAATGATAAACATGTTTGTATGATATTTCTACAGGATTATTCACCTCATACGACATAGGGTACTGTAGCTACACAACACAGTTTTTTATTTTTTATTTGGGACACTATGTACCTTTTGCAAATAATTTTAAATTGTGGCTTTAGTAGTCCTCCCAACGATCCCATCACAATTACTAAAACTCTAATCATTTGACTATAGTACTCCATGTCAAAAGAACTGAATAACCCTGTATATGTTATTTTTTTATTGCTACTGTTTGACTATTTTTTGTCCAGGCTTAGTATATATTCTATTAGTTTTATTTTTATTTTTGCCTAGCTTTGTTAACAAAAGAAATCTTAGGAACAATGAGACATAGAATGATTGATTGATTAAAAATATTATTATTGAATGTTTACCTTCTTCCCTCATGATTCTGGGCCAAGCTTCTCTCAGGGTGTTGGCAAATCCAGGAGTGGTTTGAATTTTAACTTTTGCCGCTTCCATGGGTGACAGAGCGATATCAGCAAAGAATTCAGCACTGGCAGAAGCACTTAAATATAACCAGGTTCGGTACAAGAAAGCATTTTCTTCACCGATTAGATCAGTATAAAATACCTGTTAAAAATTATTTATAAGTAAAAAAAATGTATTATAATTATTGATATGTTACTACTTACTTTGAATACTTCATAAAGTCCAAATTTACACAACCCTTGCATTGAATAACCAAAGAATGTAGGTGCCCATCCCTTAGCCAATCCCCTGGCACCGTCTTCCCTTAGTGTAACTTGGAAACCTAAAGATTAAAGGTTGTTATTTATAAAATTTATTTAAAAAAACTCCTAAAGAAACGTACCATTGAATACTGACTTATATTTAACTGGATCTACTTGAATACGACATTTTACAAGATCAAGAGGTACTACAGCAGTGTGAGTGATTCCACATGATAGAATACCTATAAAAATTTCAAATTAAATATTTTTTTATGATATATTTAGAGTTTTTTACCTCCAAGACCACAAAGTGCGAAGTAGTGAAGAGAACCGAATTCACAACTGTCTCCTTCGGCTACAGCAGCAGCAGCAATAGTTCTTCCTGCCACTAAGGACTTTACCAGACCTATGAAATGTCAAAAAAATACGTAAAATACAGCTATTTTTTATATAACAGACATTTGTTACCCTGTTGTTCAACTTTAGGTGTTACAGGAACGTTTTCTGCATTATTCTGGCACCATGCCTTTGGAAGGAGTGATAACAGTGACATGGTGTGTGTTTTCTAGGTTCCTGCTAGGGCCTGTAAATTAATACAGTTTGCTTAAAGAATAATTGAATATGAGCTTTATGATGAGTGTATAATAGTTTATAGTTAACAAATCCTCAATTACCTACTAATAAATAAACTGTACCAACAAAAATACATAATAAACTTCTCAAAACCTGTAATAAATTAGAAGATAGAATTCACAATCTTAAAAATTGATTGATATACGACAAAAAGTTCAAACTAATAGATAACCTTCAAATGTCACATATACACGTGATTTAAATCATTAAATATTATACCTTTTAACCAATAGCTTTTTAAAAAAATATTCTGTATTAAATTGCATTTTTGTTATATTAAATAACGCCTAAAAATCAGGTAATACATAGTGAAACCCTCGTGATATATTGTATTATGTAAACTGAAGCATATCTATAATTTAATTAAATATATACATTATATTATGCATAATAGCTTACATAAGCCATTTTTATCTAAAATATTCATTTTTTCTGATTGAAACCCTATTTTTATATATTATTACGTAAGATATAATGGAATATTTGCCAAAAATTGCATTTATTAACTGGTTACATAAGTCGACTTTTTGGAAAAAAACTTTACAATTACACGAATTGGGAACAATACTATTTAAAATTAAATACATAAAAATATTCAGAAAAGAAAGTATTACACAATTAAGGATAATAAATGTTTGGATTAATAAACCTATGCATATTAATTTTAAATAATAACTCACCGTAAATATGGCTGTACAGCTCGACCACCCAAAAAAGTGTAAAGTAAACCAAGGTCGCTGCAGGTTCTTGTCAAATTTAGATTACGTATCACGTGAAGTTGTGTACAAAAAAATGGGTGTATCGCCAACGATGTCAATGACAGAATAAAGCAGGGATGGGGGTGTACGTAAATAAGGTTTTTTACGTTACATAATATTCTACACAGAATATTTTAACAAATAATTTTTACCAGCAGCGGCTACCGAAATTTGTCATTGACAAATCGTTAAAATTTGAATAGTGTTTTCAAGTTAACTGTCACAAAGTAAAATGTTTTCGTCATTATTTACCGCTGTTGGACGATTATTTGCTGAGGAAAGTCCTCCTCCAGATGTTGGAGATCCCCTGGATTTTGAATCAGGACCGTTTTTGGATTGCGCTATATCTTGGGTTTATGTAAGTACTATTTGCCTACAATTTAATTATTTTTGTCAATTTCGTTACATTTTAGATGTTTAAAAAATTTCTAATACCCAAGGAGTACAGGATGAAATTTGGCTGTATGCGATGTGCGTCTATTTGTGACAAGAAACGGAAAAAATGTAAAACATGAATAATAAAATTTCAAATACTAAACGGTCATAAACATTTTTTTATTTATAATCACCTATTATAAAAATAGGCGATTGCTTTTTGAAAAATATTGTGAGCTTCTTTCAAAAGAAATCCATGATATATTAATATAATTTCATTGTATAAAAGTAAACTTAAACCATACTTAAACATTAACACCTAATTAATAAATAATTTAGTTTGTCGTTTAAGTTAATTGAATATTTTTTTCTTGAATGAATTATTGAAAAAAAATCAAAGATTTGTGGACTAGTTTTTACCTTGTTCAACTGCATTGTTTTATTCAAAATAGTGAATATTAAGTAAAAGGTTGTCTGGAACTACACTATATTGCTTGTTTAATAAATCTAATCAGGTTAAAAAATAAATTTAAAATACACTTCTGCCGCGTCTTTTTAAAACGATATAAATTGGCAGAAAAATAAAGCCCATCCCTAATTGTGATTTTCTTCTATGGTTCAATATGCGGTACATTTTATCTACGATCCAAGAAAAGTAGATCTAATAAACTAATGTCATTATTAAATGTCTTTTAAAAAATAGGCAACAAAAATGGCTGGTAAAAGGGCAAAACTTCGCGAAAAACGCGAAAAATTAAATATAACAAACCTAAAAGAGGTAGATATACTTTGTCCGATTTGCAGAACGATAATTATTGAGCCGGTGCTTCTTCCCTGTAACCATGCCTTCTGTAAGCAGTGTTTTGATGGGGCTATGGAGAACACAAATTTGGTTTGTCCCCTCTGCAGAGTCCGAGTTGGTTCATGGTATAGAAAAGCCAAGAAAAACGGGGAATTGGTAGATAAGTCCTTTTGGGATGCTATTAAAATACAGTATCCCAGAGAAATTCAAAATAAGTACAATGGAATTGATAACAGTATAGAGGAAGGTAAGATATAATGTTAAGTTAAATATATAGTGTATCATCATCTCCAGCCTATTAAACCATTTCCAATTACGGTGTAGCCTCCCGTGCTTCCCGTACATACTGTTGCCTCTTGTTGGCCATGTAGGTTCAAGTTATCCTGGCTAATTTCCTAATGTCATGGTCCCATCTCAGGTTTAGTCTTCTTCTAGGTCTCTTAATTACTCGTGGGTACCATGCTATAATTATTCTGGTTTATCTGTTGTCCGTTCTTCTTGCCAGGTGTCCTGCCCATTGCCACTTGAGTGATTTGATTCTGTGGATGAAATCTATTTCCTGGGTCTTTAGTCATATCCACTCTATTTTTTGACGGTCTTTTTTTGTTATTTCCAACATATTTTGTTCCATTGGGCATTGTGTAACCTGCAGTTTCCTTATGATGTTGGTTTTAACTGTTCAGGTTTTGCAAGCATAGTTCATGATTCATGGCAGTACATTGATCAAATGTTTTCTTCTTTATATAAAGTGGCATTCTATATTTGAATAAGATGAGTTTTGCACATAAGTACTCCGTGCTAACTTAATTCTTCTGTTGAGTTCTGGTAGTACTGTGTATTAGTAGTCTATTAATACTTAACTAGTATATATGCAATAACGTATATAATATATTGTAGATAAACCATTGATAAGGATAGCAGCACCTGGTGAGATTCGTAAGGAATACGAACTGCAACTAAAGCAACAAAAAACAGAGGAAGCGGAAATACAAAAACATCGTGATATAGAAGAAGAGAAAGCCAGTAAAGCTCTAATTAGGCAACTCAAAGAGGAAGAGGAGGATCTGAAAAGACTTGAACAAGAAAGAATAAGGTAGAATTTAAAATCTGATTAATGGGTCCTATAAAAGTGCTTCAGGCATCTGTAGGTCATAATAAAAAACTTAGGAATTTTGTTTTGTTTGATATAAATAAATAAATGAAAAAAATATATTATTTTCCAACCTTTTTTAAGAAAATTATTAAAAATATAATATTGTAATCTTAAGTCATACAACATATTCAAAATTCCAAGCCAAACTTTATGAAATATAAAATAAATTTTCTTTTTTTTTTAAATGGAACACACTGTATTTTTGTTAGATAAGGAACTAAAAATTGAACATTTTTTGTATTTAAAGTATTTTAAAGTTTTTAACGGTTTTGCAGATATTTGCTGTGTATTGTTACATATCCCTCTTTCAACAGTAAAATACAGACAAATAATATCATTAGGTGACTTTGATAAAAAAAGTTAATGTTAATTTTTTATTTTGTAAATGCGGTAGCGCGGAGCGGCGCAGCCGCTGTGAACGCACCTTAAAGTGATCTGAAAGGAAGGCAAAAATGCAATAATATAAAGGGTGTTCCATTTGCACTTAGAAACAAAATTCCTAAGATTTTTATTGTAGAGGAGCTACAGATATTCACTGTTGCATGACCCTGTATAAATATTTTTAACTGTAATTCTTATTTAGAATGGATGAAGAATTAGCAAAACAATTATCAAAAGAACAAATTCCTTCAACTTCGAAGTTAACCAAAAAGACAACACAGAAATTTGAACCAAGCAAGGGCAAGTTTATAAAAAACAACAATATGAAGCTCTATAACAGGTCTACAGACCACGACTATCAGATAAAAGAAAAAAAGGAGCATATAAGAAGACTTGAACAAGAAAAATTGAGGTAAAATTCAAATAGCTTTACAAAAATCTAATACAGGATGTCTCAAATTAGGCTTTCACCAGTGGAAGACTTCAGATTGATCTTATCTTCAGATTGATTATTATCACTATATCTCACCGTCACAGCACAGATTAGGTATCTTATAAGTATACAGATAAAAATCTTGTCCTTAATTCGTGGTATGAAAATTGTTTTTTATGACGATGTGCAAACGAGTCAAATTTCCTGTGCGCAAAATTAAACTCGCGTAAAATAACAAACAGCGTAATAGAGAGATATCGCGAATAGCGTGCATGGACGTTAATAAGGCCAGGTGTTATTTCCTTTACGTGAGGTGGTATTAACTCTCTTCATTTATAGTTATCGGATCGGAAAGAATTCTGATCGCGTCGCGTCCGCTATTTAAACTTAACCTAACTTTGAATTTAAAACTTTGAAATTGTTTTGTTTACTAGGTATTTTAAAACTAAAGGGCTAAAGTGCTTATTTCCAGTGCTTTATTGTTCAACGTCTGCCAGTGGGTTTAGGGCAACAAGCAACAAATTCTCTTAGAAGGGCTAAGTCGTCATCTGCTGTAAACCTAAGACTCTTTATAGGTTCTTTAGTATTGGAAGAGGTGGAATCCATATTTTGAGCCATATTTATTTAATTAAAACTAATCCCAGCAAAAACTAAAGCAATAATTCAAAACAATTCAAACATAACCTAAAATAAAAGATCTCGCCGGCCGGCTCCGGTTGTCAAATACCCGCACATGCCCATTTAAGCAATTTTTAAACGTTATCAGAGGTTATTTAGAAAGAGCGCTTGGTGTAATTGATCCGCAAATTACGTCAGGCGGTAACGTTATTAGCGGGTGTTGCGTTAAAAATTCACTCGCGCATATCGTAACCATGATAAGGTACGCGTAAATACTGGATGACGCTATTCGGTTTTCCGATATCTCTCTAATAACTGTGCCGGTCAGGCGGTGTGCACAATTTTAGAGGCCATAAGTGGGCGTGCTATGTGCGCAAACTAGTTACCTAACTAGTGCCCGATTTCGAAAATTGGAACCACGAAAAACAATAAAGAAAAAACAAAGATTATAATCTGTATAATCTGTGGTCACAGAATAGATAGCGCGCGCGCACGTATTACTGTTTTAACACTTATAGAATTTAAAGAAAATACCCAGAAAAAGCTTGTAAAGAGGAAAACAGCTTTAAGTATACAAAAGTTTGTACATCTACTCGGATTTTATACATTTTCTACTTAATATTCTACATATTTGACATTTTCTACTCACTTTTCTACATGCACGTAGAAAATTAATTTTCTACCTGTCTTACCCAACCCTGGTTATGTGGTGAGAGTCCAATTTGAAACACGAAGTATTAATATTTTTAACTGTAATTCTTGTTTAGATTGCAGAAGGCATTATCCAAAGAAATTCAATCCCCTTCAACATCAAAACTGAGCAAAAATACGCCTAGAAAATCCGGACCTATGGACAGTTTTGTAGAAAAGAAAAGCTTTAAGCACTATACCTTACCTAAAGACCAAGATATCCTTCAAATAAATAAAAATAACGGGAGTACAAGTAGAACAGTTAGTCCAAACAATCTCTCAACAAAACCCTACACTTGTCAAGTGTTGTACATCGATCAAAGTCCTACCCAAAGGAAATCTTACATAGATGCAAATAAGAAGAAATCTCTGTATGAAAGTCTCTATGAAAATATCTATGAGAAAAGTTTACAATATCTTGCTCAACACAAACGCAGGAGTAAAGAGACTGTGAGTAGGGATAACAGTGATGTTATTGACCAGGAATGTAATTTTTACTTTAAACCAATTGACTATGAAGAGAACAGTGTACAGGAGCCGAAGAATAACTTACCTTTAAGAGTACCTTGCAAGAAAGTCAATGTTACAGACAAGACAGACCAAGGAATAATTATGTAAGTCAGTTTTTTTAATTCTCTTATTATATACAGGGTAGCGCCTCTACATATAACGCCTCTCATACATAGCATAGGTTCTAAGGAGAACGGCTGTTTGTAAACGCTGTTGACAAAATTTTCTCGCGAACCACTCGTTAGATTCTGATGATTTTTTATTAATTGTAAATTAATTCCTTCTTAACGGATGCTACGTCAGAAATTTTTATTCCGAATTTTGAGTATATACAGGGCACAACAATAAGAGGAACTTTTTTGCCCGAATTTTGTAACACCCTGTAGGGTGCAGCAGCTGTAGCAGCTATTGCTAAATCAAATCATATTGTAGCCTCATCTTTTGTGAGCATTTTGTTTTTTTAATCACGACATTATCTCTGTTAGTTTTGGAGATAATCTTTGTTAGTATTGGAATATCTCTGTTAGTATTGGACTTTAAAACAAACGCCTCGAAAAAGCAAAACCGCGATTCATCCGTGAAAGGAACTTTAGTCCATTGCTCAATATCCCAATTCACTTGTAAACGCGCAAACACTGACTGAAGACGTGCTCGACGTCTTGGAAGTAGCTGGGGACCTGTGGCAGGCCTCCTTGCAGACAAGCTGTTTTCTTTTAATCTTCATCGGATTGTTCTCTCACTGATTTGAGTTCTACGCACGGCTTGTAGCAGATGTTGATTCTGAAACGCTGTAATTCTACGATTTCGTGAAGTATTCAGGACAATAAAGCGGTCGTCAGTTGCATTTGTTTTCCGTTTTCTTTCTGAACCCACTCGCCTGGTATGAAATTTGCCGTTTCCATATATCGATTCCAGGCATCCTGGACTGTTTCCATCTTCGGCCATCCTCAATTAAAGCCACAATTACTGTGCTCCATTTGCTGTCCTCCATTCACGCAGTTGTGCAGCTCTGAACTGTTCATGAACGCGATACTCTCACTCCATTCAATTACTGTCCTCCATTCACGCAGTTGTGCAGCTCTGATCTGTTCATGAACGCGATACTCTCACTCCATTCAATTACTGTCCTCCATTCACGCAGTTGTGCAGCTGTGAACTGTTCAAGAATGCGATACTCTCACTCCGTTCAATTGAGTCATAAAGTTCAGAACTGTTCCGCGCCATATGGAGGCACCAGGCTATCGCGCACAGCTCCTTTCAGAACCGTTCTGAGTAGCTCAGGGCGTAAAGCTCTGGAACTTGAAATTCGCGAATGGAGGGCTGCAATTCACGCAGTTGTGCAGCTCTGAACTGTTCAAGAACGCGATACTCTCACTCCATTCAATTGAGTCATAAAGTTCAGAACTGTTCCGCGCCATATGGAGGCACCAGGCTATCGCGCACAGCTCCTTTCAGAACCGTTCTGAGTAGACCGGCGTAAAGCTCTGGAACTTGAAATTCGCGAATGGAGGACAGCAAATAAGAGCAACATCCGTCACAGATAATGGCATTTTTTAATTTGACAACCGTTGTTGTCATATTGCAGATTGCGAATACTCATAAATCCGTTTTCATGATCCGTTTTCGTATATATCGCCTTGATTATTTATACATAAAACTTTCTGCCTGCGAAGCATTTTTCCGAGACGTTCGTTTTCAAGCAACGTATTTCCAATACAAACAGAGATAATGTCGTTATTAAAAAAAAATGGATGCTCACAAAAGATGAGGCTACAATGTGATCACAAAAATGTGATTTGATTTAGCAATAGCTACTACAGCTGTTGAACCCTACAGGGCGTTACAAAATTCGGGCAAAAAACTTCGTCTTATTGTTGTGCCCTGAATATGCTCAAAATAAATTCGGAATAAAAATTTCTGACGTAGCATTCGTTAAGAAGGAATTAATTTACAATTAAAAAAAATCATTAAAATCAAATGAGTTGTTCGCGAGAAATCTAACTTTGAAATTGGGACTAGTTTTTAGTGGCCGATTTTTTTTGCCGGTGAGTTTATACAATTTTTTTTTATTTTTTGGACAAAATATTTTTTTTTTATGATATTCCTTGTATACCGAACGGCTCTAGTATGGCAAGCTGTACCTTGCTACTCCCAAGGAGTTAAACGGGAGGATAATACGGGAGCTATTGATATTATTAATAGCGATATTAGTAATTCAATAATTTTACAAATACAACCCCGTGGATAAAAATTACTGTTGTGTGTCCCATAAAAATTTATTTATATTGCAAAACAACGTTTTCCGGGTCAGCTAGTTTAATATGTTTATTTAAATATTTTTTTAGGCCGCCATGTGGAAATGTAGTTGACATTTACACTGAAAACGCATCGGCTTTTGCAAAAACTTTGCCTGTAATTAAGGATAATAATAAAGTTGAAGTTAGCAGGCTTGTACCAGCACCAGAAACTAATTTCTATGGATTCAGCAATACTGATATTAGTAGTTCCCTTGCAAGCTGTGATAATGTTTCTAAGTGGATTTCAAATACTACAAAGTCTTTTTTTAATAATAAAGCAAGAGTTAAAGTTACAAATTTTCCTACCCATGAAAAAGAAATGGCCATAGATATAAAAAATCACAAGATCAAAAGAGAAATGGAAAGAATACAGCCTAGTATAGTTAATAATTCGTTAGATTCCTCTAATTCAGTACAAAGAAACTCAGACTTTAGTCATAATCCTACAAAGAAAATGAAATGTTCAAATACTAATGCTAAATTACCAGTAGTTGATAAAGAGATATACGTAGATATACCTAAACTCAAAATATCTATAACGGATGCATATTCAGACAAACTAATGAAATGTTCAAATACTAATGCTAAATTACCAGTAGTTGATAAAGAGATATACGTAGATATACCTAAACTCAAAATATCTATGACGGATGCATATTCAGACAAACTGAGTCCAGAAATCAAAACTTTAAACAGCAATGCTGTAAAGGAACGTTTTAACAAAGAATCTCGAAGAGTCGATAGTTTTATAAGTACTAAACAAATACAAATGCAAGAAGAATCGGATTTCGAGCTTGCAAAAAAACTTCAAGCTGAATTCGACATGATTCAGACACCGTTAAGAACAAGAAGAGGAACAAAACGTCAGATAACTCTAGACGAAATGTTGCTGGTCTAGAGTTTAGAATTTTTCTGGTATTTTTATTTTTTTAATTCGATTTTTCAAGGAATTGTTTCTGATTTTATTTTTTCAAAGTTGTATTATAAAAATATAATTATTGTGACATATTTAGTTGGTAATATTTATTTTTTTAAAATAATTTTGGTTTTAAAAAGAGTTGCTTAGATATTGTAAAGAATTATGTATAGGTATATTATACTTTTGGTTATAAGTAACTACCTATGATGTATACATGTATGTATAACTCAAATGTATTAAGCTACATTATTTTTGTATAGTGTATAGAAAAATTTGGTTTTCTATTATGTCTTTGAACATTGATGTTTATTTGTTTTATTTTTCTAAATAAAGAGTTGTTTATATAAACATAATGACTATTTCTTGTAGATTATAAATATTAAGACTTGATTCTAAGTAAATTTATACCGGTTGTTTCTCAAAAGTGGCTCGCCCCTATAATTTTTATATTTCTTCAGATAAAAAAAAAACGAAATTTGGCAAGTTAGTATATGACATAAATTAGGATCGATTGTATCCAATTGTTTTCGGTCACTTCCTGTTTCACCGGAATATGCTAATGAGCCACCCTCGTTCCATTTGAAAAAATTTAGTAATGATTAAAAATACGATTTGGGAATCTTTTAACCGGCCAGGACAAGATACAAAAAACATTAGGACAAGATTGTCTCGTAACTTTTGGACCAATAGGAGCGAAGCGGACTAGCATCCTTCTGACGTAGACAGAACGTATAAAATCATAGAAAAAAGGTATAAAAAATAAAATGCAACCGACAAAGAGAGATAAATGGACAATACAATAAAGAAAACACACATCAAACAACTGAAAACTATTGACGCCATACACTATAAACAAAAAGTACACACTGAATGTCGATTCGGAAATGCACTGTCGGACTGTGGACAGTTTTTATCCCTTTATCTATGAGTGGTATCATTCCTATGACTTAGTAGATGACATGTTCGATAATGGCGGATCGAGTTACGAGACAACTTTATCTTTTAATAACCTTGAGATGATCAAATCTATTTTCCCAAGGCGAACGAGAGTTTTTAATACAGCCATACAACCATACTCCAGTACTCTAGATTGAAATTTAAAATACGATTTTTTTAAGCGAGAATGTTAAAAGTTGACATATGATATGTCATTCTATTTAAACTGTCACTGTCAAGCACCTGTCAGGACAGACTATATTTGATTTTCGTACAAAAATATCATTTTCTGACAACATAGTTCTGAGGAGGCTTACAATACAGTATAAAATAAAAACAACCATTTTACTTAGGTCTTCTTATGATATATATTATATATTTTTACACATAATTTAACAGATACAAGTAAATTAACAGACGTTATTTATTTATACAATTACCATATTATTTGGCTGATTTGCTTTTCTGAAAAAGAAAAAAAAAACGATTTATAGATTAAAGTTGAGGGTTGGAACCTTTGGTGTTACAACAGCAAAATAAAACACCAATTCACCACAATACACCAAAACACTTACTTTTGCTCTTGACGCGAAGATGATTAAAACTAAACTAATGTCTACAAATTGAGGGTTTATATAGGCGCTCGGTTGGCACTGATCAAGCGTGACAAGACTAGAGACTAGAGCAATAGGAACAGAGAACTAGAAGGAATTGGGCCATTATCTCTGTTCATATTGTCTTTAGATTTATTGATTTTTACATTCTTATATGCATCTAATTGCCTGTAATGTGAGATTTGTTTAATTAATTTTAAATTATTAATATCTATACAATGACCTTTATCATAGTTATATACACAACCAAACTTATACGGAATAATCTATTATTTTTCATAATTTTTGAGACGTATGAAAATTTTGTGTTTATTAATTAAACCCAGTCCTTACCAATGACTTTTAATGAAAAATAGTCCATATAACAATAAAAAAAATGAGTCAGTTCCCAAAATAAACAAAATGGAATTTTTTTGTTTTCTGAAACGAAATTAAGATTTAAATTTTTAATGGCCAAAAAGCAAAAACAAAAAGACAATTGATCATTTTAATATTCCTTGTTGCCACCTCTAGCCCTTATGCAAGCTTCTATCCGCGCTGGCATGCTTCTTATTAAATTATCAATGTTGCCTTGGGGTATGTTTTCCGATTCTGCTAATGCGGCATCAATAAGCTGTGGAAGATATCCCTGGATTGTTTCGATGAGGTCTAACTCTTCTTTTGAGCTAGTCCAACAAGTGTTCGATAGGGTTTAGATCTGGTAAACATGCAGGCCAGTCCAAAACTATGACACCTTCCGTTTCAAGACATTCTCTAGTCACTCTGCTGGTATGGGGAGGTGCACTATCGCGCATTTGTAGCTCTGGATGAGAAACATTGGGATTTATTCTAGCAATTTGGCACACATGGCGGTCTTGTTGTTCAGTTCTGACTCTTTGACGACTTTGTCTGGGCCTATCCTTGTGTGTTCCTAATTCCAAGTACCTTGCATGTTTTCGATACAACACCCTGGGTAACGCCTACTATCTCTTTGGAGCAATCCTTGTTGGGTGAGAGCAATAAATTCTTCCCCTCTGTACATCTGTTAATCCAACATAAGGCATTTTTTTATTTTTTGGATTGAATGAAAATTACCGGACAATCCTGATTTTACTACTGAACACAAAATCCAAAAGAAAATAAATCGCAGCAGTCGTTTATTCTTTATTATCATGTTTATTTACAACAAAAAGCCTTATCTTAAAGTTGTATACCAATTTTTATCCTTGCAAGAAATTTAATCAGAAATAAAGAGTGATTCCATATAAGTCTGGTTGTGTGTATATTAGAAAACGTAGGTATAAGTTTGCAATTTCTGCAAATTCGATTTTTCAAGTGGACAAAGAAACGTCAGAATATAAGTCATCTGCTGATGATGCTAAGATGGTTAGCGAAACGCGCATCTAGTACAAAAGTAAAGCGTTTCGGTGTATTTTGGTGAATTAGTGTTTTTTTCGCAAACGATTTATAGTTTTATAAAAGGAAAAATTCAAAATATATTTACAAAAATGGACTCTGGATTAAAGGATGATCATTCCATGTCATCAGGAAAGGAACTGGGAGGAATATCATTCAAGACGGTATCATCTGAAGGTTCTGTTATAGGTTCTGATAAAGAAATTTGCTGGATAGGATTTTTCGAACTGACATTCGGATCATTACTCACAGTTTCTGGTGTATTCACGTCCTGTGATGCCTGATCTGAAAAAATAGATGATGTTTGGTTTTTAATAGAATCCCACAAGTCAGAAACGTTCGTTGGTAATTTTGGTAAGGATGGTAATTCTAATGGTGGTTCGTCTTTTTTAACTAAAAAAATTGATTAATAAAGATATATAATACAAAATGACCGAAAAAAGGCGTCGAAGACGGCTAGGGAAATGACGATCCATGGTAATTTTGACGAGGTCAAGCTCTAGAGACGTCATTTACTTAGCCCGTACTGTTTTTTTTTGTTTTTTTAAAGGCGCTTACTGCCAGATTAAGGAGGTTGTAATTTATTTTTATATTCAGTAAGATGATTTTTAAATGGTATTTTAATCATTCTATAATTATTATTACTGTTAATTTTTGATAAGTTTTATGTCAATTTTTAGTGAATAACGTCTTTGAGATTGACCTTGTCAAAATTATCATCGTTATTTTCCAGCCATCAGAGACACCGTTTTTTTTTTGGTCATACGGTATAATACAGGGTGGTTCCTCTAAACAGTCTAAAAAAATAGGGCGTGACTCCTCATAAGTTTTTAAGAAAAAAGTTTACAACTACAGGGTGTTAAAAAATTAAAAAGGATCTACTTTATACAGGGTGGTCCGAACTGTATTCCGGAAACTTCGGCAGCATATTCTGCAGATAAAAGTAAGTAAAAAAGTTCGTATAAATGTATGTCTTAAATGCTTAGTTTCGGAGATACAGGGTGTAGAAGTTTCATTTTTATTTTGATTTTTTCCAAATAATTTATGAAGTAACATCAATATTTGGGTGAAAATTGGTGTCTGGGCGTTTTTTGACATGAGAAATTTGATTTTGATGTCAATATGGCTCCTACTAGTAGAGGGCGCCACCTACACATTTTTTAACGGGTTTGAAGAGTAATAAGTTTTCGTCCGTACCTGTACAGAACTACTGAGTAAAAAAATTTACATTTACGACGTTTTTTACGTAAAAAATGTCTCTTGGTAAAAATCGATACGAGTATTGATTTTCGAAATATTTGGAATCGAAATTATCAATACCTGTCATCAGTGACATAAATAAACATGTTGACTAAATAGTTATTAGACTGAGATCATAAATTTGAAAGTTTTTGTGCCAAAAGTTCAACAGAAACTGTTTTATCATCGTTTTTTTGCAGAAAAATTTATGATTGATTTAAAAAAATTAAAATTTTTCCAAATTTATTATTTCAGTGAAATAACCATCTACTCAACGTGTTTATTTTTCGTCAATAATGACATGTATTGACTATTTCCATTCTAAATATCTTGAGAACGGTTGCTCGTAGCAATTTTTACAAAGATATATTTTTTACGTAAAAAGTTACAGAGATGTATATTTTTTCCCTCGGTGGTTTTATACAGGTACGGATAAAAAGTTATTACGCTTCAAAACAGTTAGACATGTAGGTGGCGCCCTCTACCAGTAAGAGCCCTGGACATCAAAATCAAATTTCTTATGTCAAAAAACTTCTAGACACCAATTTTCATCCAAATATTGACGTTACTTCAGAAATTATTTGTAAAAAATCGAAATAAAAATGAAACTTCCACACCCTGTATCTCTAAAACTAAGCATTTTAGGACATACATTTATACGAACTTTTTTACTTATTTTTATCTGCAGAAAATACTGCCGCAGTTTCCGGAATACAGTTCGGACTACCCTGTATATTTTATTCAATTTTTCTTTGTCGTTTCCAGACATACAGGCAGTTTATTTCCATTAACTAGGTATTCTTTTTCTACTTCAACTAGTGTTGTTCGTATGCATACATCCCTGAATTATTTGCTTAAAATAAATGGTACGCCACTGTTCTTTATCGACAACTTATTTTTTTTCCTGATTGTTAATACCTTCTTAACAAAATTGATCTCCTGACTTTTTCTTGTACATTGAACGGTTTTCGAGATAAAAAAATTAAATCAACTACATTGCAAAATTGCTAGAAAATTATATGCAATGTGGTTGATTTAATTTTTTTTCTCGAAAACCGATTGATATACAAAAAAAACCTCAAGAGATCGATCTTGTTAAAAAAGGATGGACAATCAAGAAAAAAAAAATAGTTTTCCCGAAAAAAGCATCGGCGTACCATTTATTTTAATCAAATACTCCAGAGGTGTTTTCAAGTAGGAAAAGGGCAGTTAGTGCAAATATATAGTATAAAGGTAGGTTCTTTATACCTGGAAACCACATAAAAAAAAAAAATAAATTTTGAACACCCTGTAGATAAAAAAAGGTACTTTAAACTCCATGTTTATATAACTTTTTTTCTTAAAAACAGACGAGAACACGCTCATTTTTTTCTACATAGGGAACAGCCTGTGTAATAATACTAGAGTTATATACCTCCATAAACAAAGTTATAAGCTATAGTTAAAATCTTTTTTCCTTCCGCTGCCCCAACTTGTGAATATTCAGAGGCTTCTTTGGGATAACACACTGATGCCATACCTTAAAGATAATAAAACTGGAATATTTGTATCATAAATACCAATGACATTTAAATAAAGGGTAGACAAAAAACACTCCATTCATATAGTTCATGTCAAATATACTTTTAGTCACGTGATTAAGCTTGACCGACACAGCGTTGTCCACTTATATTTTAGAAAACAAAAATAAATTAATTATAAATAAATAAACAGTTATTATTTACATCAAAAAAAAATCATCTTTCCTGTTCAAAATGTTCTAATAAAGCTGCGATGAGTTTTTTACGGCTATTAAGCTATCTTGTACACTTAGTACTAAAAGAGGTTTTAAAAAGAACAATGTTCGACTGCAAGGTCTGCTAGTAACCATTTTCAAGCTTAAAGTACCACAACACTATTTATTGAAACCAAAAACTCTTAATACAAAACTAAAGTGTCAAAATGAATGACAATGTCAGGAAATAAATAAATAAATAAATGCGACAACTTGACATTTTTACAGCAGAGCTACCACCAGAATCCCCAGCGCGAAATTTAAATACCAGTTAGTCAGCACGACGCCAAATATGTCCATGATTGGCGACAATGAATTTAAAAATCGCGCCCTAGATTACGTAACTAAAAATATAATTGATATGAAATATATATTTTACACATATTTAGTACGCTGTTTCTATAGGTACCCAAAAAACTATCAATAACAATAATATACTTCGTTTTCAAGCACAAGCCGTAGATCTAACGCAATCCGCAGAAATTTGGCATTATCGCTTTTTGTTGAAAACAAGTTTGACCGGGACCAAATGTAAATAGTTTTGTCTCCCTTTATTTAGATGTCTTTGATAAAAACAGCAAGATAAGTTACCTAAAGCCCCTGTAGCAGCGTATAGAGTTCTTTTAAAAATACCTCCACGAAGACCAAAAATAAGACCTGTTAGGGCTCCAATTCCTATAGCTCCCGCCTTAGGTAAGGAGTTATCTTCTTGACGTAGATAATCAACTAACCCTACAAGTTAAAAATGTACAAATTTTCAATAGAATCAATCTTGTTTCATTTATACAGGATGGCTCCAAGAAGAATGGCAGTTTGTATTGAAATAAAATTTTGGGAGCATGTATTTTATGTCTTCCTCCTTAGAGCCTCTCCTTTCTAAAGGCTCCACCCTGTACTTTTATTAATTACATTCAATATTCTGTTTGCTTTCAGTAAAGCTGTCCTGTGCCACTTTTTCGTATGCTTTAAACTCTTCTGAATATTTAAATAACACTTGTCTGATATTTCTAAAGGATACTTCAATAATATTAGGTTCTTTGGTTTCTTGGACTGCTACATTACCAAGTTGCTGATCTGAGCTGTATATGGGAAGCTCGCTAGGCCTAAAAAAACAAGATATGCCAGTCCTAGAATAGGTAGAATATTTTTAAATATAGGAAATATAGTTACCTACAAACGCTATCTTTATTTTCGTCACTTTTCGTGTTTGATGCAGATTTTACTTCGGTTACAACTGCTACAGCCGCAGGTAGTAGGCATTTTCGTATAACCTAAAATAAACAGGGATTCCACATTCAATTCCTATATGAAATAAGCAACTCATTTTTTTTAATAAGATGAGTTTAATCATAATTACCATATTGTTAAACATAATTAATACAGTTTCAAAAAATCACAAGGAAAAAATCACAATTACATAAAAGTGTTTTGACAGGAGACTGCACAGAGTCGGACTTGCGAGTATTTAATCGGAAAAATAACGAGATAAAATTACTGAAATTTGGTAATTGACAAATGTAGATGAAGTATTTATTTGATAAATACCTGCTTAAAGCGAGGAAGGTACGAGGAATACCTAGAAATACCTGTTTTCCTGGTATTTATATCTTGATCTATATCGATGGAAAAAAATACGCAAATCAGATAAATTGTCTACAGCTGACATTCCAGTTGAAAAACGTGGATATGAAAAAATAATTAATTTTTAAAACTAGTTTAATTTATCAATATATTGTTAAGAAAAAATTGGATTTAATTTATTTATTTATATAAATGCATCAAACCAGAATCAAGCATTCTTATATTTATACATCCACGCGCGTCTTTAGGAGCGCATTTTTTGTTTTTATTGAAGGGCCGTTTCAAGATGTGTGATTTAAAAAACAAATTAAAACAATTTATTCATTTTATGTATATCTTTGATGTATATTGTATGCTGTAGTAAGCTATTTTTTCTATTTGGCGAAGAAAGCGCACAAAAGCGGAGTATAATATACGCAACATCTATAGATTCAAAAATAGTTGCAATGGCCAAGTTTTCGAAAAATTTACATAAAATCCCAGAAGATCTTGTTTTGCTGAAGATATTTTACTTGAATATAAATATGTTACCTGTGTGTATATTCTATTTTTTTAACAGATACAACAGAACAGATAACAGATTTATATTTTATCCACCCTCCAGATAAATCAATCAATTGCCCCATTTAGCTGGCTAGTGGCTGCTACTGCAAATTTTGTATGTGATGTATATGTATAATGTGACTAAAAATTATTTATATAAAATTAAAAACAAATTATTTACATCTTATCAAAGATCTTATCGAACTTAATTTATCGATCTTATCGAACATCCCTATAAGTCTATTTTTTGTCAATGGATTCTTTGTACGTTTATTAATCTATGGTAGAAATAGTGACAGTGACAGTAGTTCAAATGTACCAAGTAAACAAATTTAAAAGGTTATAAGTGAACGCGAATATTTTTAGATTTAAATTTGCGATAGCAGTATTATAAATAATACAATTACCTCTCATAACATTTCAGTATTTAAAGTGTTTTTACATAATGATTTCTAGTATCCTACCAATACTGTTTTTTTTTCCTGTTAAAAGTTTAAAAGTAGGAAAGTAAGTGTTGTATACACTTGTATTACTCTAAAAAGAAATGTAATTAAATAGAGTACCATCGCTCTATCAAAATATAAATTAAACCATTTTAAATACATTATCGAAACCATCATGGATATTTTGCATAAAATTGGGTGTAACCTCAGTCCAGTAAGTATTGATGAGATCGAACCAAATTTATTTTTGGGCAGTTTGGCAGCTGCTAGAGACATGGAAACTTTGACGAAATTTAAAATAACTCATATTTTAACCATCGATACTTGCCCTTTACCGAGAAATATCTCGGAACTTGCCAATATCACTACAATGTTTATACATTTGTCTGATTTACCCAAGGAGGATATTTTAAGTAATTTCAGCCAGGCTATTAGTTTTATTCAAGAAGGTAAGTTTAATTTGTTTTTTTTTATTTGACGTGATTTTTTTACAAATTGCTAGGAGTAGCAAATGGGGCTGTTTTGGTTCATTGTTATTTTGGAGTGTCACGCAGTGCTACACTTGTTCTTGCATATATAATGAAGAAATATCAGTTATCGTATCATGAAGCGTTTGAGAAAGTTAAGGCAAAAAGAAGTATCATTTATCCAAACCAAGGTACTACAACAATGTTACATACAGGGCCTGAAGCAATGCTTAGGGCATCTGTAGGTCCTATAAAAAGAACTTAGAAATTTTATTTATTCAATATACAGAGTACACCCTGTATATTGTTGCAATTTTTGGCTTTCTTCTTAATTACTTTACATAGTCCTCAAATATTACTAAACTTGTATTTATAATTTCAGAGACATAAATAAATAAATAAAAAATATATATTTTCAGCCTTTTTAATAAAAATTATTAAATATATAAGTGTCCTGAAATCAAAACTATGCTTTGTGCGTACTACAGTTGTTCTGTGCTTACTTTATTATAAATATCGTAATCTTACTTCGTACAGGGTGTTCAAAATTCCATGTCAAACTTTCTAAAATAAAATTATTTTATTTTTTAACGGAATACCCTGTTTATTATTTTTGCGTTAGATGGAGAATTAAAAAATGAACATTTTTTGTATTTGACTAATTACTAAAAATACTAGTAGTAAATTACTAGTTTCCTTATACTATGGTAATATGTTAGGATTACGTATAAAGTGATTAGAAAGGAAGCCAAAATTGCAGTAATATAGAGGGTGTCCCATTTAAAAAAAAATCATTCTGATCCACTCACACTTTAATAAACCAAAAATACTTCTTAGTACATAGGTACTTTAATTAGGTTTGTACTTAAACAAAATTTCTAAGTTTTTTGTTATAGGAGCTACATATGCCCGACGCACTGTTGCAGGACTCTAGTACTTAGTACTTAGGTAATTCATAATATCATGCTTAACTATAGGGTTTGTGTCCCAACTGAAATTGTACAGACATATGGGCTATACAATCGAAAAGTCAGATAAAAGGTACAAATTGTTCCGTCTCAACACAGCAGCCGACTGGATGCGAAAAGTCAAAATCCTCCCTCAAGACTTCAAAGACTTAATACAACCAGACCCAGGCCTACCCCAGTCGAATCCAGATCCAAACGTTTACCGATGTAAAAAATGCCGCAGGGTTCTAGCCTGTGAACACAACCTAATAATTCACCTGAACAGTGCCAAAAGTAAGTGTTCACAAATGTATTTTGTCGAGCCAATGGCTTGGATGAATGTGAGTCAAGTGACTCAGGGTAAACTACATTGCCCTAAATGTAGTAATAAGGTGGGGTCATTTAGTTGGGTTATGGGCTGCCAGTGTCCTTGTGGAGTTAAGGTGGCACCAGCCTTTTATTTGGTGCCCTCGAAAATCGATTATACCAATGTGGTTAAGAATATTGAAGTCACATTTTAAAAATATATTATGTTGGATTGTAAATTTATATAAAACTATCTTATTTGTATGTCATCTAAAATATATTTATTTAATTTTATTTTATATTAAAATGAAATATTTTGTGTATACAGGGTGAGTCTTAAATAAGTACAAATATTTTCAGGGCTGGTAAACCTTGAGAAAAGAAACATATTTTCTCTTTACCGTTTTTCAAATAGGTTGTGATAAGTCCTAAATAACAGAGATATTTTACTTTGAGAATTTCAAAAAAAATTGATTAAATTTTGGGAACCACTGGATCTTTTCTCGGTTTTCTTTCTTGTAAATTTAATCCACTACCTGTGTTGTCATATTATGAAATTATGTTTTTTTCATCTAAAAATTAAAAAAAAAATAAAAATTTTTTTCAAAAAATTCCAAATTATCAAAATTTTTAATTTGCGGAAAAAAACCGTTTTTCTGAGATCGAAATATACTACCACTAAAAACATTTGCACTTATTAAAGACTCACCCTGTATATTGAATATGACATCCTTATATACAGGGTGGTCTGAATTATATTCGGGAAACTTCGTCAGCATATTATTCGGCAGACAAAATAAGTAAAAAAGTTGCTTTAAATGTATGTCCTAAAATGCTTTGTTTCGGAGATACAGGGTGTAGAAGTTTCATGTTTATTTCGATTTTATTGTAAATATAATTTCCATTCCAAATATCTTGAGAACGGTTGCGCGTAGCGATTGTTACCAAGAGACCTTTTTTACGTAAAAAAAACTTCGGAAATGTATATTTTTTACTCGGTAATTTTAATACAGTTACGGAAGAAAAGTTATTACTCTTCAAAACAGGTTAAAATCATTTAGGTAGCGTTTTCTACAATTAAGAGCCATATTGACATGGAAATCAAATTTATCATTTGAAAAAACACGCAGATACCAATTTTCATATAAATACCGATGTTAGTTGAGAAATTATTTGGAAAAAATCGAAATAAAAATGAAACTTCTACACACCCTGTATATCCGAAACAAAGTATTTTAGGACATAAACTTATAGGGACTTTTTTACTTATCTTTATCTGTAGAATAATTAATTTATATAGAAAATAGGCAACAAACAACAACTTAAAGCCAAGTCATTTTGTACAAATTATAAAAAAAAAATATTTTCTTCCAAACTTGATAATACATTGATATATTTATCTGTAAGGAAAATAATTAGGTAGGAATATATAAGAATTTATGTTTGTATGTTGTTATATGTTGTAAAAAGAAATATACCTAGTTAAAATTATAATAAAATACTATATGTACTGAAATAAAAACATTTTATATTATTAAAAATGTTTTATTATATTTAAATCTACATATTTATTTATATACAATTTTGTATAAACTCTCCAAGTTCTACCTAATTTAAAATCCATAACTATAATTATAGATTTTCACATTCCATGTTTCGTTTATCAAATTTATATGACTTATTACATTAATTTAACAATTATTTTACATTATTTTCTTTACAATTTATTAAATTAAACATATTTATATTTAAATAGTTCATTTGGCAGCTATCTTATTCTTGAGTTTAGGGGATTTACCACTTTTCCTACCATTAAAGCTACATTCAACTCTGTATCCATGACAAAGTACAGAAAGGGATGATCGGCTCTAAACTGTACAGGTGGATATCTTCGTAAATTTTCTAAAAAATAAGAGTTATTATTAGTAATACCGTATTATCGAAAAAAATAAGAAGAAAGTAAGAACTTATGATTCCAGTATTCATAATTCCATCAAAATAATTAAAAAAAAAGAAAAGATTTTTAAGAATTGGGTACACTATAAGTATAAGTACCATACGGTCGAAAAAAACGGCGTCAAAGACGACTGAGGAATGACAATCGATGATAATTTTGGCGAGGGTAATCTCTATATAGACGTCATTTACTAAAAATTGACATAAAATTTGCCAAAACATTAATACTAATTATAGAAAGATTAAAAAAAATAGAACGTATCCAGATACACAAATCTATTTCCAAAAAAAAATTCTCGAATTTTCAACTCATTTTTCAATTTTTCAAAACATTTTTACTCATAAAAATAATTTACAAACTTTTTAAGGCCAACCGGCAGCAAGCTCCATTAAAAAATAAAGAAGAGTACGAGCCAAGTAAATGACGTCTAGAGCTTGACCTCGTCAAAATTATCATTGATTGTTATTCTCCAGCCCTCTTTGACGCAGTTTTTTTTTCGACCGTATGGTACTTATAGTGTACCGATTTTTTTAAAATATTTTGACGGAATTATGAATACTGGAATCATAAGTTCTTACAATTAATAACATTAAAATCTGATATCTGAATCGCAGAAGACAATGAATGAAGCTTAATGTCTTTTGAGGCACTTAACAAAATTGACGTGAGAAACACTTTGTACCTTAGAAACAAACATAAAGAAAAAGCGTGAATTTTAACACTGAACTAAATCTCGTTACGCAATTTTCAGATGGTAGGTACACACAAAAAGTACCGTAGATCAGAGGCGGCTCGTCAATAGGAGAATTCGTGCACCCACAACAAGAAAAAAGTAGGTAATAAAAAATAAACTTTAAAAAGTAAATTTTAATAAAAAAATATTGTGTGCACTATGTGCACATATTTGAAGTAAAACTTCTTACCAACAACTATTAAATTGAAGGATTTGAAGGTATGTTTGAAAAAGTGTAGTTTGAAATGTTGAAAAAGTAATAAATAAAAAATTAATAAAATAATTTGATTCACATGACCGTCTGTACATACGGGTACCTCTATCCACGTGCTGAGTTTGGTTCCAAGTGACCCGTAATCATGTAATCAAGAAAAATCCTGATGAGTTCGTCCATTTAGAGGCATCGGTTCGAAACGTCGAGGGTGTCATCCTGTAGCCCGTCCCCAATTATGCCGAAATCGACCCACATTTTTCTTCAATATCAAATCCTTAGTCCCACCCTGATGAAGATGTAAACGAAACGTCGTCGTATCCAACTTTACAGGATGGGACCGTGTTCACCGTCGCTCACATAGCCTATACCCACCTGTGATACCCACCAAATTTGGTCGCGATCGGACCACAGGATCGGACGATTCAGCTTTTGACATTTCTTACGTCAAAACTAACTGTCACAGTGACACGTGTCGTACACAGTCAAATTGGCCTTGGTCCCATCTATCGACATACCAAATTTCATTTAAATCGGACGATTTTTTCTAAGCCGTAGTCTGTCCTTACCACTTTTCCTCCCGCGTGTCGAGTCACGGCCTTGAATTTTTACTCCCAGCGCGCGTAAAGAAGTTTCACTTCAATAAAGAAAGAATGAAATTACATGCTTTAAAAAGAGTAAAAAGAACATGTTTAATTTTTACTATAGACCTACAATTCGGTAGGTACGTTATATTTAAAAAGATATAACTGTTTCATTTAAATATATATTCTATGTTCTTAACCGTTGCTTCTTTGGCAAACTACGTACCCTATAAAGATTAATACATACGCGATCTTCTCTATCTACCCAGACAGCACAGTGACATTTTAAAGACAACTTGTTACAACATTTACTGACATCTCAAAGACGTCTATTTTCGCCTTTAGACGTATTAAAGGCATCTTACCATAACGTCTGATGTTGAAAAAACCCAACATCTTTAAGACGTTTTGAGTACAATGTGTTTAAGATATATTTTAACAATGTACTTAAGATGTCTTTTAATATGAATGAAAATGGGAGACAATGGTGAATTATAAAATAAAACATCTTCTTGGACTGGCATTGTCTTTAATTTTTAAATTAAGTATGTTTCTCTCAGATGACCTCACTGACCAGTATGAAGTGAACAGTTAACATTTTATAATAGTGATATATCTGACCGAAACGTTATGTATTGGTATTTTCTTCTTGGACAACCACTGGAGGGACATTTTCAGATGTGTTATCATGCGCATCTAAAATATGAATCATATAGAAATAAGATAATTGTTCAAAAATATCTAAATGTTTTAAACTTACTTGGCTTACCTACAATATCAGCTTTAACTCCTTTGTTCAGCTTTAATGATGAAATTTTGGTAAATTCTCTGATGAAACTTTATATCACGTCCCTTTGCCAAACGGTTTCGCGCGCCTTTTTACAACTTACAACAACGAAAAGAACAAACATTTTCCGCGAGGTTTTCCAGAGATTTTCGATCACATAACCTCACATCAACATCAACCACAACCACAGGAGATAACTGTCACGCCTGTCAATCGTCATATTTGCGCCTATAAATTAAATCAGGATAATGTTCTTATTTCTTTTAAGATAATATCATATTCCTGTCATATTATACCAGATTATACTCTCCTTTTCTATGAATATCGCCTACTCTAGAAAAAAACGAGATAAATAGAAAAAAATTAATTTAAAATTTCTCATCATTTCTAATGTAATTTTAGAGACGTCCTAAATATGTTTTATTTCATCATCTTATGACTATCTTTAAAATGATGTCCAAAAGTTGTCTTATTTTAGTCTTTAGGCGTTAAGATCTAATTAAGATATAAAAAAGACGTCTTTAAGATATTATGTGCTGTCTGAGTATGGCTGTAGTTGACGAGTCGCCACTGCCGTCGATTGACAAAACAATTGGCGGGCATTTTTGTTAAATTGCGCCTGCTGGATTAATTGCATCACTTACGTAATCAACCTTGCGCGGAAGAGTTACACCTTTACATCTGATGACCCGCGCTTAAAAAATACTTAACAATGATGAGTATGTATTTTTTCATTACAAGAAAACTAAAAGTACACTCCGCGACAAAAAAATCTTCCACCCGTTCTTTTATAACTGTCTTATAATTTATTTATTACTAGTCTGAAGATTTTCTTTCAATCACACGGTATAATACTCACTGTAATTCTCCGCTGAAGGATCCAAGTAGTTTCGTATGGTCACAGTGACAGCTTGCTCGATGTTTGTGACGTAGATATCGGTCACATTGGTCATCGGTGAAAAATCGGCCTGTCTTGGTTCGAAAATCCTTCTAATACCCAACTTAAACATAAGATTTTGCTTAAAATTACTCTTAGTATTCATTTTAAAGTGTTTTTTTTAATCACAGCTTACTCCATACCAGTCAGTCATCTTGCCTTGCTTTTGCAAGTTCGCGTTCCCAATATACGCAGATTTCTACGTAATTGATCCTAAATCGACAGGCTGGTCGGGAATGGGCTGTGGTTTTAATTACCCTACACATACTACTGATATGGCGGCACTATATAAGTTGCAAAAGGGAATCGTCCAACAAAACTGATATGTTTTAGAAAATATCGGTTGTGTGTGTATCGCAATTTTAATAATAATACAGGGAAAACAAAAAGTAAGTATCTATAAGTACCTGTTGGAGTGTTGGTGTCAAAGTAACGTACCCTTTGAGAGTAAAACTAGGAATGGTGGCTATCACGTGAGTTAAACGTAAGTTCTCCAAGATGAATCTCAAATTACCGTGTAACCTGTAATTTTTTACACCCTGTATATACCATGCAAATATACAGGTGGGTCTTAAATAAGTGCAAATATTTTTTGGGGTGGTATATTTTGAGCAAAAATACGTCTATGAGTTTTACGCAAAAACAATATGTTGAAAATCGTATATTTTCCTTTAAAGGTTCCTGTATATTTTAGAAAACTTTTTAGTATTTCCCACGGTATAGTTTCTTAATCTCTGATATTACCATGATTACGACTTTACTCTATGGTTACGGCTCTAAAAAGGATGCAAATACAGAAAAAATCCTGGTGGCTCTCAATTTTTTTTAAAAATAAGTCAATTTTTTTTAAATTTTCTAAAACTTGAATAACTCGGTTATTTTGGAGTTATTTGAAAAACGGCAAAGGGAAAATATGTTTCTTTTATCGAGATCTACCAGTCGTGAAAATATTTGCACTTATTTAAGACCCACCCTGTATATGGCAAATCCACAGATATAAAAAAATATATTTATAGCAAAAAAATGAAAATATGTAATTTGGATTTAAAAATATATTTGAATCACCCATTTGTATAACAAAACTAGTATCAAACTATATCAATAAAATTAGTTTTAAAACGTTTTATAAACAATACTGACTCACCTGAGGTCACAAATTAGCTGATCAACTCCGTTAAAATCTACAGGGAGTAACAATAAAAGGTAATATTTGGTGTTGTCCAGAGGAAAACTCAAGGCAAGAGCATTTAAATTTGGAACAAAGTAAAAAGGCAATACTGTATCGTACTTCATGAAGTTAACTCCTGGTTCTTGGTACTTCCCATAAGCTGCGAACGTTAGAGGCTCTTCAGGCCTGTAATATGGCCTATATGGCCTTTTGTGTGGTGGAATGTAATGGCTGTTATGTTCATAGTACCTAAAAATCATGTTAAACGTCATATTTAAATGTATATGTTTGTTAATTAACTTTTAATTAATCTATCTGCAAAATTATTTTTCTAAATCACATTATAACTACCTTGCAAAAACATAATCTGCTACTGATCTAACTCTTCTAAAGTTCCTGTTAAAACCTTCAGGAGTATTCGGAAAATCATTAGTATTTGGCAACGCTGCATTGGCGTCATCATATAAGGGAGTTCCCTGAGTACCAGTACCATTAAACTGAGCATTCGCGTCATAATTATAGTTGAAATCGAAATTATTTTGATCAAAATCCCCCATATCCTAAAAAACTCAACTTCTTTTAACTTCAGTTAGGTTTAAATTAAAGAACTGTATACCTGAAACTCTGGAGTAGTTCCGATAAAGAACGGAGTGGTAGTTTGGAGGTCTTGAAGTTGTTGGAGTAGTTCTGGAGGTGGGGTAGTTTCTGGGTTGCCTTCAGGAGCAGTAGTCATGGTACTAGCTTCAGTAATATCTGTTTTTACTTCTTCGGTAGTTGGTGCCGTTACGGTAGTCATAGTTTCCTTACTGGTAACTTCAGTAGAGGGTAACGTAGTCTGCATTTCAGTTAAAATTTCAGTTGTAACTTGAGTGGTTTCTTTGGCGGGTGTAACTGGTTCTAGAGTAGTCATAATTTCTTCCTTGGCTGTCATGGGAACTGTAGTAGTTGTTAACATTGTTGTTGTACTGGGAGGTTCCGTTATTGTTGTTAATATATCAGTTACAGTTGTTTTTATTGTCGTAGTAGGCAAAGAAGTGGTTGATACAACTGTAGAAACCTCCGTTTCAGTTGTATCCGCAACATTTTCAGTTGGTAAACTCGTTTTTACAGTACTACTTGAAATTTCTGATGTAGCCTCCTTTATTGTTGAATCTGTAACTGCTTCAGTGCCTGTAGTAGTTGTTTCAGGCAAAACTGTAGTAGTAACAGTGTTTATTTCTGTAGTTGTAGTTATAGCAGGTGTTGTAGTTGTACTGGCGGGAAGTATATTTTGCGTTGTTGTCAAAATTGTAGATTCTTGTGGTGCAGAGTCGCCAATTGTTGTTCTGGTACTTTGCGTAGTACTCTCGGTTGCTATAAAATGTTATTTATTTAATGTTGCATTTATTAATCTTCCGGTATATTTGTATTAAGGCTGCTAGTATGAACTTTGTTTGTTGCCATGTTAAATGACATGTTTTATACATTGATTTTTGTTGTCAATCAAGTTCAGTTTTTTTTGTCAAAAAAACGCCTTTCGCACGAATTCGGCATAGGTTCGAGTACGTTTCCATTAAAATGGAGGAAATATTAAAAAAAGCTGAAGAAGCACGACAAGCGTTACTTCCACTTAAAAAAGAATCCATTTACCAAAAGGAATATATTATACAGGGTGTCCCAGAAATAAGTGCGAATATTTTAACTGGTAGTATAGTTCAACCTCAGAAACACGCCTATGAGGTTTTTTTCGCGAAAAAAAAAATTTGAAAATTCTAAAATTTTTGAAAATTTTTTTGGAATTTTTTTAGTTTTTAGTGAAAAACCATAATTTCTTGATAATATGGCAACATAGGTATTAGATTAAATTTACAAGAAAGAAAATCCAGAAAAGATCCAGTGGTTCTCAAAATTTTAGCAAAGAATATATTTTTTTAAATTTTCAAAGTAAAATAACTCCGTTACTTTGGACTTATTTGAAAAATGATAAAGAGAAAATATGTTTCTTTTATCGAGATCTACCACTCCTTAAAATATTTGCACTTATTTCTGGGACACCCTGTATTACAAATACCATCAGTGGCTGGGACAGGAAAATCTTGTACTGGGGATGTCGATGAAACTGTTCTCTCTTGTATTTTTTTTATATATGTGACATTAATGATGCAAATAAATTAATAGCGGAGTTATATGAGTGTCCATTTTCATTATATTATTACTCAAAATCTATATTTCATTTCATGGTTGTTACTTATAAAAGGTAGAGGTAATTATGGCAAATTAATTTCGTAATTAAGTAAGAAATAAAAGACTAAATATTTACCTGTTGAAGTTGTGGGAGTAGGAGTAGTGCTCATAGTAACTTCTAATGAACTTTTTGTTGTTGTTTCTTCTGATAGTTTTGTTGTTAATTCAGATGGAACTTCTGTAAGTTTCACAGTTGTTTCTGGTGTAGTTCGTGCTAAATTTTCTGTTGTAGTTGATACTGTAGTTATAGTAGTTTCTTCACTAGGTGTAGTGCGCATGGGACTGCCTAATCTATTCACTGCTTTAACGGTAGTTGTTTCATCTCCATTCAATTCTGTAGCTCCTTCAGAAACGCCTAATGTAGTTCCTAGTGTAGTTATATTTTCTAAAATTTTACTATTTTTACGAAATTTTTATTTTTAATGTTTTTAACTCAACCTGCTGATGGAGCGGGTGTTGTAGAGGGTCCTGGATATAAGGCATTATTAAATGATCCATAATCAAACCCATAAAATCTTAAAACATCTTCATATTCGCTACGGAGTGTTACGTTGTTAAGGTTAAGCGTGAGACCAGCTAAAAAACCTTCCGGGGGGATAAAGTAACTCTAAAATATAAGAAAATTTATATCTACAGGGTGTTTTACATTCGGCTCACGAAATAGTAGACAGTGAGAGTATGTGGGATGTGAAACATCAAACTGGATGAAAATATGTAGACAGGGATGACAACACTGGATGATTTCATTCTGGAGTAATTGATCAAATGTGATACAGTTTAGATCATGCTTTACCTTCAAATGGCGATGTATGTCCCTTAATCCTACCCTCATGATGTGTTTGTCTTTTGGAATGTGAGCTGCATAAACTATTTCACTAGCTGCATCTCCTTGGATGCCTTCTGTTAAAGCTGCCAACACACTAAGGGCTCCATAGGGTGAAATGCCGATGTTGTTTTCGTTGTGCTCGTTGTGGATCTGTAAAAGAACAGCTGTCATTGTACTTCTCTTAAACAGATTACGCATTCTCTTAAGCAGATTAATATAAAGGATCTCATTTCATTAAAGAAATACGAAAAACATCGTCTACTTAAATTTATTGTTTTTAATATTGCACTCTAATGTTATTTTTGTAGCTTGTTAAATTAAAAGTCCCAATCAGACGCTGATAAGTCCAACCGTGAGCTGCAAGTGCACGGATTACATGTGCATTTATATTTTATATGTGCATTTTATTTATTATTTTTGCATATGTGCATTTTATTTATTATTATTAATTAAACTAATTTCAAGTCCGGCTCTGTCTTTTTTTAAATATTTAATCTATTCATCGTTACAATATTGATAAGCTTTCAAACTTAACAATGACCAGGTTCCTGGACCTGTCGCAAAGGGGCGGGGGACATTTATTTACATTATCATTTGCAAAAGTGAAATCAATATATCTCAACATTAACAATAAGGAGTACAAAATGCTTTCGGAGGTATAAGAAAGTTCAAAGAGCTATAAATAAAATTGAACGAAAAATAAATTTGTGTAATAGAGAGGGTTGTAACTCTTTGGAACATGTAGAGCATTAGAAACTAGTTTGTAGAAGTTGATTTATTTATAATAATTACGATTAATATTATGTATATTATTAGATCGCGTACTGAGATTTCAAATTCACAATAAAAAAAGTTAAAAATAATATCTTTAAATTGCTGACCTTAACATTATTTATTTGAATCTTTCAATTGGCTTGATTTTCCTTATTCAATGTTAATTAGCGTTGCTCAATATTGTTGGGATGAATATAATCAGATCACAGCTTACAGAATAATATAGCTTAGACACTCGCCAATTTTTCCCACGCTCGAATTTAAAACGCCCCACTCCAACGATGCTTAACTGAATTAAGCGAGTCAGCCACATTCAGTCGATGCATAACCTCTACCGGTGACGAGTAGGGCCGTATTACGGAAGATTTTAATTCGATTTTTTCTTATATTTAACCATAGGTATTTGTGCTTTTATTTCAATTTTATTTTTATTGTTGGAATGGGAAAAGGTTTTCCGGGATGTGCGGCTGCTGGTTACACAAATAATTATGGAAATAATTCAAAATATAGTCTGTTTAATTTTCAATTCAATTCAAAAGTATTCACACTTTAGAGCTTTTCAAAACGATAAAGACCACTTATTTGGAGGCTTGCTAATGCCAAGTGACCATTTTTTTATTTAGTGTCCTTATTGAAGGCTATTTTTATAAGCTTTGTATGTAACTATCTATGTATGTATGTATGTTTTTGCGGGGCAAATCAGAACCACTTCCTTTTATTGTAGGAGATTGAAATTTGGCATGTAGGTTCAGACCCGATGACAATATATTTTTTGCAAGGCATGACCCGAATTTTTGACAGCTGTCAAAATGGCGGCATTTTTGAGGTTTTTGATTTTTTAAAATTCTATTTATGAATGGATCGGGCTAAAATTATATATATAGGTATATTGTGGGTATATACATATGAAAAAAATATATGGACGGCCATCTTGAAAAAATGACAGTTTAATGACATGTTAAAATTTCAAAGTCAACCGATTTTCATAAAAATTGATATATAGGATGGCCATGGGCTAAAATAAAAGAAAAAAAATTTGAGCTGTCAAATTTGACAGCTGTCAAAAAAATTTCAAAGTTGTCCGATTTGGATAAAAATCGATGATGGCCATGGGCTAAAATAAAAGAAAAAAAATTAGTTGTCAAACTTGACAGCTGTCAAAAAAATTTCAAATTTGTCCGAATGTGATAAAAATCGATATATTGGATGCCCCCTACCCCATAGTCGGTTTTCATTTTATTTGTCTCACATTTGAACTGTCAAATTTGACAGCTGTCGTTTTTTTTAAGTTCTCCTTTTTTAATGAAAATCGATATACATATTATTAGGATGTCCATAGAAAGTTATTTAAGAAAAAAATTGAGTTTAAATGTGTGGCACTGAGAAACCGGCATAACTAAAAAGTAGAAAATAAATTTTACAAAAAAGCTTTTTTTAAAAACAAGCTTTTATTTAAATTTAAATACACTAAAAAGAATAAAATAAACTTTTTCTTTAAAACTTTTATTATGAACTTATAACGCCATTACACAATTTTAATATTATATAAAAGCTTGTCGCGAGATTTCTCTACATCGATAAACAAGTAAATTAACTAAAACCTGTGTCTACCCTGTCTCATTTTGAAAGTTTGTGTTATGATAGACCACTAGACCAGGAATTACAAGATAAACTTGTCGTACCAGATTTTTATGAGTGCAACTGTACACTCAAATCTTGCGACAAGCCTTTATATATTAATATTAAAATTGTGTAATGACGTTATAAGTTCATAATAAAAGTTTTAAAGAAAAAGTTTATTTTATTCTTTTTAGTGTATTTAAATAAAAACTTGTTTTTAAAAAAGTTTTTTTATAAAATTTATCAGAACAATTTTGAAGAACTTTCCTTAAATGAAAATATATTATGTAAATTCGTTAAATTATTTCAGACAATTAGATAAATTCAACCATCCTTGTCAAAATTTTCCTATAATGTATTTTTTGTTAAAATTATACGCAAAAGTTAATTTATTAATACCTCAAAAGAATATTAATAAGAACTTAAATATAGCAAACAAAAACCGAAAGCTCCTAATTTGGAAACATTCGTAAATAACTATAAGTAATCAATGTACCTATTTCATTTTGCTGTTATTTCTAGAAATAAATTAATTAATTTGTTTTTTAAATGTTTTTCTTTGAGAATGCATATTTATTTAAAGTCAACAATTTAAAAAACGTGTATCTAAATTATGTTCTAGCACCAGTCGAATAATTTTTTACGTCACGTGTAAAAATTTTTTTAATACATCTCTGGACTGCCTGCCGCTTACGCGGCTATTGGTTGTGGCGGAAGAGCTCGCCGCTCTAGTGTTCGCCCTCTTTCGAATCGCAAATCCAGCGTAAAAAGATCAAAGCGGCACGCTACACTGTCCGAGCTGTTATCAGATTAAATAATTTAAAAAAACAGAGTCGAACTTAAAATTATTTTAAATATAATTAAATAGTTTTGTTGTTGTTAAGGTACCCAAAACAAAAAAAAGTATAAAGTGTGGCATATCATTGTACTCAGGAGACTGAGTTTTTTTAAAACCAGAAATAAAAAATGCAGGTCCGTATTAAAAAAAATTAAGTTGGCCTCTGTATTTCACAAATTATCAGCTAATTTGAAAATTTAAAAATACTATTAGATAGCCCTAATAAAGTGGCTATGAGAATATATAATTAGTTTTTTGATTTGCTAAAAAGTAACGACAGGAAAAAATAAAATTGATTTTCAAAAAAATCTTTTTTTTTCAAAAAACTCAGCAATCCTTGAAATTTTTAAAACTTTTTTGATATCATCTTGTTGTACATTGTACATCGCAAAGCGCAACTTTGTCCCAATTTAAGCTTGTTCGTATCTACTACGATTACCGAGATACTAATCGTCGTTCTGTCTCTGCCATAAGAAAGTCGTCGAAGTTTTTGTATATTAATTTCAAGTCTATGACAAATCTTTTATGGAATAAAGGAATGAATAGAAGGAATATTTTTTTTAAATAGGAAAAATTCAAACTGATCTTAAAAAACCGTTCAATCACAAAACAATTGTACTTATATACGCATCGCTCTTTTTTATACGTTTTTTTTTATACCATTTCCTTTCTTGAATAACAGTCGCGGGTTATTTTTTCTATGTGATGACAAATTCGCCAACAATTCCTTTGATAAAAACAACAAGAGCATTAATAAATCCAGATGGTACTACTTGAATTATTCATTATAGGTGTGAAGAATCGATATAAGCAAGGTGCGGAACTACCATTGTTGGACAGCGGTTCTTTTTTAATCTTTGGCAGCGGTAAGATCATCAACCCGAAAATTAAACAATGCGCATTAAGTCGGTCCCAAAAGACGGACGCATCTACAAGGTTTTAATTTTTTTTCACGAAAAAAAAATTAAAAATTTGTAATTTTTTTTAGCTGTTAGTAAAATACAAGATAACCCAGAAAAGATCCAGTGGTTCAAGAGTGGTTCCCAAAATTTACACAAAAAATATATATATATATATATATATTTTTTAATTTCAAAGTAGAATAACTCTAATTTGATTTTTGTTCAATTCCGTTTAAACAGAAAGTGGTTGTAAATAATTGAACAAGTCAATCAATCCCTGATTTATGTCATATACTAATATACCAAATTTCGTTTTTTTACTTAAAAAAAATAAAAAAGTTTTGGGGTTGAACTGTTTTAAAAAATCATCCGGTATGTTTATTTCTGCCACTGCTGAAACTACTTGACTTGACTACTTACCAGGTACTTATGTCATTTCTATGACAATGCGAAAAAAACCATAGAGGCGTAACCGTAACAAAAAGGAATAAATTACACGCACTCGTTGCTCTCGACCTTATAATTTAATCGTCTTTGAAAGAAGAAAAGAAAATTCTTAAGTTCACCTCTCATGGTTTACGAGAAATAGTTATATAGACTTAAGGTATATTATATAGACATCATACATATACAGGGCGAGTTACCTACGATGTTCTCTATGGGTATCTCGGAAACTACTGGAGATAGAGAGTCGGTTAAATGGGGAAAGAATTGCAGTTTCGTGGCCTCATAAATATGCGCCTTTTAGATTTTTGAAAAAGTTATATTTCGACAAAAAAACAAATTTTGGTTATTTTAAAAATTGTCTCTAATTCCATTATAATCCATTTTAGACAAAAAGTTTTCAGATAAAAGTTGTAGATAATCACATCCCTAATGAGTTTGTGTTCTCCGTTTTTTCTAAAGCCTGTCATTTTTGATATATGACACAAACATATGTTTTTTAAATGGAAACCATAGTTGGCCATGACTTCATAAAAAGCGCCATTTTTAAGCTTTTCAGCGATATAAACTAT